TTGGTTGGTTGGTTTGTAACTTTGCTGAGGTGGTGTTCACATGAGCCCACAGTAATTTATATAGGTAGTACTTTACTCCGGAGGATGTACATACATAACGCTACTACGGAGTATCATTATCAGACTATCAGCAGTTAGTTCCGGTCTGTAACTTGTCGCCAATTTTCGACTGCCCCCAAAATTAGGACTGGAAATGGCCGATCCAGCCTATCATGCGTCTTCAAACCTTGAAGGTTTTCGTTTTCCCCAGAAAATCAATCTCGATAAGTTAGCATATTCTCGTTACTACTAGGCAATTCTTACCCGACGAAGTAGACTTCAATAATCCCGGGGAGTACAGCCTAGGATGATCAGAGAGGCAGAGGAGTTACACAGTGGAATAATATTGATGACAATAGTATTAAGAGACTGGATCATTTCCAGTAGAACTGATTCCGGATACAGTGCCCCCCGCCCCCAATCGGGTCCTAGCGAAGAATACCTTGGTAGACTGGTACCTACAGAGTAGATAGTAGTAGATAGTCCATAGTTCTGATAAGCAGCCATCGTGAGAGTGAAGCAGCCATGAGAAGAGGACCATGCCATACTCTCGGACTCACACAGTGGACCCTTGTTCAGGACCGTTTCACCGCCGCTCGAAGCAATCAATCATGCTGCTACATCTTGATACTCGGTCTCCAGGTCGCCAGGTCGCCAGGTCGCCACAGAAGAATAATTGCTGACGTAAATTGCATTCATGTCACTAGTCACTTGGATTATTATTATTATTTTTTTTCATGTCTTTTTTTTCTATTTTCTTTTGCCTTGGGACTTACGGAGTAGGTTCCCGAGACTGAAGGGAACGTCCTAAAGCGACGTGGAACAGGAAAAAGAGAAATCACTGCGTGCTGAAGTCGGAGAAGTTGAGAACACACCCGTCCCTCGTCAACCAATCCCAGCAAACTCTGAAATTTAGATGAGCAGCGTCAGTACAGTAGTAGCACGGGGAATTGGCTCTGATCCATGACTGGCTATCACATTTCGCACTGCCTTTCACAGTTCACCTCGCTCATCCCACTTGCTGATCCTCCTGAAACCTGAGGTTGAAGTACAGTACTTATTAGTATCTAGCTGGAATCAATGTCCACCATGACCTAAGTCTTTTCGATCCCATAGGTTCATTGGATCAATTGTCACCAAAACTTTGATTTGAGCTCTGGTGATTCCATACAATATCCATTGCATCTTCCATCATGATCTTCCCTCAGCGTGGGTTGTCACCTCCCAGTCCCAGTCCCAGCGTTTCCCTAACCCCAAATTGGCGAACGGGAATATCCCAGCGGGGCCGTCTAGCTTAGCCGGGCGAGTCAATCCCTTCCATCACGGGCAGAGTCTATTGGTGTTCGATGCAGCTCAAGCAGAACCCAGCACACCTTTTGTTTTTTTTGCCAACTTTTGGCGGTCGGGTCTGAATGGGATGGAAATGGAACATACCTTAGTACTTTCACACTTTAACTGACAACAGTACGTGCGTAAGTCCTTGACAGACAAGCCTCTTGATGATCTGATAGGCCAGAGGGATGGCCAACAATCAATGACTTACTACTAGTACTAGGTACCTACAAGGCTTAGAGCCAGGATCATCAGTCCAGTAGTAAGTAGTAGCCTACGTCTTTTTTTTTTTTTTTTTTTTTTTTGCTATCAGCGAACAATTTGGGAAGGGTACTGCCACACCACCTTTTTTTCTTTCGTTTTTCGTTTCAAAATACCTCAGTTAGGACTTTACTTTACTATCTATCGAGTCTAAAAGTTGGGCAGGTGGGAAGGGAAAAAAAGAGCAGCGCCGCCCCCACCTCTAAACATTGTCTCTAAACTGTTCTATGAGTGGCTGGAGTCTGGACCCCATATGTCTTTCCAGTCACCAAACCTATGGGAAAATAAGAGCCACTGATAAGCTGGATGGGATGTATGTGTGCTTCATTGGTAAATGAGCGATACCCAAGGTTACCTAGTAGATATAGATAGGATACGGAGGACACCGTATTCTTCGTAAAGCACCAAAAAAAACAACAACAACAACGTTTGGAAGGTTATCACCTAGAATGTTCGTTGTCACCTGCTGGATGGTCAGATCAATCAGTAGGCGCGCGTCAGCTGGGAGAGAAAGAGAGAGAGAGAGAGAGAGATCAAATGTCATCAGGGCACAGTGACTGGAGGACTGATATTATCCCTCATCCTCCTTCCGAACGCTCAGGTGAGGTGGTAAAGCACCAATCTTCGCTTGTAGAATATAGAGAGTTGTATGTGGCAATCTCGACACAACCAATCACCGATTTTCACTCAGCTAGTATGTCTGTGATATTACCACAACACCATAACATGAGACAACTGCCTGGGATGCCTACTGGCTTCAAGACACTGCTGCGCCGCTGCGGTATTTGCCGACACCGTCCACACGGTCGATGGAATCATCGCATCCATTGACCATTCTGTGTGTATGGTAAGACAAGGCGTCCCATTGCATTCTCCGCATTTCTATCTGGTAACCACTATCTCAGTGGTAGTAACTATGGGTAAATTGATTTCTGTCCGTCGTTTCCAATTGTTTTGGGGCATAATGTAGGGGATTAACTATTGGAGGACCAACCTTGACGGGAGATAGCGATACACAGCAGATACTCCATACAGTACCTATGTACCCATCTCGGTAGGTACTGTCTTGGTCCGTTATACATACGGAGTAGTGCGTCCAGCAGCCCAGGCCCCCCCAAACTCCCAACTCGTGCTCTTCTGAGCGCCACTTCACTAAGACTCCTTTGGGTTCCCCGGCCGAGGTGGTGGGTCTTGATTTTTCCCTCTTTCGCCATTAGCGGCAGCACTGGGATCCATTACTGAGTCTCCATCGTCTGCCCAGAATCAAAAAAAAGGTTGATCTTACCCAATTTGTGGCCGAATTGAGGAAGAGCGCGACATTTTCGCATCGCTGGGTCAGTTGGAGATGCTATCATGCTAGAGTAGAGCGAGATACGGGAGTCCGTGATGGAGAGAAAGAGAAGAGAGAGAGAGGATACTTTTGCTCAAACTCTCCCGCTCTCCCACTCTTCCAGTCCAAGATCCAAGCCGACCTACCTCTCTAGGAAGCAGTTTCACCTCCCGTGCGAAGAAGGTCTCCGCTTTCTCAGAATCAAATATTAAAATGCGAGAGGACTATCTCTCTACTATTAGAGTCTTTCAGTTTCGTCTACTCCGTAGTAGTATTCTACCTACTGACTGGAGGGGAGGGGGGAACGGGAGCTGGACGGGACTGGACCATCTTGTTCTTGTCTCTTGCCGTCTGGTGTGATGTGCAGACCGGAGAAGGGGTGTATCCATGTTATCTTCCGCCCCAGATTATAAGACTTGTAAATCAAGAGAGATAATAATAATGGAGGGAGGTGTTGTAGAAGGCAAAAGACCATGTCTTTCATTCCATATCATTTTCAATCTCATATCAATCTCATATCAATGTCATATCATATCATTTCATTTCATTTCATTTCATTTCATATCATATCATATCATATCATACATAACACAGGAATAATCAAAATAATAAATCATTCTGGTTTTATTTTGAAACAGTTCACGCGAGAAACAAAATTTAGAAATATTAAAGAGTCTGGTTCCTGACCCATGATGACATACCTCCCGGGTATTTTTATTTTATTTTTTTATGGAGGACAGGACTTATCGCTGGGATAAAAATACCATGGGTTTAATTTAAAAAAAAAAAAAAAATCATATGAAATATTAAGTGGAAAATCACCTGCCACCAGTCCACCACAGTCTAGAAAGAAAACCAAATTAAAAAGAAAATAATAAAAATAGTAAAAAAAAAAAAAAAAAAAAATCAAAAACAATATTATGTATGGTACTACTACTACTCCATAGTCCGTCATCTGGCACCATAGCTAGTTATTAGTTAGTTCGTGGTGCCTACTTAGATAGATGGAGACTCAGTAGTGTACGTAGGTCGTCGTAGATAGACACTAGAAATAAATTATAATTTATTTACCTCCTACGGAGTAGACTAACTACGACGACATACTATGATACTACGTATTCCGTAGATACTAAAGACAACTAAGTACGACTAGGACCATGTGCACCTCAACTGAACTCAACTAAGTACCGACGACGAGAAACTAAAAGTACGACTAAAAAGAACTCTCACCCTGCTAGCACAGGCAGATCCGTCGCTCTTTTATCCACTGCCCACTACCTACCTACTCTTCCCATATCGGCTTTGTCTCTCGTTTCCCCGCGACTTTCCCATCGTCAGTCAGTCGACCTCTTCTTATTCTTCTTCTTCTGCTTCTTCTTCATTATTCTTTATTCGTTTTTTTCATTTTCATTTCTCCTTTGCTTTTTCCCTTTCTAGATTTTTTGGTCTCGACATTATTCTCTTCGTGCCATTCCTTTTTAACTATCGCTCTTCTAGTTCAAAACCCTTTCGGCCTTCCTTTTCGTCGGGTTCTGTTCGCAGCTCTCATTCTATCATTTCCCTGTCTCCCGGCGCCTTCATTTCGATAGCGTTCCGAATCATATCATAATCATATAGATCTGGTGGTTCGGCTCGCTTCGCTTAAGAGGTTCCTGTCTTTCCTTTACCAGGCCTCACACCCATCGGTCGAATGCAGCAATAGTATTCACCTCCACCCAGGGAAGAAACATCTACGTCGACTCTCCAGTCATTCCTTCATTCAAGAGAAGCGACTACACTGTTCTCCTCCCATATACACTCTCTTTCCTATCCAGCACAATACTATTATCGCCTAATATCTGGAGGTCTTACCATATATCTATCTTAATAACCCCAACAACGACAACATCGACACTGCTCCTCTGTGACTCTGTCGACAGCATCATCAGTTCGTTGCAACCCTCTTCATCCCCATGAACATGGACTCTCTGCAGACGTGAGACTAACAGCTTCTCCCTCCCTCTCTCGCAATAGCCACGTCTCAATATCTCGTCACATAATGGACACCACATATACAATGGTAGGCACGCCAGTGCAAGGTCAACCATCGTTTGCATACTACACAACCAATGATTCGCAATCGCGACAGCAACATTTCACCAGTCATCCGTCCGAGATGCAGGCGTTTTATGGCCAGATGCAGCCTTACCCACAGCAACAGCAACAGACCTGCATGCCAGACCAGCAATCCATCTATGCTGCGCAGCCCATGTTGAACATGCACCAGATGGCCACGGCCAATGCCTTCCGAGGCGCTTTGAGCATGACTCCCATCGTCTCCCCCCAGCCCACGCACCTCAAGCCCACCATCATCGTTCAGCAGGACTCGCCCATGCTCATGCCTCTGGACACACGGTTCGTCAGCAGTGACTACTACGCCTTCCCCTCCACCCCGCCACTGTCCACATCGGGAAGCACAATCAGCAGCCCGCCTTCTAGCGGTCGCTCCCTTCATACCCCCATCAACGATTGTTTCTTCTCCTTTGAGAAAGTGGAAGGGGTGAAGGAAGGGTGCGAGAGTGATGTTCACAGCGAACTGCTGGCCAACGCTGACTGGTCCCGGTCGGACTCGCCTCCTCTGACGCCTGGTAAGTTTAAATGTCCCAGTATTGCAATACATGTTTTTTTTTTCTTTCCCTTTTTCTCATTATTGTTTCATTTGATCATTCCGGGGTTAAATAATCATTGCTGTGTTGCTGTATGCATGAGCATGTGTTGGAGATTGTCTTGCGGAGATGAGATATCCCCCGGGGAAGAAACTAGGGCTAAGACAAGGGGCTAACTGAACTCGTTCTAGTGTTTATCCATCCCCCATCACTCACCGCCAGCCAAAGCTCCGATCTCCTGTCTGCTCATAGTTCCTGCCCATCCCTTTCCCCATCGCCTTCCCCCGTCTCCTCAACATTCATTGCTCCTCCTCACTCAGGTCTCTCAGTCGAGCCCTCTGGAACCGACTTCTGCGACCCCCGTCAGCTTACTGTTGAGTCGTCCGTGGACTCGTCGACGGAGCTGCCACCTCTGCCCACCCTCTCCTGCAATGAGGAGGAGCCCAAGGTAGTTCTCGGCAGCGCCACCGTGACTTTGCCAGTGCATGAGAGTCTCTCGCCTGCGTACACGAGCTCGACTGAGGATCCTCTCGGTTCCTTGCCCACCTTTGACAGCTTCACGGACCTTGACTCAGAGGACGAGTTTGTCAACAACCTCGTCGATTTCCACCCCGGTGGTAACCCCTACTTCCTCGGGGACAAGAGACAACGTCTGGGCTCATATCTGCTTGAGGAGGACGAGTTCCTGAGTGATCGTAGCTTTGACGATCTGGACGACCACGAGGCATTTGCACATTCTGGTCTTCCGTCGCTGGAGCCTTCCGAACTCATCTCCGTTCAGGGTGATGTTGCTGAAGTGTCTGAGGAGATGAGGTCGAAGAAGCGCACCACCTCGCGTCGGACGCTGAAGCGGACTAACAGCTCGGACAGCAGCTCCGAGAGTCTGGCGACTTCGGGCAAGAGGACTCAAGCCTCTGCCAACGGTCGGTCGGGTCACTCGGAGGCGACCTCCTCGTCCGCTCAGCAGTCCACTACTCCATCTCGTCAGAACTCTACTGCGAATGCTTCCAGCTCGTCTGAGGCTCCCTCCGCTCCCGTGTCAGTGAACCGACGCGGTCGCAAGCAATCCCTGACCGATGACCCTTCGAAGACCTTTGTCTGCACGCTTTGCTCCCGCCGTTTCCGTCGCCAGGAGCACCTCAAGCGTCACTATCGCTCCCTGCATACTCAGGACAAGCCCTTCGAGTGCCACGAGTGTGGCAAGAAGTTCTCTCGCAGCGACAACCTCGCTCAGCATGCCAGAACCCATGGTGGCGGCTCCATCGTGATGGGTGTCATTGATACCAACGCGAGTCTGCAGGCTTCCTACGAAGAGCGAGAACCGAGGTTACTGGGCGCCGCTCTGTATGAAGCCGCCAACGCCGCCGCCAACAAGTCCACAACGAGCGACTCATCTGATGGGACGATCTCTGACACGTCATCTGTCGAGGGACGACCCATCAAGAAGCGCAGACGGGAGGACCATGCCTGAATCGTTCACCACGAATAAGGCTTGAAGCTCTATAATGATGCGATGTGACCAGGAGCTCTCCTACTACTTAATATATACATTTCATAATCATTCATCCACATCGGGAGTAGTGGATGTGGCTTGATCGTTTCTCTTGGTTTGGCGTCAGGACTATTTGCATCGGTGGGATCCAGGAGGAGGTTTCATGCATACGGGTTCGCTGCTCGTTGCAGACAGAGGGTAACTGTCTGTGTGGGCTGCAAGTGACTCGGGCGCATTTGGGGAGTCCATGGCTACTGGACCAAAACTTGTTAGAGCGCAGGGCGGCATCTACTTTCATCATTTACTAGCGCGGACGGTTGACTCGGTATTCTTTGCAACTCATACTCTTCTTCTTTTTCTTTTATTCTCCTTGTCATCTCTCATCTTCTTCCTTCATATACTTCTCGCTCATATTGCCTTTCTTGTGATTTACTTCGATGTAATATTTTTGGCATTCGTTCCTGCTTCGATTACTGTGATCACTGTGCTGGCCACATGTACTATTTAATCAGCCTTCATCACCATCGTTTTTTGATCCAATTCATACCCTCGTGTGCATTGAATTCTCCATCGCTCAGACCACCCTTTATACCTTGCATTGTTTCCTCTCTGTGTTGAGCATACCGGTTGTCGTGGCATGGGCTAGTGGTGACCACTATTCACAACAAAAAAGGACAAAAAAAGAAATATCAGCGTGTATCTATCAATTATTTAGAGATTCTGCATGCAAAATATAGAACTTGCCATCAACTCTGTGAAGTCGTAGGTATAACCTCATGCTTTTCATGGCGACGGCGGACAACCCACTTTGTAACCATCAAATCCACGCAGAAATTTTGCCAAAAGTGCGGAACTTCATACAATCGAAGTAATCGCAGCTTCAACCTCGTGGATAAGAAATGATCGCATCAACACAGGACATTCCTTAAGCTTAAACCATCGACACCCAGCTAGAATAAACCAGGAGACATAAATTCCAGACAAAACCACCTCTTAATCCACCCAGGCCCAACCAGAATCAACCCCTCGTCAACCCACCCAAGCGGGACAAAAGAGCATATGACCTAGCATACAAGCATAGATCAATGTCTGTCCCATCACCACCACCATCCCCCGCCTCAGGCCTCAACGTCATCGCCTTGGTCTCAGGCGGGAAGGACTCGCTCTACTCCATCCTCCACTGCCTCAAAAACGGCCACCGTGTCGTCGCACTGGCGAATCTACACCCGGCCAACGCCCGCGGAGCCAACGCCCGCGGAGCCAACAGACGCACTACTCAACCCGGCAACGGCCATCAACAAGACGATGACGACGACGGCAACGGCAACGACAATGAAGAAGAGGGAGAAGAAGAAGAAGAAGAAGAGGATCTCGACAGCTTCATGTACCAAACCATCGGCCACAGCGTAATCCCGCTCTACGAAGCCGCCCTCGGCATCCCGCTCTACCGCGCCCCCATCACAGGCGCCGCGGTTGATACCGCCCGCATCTACCGCCACGACGCAGACGACCAGATGGCCGAAGCCGAAGCCGAGGTCGAGCCACCCAGCGCCTCTGGCCCTGAGTTTGAAGGGAAGGGCGCGGATAGCGGCTCCTCCGCCGCCGACGAAACCGAGTCCCTGATCCCGCTGCTCCGCCGCATCCAGGCCGCGCACCCACACGCCAATGCTGTCTCCGCGGGCGCCATCCTGTCCACGTACCAGCGCACGCGCATCGAGAACGTCGCGGCCCGGCTGGGGCTTACCCCGCTTGCGTGGCTGTGGATGTATCCCGAGCTGCCGCCGCCGGTGGAGCGGATGGGTGTGTCTGCGGCGGTGGCGGAGGCGGGCTTGCTGGAGGATATGGCGGCGTGTGGGTGTGAGGCGCGGATCATCAAGGTTGCGTCTGGGGGCTTGGATTGGGGGTTTCTGTGGGGGGATTTGGCTGGGTTGGATGGTGGGGTCCGGCGGCGGGTTGTGAAGGGGATGAGGCGGTTTGCGGCGCCGGGGGATCTGCGGGGCGCGGTGCTGGGGGAGGGCGGCGAGTACGAGAGTTTGGCGCTGGATGGGCCGGGTTGGTTGTGGAAGCGGAGGATTGAGGTTGAGGGGTGGGAGGAGAGGGTTGGGGAGGGAGGGGTTGGATATGTGCGGTTGAAGGGGGTGAGGTGTGTGGATAAGCTCGCGGGTGAGGGAGGAGTGGGTGGGCCGGAGGAGGTGAGGAGGCCGATGTTGCTCGATGAGAGGTTTGCTGGTGCGCTGGAGGAGATCTTGTCTGAGTCTGGGTCTGGAAGCTGCGAAGTGGAAGAGATGACTGCGACGGCGACGGGACAGGCGCGGTCCATGAGCCCTGAGGGGACCAGATGCGAGCCCTACCAGGCAAGAGACGGCGGACTATGGCACGTCTCCAACATTACAGCGCCCGAGGCTGGTCCTGGGGCCGCCGAGCAGATGGGGGGGATTGTTCGGAAGATCGAGACGATTCTGCGTTCTTGCGTTGAGGGCCCTCGCTCCACAGAGGATATTGTCTTTACGACAGTGCTGCTTCGCTCCATGGCTGATTTCGCATCAATGAACACCACCTACGTATCGCTCTTCAAGAAGCCCAACCCCCCTGCCAGGGCCACAGTGGCTTGCGGCGATAAAATCCCCGAGGGCGTGCACGTCATGGTCTCACTTACGGTTGACCTGGGACCCCGAGAGTCGCGGCAAGGTCTACACGTCCAGTCTCGGTCGTACTGGGCGCCAGCCAATATCGGGCCGTATTCGCAGGCCATGTCGGTGCCCATGCGGGGAGCGGAGCGGGTGGTATACATTGCAGGACAGATCCCTTTGGACCCGGCTTCTATGGAAATCGTCCGTGATCAAACAACCCCGGAGAGGCAAATGTGGCCCTCGGACTACTCGTTACGGGCTGTGTTGTCTCTACAGCATTTATGGAGGATTGGCGCCGCTTTGCAAGTTGACTGGTGGCTTGGAGCAGTGGCATTCTTGACAGGGACAGGGAACATGGATGCTAAAGCCCGAGTGGCCTGGCGTCTCTGGGAAACAATTCACAAACAAAAAGACAGCGAAGACGAAGAAGAGGAGTCTGCGCTGGATGCGTGGGATATCAAGTACGGACGCATGGCACATGAGCAGACCACCAGCGAGACAGCTGCACCCCTGCCCAATTTCAACGTACTGCAATCAGATGCAGCGATTCCTCCCTTTCTGGCTGTCAAAGTCAAAGAATTACCTCGAGGCAGTGATATTGAGTGGCAAGGCTTGGGCTACTGTTGCACCGGCCTGACCATATCTGTTGAAGACACGGACTACGGGCGCAGGATCGATACAGTCACAGATGAGAAGCTGCGCTACACGTGCGTCGAGATCGAGAAAGCGATAGACCCAAAGATCGACCTGCAGTTTACTTTGCGACAAATCCTCGCTGCGCAGATGGAAAATCCAGGCTCTGCTCATGCGATTATCTATGCCACCACCGCATTACCTGTAGATTCTTGGCCGGGGCAGATCGTCCCCTGCGAGTCCGTATGGGGCCAGAAGGGACGGAGGCTTGCAGCTGGTATCATTTTCCAGAACTCTTCGGTATAGAAGACCAGAATAGTCGACCAAGCGAGGAAAACGCGATCTCGGATATTATCCTTATACCCAGCTGCAGGTCGATCACATTCCCAAGACAGAGTGGTTGGGTCGCATGAACGCCGACAAGTATGCTCAGACGCTAGGGAAAAAGATGTCTAGCACCTATCTTTCCGTCTCTTCTTCTATTCGTAGAGTGGGCACAGCCAAGAACTGTTGGGAGAAACGCGTGGCGCACCAACAGGAGAGCGGTTCTCGCAATTGACTGGATGTACGGATAGTGGGAGTCACCTAGGAGCAGGCGAGAAAAAAATATGATATGACCTGGGAATCGACACGACACTAGTCACTCCATCCCATGGCATGTTCTCTCCCCTGTCTGCTGATGTTGAGGCTTTTTGTAGAGAGAAAAGCATGTGATAAGCGAGACGAAGCTCTTCCGCCTTTTTGCGTCTGAGCACAAGAACAACTACCCCATCATCCGCCGCCATCGCCTCTGCCGCCACAAGCCATTCTGTTATCCCTAGGGCTCTTGCGTGAGTATTGACTTAGAATCTCCCCGTCGCTTGAGGTAGAACCCATTTGTTGAAACCTGAAACGCATAGTGACCACATCTCCACCCCTCTAACACTCCCCGATATGACGTACTCGCTCTCATAGAGACCCCCGGAACACTACTTATTCATGGCGCCATGGCCTCCCTGCTGAGAGAGGAGGAAGAAGCGTTCGTATCCAGTCGGGACACCAGTGATCTCGCAATCCCTACAGCGAATCCTCTCCGCCACTTATCACGGTCACCTCATCCATACCGCCGGAAAGGTCTACACTGCGCAGACTCGCCGTCGCTTTCGGGGGACCACAGCGACAGGCCGACCCAGAACCCCTCACAATGGCCAAAAACCTCTAGCGACAGCGGGACCGAGGCGGACGATGAAAGTACGGGGATCCTAAAAGGTTTGCCTGCTCCACCGGTGCGACTGCGCAAGGGACTGCGATCGACCTGGAACGGCATCGACGACAATGATTTGTGGTCCCCCATACTGCAACCGTGGCCGTCGTTCGCACGGTCGACGTCGCAGAGCTCGCGACGGGGCTCCGGTGAGGGGCTGGAAGTCGGAATACATTGCCTCAGAGATCAGAACCGTCAAAAGAGACGCATTGAGGTGCTGCGGAGGTTATCGGAGGCTGCGCTGCTTCTCTCTGTCGGCGGTACCGTGCTGTGGCAGGAAAGTGCGAGGAGTCTTGCCTGGGCTTGGAAGAAAGGTGTGCTTGTTGACTGGTGGTGTGTCGGGGTTGATGATTCACATGGTTTGCTCACACTGGAATACAGAACTCCTCACTCATGCTCTACTTGTGGCTTCGCTCTATGCCGCATATCCTCTCCACCAGACTCGACGCTTGCGGTTGTCTAGGCTATCCTCCTTCGCCATACCTACAACATTCGAACCGGCTTCTCTCCTATATCCAGTCCTAATACCGATCTTTGTTTCTTTATCCATATCGCACCATACCCCGACCTTGATCCTCCCGAACATCCTTCTTAGTCTTTCGTCTCTACCTGCCCCGGTTGTGCCCCTTCATGGATCGGTCCATGGCCATAGCATTTCTCATTGGATGATTACTTTGATACCCATTTTGGCCTCGGAGCAGTGGTCTGCAGATGGCACCACACCTACGCCTTTGTCTTTCCGTGGCCTTAATTCCGAGCTATTGACTCTTGTTTTTCCTTTGCACCAAGCATTGATACCCACTTTAGATTTTCTGTTGACTTCTAGTGTCCTTCCAGCGGAATTGCACCTCTTGACGACTGCTTTGATTAATTTGTTTTTATTTGCGACTTCTCCACAAGCGGAGATTCTGAAAGCACTTCTCTGGCTCGGTGGGCTCTGTGTCTTCGCCTCATGCCGGCATGTGCTTCGATGGGAGGTCGCCCTAGCTCGGATCCCGACATGGAAGTTCCGAAGATCTCCCAAGTCATCGCGCTCACCAAAGAATATGTTGAATTTGATCGACCATAAGCTCTGCCAAAAGCTTAGTCGAACTACTTCCTCGGAAGAGGTCATTTCTGACAGCGATTACCCTCGGGGTCATCTGCTCAAACCACGCAAGCCGATGCACACAACCCGGACCAAGACGGCACTCAAAGGACTGGACTCTGCTACTGCTGATAATGTATCCACCGAGGAAGTGTTTGAGCGGCACATTACCGTGACGCACCGTCGGCGGCACACGATCTCCACCTTCACGGAGGTCGTGCACAAAGAGCGCATCCGGACTACCCCCAGCGGCAGGCGCAAGCGATCAATGGCCCCGGGTCTCTCCTCTTTTCTCTCATTGACGGTACCCCAGGCTCAAGTCCGCAAATGGTTATATGCCTTTTATGTTTATATTGCCGTATCAGTCGTTATACTAGGCCCTATTCGGAAATACGTGAGTGAACGAGCTTTGCAGGGCAATGAACCATTTGGATGGGCACTTGGATATCTGCTCGGGAACGTATCATGGTTCAGGTTCTGGGTGCTTATGTGGAATCTAGACCACTGGATTCCTCTTCCCGCTCGTCTGGACGAGGAGGATCTGAACGCCTTCTGCTCGCTTGGCTGGGTTGAGCACCTGCGCCAAGGTACGTTTGGAGAGGCGAATACGCGCCTCATGATTGCTGCCTATTGCGCCATGGTGCTCTTGACTGGTCTGGCTATTGTTTTCCAGTTGAGCACCGTGGCCGAAGTGGATACCAGACGCAAAGTCTTTCACGGCATGATGGTGCTGATGTTTCTTCCGACTGTCTACATTGACCCAGCCTTTTGTGCTTTGGCGCTCGCAATCGTCTTATCGGTCTTTCTCCTTCTTGACCTTTTCCGAGCTTCTCAGCTCCCACCAATTTCGCGCCCTCTTACCTATTTTCTAGCGCCCTACGTCGATGGTCGTGACCACCGAGGACCCGTCATCATCTCACACATTTTCCTCCTCATCGGCTGCTCCATTCCTCTCTGGCTCTCGTTGGCTGACATTCCGCGGACAGGGAGCAGTCCCTGGGCTACCTGGGATGTCGCTTCGAGGGATATCAGCATGGTCAGCGGCGTGATCTGCGTTGGCATGGGCGACGCAGCCGCGTCCCTGATTGGCCGACGTTTCGGTCGCCGCAAATGGTTCTGGGGTGGCGGGAAATCCCTCGAGGGTAGCCTGGCTTTTGCCATTGCCGTGTTCTGCGGGCTCATGGTTGCACGCATCTGGCTTGCAGTGGGACAGTGGCCCACGATTGGGTCGGACGCGTCGGATTCGCTTTTCTGGTCTGTGACTGTGCTCAAAGCTATTATTGCCGCTAGCGCAACGAGTGCGACTGAAGCGATTCTTACCGGATGCAATGATAATGTGGTTGTGCCGATTATCTTGTGGCTGTTGGTCCGAGGGCTTGGTCTATGATTTGTAAGTCTCGTCTATGTACGCTGATACGGTGGAGTCTTTGGGATCATTAGAGGCTTTCAGGTATAGACTTTATCCCCTTCTACGATATCTTTCCTTTATTATGCATCTTTGTGCAATACCATTGGCTTAGGTTCAGCGTCACGTCCTAGATGTGTTGCATGAGACTCGGAGATAGATGGCATGGCATGTACTGGGGATGATATCTATGTATGCCATTGTGGACTATTTACTACCGTGCATTGCTAGTAGTAATCAGTATTACAGGCTTTGATGTGTCAATGCCAGAGACAATGCACTCCATTACAGCCTGATCATGTATCTATAAGGAACATGTAAATAATCTCTGTGCATTCATATCTGATGTGTCGGTAGTAGCTATCCGTATCAAGAGGAAACAGCATTTCCCCAAATCATTTCCCCTTCCTTTGCTACATCATACACTATGTATGCGACAGCCAGGAGATCTCTTCCTCAATACCTCGTACTTCATCTCTATCCGGGGCAGTCCTTTTCTGGTTTTCCAGGATATCCAGTTCTATTTTATAGAATCTCCACATATCCCCGAATGGGATGCACAGTCGGCCGAGGACCCGAAAATTGCATCCACAGAGGGGATTGTTGGGGATTAGCGTAATTTTGTTCAGTTGAACTAAAGGGACTTGCGTTCCACTGCTCTGGAGTCCAGCCTGGTGCAGCGCTCTTCTCCAGGATCTATCGGCTTCGCTGCCACGGTCACCCAAACTGGTGGCTGGTAAGGTCTAGCAGGAGTTGATGGTCAAATCATCCGGTGACGGAAGATTGACCAGGCACGGGTAGCCGTCGCTTAGCCGCACAAGAGGGGGTAAACGAGATGCTTTCCAAGCACTGAGCGATGGCTAGATGCGCGTCTACGCGCCAGTCTATCAGAGATGACCATCCGATCATTTCCCTGGTGTACCGATCTATCTTCTTCGATGACCAGGCCCAGCGGGAGGTTGCTAGCTCATAGACATAGGAACCCAGCTGGAAGAGCCAGAAAAGCTCGATGCAGCCATTATTATTCCGCGAATGACGGGGTGATGGGTACCTTCTGGCCGGAAGGGTCTGGTGCACCGGATTAGAGCCAGCGATGGAGCTGCTTTAAGCTGCCAATTGGGCGGGATGGTTTCCTCTGCCTGCCTGATGTTGTGGATTTATTGGTCAAAGCAGGCACATGCTAGACGACGGAGTTTGGATTTTGCCTGCTGAGCATATGGCCTGCCGTAGGGAAGCCGCGGATTCTAACGATTGGAACGGGGTCTGAATCGCTGGGAGGCAATGCATTGTCTTCGAGGTATCTGCGCAGGGTGATCTCTGTAGGAAGCCTCCGAAATGGAACCATTGAGTTGTCTGGATGTTACTTTATGAGGAAGAGAGGTGCAGGGTCTGAAGCCAGTCAACACATAATAATATACCATCCTCTCATTCTGTGGTAGAAATATAGAACTCCATGGCAGATCTGTGCTTTTCAGCCACATTATATTGGTTTTCTTGGTAATCCCAGTAACGCCCTGCTTCGCAAAGGTCGATATTCTAGGCTTACTGGAAGAAGACTAACGTCAAATTGGCTCCAGGGCCATTGATAATATATTTGATGTCAAGCCTGCCAAGGCTACTCATTTCAAAGCATGTCCGAGTTGCTTAATCATGGTATGGAAGAGTCCAGTTGTTGAGATATTCGTTGTTGGCGCTTTGGCACTCAACTTACAGGGTGGGGATTGTGCTTACAGAGTAGTTCAAGGCTAGGAGGGACATTAAACGACAGTCTAAACCGCTCCACTACTCCCTGATCTGCAATCGATCCATCTGTTCGTACTCCCATCCATCAACGTCACTTATCCTCTGTTCATGATACGGGGAGTGCTGGATATCCAGCAGATTGTTTACCAGTGCATATACAACCCCCGTTGAGTAGATGCCACAGGACCCAGCAACATGTCATCGGCCCTGTCACCTAGATGACCTTGGTTTGCCCTGTTCTAGATACTGCACGGTCGTGAAGTTTGAGACCATGATTAGCTGATCCTACCATAGACACAAGTATCAACAAAAACAAGGACAATGCTCCTCAACCAGATGCTGGCAGTCGATGTAGCCTACGAAGCGAACATGGGGAATCACAGGAGACAGCTCAGCTCAAGTGTGGGATTTTACTGACATTTTCGGCCTGAGTGGCTCTCACCCTGTGCTGGATGACAATTCTTTCCCTGCATTCTGGGGAGAAGAAACTGGGTTCTTGACAGGGGCTCCTATCGAATCACACCCTGGGACAGGCGGCTTACAAGCTGATAACAACCATCAGAGTCAAAATGAGATCCCTGGCATTGTCTCGCCCTCATTGCCACCGTCGAACGCAGCTTAGGCATCCACTCTGCCTAACTCCGTACATGAAGTCACGCGGGAACTCTCGACGTTGAATCTGGATCTCTTCAACTTAAGCCATTCACTTCACGCTGATCCCTGGGGCTCCATGTTTGAGTCACCATCAGCTGTTACTGCAACGATAGCTGCGTGCAGCAACGGCGTCTGCCGTGATCAATTTGACGCCAGTAGTTACTCTCTGATCGATATCTTCAAGAAGACTCAACGATTTGTAGACGTTGTCAAGCTCGTGTCGGTCCTCTTTGTGTCTTCACCAGGTTCTTCTTTTCGAAAAGACGGGCTCTTTTCGCCCGAGGGCCAACCAGGCAGATCCTCTTCGGGTAGCGCTCCTGCTGATATTAGAGGCACATCTTCCAATAATGGATACACACAGCAGCTGAACCCCGAACCTTCGCGGAGTCGAGTACAGCAACCAGGCCGGATTGATCTCCCTACAGCCCTGATGATCTCTACATGCTACGCTCGTATTATTGATCTCTACACCACCATGTTCACGCAGATGTCACACTTTGTCCAAGCATTATCCATGCTATCTACGTCTGGCGCCCCCGACTATCGCCCGCAGATGCGAGCAGCTGTGCCGCCGCTCCAATGGGGTAGCCTTCAGCTGGCGATTACAGCACGCTGCAGATGCTGATGGCTACCGAGGTGGCGTCATTCCTGCTGACAAGGGTGGAGCACGCAATCGGGGTGGACGGGCGGGAACGGAAGGTTGTCGAGGCAGATTCACGCCCGCATGAGAGTGCACAGGAGAGCGAAGCTGGGAATCCGGAGAAAGATGATGGCAGTGGGCTGTTGAGCTTCGCGTTGATCGAGATGATAGTCCAGGGGGAGGGGGGCGGTGGTCGTTTGGGGAGGCTGGGGATGCTGAGAAAAAAGATTAAGGGGGTAAAGAAAGACACGGGGCGAATTAATACGCTCTGATGGCGTTGACAACTTGACGTAGGTAACTAGGTGGGAGGGTTGAGGCTGTGAATATTATACAGCAGCTCAAGTAGTGTTATCTGCGCCTTCAACCGGGGGTTGTTTGTCATCTTATCACGCCTCAGGGAGGACCAGCTCGCTCGAACGATTGGTCATATCTGTGGCAGTGCACATTATGAGTCGTAAACTTCATCTGATACCATCAGTTGCTCAAGATACAAGTGATGTTGCCCAGTTGGCTGGAGTATCATTTGACTCACAAATGACGAGTTGAGTCACGTTGTATACGGAGGATGACAGTACTGATGATGACCCATGATACCTCTAGGCTCTAGGTAACCGCTGTTTTGTATGGTCAGATTGAGCCAGGTTTCTGCCTGATTCAAGTCATCCAACCAGATTGACAGAGAGGACAGAGGTAGCTTTCAGGTAGTCAAGGTATGGGGGAGTACACACTACACAGTACATACGATTTCAACCTAATTATGGAGCCACTTTCCAGCTTCCAGCCTCAGGCCATCGGTCGATCATGGATCCTTACCTTATCGTCATTTGTCTCCATCAGCATCATCTCCCAGTCATTCCTCATTGCTTGTCTTCATCATTTCCATCCTTCCTGTTGTCAAATTGCATCATCACCAGCACCAGTCTTGAGCATTCTTAACTTTTCATTGCTCTTTTTGATACAGTCCAGTGGCATTAGGGTGGTTCTGTGGCCGTATCCTAGGTAGCTTACCTTGACAGCGAACTCACCCTTTCTCCTCCCCCCCTGCTTATCGCAGCGTCACCCTCGTTCCATTATTGGGTCTGATCATCTCCCAATCAATCCATCGCCGCCCTCCTGACCGCCCTTCCACTCAGGGTCATTCCTCAGTCAAATCTCACTATCGATCTAGCCTACTACTACTCAGTAGGTACTTCTCTTTGCAGTACTTTTTTTTTGCCTGAGGTTGTCGTTATCTCTGTTATCGCTGGGTCACGCTCCTTCTCATCCGTCAAGTCACCTCTTCTTCTTCTACTGTCTGAACTCTGAACGTCTGCGGCCGATCTGCATTGCTCCATCTTCCTCAAAAAGGGCAACACATCGAACACGAGGTTCCTTGGGTCCAGTTGTTTTCCCACAGATCCCCAAGTTATTTGCCTCCCCCCCTTTCAACGCCTCTTACTCACCCCATCCAAACTTGCTCGATTTGCTTACTGATCCCTTATCCTCGTGGAGATCTCCCAGAGCTTCCTTATCGACCATCCCATTATATCCATTGCCGCCTGCAGCGTAGCTTCTCCTGCGCCCTCACCGCTTTCTTGTGGCCTTTCCTTTCCTTTGGATCTCTTATTGTTGTCTCGATCTTAGATTCTGCGACATTTTAATTATATAAAGAGACTTTTTGTTCGTCTACGGGTCTGGTCTCTGATCTCATACAGCTAGACCGGGCCGTTCTGCTGTCGTTCCACGGCTCTCCACCCCGTGTACCCCATCTGCCTGTTTCAACCCTCCCTCTCTCTCATACTACTCTCCCGACGGTTCCTGTCTGTCTAGTAACTTCCAGCCCTCCCGGTCGATAAGCACATTCGAGCTCGTCTGCTCCCCTGATGGGCCTCCTCCATCATCCTTCGTCAACGTTCCTGCTGCTGCTGAGGTAGTCGTGTGGTTGACGGGGCAAGTCTGGTTGCTGCAGACGCTCCTTCAACAGAAGCTGGTCAGAGATCATGACATCCACTCACCACTCGAGGAGGTCGAGGGAGACCCCTCAACCCGAAATGTCGCTTGGTCGCTACACCAGGCTGGATGAGATTGGCCGAGGGAGTTTTGCTACAGTCTACCAGGGCGTTCATACGGTGAGTATTGCTCCAGCTCATATTTCCCCGACGGCGATGAACGATTGGTTGCAGGCCTGCATGCTAATATGTAGTCTGGTTTCCATAGAAAACGGGCACTTATGTAGCCATCAAGTCGGTCAACCTGTCCAAGCTGAACAAGAAATTGAAGGAGAACCTATCCTCCGAAATACACATCCTCAAAGGCCTCTACCATCCACACATCGTCGCCCTCATCGACTGCCAGGAGACCTCTTCTCACATTCATCTGGTGATGGAGTACTGTGCCTTGGGCGATCTCTCCCTCTTCATTAAGCGTCGAGATACGCTGGGAGATCATCGATATACACGAGATATGATCGCCAAGTATCCGAACCCTCCCGGCGGCGCCCTCAATGAAGTTGTCGTCCGTCATTTCCTCAAACAACTATCAAGCGCCCTCAAGTTTCTTCGTGATCGAAATCTCATCCATCGGGATATCAAGCCACAAAATCTTTTGTTGTGTCCATCCCCCTCATCTTATCGGAGCGGTGCGGGGAGCGGCGCGGCCACGGTGGTGCCGTTCAAAGGCTGCGAGGATTCCTTCAACCCTGCAACCGGGGTGGATTCGCTGCCTTTGCTCAAGATCGCAGATTTCGGCTTCGCGCGATCCCTTCCGGCGACTTCCCTGGCAGAAACCTTGTGTGGCTCGCCATTATACATGGCCCCCGAGATCCTCCGATACGAAAAGTATGATGCCAAGGCTGACCTCTGGTCTGTGGGTACTGTGCTCTACGAGATGGTCGTCGGAAAGCCTCCATTCCGGGCGACCAATCATGTAGAACTACTACGGAAGATTGAGAAAGGGGAGGACAGAATCAAATTCCCCGAGGACAACCCAGCATCCGATGCTATCAAAGCACTGATTCGAGCGCTCTTGAAGAGGAACCCAGTTGAGCGGTTGAACTTTCCCGAATTCTTTGAAAATGAGGTTATCACAGGCCCCATCCCTGGCTTGCTTGCTGACGATCAGCCATCAATATCCCGCCATCGTTCCGTTGACCCCGGCACCACAGAGGTACCTCCCCGACCCGATTCTCGATCTGGAACCAGCGTTCCATCCGGGACGAGGCGGGAAAGGGAGGTAAACCGAGAAGATGTGTACTCTCCACGTTCTTCTCCGCGGAACCAGAAACCTAGCACCCCGCCCACTTCGACGCCCATGCGCCGAGTGGGAAGCACTGACAGGCCCCCATCCGCTCCAAAGGAGTCAGAGCCGCCTATGGCTTACCCGCAGAGACCAAACGCTGTCAGCCATGCGACTGCTCCGGGACGGCAAGAACTTCTTGATCGGAAAGCCACGACGACAGCTATCGAGCGCCAGCGGAGTCGGAACACTTACTCCGAAGGCTCTCCACGGCTCGATCAACCAGCTGACAAGCTTAAAGAGGAGCAGGAACGCGCTGCACAGGACGTTGCCTTTGAGAGGGATTACGTGGTCGTGGAGAAGCGCGCAGTGGAAGTCAACGCGTTTGCAGATGAACTCGCGCACAGCCCTCGCATTCAGGGGGGACTCTCCAGAGCTGCACAAGCTGGTGCGATTTCGCGTCGAGCAACGGTGCAAGGCGCAACACCTACCCTCTCGTCACCCCAAACGACTACCGGCAAAGCTATGCAGGTCTTTTCCGGACGTTCCCGTGCAGATTCGACACACCACCGCCAGGCCTCGTACGAACGGCGATACGGACAAAGTCCCACGTCTGCAACATCAGCTATCTCGAAAGCACTCAATATGGCCAGCGGGCGGCTCTTTGGGATGGGATTCTCTCCACCTTTGACCATCACAAAAGGCGGGCGGTCACCTCCCCTTGCCTACAATCCGTTCCCGGCGTACCCTACAGCCCATGGCAGCTTGATGATCATAGGCGATGGTGCCAAGTCGCAAGTGGCCCTGGACGAGGATACCAAAACCGTGCAAGTCATAGAAGAATGTGCCACTCGCAGTGATGTCGTATATGGGTTCGCCGAAGTCAAGTACAAGCAGCTCATTCCGCTTGCCCCGTCCATCCAGACCGACCCGTCTGCAAAGTCCAATATGTCTGGTGTGAGGGATACTGCCGGTTCGACGGACGGGGACCTCACGGTCGATGCCACCGTGACTCTATCGGAAGAAGCCCTGGTGCTCTATGTCAAAGCGCTATCTTTGCTGGCAAAGTCGATGGACATAGCCGGGGTGTGGTGGACCCGGAAGAATCGGGGAGAGACCTTCGGTGACCCGGTCATGAGCCGGGCTGATACGACAGGTGCATTGGTTGGCACGCGGATTAACAATGTTGTGCAGTGGGTGCGCAACCGATTTAACGAGGTCTTGGAGAAAGCAGAATTCGTTCGTCTCAAGCTGATCGAGGGGCAAAAGCGACTGCCACCTGATCACCCCAGCCACCCCAGTAATCACTCCGTTACATCCTCGCTGGGCGCCGGATCTACCGACATCGTGGTGAGCTCAGGCGTCACGGCCGAAAAGCTCATGTATGATCGTGCGCTGGAAATGAGCCGTGCGGCGGCTATCAATGAGCTGACTGGTGAGGACTTGGCTGGATGTGAGATAGCGTACGTGACGGCGATTCGCATGCTGGAAGCGGTGCTGGAGGACGACGAGGTACCGGGCCTGGGCCCAGGCAAAGTCGATACATCTAAGGACATGTACGATGGGGTACCGGCTGAGGACCGCCAAGTTGTGGTCAAACGTAAGTCTCCTTTGTTCTTCTTGGGGGTGGGACGATTTGCTAATGGCACGTGTAGTTGTCTCTAGTATCCGTGGTCGGCTACAGGCTCTCCGCAAGAAGCTGGCAATTCTTGCGAAACGAGCACCTACGGCCTCCGTGAATGTCTAAGCCAAGAATGCATTGGCAAAACTCAATCCACGTCCATGCGAGATCACCTCATTTCAACCAACGGGGAGGTACTCATGTCCTCAAGAGCAATTCCATATGTGTTGCGATTCCACACGTGCCCGATGAATTATGGCTTTTGACTTCTTTTTCTTTTTCTTTTTTTTTTTTTTTTTTCTCTCTCCCTGTCTGACTTATAGCCACTCTTGTTTGTCTTGGCCTTTGGGACTCTTCGTTTGCGGTTTTGCGCACTGATTCGATGATTGGTTGACTAATGTTGTTCTTGTTTCGTTCTACCTTGGATCTTCCACGCTATATCCATTGTGCCTGCTCATTTACGCCTTATTTTTTTTTTTTTTTTTCGGACTGAGTCTTCTGGCGTTGGAGTTCTGAACCGGTATACAGATTGTCACCACCCGTTTCCTCCGTTTTTTTTTCCCTTCTTCTTTCTTGGAGGGATGCTTTACGAACGAGAGTAATCATGGGTTTGGGAGTCCTGGTGGGCATGATCATGTTTGATGACTCGGGGCGCAATGCAGCTACGTACTAACTGTCTACTACACTGCCAGTCCGAGGGACTTGGTAGCTGGCACATTTTTCTTTTTTCTTTTTTCTTTTCTTTTTTTTTTGTACATAAAGAATCAGAGGGAAAATACTTCTTATTTCTTGTCAAGGCGATACTAGCCACTCGGAGTAGTATCTAGTATCTACCTTACTAACCCTGACGATCTAAAACCGGGAGCTCGCCCACCCCTGGCCAGGCTGGTCTACACCCTGAGACCTTCCGGCTCGGCGAGCCGAATAATAATATCAACTGCTGCGATCTGAGTCCTGACCTTCCAGAAGGCACGAAAATTGCGTGATCGATTTCTATGTGTCATGGCGAGCGACCTGAGCGATTGAGAAGAAAGCCCAGCGACTCAGCGAGGCAGCTGGTGGGTTAGTGGAGCCTCCCAAGCAATTTTTGTCTTTTGGGTTCCGCTCAAAGTTGGACGCTTTTTTTGCGCCATCCGCCAAGCCACATGGCAACTGATCATCGTCGATGTAACATCAAACGTGATCGCGGGAGCTGTCGTGCTTTTTCGTTTTCTTTTCTTTTCTTGTCTCTCTTGGTGTGTCTTGGTCGATCTCTCTTTCGATCTCTCTCTCTCGTCCCTTGTTTTTGTTTCGTCGCATTCGTCCGTCGTTGCTGTTCTGGTTGGGAGTCGGTTCTTTTTTCTTTTTTTTCTTTTTTTTTTTTTTTTTTTTTGGTGGAGGTATTCGCTGCACTTTGAACTAGATCTGCAACGGCCACTCGGGATCGGGATATACTTACATCTTCATTTCAGTTCATGCCGAACTGACAGCACCAGCATTGTCTCACCACTTGATCTTCTGAGGTCTTCCAGCAGAGAAAAGGTATGATTCGCCCCCTCTGACAGGCATATGCCATTGCATCATATTTAGTTCCAGCACCTCATCGGAGTCTTAATTAATTTATGTCGCCGTCACTAACCGTCGTATGACTGCATAGGGGCCTAAGTAGCGATCGGCTACTTCATTCAAAACCACCTTCTTTCGCTCCGGACAGTGGGGTTTCTCAACTGTAGAATCCCATCCGATTCAAGATGAGCGATCCGGTGACAGAGTCGAACTATCCCAAAGGCGTCTCGCCTGACGCGAAGCCGCTCAGTGAAGGCCCTAGGAGGGCGGACGGAGTCTCCCAGCTTTGTATGTCCTTTTGCCTTGTTACCATTTGATTGCTTGCTTCCAGCTGAGCTGGAAACTAATTGTCATCGCTTTGTGTCCAGACGAGGGAAATGTCTTCGATGCCACACCAGAGGACCGTCGCCAGATCGGCGTGGTCAGTGCCTCGTTCCTGATCTTCAACCGTGTCATCGGCACTGGTATCTTCGCGACCCCGGCAACTATTCTTCAACTGTGCGGCAGTGTCGGTCTCTCCCTTTTCATGTGGGTGATAGGCACTATTATCGCCATGGCTGGTACCGCCGTCTACCTGGAGTGGGGTACTGCTATCCCGAAGTGAGTCTCGTCGTGGCCCCGTTGGAGCTGGACTCCGCTAAATGGTAAACAGAAACGGTGGAGAGAAAAACTACCTCGAATACGTCTTCAAGAAGCCCAAATTTCTGGCCACCGCCATGTTCGCTGCCTACGCCGTCCTCCTGGGCTGGGCCGCCAGCAACAGTGTCGTGTTTGGCGAGTATATCCTCAACGCTGCTGACGTTGAGGTTGGTCGATGGAATCAGCGCGGTATTGGTTTGGCGTGTGTCACCGCCGCTTTCCTCATCCACGCTTTCGCCGTGAAGTGGGGTCTCCGTCTCCAGAACTTGCTTGGTGTGATCAAGCTCATTATCATCGTGTTCATGGTCGTCTGTGGCTGGGTCGCCCTGGCCGGCCATACCAAGATCGAGACGCCGCACAACTTCAGGAACGCATTCGAAGGCACCACTGGCAGTGGATATGGTATTGTCATGGCTTTGTACAACGTCATCTGGTCATTCATTGGTTATTCTAATGCCAACTATGTACGTCGCCTTCGCTTTTAGGACCCGTCGCCGCCCACTAGATCGACGCTAACTATGACAGGCTCTGAGCGAGACGAAGAACCCCGCGCGCACTCTGAAGATCGCAGCGCCGATTGCTATCGGTTCCGTGGGCATTCTGTACATGCTGTGCAATATTGCCTACTTCGCTGCTGTGCCGAAGGAGCAAATGCTCGCGTCCGGCCAGACCGTGGCGGCCACCTTTTTCGGAAACATGTTCGGTGCTGAGGCCGAAAAGGTCATGTCGGTCTTTGTGGCCTTGTCAGCCTTCGGAAACGTGCTGTCAGTCATCTTCTCGCAAGGTCGAAGTATGTTCCCATCGTGGTCTGCATTGTCAACGTCAGTTGCTAATAGTCTCCGCAGTTGTCCAAGAGCTTGGCCGTGAAGGTGTTCTGCCCTTTTCGAAACTCTGGGCCAGCAACAAGCCATTCCACTCCCCGGCTGCCGGTCTGTTTGAGCACTGGGTTGTCTCCGTCATCATCATGCTGGCTCCTCCCCCGGGCGATGCGTATAACTTCCTGCTCAAGTAAGTTCAAGTCTCGCCATTCGACATATCCGGACTCTTTTGAGCTAACAACCCCACCCAGCCTGATTTCCTACCCACTTTCCCTCGTCAACGTTTTCGTGGCTGGCGGTCTTATCTACATCTATTTGACCCAGAAGACCAACTTCCCCAACTGGGCGCCTTCAATTCGCGCCACTCTCCCCGTCACCATTTTCTTCTTCCTGTCCAATATCTACCTGGTGATCGCACCATACATCCCGCCCTCGGAGGGTCAGAATGTGTACCAGGAACTTCCATACTACCTCCACTGCGTGGTGGCTCTCGGGATCTTCGGTGCGGGTGCGATCTACTACGTGGTGTGGGCGATCTTGATGCCACGCTTTGGCCGCTACATGCTGGTCAAGGAGAGCGTGGTCGATGCCGATGGCTGGTCCAGAAGCGTCTTCACTCGGCTGCCGCTTGCGGACGCCGAGCGATCATAATCTCTTGAGATCCCGTCTGTCTTCCAGAGAGGGGGGTTCTTGAGACGGTTACGACGAAACGATTCAACATCTTGCCATCCTTGGCATACTTATATCATAATATGTACATTTGAAGATATCCCTGTATGTTTTTTGGAGTTTGGGGGCATTATTATGGCTAGAATTCAACACACGTCTGCTTGTGAATGTATAGAATACTATTTTAGAACACTACGATAGATTGACGCTATGATTACTGCAAATTAAAATGAATGCATTCCCCTTAGCTTAGAACCCAATGACCCTGATTGACTATAGTGTTTTGTCCCAGTCCTCTATGGAAGTCCATCCACGAGATTTGCACAAGGCAGTCATGAACCCCTCAAACTGACTGGAGAACCGTCTTGCAAGTAATGCCATGAATGGCATACCGAAAGTCATCTGCCATAGTGAGATTCCTTGAAAGAAAATCCGGCATACGCTGTTTTTGACTTGCGTAAAGAATGTGAAGATCGGGAAGTTCTGGGAGAGAAGGAGGAAAAAGAAAAAGTGCCCTGTAGTCATGTGATGCACTATAGTCCTGATGGGGTTAGCCGCTCTTTCGGCCTGGCTGCCTTAGTGCCTGGAGCTAAGCTCTGAAGCGGCTAGAGCGGTACGGAGTACCGTCGGACCATACGATACGGTATACTTTACTTACAGGTCCGTCATTAACCGTGAAGTACTCACCGCCTTCTACAATCGGCCAACCACCGTTGTTTTCTTCCGATGAATGCGAAAGTTGCGCGGTGCTCCAGATTCGCTCTCATCCTATTGTTCTTCATCTGCGGTTCATCGATTGACATTGTTATTGTTGTCATTCTTATCAAGTCGACTCTTATCATCCCCTGCTTCCTCCTCTCTCTTCCTTTATCTCCCCTTTGTTTCATTTTCTGGCGGGGTTCATGCGTCGATTCTCCTCCGCGCGGTTACCGCTGGTCCTGAACACAGCGAAGCCACCGCTTTCTTCCCCGGCCAGAAAGCCCCTCCTTCTCCTCTCTCGATCATCATCTCTCTTCTCTTCGCCATCAACTCCCCTCAATCGATCTCCTCCTCGCCGTCTCCCCCTTTCCCAAGTCGCCAAACGCTACTGCTCCTACCGAAGGATGTGCAGCTCCCGCCGCGCAGATGTGCCTTCGGGCTCGACCAACGTCACCCATGGTCGTGAGGTTCTGCCTACCAACGTCACGCCGGTGCACTATGACCTTACCCTCGAACCCAATTTTGAGACCTTCAAATATGACGGAACTGTGATCATCGAGTAAGTTTTGAGATTCCCTACTGCGCGCGGTTTGTTTACGGTCGAGTTCCGGGAGAAAGCTCATAGCCTGGTGTATGTAGTCTGCAGGTCACCGAAGATACCAACTCCATCTCCCTCAACACCAACGAAATCGACATCCACGGCGCTGTTATCTCGTCGGAAGGCTCCGTCGTCACATCCTCCCCCGATGTCTCCATTAACAAGGAGAAGCAGGTGGCTACCGTCAAGTTCGCTGAGACGATCCCCGCCGGATCCTCTGCGCAACTGAAGCTGTCCTTCACCGGGATCCTCAACGATAACATGGCTGGCTTCTACCGGTCGTCGTTCAAGCAGGCCAATGGAGAGACCAAGTATATCGCCTCGACTCAGATGGAGCCTACCGATGCTCGCAGAGCTTTTCCCTGCTTCGATGAGCCGGCTCTCAAGGCCAAGTTCACCGTCACTTTGATCGCTGACAAGAGCATGACGTGTCTGAGCAACATGGACGTCGCGTCCGAGGTCGATGTGCAGGGAGGTGCGAAGAAGGCTGTTAAGTTCAACACCACTCCCCTCATGTCCACATACCTGGTGGCTTTCATCGTGGGCCATCTTAACTACATCGAGACGAAGGACTTTCGTGTCCCCATCCGTGTCTATGCCACTCCGGACCAGGACATTGAACACGGCCGCTTCTCTCTGGATCTTGCCGCGCGTACCCTGGCTTTCTACGAGAAGGCTTTCGACAGCGAGTTCCCGCTACCCAAGATGGATATGGTGGCTGTGCCCGATTTCAGCGCTGGAGCCATGGAGAACTGGGGTCTGATTACTTACCGAATCGTTGATGTCCTGTTGGACGAGAAGAACAGCGGTGCCTCTCGCAAGGAACGCATTGCGGAGACTGTGCAGCACGAGTTGGCCCATCAGTGGTTCGGAAACTTGGTCACCATGGACTTCTGGGATGGTCTCTGGCTCAACGAGGGTTTTGCTACCTGGATGTCGTGGTACTCGTGCAACAGCTTCTACCCCGAGTGGAAGGTCTGGCAGACTTATGTCATCGACAACCTGCAGAGTGCTCTCTCTCTTGACTCGCTGCGCAGCAGCCACCCCATCGAGGTTCCCGTGAAACGTGCCGATGAAATCAACCAGATCTTCGATGCCATCTCCTACTCGAAGGGTTCCGCGGTTCTCCGTATGATCTCCAAGTACATGGGAGAGGACGTCTTCCTTCAGGGTGTGCGTAATTATATCAAGAAGCACGCCTATGGAAACACCCAGACTGGTGATTTGTGGTCCGCTCTCGCCGACGCCAGTGGCAAGCCGGTCGAGCAGGTCATGGATATCTGGACCAAGAATGTCGGTTTCCCTGTCGTCTCTGTCACGGAGAACGCGAATGCTTCATCCATCAAGCTGAAGCAGAACCGTTTCCTGCGTACCGGCGATGTCCGGCCCGAGGAAGACACAACACTATACCCCGTTATGCTGGGTTTGCGTACCAAGGAGGGTATCGATGAGGACACTCTGCTCAGTGAGCGCGAGGGCGAGTTCAAGGTGCCCGATCTTGACTTCTTCAAGCTCAATGCTGACCACTCCGCCATTTACCGCACTTCCTACACGCCCGAGCGGCTGACCAAGCTTGGAGAAGCCGCCAAGAAGGGACTTCTGACTGTCGAGGATCGTGCGGGTATGATCGCCGATGCTGGTGCTCTGGCCGCATCTGGATACCAGAGCACTTCTGGCTTGCTGTCTCTCTTGAAGGGCTTCGACAGTGAGGCTGAGTTCGTCGTATGGAACGAGATCTTGACCCGCATCGGTACCCTGAGAGCCGCCTGGCTCTTTGAGGACTCCCAGGCCAAGGACGCTCTCAAGGCGTTCCAGCGCTCTCTTGTCAGCTCCAAGGCCCACGAGCTCGGCTGGGAGTTCTCCGACGAGGACGGCCACATCCTGCAACAGTTCAAGGCTCTGATGTTCGGCAGCGCCGGCATGGCCGAGGACCCCGTTGTCATCAAGGCTGCGCAGGATATGTTCCAGCGCTTCGCTGCCGGTGACCTGAGCGCCATCCACCCCAACATCCGCGGCAGCGTCTTCTCGATCGTCCTCAAGCACGGTGGAGAGAAGGAGTACAACGTCGTTTATGACCGTTTCCGCAACGCCTCGACTTCCGACGAGAAGACTACCGCCTTGCGCTGCCTTGGCTCCGCCGAGGACCCGGCTCTCATTCAGCGTACTCTGGGTCTGGCCAGCAGCGACGAAGTCAAGAACCAGGACATCTACATGCCTCTTGGCGGTCTCCGTGGCTCCACTGCCGCCATTGAGGCCCGCTGGGATTGGTTGAAGACCAACTGGGATGCTATCTACAAGCGTCTGCCTCCCGGACTGGGTATGCTGGGCACTGTCGTCCAGCTCTGCACTGCCAGCTTCTGCACCGAGGAGCAGCTGAAGGATGCGCAGGCCTTCTTCGAGAACAAGGACACCAAGGTAAGTCTATTTCCCAACTCCTGCTATTTTGTTCAATTACTGATTCAGCGATCTAGGGCTACGACCGTGCTGTCGAGCAGAGTCTGGACGCCATCCGCGCCAAGGTGCAATGGCTGAAGCGCGACCGCGGCGATGTGGCAGACTGGCTCAAGTCGAATGGGTACCTCCGGGATGGAAAGCTGTAATTGACTCAATCCGCTTAGATATATACCAAAGATTAATTTTTTAAGGCATGCCTGGAATTTTGAGCAGGCAGACTAGAAACGTATAGAAAGAAATGGTCCGAATAGTAGATTATAGTCCTACCATTACGCTGAGCAGAGAGTTTGGGGATGTCGTCTTAAGCACAGCAGCAGCAGGGCGGTGGGAAAAATCCTCCTCTTCTCATCTTATCATCTCATATGGATACAGATACAAAAATGTCAATTATCATAAAAGGGTATACAACACAAAAAAAACCAGTCTAATCTCATTTTATTGCCAGGCGCCCTTGTCCCTGAACCCGGAGCTCTCGTCGCTCTTCTTCGCGTACCCCCGGGTCGGCTTGGACTGCGCGGCCTCATGCTTGCGCAGCTCCTCGGGGACCCGCGAGATAGGCGATTTCATGAGCATTTGCTTGAGGTCGTACCTGGAACGCGTAGTTAGTGGGATGGTTCAAAAAGGGTGTTTGGGGCCAGCTAGATTTGAGGGTGGTAGGAGGGAGTGGAAAGGGAAAACATACATGACATCGGCATCCTCATTGCCTAGGAAAGTGATGGCCACACCGCTCTTCCCGGCACGGCCGGTACGGCCGATACGATGGGTGTAGCTCTCGATGGAGGTGGCCATGTTGAAGTTGACGACGAGACTGACATCGGGGACATCGATACCACGGCCAGCGAGGTCGGTGGCGACGAGGACGTCGGTGGAGCCGTTGCGGACGGAGGCGAGGGCGGCCTCACGCTGATCCTGGGTCTTGCTTCCGTGCAGGGTGACGGAGGAGAAGCCCATGTGTTTGATTTCGCGGGCGATGGCGTCGCAGTTGCGCTTGATGTTGACGAAGACGATGATGGGCGGCCGGAACTCGCCCGAGGACAGGATGTCCGCGAGGCGCTTCTTGCGCTTGTCCTCGCCGGCGATCAGCTCGACGCGCTGCTCGACCGTGTCGACGGCCTCGCCGGCGCTGCCGATGGTCACGATCGCGGGCCGCCGCAGGTACTTGCGCGCGATGCGCTCGACCGCCGACGGCATCGTCGCCGTGTACATCATGGTCTGGCGGTAGCGGTGGGAGCGCATGGCGGCCGAGTTCTCGGCCTCGTCGGAGTCGGGCTTTTCGTTGGTCACGGGGAGAGCGTCGAGGATCTTGTTGACTGGTTCTTCGAAGCCGAGGTCGATCATCCGGTCGGCTTCGTCCATGATGATGTAGCAGCACTGGCTGAGAACGAGGATGCGGCGTTCGATGCAGTCGACGAGACGGCCGGGCGTAGCGATGATGATCTCGGCGCCGTTACGGAGGCTGTAGGCTTGCTCTTCGAGCGAGTGACCACCGACGATACTCACGACGTTGAAGCCGAGTGGCTGTGTGAACTTCTTGGCCTCGATCTCGATCTGCTGCGCCAGTTCACGGGTCGGGGCCAGGACGATCGCGTAGGGACCGTCGTTCTTCCGCCATTCGAATTCGTCGATGCGGGGAAGCTCCGCAATGTATACCAGGAGGGGAAGCAGGAAGGACGCCGTCTTACCCGAACCCGTAACGGCTACACCGATGAGATCGCGCGACTGCAGAGCGATGGGGATCGCCGCCCGCTGGATAGGCGTTGGCTCTTTGTAGCCCACCCGATCCACAAGCTCCAGCAGTCGCTTGGGAAGCCCGGACTCCTCCCACGACCGCATGGGGTTCGGCACGCTCCCACCCTTGGTACTGATGTTGAAGTCTTCCTTGAAGATACGCCAGTCTCGCTCGCGCATGTGCTCCAGTTTTTTCTCGCTCCAGTGCTTGTCAAGCTGATTCCGGGTGCTCTCCTCCCGCCGCCGTTTCTCCATCTCCAGCATCTCTCGGGCTCTGATGCTCCCAGCTTCCTGGTCCCGATCCTCCAAGGCCCGCGCATACTTCTTCGCCAGCGAGTCCGCCACATCGTCTCCAAAGCCGGCCAGCCGGCCCCGGCCGTAGAAGTTGGCTTCGTGCCGGTGCTGGTACAACGGGTTATAGTCCCCGCTCGTATCCTCCTCGGCGTTCCACTCGAAATTAAACTTCCGGTCCGTCGTCCGCTTGCGTTTCTTCTTCGCGGAGAAATTTGACGTCTTCTCCTCCCCCATGTACCGCTGCTTGATCAAAGCCACCTGTGCCACAGTCTCGTCCTCCTCGGCTTGCCGCTTGCTGTCGCCTTTCGAATCTGTAAGACTGAACGACATCGGCTTGGGCGGCGCGGGGGGCGTCATATCGTAGTTCTTGTTGCGCGTCGCCGCAGGGCCAGACCGGGCGGGGGCCTCTGTGTTGCGCATAGCTCGCGGACCGGTAGGGATGACCCGTTTATCGCTGTTGGGCCGCTCCGGGTACACCGGTGTTGACTGCGCGCTGCTGCTGTCCGCACCGTTGGCGGTGCGCTCGGTCTTCAACCGGCGGTCTGCGTCTACCTCCTTCGCACGTTTCTCCAACGCCAGCCTCTCACGCTCGGCTCTCGACAGGAATTTAGGCTATGAACCAGATTAAGCCAGCGTTAGCAATATGCCCCAAACCACCCAGTCTAATTGTTACTCAACACCAAATCTCGGAGGCGAAAAAAAAAAAAAAAAGAGACTCACCTTAGCCGCTGCTGCATCAGCCTCTCTCTTCTTCCGTACGAGTTCCTCCACACTTAATGGAGTCGCTGCTGCGCGTTTGGCGCCCCATCCTGCCTTCTTCTTCTTCTCTAAAGGTGGAGCTGGAATCGCATCTTCGGGCGGCGGAGGAGGCGCGGACGTGTCTGGGGGGGGAGGGGGAGCGGCGGAATCCTCTGGAGGTGGTGGAGGGGGCGTGGGAGGTCGTTCAAAAGGCTCGGGAGGAGGCATGGTAGCCGGCGCTTCCGCTGGGCCGTTCGAAATGAAACCATCCATGGTGGTTGTCTGAAACTTGGTGCAGGATGCTGGTTCGGGCTCATTGATTGAGAGGCGGATCTCGAATTTCTACGGAAAAGCATAGAAGCTTGATGCGCAGTCACGTGGGTCGGGTGACATACCGCCATCATATGATTTTAGATACAAAAGCGTGGGCAGTATTTAAAGTATTTGGCATTGCTATCTGGCCATTAAAGTACACAATTGAAAACGATGTCCAAATCCATAATTCCCACCCAATCAACCGGCATGATATCATTCGAAGAGAAGTTAGAGAAGCAGGCAATCCTCTTTGCCGGGAGGACCTCTCTTCAGCCTTCCATCTGGCGAGTCGCTACTGCTGGCAAGAATCCAGCAATGAAAAAATTGTTCTACAAACGGAAATGACCCTAACCGAAGGCACACGAAGAAGAAAAATTATCGGTAAGGAACCGGTTGAGATGGAGACTACCCATGTCCCTGGTCTGTTAGTGTCTTCTGCTGTTTGCTGCAGGTCAGCTAGGCACTTGCACCACCATTGACCGGAGTCTGTTGATGGTAGGCATAGGGATTAGCTGCTGGAGAACCGGCAGGTGCAGCGGTAGCAGCAGCAGGATCAACAGCCGGCGTTGCCTGGCTACCGTTTGGTGAAGCCTGCTCCGCGCCGCCGGTCTTGGCATGGGCGACAGAGGCGGGACCATGAACCTCACGATCGAGAGTCATGTACTCCTTCGCCGCGTCTTTGGTTCCTCGCTCAAGCAAATAGACCATGTAAATCTGGACGAGGTCCCTCACGACATCGGACGGAAGCGTACTCTTCGAGCGAATGTCGCCGACGACCTGCTTGATCCGGTCGTATTGAACAGTCTCGGTCGAAGCACTGGTGGGCTGCTCTACCTCGAACATGAGATAGTTTGTCCAGAACGGGCGGCTGTCCAGGTAGTACTGTTGGTTCTTCTGGAACACTTGGCGAGCATCCTCTGCCGAGCCCTTGATCTTCCACAAAAGGCGTGCCCACTCCGCAACAAGCGACGCCTTAGTCGCAAGATCTGTCTGAGGCGAGTCTAATTGGCTCTTATAGACCTCAATTGCAGCCTCGAGACCGCCATGGCGACGGGAGGTGTTGGCCAGAGAAACAATGGTCTCAACATGATTAGGTAAATTGATAAGAATTGCTTCGTGGATGTCCTTGGCCACGTCGACGCGACCTGCCATCTCTTCGAAATATGCGTATTGTAGGCGAATGGCAGGGTTTGCAATTGGGACATAGAAGCAGCTTGCGCGTTGATAGATGTTCCGCACCTCTTCCTCTTTTCCAGCCTGAGCGGACATCCATCTGGCGTATCGCTGCCAGAATTCATCATAGTGGGCACATGTGACAAGGCACCGCTCGTACAGGAATTGAGTTCTGGAATAGGACCCTTCAGACTCTTCGAAATCCAGATATTTCTTCCAGTTGGTCAGTTGGCCCTCATCCAGTTCCGTCACATGGAAGTATGGGCGCTTGATTTCCGACTCATAGGTCCACCGTTTGGTAGTCTCCGTTTGGGTCTTGGAGAAGATTTCGAGATGGTAAGCATCGACGCGAAGTCTGAGATCTCTTTCAATCTCAGCCTCGGCCTTTGCACCAGGTGGTACCTGTCCAGCGGCGACCTCTAGCTCAGCACGGAATTGAGACAAAGTTCCTGAAGGTGCAAGGTCTGCCACGGGTCTGGTTTGCGCGAGTTGGCGGTATCTCTCAAAATAACGAGCATATTGATGCATCGGGATATGAATAACCCGGCCCAAAATGTCGAAAATTTTGTCAAAAGCCTCGACTCGCTCCTCGAACTCGATGTATTTGTCCCAGAAAGGATGTGCTAGGAAGTCTAGCCCAACGCTATTCGCTCCTCGCTCGAAGAGCCTGGAAAGAAGAAAAATTAGCACAATCATCCGTGCAACGCATTCTGGGCAAGGGGTCAGAGGAGGGTGCTGGGAAAAGAAGGGAAATGGCAAGGATGGCAAACATCAACTTTAGATTTTCAGTGCGTGAGCCCAAACAATTGAACGACTAGGATGATGACTGTGGTTTCCCTGTGCATCGTGCGGACTGAAACAACCTCTGAACAGGATGACTGGTTCAGGGTGCCCGTGCAAAAAAAGAGTGGTGCTTGAATTCAAATCATCTTTCTTCTTTCACCAAGGGAGAGGAAACAGCCTGAAATAGCCAAGGGTGAGAAGTAACTTCAGTTGAACCTGGGTCAGGTGACGATCTCACCCATAATTGAGGAAATCGTTGCCAGTGGAGCATTTCATCAAGCGTATTCGGCACCAGTTTCAAGGTCCGCGCTGCGTTGGTCACGGTTACAGGGGAGGAAAGAAAAGCAGCTTCAGTCTACTTACTCTCGAATGATGTCGGCATCATGGGAAGTCTCGGCCTTGAAGGAGCAGTAGTTGGTCCACAGATCGACGGAGGATGAAATGCTAGCGATGCCTCGTTCGTAGACCTGTGATAAAACATGCGTGTTAATTCCAACAGGCGAGTGTGAACTGGGTAGGACTTCTCTCACCATCTCTGCTGCTTCAGTACCCGTGATGGAGAACTCCAGGTCGGCATATTTCTTCCAATATCCGAATAATAACGGGAATTTCGCTAGGAAGCGATCGTAGACATTTCTCACAGTCGTGATGGCCTGTGGGTTCGAGTTGCGGTTGATACCACCCTCCAGCGCCTCAGCTGCGCGGGCGAGTTTCTCCCATGTCTCGAAGTTGTCGGGATCGTCAACCTATTCGCGGTGAATCTGTCAGCTTTGACGAGTAAAGACGCGCTCCAAACGCGCCAGATCAGAGAATAACTGTACCAGCTCAGTCTCCAGCTTTCTCAACTCCGTGTTCTCCTCTTCGGAACCTCCATAGTTGTAGTCCGCCATGATGGCAGTCACTCAGAGAGCAATCAGCGCGGAGAGTCACAGCGACAAAAAGTATTATGCAGAAGATGGAGATATTAAGAATAAATGCGCAAGCAGAAAGGAAGATGGAGTGGCGCAAAACGATCCAAGCAAGAGGTTGTCGTGGGAGACGCAGGAACTTCAACGATGGTCGACGAGAGCTCACCAGCCACATAGACTTGCCAAGCCCCATCCCTGATGTGGCTTAGCGTGCAGCCTCCGGGAATTTCTGAAAGTTCCCATCAAAAGCAAAGCAATACCTTAGATTCTCAATCGCAGCCCAGCTCTTTCTACGTTAATCGTCCGATTATTTTCTCATCAGATTCCCCCCGCCACCCCCGGGACTCTGCCAAATAGACAAACTCCTCACCATGGCTACCACCACAGCAGCCACCGACATGGTGAGCAAGCTGCCAATCCGCCTACGCAACTTCTTTGCCCGCTACCCTCCGCAATTCTACTCCGCGGCCGTCCGCCCTGCACCTTCTGAGCCAGCAGCAGCGGCAGCAGCAGCAGCACCCGCGTCCCAGGAACCGCTGCCCTCGCCATACACGCCCAACCGCGACGCCAAGGGCCACAAGAAACCGGACCCGACCGCCTTCTCCCCCTCCAAAGCGCTCCTGTACTCAAGCCCGGAACACCCCAACCCGTTCCTGCCTCGCAAGAACTTCCGCACGGGCAAGTGGATCAGCCCGCCCGTCGGGCTCCGCAGACAGGCGGAGCTGGTCAAGCTGGCGGCGAAGTATAACGTGGAGGCGCTGCTGCCGCCGGGCCGCAAGTCGACCGAGTTCAAGGAGACGAGGCGTGCGGAGCGCGGCCTGCAGATCAAGGGTACGGGTATTGGGCAGAAGGTGAAGGGTCACAAGTGGGAGCGGACGATGGAGGCGCGTCTGGAGGACAGGCGCAAGGCGATGATGGAGATGCCGGAGATGATCCGGTTGTGGAAGCAGGTAAGCAATTGCTGGTTTCTTTTCTTAGGGGTTGTGGTTTGTTGTGATTTTGGAGCTAATTTGGGGGGTGTTTTTTTTTTTTTACAGAGAGGTCATGGTCGTGGCTGGAGGCAGTGGCCCAAGAGGTGAACGGGCTGCTATATCAACATCTTTGCTATTGCACGGGATATCTTGTCGCGTCTGTTTTGTTTGCCGGTCCTCGTCTCGCACGGCTTGGGCTGAGAAGTACACATGGATCATTGAAGGGGTTTGGGACGGGAGTTTTGTTACCTTATCTACTGTACAAATAGATGTTTCTCATAAAATTGGACAAACTGCATTCTACATGTTACTGCTTTGCGCATTCGTCTGAATCTAATCCATGGTGTTCTTCCTATATCTATTTAGACCTATAACCGGTCTTCAATTTGTGCATATAGCAAAGGAACCAATTGGTATCACAGGACATGAAAAAAATCAATTGAACGTATATATAAAGTGTACCCAAAAAGCCCACAACCCAAAAATACAACCGATGCACGTAAAAATCATTCCTCATGCGTATAAGATGGCGTAACCGTATCACCAACCATGAGCGTCCAGCGCTCTGTTGTATCATGCTCGTCCCGTGTAACCTCAGATGAAGCCAGAGAGGCATGTCTCCCGAACACAATCTTGCCATTGATCTTCCTAGTCTTCGCCAGCGTCGAGAAAGGCTCGTCGCGGCGCACACCCGTGAATTGGTCAATGCATACCATCGAGCACCGTTGACATGCCCCAAGGACATCGAGCTGAAGATGTTCGGGCCCGATCTTCAGTGACTCCCAGTGGTCCTCGACGTATGGCGACTCCACCCGGGGCAGCTGGGTGAAGCTCTCCGCGACGACGATATTGGCGCGGAAGACGTCTGCGGCCACGGCTCTGCTGCTACTGCTACCTTCCGCTCGCTTCTTCTTCTTCTGGTTGGCTTTGATATTCTCGTTCAGGTAGTTGACCGACGAGCGCGAGATGAGCAGGATCGGGCTCTCGTTGGATAGAAGGATGGGGTTTCGTTCGGGGGCGCTAGACGGAGATGAATCCTGTGGAAAGGAACCGGGCATCACAAACTTCCTCAGATACTGTTTCCAGGCCCCAGAAGGCCTCTTGGGCGGGGAGAATCTGGATGAAGACTGCGGCGGGAAACGTGCGAGAGTGCACGGTACCCCGAGAAACTCAGAGAAGAACCTTGACACCGAGGGAGATGAATATGCCTGTACGACCACTTGGTCACCGCAGACAGTGGAGGATTTTGATGACCGCTGGCATATCGATGTCGATACCAAGTTTGTGTCTTCACGGTCTAGAGAGACTTCCAACACTTGCTGGTCTGAAGAGGTCAACTCTCCGCAGGTGATGCGGAGTACGTTGCGATCCAAGTCGACAAACGGCCGGATAAGCGCCATGCGAGGATATTTTTTTTGGTTCAGAGTAGCACCTGTGCCCTGGTGGACAAGACACCATTCTCGATCCCAAGCGAGGCCCTCCCTTCTGATCTCCCAGCGCTTCCCATCAGGGACCCTGAATGCTCCGCAGCTCTTGATCGGGTATACGGAAAGACTTTCAATATAGAAGCGAGGTTGTTGAACGGGAATGCTTGGAACGGGGGTAATCAGAGATTCCACAGCCGCCGCCCGCTCGACATAGAACTCCTCGACAAATTGAATAACGGTGTTGATATCCGCCAGATTGGTCATTGCTCCCAGGCTGAGTCTCAAAACGCCCGTCGGCCGCCCATCCATGACGTCGTGATCATCTCCACATCGCAAACCGGCCGAGAACTGCTGAAGCAAGTCGGCGCCTGTCCATCCCAGGCTCCCTGATGTTCCTCCTGGGTTGCAAAGGGAGCCGGATCTGAATTGAATATTCTTGACAGTTGCAAGGCGTTCGACTTCCGACTTCCCAATCCATGCTCCGTGGCTATTGCGCAGGTTGAAGGCAATGATTGGACCCTGCGAGGCAGCCTTGTTGTAGTCTGAGAACGGGTTTGTATATAGCTGACAGACTCTCTCCCCGTTGGAATGTTTCAAAGCGGCTAACTTGTCATACAGACGCTTTGCCAGGAACCGTGTGTGAGACGAGACATTCTCCATGGAACCAAAAAGACGCCGGTGGGTCGCGAATGCCGAGTCCAGGGCAATGATACTGTGGAACGGAAGAGTCCCATCTTCCAACCGATCATGGATTGACGACTGCTTCTTTGCATGCCACTGCATCTCCCGAGTCAGGACCATATCTACCGTCCCTCCTCCAAAAAACCGGCGCTGCTCGAAAATATGCCCGGCGCTTTTCCGAACAATCAGCGCACCCAGATCCGGGAAGCCGAAGATCTTGTAAAAACTGAGCACAGTGAAGTCAGGCGCGGCGGCTGCATCACTCAAATCTAACGGAGAGGTCGAAACCAGAGACGCCGCATCAAGCAGAGTGTAGGTGTTCCCCCCCGCAGCCTCGCTCCGCCTGCGAATCGTTTCGCACCATGACAGAGGCAGACGGCGCCCGTTCAGATTGGACTGTGCCGGATACGCAAACAGATTGAGCGATTCCGGACCCGCCTCGCGCAGGGACTGGATCCAGCCCTCCACTTCCTCATCCGACGAGAAACACCGATTACCCTTGGCTGCAAGTTCCCGGGCCCCGACAAGACTGGTATGGGCATCCACATGGTACCCATACCAGAACCCTTGTCTTGAATCCCGCATCGCGTCCGCGACTAGCTTGATGGCCGCCGTGGCGTTGGCCACGAACACCAGATCAAAATCGTCCGGGTCCGCTTTAAAGAAACGAAGGGCCCGCAGACGTACATCATCCACACGCCGGGTGGACAGCTGTGACGATGCGGACATGGAATGGGGGTTCCCGAAGAGGTTCGAGGTCAGGTCTCGGGAGAATGCTTCGATCAGTGACTTTGCGTATAGGGTGGTTCCCGCATGATCAAGGTATGTTGTATCTGCAGTATCACAGCGGTACAGTCAGTGGATGGTCATGGCAACTTAAGACAGGAGGAGCAGACGCACCTTTGAGCTGCGGATACTCCCGCTCTCTGATGATATCCACATCCTCCGAATATCCTCGACCATACTCGAGGATATCTTCGCCTTGGGTCTTGACTCCCACCATACTGGTGTCTTCGGGTCACATGTAGTGCCCGATCTCCAAGAAATCCGTTCCCAGGAAGTTTCGCAACTGTTGGGAGTTGCGCGGCAGAGGGGAGTATAGGGTGGCGACAATCCGGATGTTCACCCAAACAACAGCAAAATATATCAAGCCAAAACGTTCAACGGATATCAAAGAATAGCAGGACAAATATGAATATCTCACAGCGCGGTCAGTCGAAACCCAAAATGCAACCCTCGATACCTAGATAAGACAAGTTATCGGAGGTGACCGATGGCAAGCCAGAAGTATCCCACTTCAACGAGCAGGAAATCGACGAGGCACACATCGCTGTGCCCTTTATATACTTGGCTTTCAGCTATGCTCAGATGCCTGTTGGGATGACAATGACAATGACGATGACTACTGCTAGACCAGACGAGGAATGCAAGCTGCGTGCTCAGCCCAAGTGTGATAAGACTCCGACTTCCCAAGTGGATGATCCAACCAACGTTTCTTTCCCCACACTTGCTCATGGTTGGCCGAGGATAAAACTATGGGAACAATAATCCAACAATGGGAACAACTAACGAATGAGGCCCAGGGCGGAGGCCACCGACAGCGTGGCATTAAGCACTCATCACCAAATCTTCTCCTACAGGAAGACACGGAGGTGGTAAAGAACGTAAAGAACGTAAAGAACAGAGAACCATCCGTTAAACACACGCATTAAACCCGGTATCGGGATTTCGAGTTTCTTTGTTCCTTTTTGTTGCCCTGTTCAAAATACCGTACCTAATTAATACCTCCATTACTTACTTAGTCTGTTGCACTACTACTGTGCACACCGAATCCCCACTTATCATAGATAGATAGTTCATGCAAGTGTCTGATAGTACAAGAGTAGTCGCAGTTGTATATCTCAAACTTTCGACGGAGTAGTCTAATTATCACCACAACGGGTCTCACGGCGGCTACGTTCTCATCATCACTGCCACCCTTGCTGAGAGAAAGCTGAGGGCCATCACATTGTCTTCGCTAAGCACCTCTTCCCCCCCCGTATCCGCAAATAGGAATGCTCTTCCTCCGGTGATGACTGGGTGCAGGCATGTCCCTTGTCCAAGTTTGCCTCCCTGGACGGTCGACCAAAAAAAGAAAGAAAAAAGAAGAAGAAACCCTTTGAGGGCTTGAACAAGTCCAGGATAAGTTTTCAACGCAGGAGTCCTTCCCATTCGAAACGTAATCACACCCCCCGCCGGCGATGCAGCTAAAACTACGGAGTAAACAGTCAGATCACGCGTCACTAGGTACGTGGCGTTGCTCAGGGCCAGCCATAGCCATTCGTTACCATCTTGACCAGACTGAGAGCGATGAAACGGCGATACAGGGACATGGGATGCAGGCAACGACCACGGCCTCAGCAGGTACGGGTTTAGAGGACTTCAGGTGTGGTTCCCGGTTCCCAGCTCCCTCGTCAGATCCAAATCTTGGTTGAGAGACTCGTGATTCATCTTGCATGCGGCCGATCCTGTCAAGTAAGATTCTTAAGAGGGCATCATTGGCGCGGTGGAATTCAAATAGTAGCATTAGTCTGGCGTATGCAGGCACGGACGGAGACCGAAATGATGAGACTCAATATTCAAGGACCAGAAAGCAGCTGAAGCGCTGAACAAGATACAAATTTAGAAAAAAAATAAAATAAAAAACCTAAAGCGCTACATGACTCGTCAATTCCAAATCATCGCGAGAAAAAAAATCCAATATCGTGCCAGGCATTCATACGTAAGATTTGGGCAGCTGTGTAGATCAATCCCAGCGCCTCCTGTCAGCCGAGATGATATTCCCGAAGCAAGACCAAAGACCTCAGCTAGAAGCGACCGGTCTGCCCGAGTTCTCTACTCTCTTCTCTTCTCATTTCCTTTTTCAATCCGTTCCCATTTCCTGTTGCGAAGTGCGCAGCCCATCTTTCGTTTTCATATTCGTATAAAGCACCCCGAACGTTTTCCATAAAATCATTCATTAATCGTGAATTATCGTCATCATTCTCATGATATCCCTGGCACCTCAAACAACATAGTGCTGCTGGCTCCTCGACGAGCTACGGTGCCGGTGCCCATGGCCCCTGCGGCTGCTATGGCTGCGCCGACGCACCGTCGTCGTCTCCTTGACCACAACTTCCCTGTTTCCCTTATACAGGAAGAGCGCCAGGATGGCCGTCCAGAAGAAGAACACCGTCTCCATGATGCCTAGCGCAAAGCAGCTCTTCAGCATTGCGCAGGTCTTGTTGACGTCGAGAGACAGCGGGTTGCTGCCCTCGTACCCATAGTACCCGAAGGGGCCCAGCGAGATCCAGACAGAGCCGGCGTTCCAGTGAGCGCAGTCGGCCTTTGCGATGAAGCGCAGCTGGTAGACTCCGGCGATGAAGGCGCCGAAGAAGAGGAGGTCGACGAAGGCGACGAAGATGGCAGAGCGCTTGGTGGTCGAGTGTCGGATGAGGGTGTCAAAGCACCAGAAAACCGCAATGACACTGACGATGAAGAGCACCAGGATGTACGGCGGTGTAATCTGATTTGCTTTGAGATAACCGTCGACGAAGTAGGCCTGCGCCATATGTTAGTCATGCATTCCAGGCGGAGGAAACTGTAGCTGTCCGATAGGACCCAACTATAGAAAGTATAGACTAACCATCATTCCAATGATGGGGATCAAGAAGACGATCTCCACCAAACGGTTGAAGATGAAAAACAGACTTCCAATCATCGTGTCTACTTGTTTGTTTTTTCCGCTAGATTTTCCAAGTACTCTGTATGTAAATCCAGTTGATTTGAGGTATGTGAGACGTCGAGAGATGTGGAGACAATGCACTTTGCGATGAAACTCAAAGTCAACGAGTTCGCTAGAGATTCATGCCCGAGCAGGTCAAGAAAGAAGAATAGGAAGCACAGGTTCGAGGTTCTCGTAGTCGTATCCGACTCCCCTTGCGTTAACCTGTATACTCGACTCCACTGGTGCTTTGGTGTGGTACGGGGAGGCTTGGAGCAAGTGTCAACAAACCGGAACGCACGAAGGCGAGATCAGGAAGATATGCATGCAAGAATGCAGTCGAACGTGGAATCCAGGAACTGGATAAGTACAAACCACAGAGAAGAAAAAGGAAAGGGTACAAGGGGGAGAAGGTCCCTCGGCGAGGATGATGATGATGGAGTACGATGAATGGGGAGGCTGGGCGACTCAGATAGCGAAATGGCGGGGTGGCTGGGCAACTCAGCATCGTGAGAGCTCATCGACAGCACACGTGGGATGTAGCGGTACCTGGGTGCTTCGGAGCTAAGATATTGTTTCCCAACGATCGAATGGGAAATTATCATGCTGGTATTGTGCCCTTCAGCTCGATATCCCGTTCTTCAGCACTGATGTCCAAGTTCCATGCATTTATCCGTGCCTGAGTTGAGATCCACTGTAGGGTCGGGCGCCCACGAGGATCTAGCCATGGGTGATCTTTAGCTTATTTTCAAAGGTACCTGGCCAGATCCCCAGGAAAAGTAACAGAATAATGTAAATAGTAGATGGGATATCGTTATTGATTTCAAGAAAGGAACGCAGTGACATCAGTGAGTAGTTGGATGTATATTTTATGTGACCAGCACCCACAGGACTCTGGTCTTATGAGCTGTCGATAAAAGCAAAGAGGACAGACTTCCTGCCAGCTCGTACAGTAAAAAGGCCTTTGTACTCTTCCATGCCAGTTATGACCATTGGTATAAGCTTCTATCAGACAGTGACAGTGAAATATGTTAACAACAAAAACAAAACCAAAAAAAAAAAAAAAAGAGTACAAGCCTCAGAGCATTTCCATATTCAACACATATTCATCAATCATGGCGGAGGGCGGATATTCTACAGATGGCTGGCAGTCTATGAGCCAGAACAAGTCAGTATCTACGATTCGTATCGAATTCAAAACTCAAGTTTCACATATCCTGAAACCGTAGATCCGCTGGGGTTCAATGCTCTTCTCTCCCCGCATGGGAAGTCACCGCTTCTGGCGATGCATGGAGAGCGCTGACACCCGGTATCACGGGCTGTGTCTGAGATTGGTACGACGTGTTGACCTCGTATCTCGGGAGGTCACCGCCCACTCCTGGGTTCTGTGTGCGAGCATAGCCATGCTGCATCTCGTATCCATCGGCGACATCTTCGCTTGAAGATGACCATTCTCCATCATCGTGTCGTCGTCGGTTGTACACGTTTGACGTGTATGGATTGGCTGACGCAAGATACGTCGGCGAGACTCGTGCGGGGATGCTTGTTTCGGGTGCGCCGGCTCCATTCATTCTCTCTTCGTCCGGGTTTCGAAGAGCAGTGATGCTCTCGTCGTAGCTTCCGAGACGCTCAGCGTTGCTGGGAATTACAGGGTCCGTGCCCCAGCTTCGAATGGGATATGCGCGGCCTTTCTTCCACGGCTCGGAGATGGGCGGGAAGTACTGCCGGTAGGAGATATAAGCGCAGACTACACCGAGCAGTGATCCAGTGATCACGTCGAAAGGATGGTGTCTTGCATCCATGATCCGCGAGACCGCAATAAGTGTCGCGCCAAGGCAAGGAATGATTATGATGATGGCTTTCCACACTTCGCCTTTGTTGTCCATGAAATGTAGCTTCCCACACAACCAGAGAGTCAGATAGAACAATCCTGCAAACGATGCTGATTGAATGTCTGGTTAGTAACCTATACTGCTGGATATGACACGGACACCGAAGTAAAACTCACAGCTACTATGGCCTAGAAATCAATCAGCAATATTCTAAGAGACAACCGAACGAGAGAACACATACCGGACGGCCACGAACGGAATCCATCCTTGATAAGCACGGGGTCGCCCGTGCAGATAGTCGAATTAGATAATCCGGGAATCAGATCCACGCTACCAGGCCGAGGCTGGCACCGGTCAATCAAATCCGGCCGCGGCTTTCCACAGGCAGTCTTCAGCGTCTGGGTAATCAGAAACGCAAGGCCCTGCGAGAGCAAAAGGCCGAGAAATCCGCAGTTGAACTCCCACAAACGATCCTTCCACCGGTATGGCCCCAAGAACTTTCTCTTCCCGGACACAGGGTTTTGCGGTTTGTGATGTGAAAACAGACCGTCGATGAAGAGCGTATAGACCGCGATGATAACCAAGGGCGAAACGCCGGAGATGAGAAGGGCTTCTTGGATCGTGATGCGCTCATGGACGGCATAGGGGTATTGGATGGAGATGTTCCTCAGCGAGAAATGCTGGTGATAGGGTTCGATGGAGTCGACGATCCAGAAACCGACGATGCAAGCACTGCGACAGAGATGATGAGTTTGGGATCGCTTTGGATAGCGGGGATGGTAGGTACGAACATGAGAATCACATAGTCGACAATGTAACTGTTCCAGCAAAACACGCCGGTGTTAGCACAGGTCCATCCAACTCAACATCCACGGTTCCGACACTCACGAGATGACCACACGCGGCCGTAGCCGCCGCTTCGAGAACGGCAGTTTAGAAGGAAGATGATCCATCCTGCCTGACGCTAATGCTGGAACCCAAGACCATAAACAACAGAGTAGCAAGTCAAAGAAAGCCTCAAGAACAACTGAATCTCATGATTAGAGGCCCCGGTCTACACGAAAAGGGGAACAGAAGCATCCTGATCATCTGCTGGGTTGTGGACGCACTGAGTGTGGTACTGGTAGCCTATGGCTATTTCTTGGAGTTGGAGCACAGCGCAAACAACTTCTCCCGTTGTCTTGTTGTCCCCGTGGAAACAGATGATGCACCAAGAAAGAAACCCGCGATCCCGCGCGGCAGCGTCAATGAGAAGAGACACCGACAGTTAAAAGGGAAAAAAATGAACCCGAACAGAGAAAACAATTTCAAAGAAAAAGAGTTTGTCAGAGAGGATGAAATCATATTAATAGGCCCCTGCACAAGAAGAAACAACCATACCAAATAAAGGAAAAAATTAACCACAGGTGCTGCCACCTCAACAGCTAAGACTTGAAAGCGTGTGCTGTGGCTTGGATCGGCCCTGAAGACTGGCCATTCAGGCCTTGATGGAGACCCGGATTATGTGCTCTGGGCGTGTCTGGGCCTGTTGATGTATCTGCCTGCTATGCGCTCAATGAAAGGGCCCAAGGAAACCTGAGGGGATCCGCACTGGAGCCCTGGGACGGCCGGGCTATTCTGGGCGCCAAAGTCTAATAATCTCTAAGCCACCACAGTCCCAGTGCTCATTGTCCGTTTTGGATTCTTCACTCTTCATTCTGGATCTCTGGATGTCGTTTTATAGCCTGGTTTTATTGAGGATAGATATCTGTTGATCTACATATTTTGAACTACTATCTAGATAATCATAGTAAAAGATACTGTCAGAGGTGCCACTGTTCTACTTCAGAAGTACGCACCAGAGTTAAACATTCTTCAGCGGATTTGTCAGGTGCTTTGACTTTTGAATGAAACCTGAGGCACACAGCAGTGCCTGCCCTAGGCAGCACCATTCTTTGCGCGCTTACACTGTGGAATGGCTTGAAGAGTATACACTTGCAAGTAATAGATGGTTAGTGGGACTGTGTGGGAGGCCTGACAAAGTGACAAGGTTACCCTCGCTACTTTAAGTCTAGCTTTCAGCGAAGAACCCTGTCAGCGTCCCCTATTCGGTGTGAGGATAATGATATACGGAGTAGATATATCTCGGCGACACCGTAATATGCTCCACAATATAGATTTTCAAAGAGTCAAAAACATTTGGAAGCTTGGTTAAGCGTCGACTTGCAAAGCTCGGTTGCCTATTGACTATTATTGGAGGGAGGGGGAAAAATGGTACCTAGTTGAGTTTGTTTGAAACTTGATCGATTGTATATTGTACAATTCATATGCTATCATCCTATGTACTTAAAAAAAGACTATCCAGATTAAATAAAATAGCATCAAGATCCTTTGGGGTTTAGTCCCGTCATTCTGATGTACACCCGGTGTTCTGCATCAATTTGGGTTGGGAAAAGAAATGTGTCATCTCATCAATCAATAATAAAAAGCAATATTGTTCAAATGTTTGCCATGGGGTGCATCAGTCATGTTTCGCGTGATGTCTGATCGACTGATTTAGCAGACAGTGATGTACAGACCGAGACTAGAATTCCAATGTTAGCTTCTGAGATCCATTGGTGCAAGTTTGCAGAGAGAAAAAAGACACTTACGGAGAGGGGTTGTAGTCCTCGAAGAAGTTGAGCTCGGTGCTACCAGCGTTCTTCATTTCGAAGCCGACCGCTTGTCCAGCGGGGCACTCGAAGGTAGAGATGAGGTAAGAGTTGCCGGGCGAGACGGTGGTCACGCCGTAGTCCTTCTTGATACCAGGGGCGTTGCTGTAAGAGGTCTCGGCCTTGACAGCGGACTCGAGCATGGCGAAGTCGATCTTGCCGTCACCGCTGAAGCTGTAGGAAGAAGTCTCGAGATTCTCCTTCTTGGGGAACAAGAAGACGAGGCTGCAGGTCTTGCCGGCATCCGAGGAAGGAATGTCGAAGTTGAAGAAAGAGGTGATGGTAGACGAAACGGTGCCGTTGTACGAGGTGCCCGGGGCCTTGCTAGGGGCAGAAGAGTCGACAGGGACAATCAGGTGGGGGTATTCGTACTTGCCAGAGAGATCGGTGGGGCAGCTGGCGCTGGCAGACTGGGTAGCAGAGGGCTGGGGCTGAGAGCTGGAGCTGGGGGCACTCGAGGGCTGAGCACCACCGGAACCAGGGGCAGTGGAAGGTTGAGGAGCCTGACTAGGAGGAGCCGATGGCTGAGCGCCCGATCCAGCAGGGGTGGTCTCCGGGCAGTAGGTGGTCGTCATAGTCGTCTTGACGGTCGTCGTCGAGCTGGGAGCGCTGGACTCGGGCGCGGGGATGCTAGGGTCAACAGTGCTCGATTCGCCAGCGGAGCTGGTAGGGGTGACCGAGACAGTGGAGCTGTAGATGGCGGAGGAGCTGGAGCCTGAGTTGCCGCCAGCACCGGTGTTGGCACATGTGTCGGCTTTCAACTTGATGTCGGTGCAGCCAGTCACATCGGCGCTCTTAGTGGTGTACAGGTTCATTCCTCCATTCTGACCAGTGGCACAGGCGACGAAGTCCGTCTTTCCATTATAGACAAGCTCGCCCTGAGCGTTGATGGAGAAGCCAGTGGTGGGCTGAGCACCGGAGTCACACTGGAACTGGGTGGTAGGAGCTATCGAGGTGTGATTAGACTTATTCGTACTTGGGTTGCGTTGGAAGTGCATCACTTACGAGTCAGAATGCATCCACGTCCGTGAGCATCAATAATCCCTCCATCGGAGTTGATGCAGTACTCGCCCTCTGGGAGACCGCCATAGACACGGTTCTGTCCATCATCAAGCTGACCGATGTTGCCGGAGGCACCGCCCGATGCCGACAGGTGGAAGCAGCAGGTGTTGTCTCTGGTGACAAGAGCATTAGCTCCAGCAGCGAGAGCCGCGATGGTGGCGAAGTTCTTCATTCTGAGGAAGCGAACGGAAGATGAGGCCGCAAGATGCAGGGTAACGAATGGAAAAGAAGGCTTGATGTTGTTCTGATCAAGACCCTTTATTGATCTTTTCTCTGCTTTGAGTATAACAACAAATAAATTGAGAAGGGCGAAGAGTACCTGTTACTTATACAGTATGGTGGGTACTCTGTGAGCAGGGTCAGATATACCAGTGGTACCCCGACCAAGATAGGTCAACAACACCTCATACCTCCACACGAGGATCCAAAATAGAAACAAAGCATGGGCAGATGCCCTACATACAATGAGAATGGGCCATAGAAAAGAAAGGTGGGCCGGGCATTGACCAGTCCGAGGCATCATAACCATGTGAGAACATCGAGTAAACAAGCAGACCACTGCCCGAACACTGCCGGGGAGGCCTGGAAGCATCGGATAGCACAGGATATTGGATATGGACGACGTCATGAGTTATGACATGACTAGCGAGATCATTACATTATGGAGGAGCGATGAATGGCATCGGATTTCATGTTCCACCTTTCGATCCGAGAGACGAGTGGGCTACAACGGTGGCCATACAAAAAGAGGTATTCACTGTACTATCTCCTTTGCATTAGACATTACTGCAATGTATGAGCTAGCGAGTGGACCCAGTAGGACCCATCAGAGCCCATGAAAAGCATTGTCGTTGGCTGTGGAAAGTCTGCCCTGTTCAACCAGGCCTCAATGTACTCCGATATGCGGTTCAGCCAGCATCTTCAAGGCACAACTCCAGTGGCGACACCAGGGCTGATCCACGGAACTGCCACTACGCAAAATTGGTTGAGCTTGAGACAATAGAAACCTGCTGATGCGGCCTGGGGGACAAATGAAGCCATATCCATGGCTCTCTGCTGCTATTCATAATCTCCTATCAGCTTCTGAATGATAGATGCAGTGACCAAAGGATAGAGGGCCAAGGATAAAAAAAAAAAAAAAAAAAAAGGCACACACATTGACAACACGACAATTGGGCTACTGTACAGTTCTCAGAATCCGGAAATAAGTGGACACTTGCCCTTCCTGCACCCCATAACTAGTATCTTTTGACTGGTGAGGTGCCTTGCATCTAGTGAACGTCATGGATCCATGAGAGAGATCGTTGGGGTTGACTTAAGCTTCCAGAAAATGGCCACAAAGAGGGGCGGCGTCGACTGCCTTTTCCTAATGGTGTTTAGTCGCTTTTGCAACAGGCTATAGCCTATGAGGCTATGAGCAAGGGTAAAGGGTCCAAGCATCCGAGACAGCTGGAATCATGGATATTATGGCGAGTATGATTAGCTACTAATTGGATAGAGACCAAGGGTGGATTGCAAAAAGCTGGAACTGGGGGAGATGGGAAGGTGAATGGGTGAGACGATGGAGTACTCCGTAGATAGATACTCAATTCCCTAATGAAGGAATATGACGATGCCAATTGATTATTATCAACCGAGACACCAGTCTAAACGTAATGAATGACACTTGTTATGCATAGTACATTTCGTCTAGGTAATCAAATTATGATCGTTGTGGGCATCTTGAGTCCATCTCATCTGCTCGTTGGGTACTCAATAGGGACTAAACAACTCATCTTGTCGATCAACAGGGTGCCGCGTCATTGGGGATCCCATAGTTATCGTTCATCCGTCCAATATTCCTCTCAGAAGCAGGATATATTGCCATTCATGATGATAATAATAATATGAGCAAAAACAACAAACAAAAGCTCAGAAAAATTCCATCAGCCAGGCACCATCTTATTCCCCCTGATCCACCCAAGACACAGTACTCCGGTTTCCAGGCACCATCAGGTAAATATCTAGATCAGTTTGTATCGGGTTTGAATCGATTACTCGGCTTGGAATGGTCTGAAATTCTTGCCAGGCCCTTCGATTGATGCTACATTATTATTTTGTGGGTACACAGACTCACCAAGCTGGCTCCTGAGTCCTGAGGTTATGCCATCTCAACGATTCAAAATTTGAATTGACCATCTAAGACACTCCTACACCACGTCAACGTCACCCCGAACTGGATCGAGAGTGGATGCGAGCTAGGTGAGTGTGAGTGCTACACACGAGCCTCCGCTTCGTTGGAGTGCAGGACTCCCAAGTCCTTCCACCCACATCCCAGAGCTCATCCCGATGCGAATCGAGTTGATTTCTTTCTAAAGAGGTCCTCCCAGCGCGTCACTGTTCTTTCGGTGCTGGAACGATGGTCCTGATTTTCCCGTGGAGCGAGATGATTGATCGTACAACCTAATGATGAAGTGTGTCAACGTCGATCATCATAATCGATGTAAGTCTTGCATCACCAGGGTGAAATTCTCAGCTGTTTACTCGAATCTGGCCGTTTCTTTATGAAAATGCAGGGTTGGAGGATGTTCTGGACAAAAGAGGGGGCGCTCGATATGAAGATCGTCCCCGATGTGGTCCCACTGTTCCTCGGTTCTTCTTGATGGAAGCAATCCCAGTGCCCTGATAGTTAGTGGCAAACCGTAGAACATATAGCGCGGCTTCAAGGCACTCTTGCGTAGATGCTTCCGTCTGCGGACTAGAAGAATCACTATGATGGCTTCAAGGAGTCATCGCTCCTTTGGTTATAAGGACGGGTTCCAATCTAAAAGAATGCACCAAATACACATGTTGCCCTTTTGGCTGGAAACAATCCTCAACAGGGAACAAATCTTGGAACAAGAGAAACAGAGTGGGAACTCTCTTTTACTTTTGATGCAAAATGACAATGAATGAGAGGTAATGCCCACCATTGAAAAGCAGTTGCTTGGTACTCCTGGAGAGATACAAAGAGAGGCCTATGTGCAGTCCATACCAGATCCGTTCCGTAGGAAGCAGGAAAGCTGTAAACACTGGGCTCTATCAAATATGATAATTATACATGCAAGTTTCGATGGGATTGCTCCATAAGTCCAATACAATAATGTACAATATTTCACAAATAGTCAGTTCATATTTTGCCTCCGGTGATCTGCTCCCCAAGCTTCTTGACTCTGCCCTGGATAAGGTCCCAGCGAGCGGCCTCGCTCTTCCTCGATTCATTGACAATGTTCAGCACTGTCGGAGGCACGCCCAGGTTCCAGACATTCTCGCCCTGCTGGTGATCGCTGCGCCATGCCTCATTCTCACCCTCGGGGAACACCCTCTCAATCTCGGCAGCAAGTTGAGCCTCGGTAGTGATAAATGTGCGAGCATTCATGTAGAGGGCTTGTAAGTTATCCTGGCGTTCCAATTCGTCTTGCATCTTCTTATTCTCCAACTTCGCACGGGAGGTGGCCAGACGTTCCTCTCTGCTGGGATCCGGCAGCACGGGGGTGCGCTTGGGTAGCATTTCCTGCACAACGGAGGGGCCGGTCAAGCGCTCGTCATCTCTCTCGGGCTGTCGAAGAACTTGCTCGCGCCGTCTCTGTTTCTCAGTGCTCCGCTGCATCATGAGCTTGTCCGTTCGCTGCTTCCGGCTGTGCAACTCCAGGAGACCCTCCCGGAGGTTCAGTCGTCTCATGTCTGCCATCCGCCGCTTCCAATCCTTATATTCAGCATGAGGGTCATTGGGGTCGATCTGAGTCTCCTTCGACGGGAGTGGCGTGGCGGCAGCAATGTACTCCTCGGTTGGCTTGTCCACTCGGCGGGCAGGGAAGAGCTCTCGCGGGACAGGCAGTGTACCTTTGACTTTGGGTTTCGAAGGAAGATCGGGTTGAATTGTTCGAGGAACTTCAATGAAATTAGGGGACTCGGGCCCGACTCGACGGCAGGAGGAAGAGGAGAAGCTGCGGACCTGCGCCGTAGCAGCCCTGCAGTTGCGGAAGAGAGACATGATGGGCACGCAAACCTCCGCGACCGGCAAATCGAGTGCAGTAAAATAGAGCCAAAAAAAACCCCCCCTCGGTAGAGATCGAGGATACCCAATGCCAGACGCTGAAAGACAACGGCCCGCTATAATATGAATGAACGATTCGAGTCGCGGTGTTGTTGCGGGAGTCGGAACAGGATGAAGCGATTTTCTTACGGTTGGTCCGTGCACTAAAAGGCTTGGCGACCGCCTCGGAAAAAAAATAATTTCTCACTAACGAGGAAATTTTTCTCTTCCTCTTCTTCTTCTCTCTCTTGCGCTTTGCCAACCTTTGATTTTGTGCTCCTGCCTTTGGAAAATTTGAAATAATATTTCTAAAGGCTGCAAATAGGTGTAGTATCCATTATGGGCACAGGAAAGAAGGAGGCGAACCGTAAGGTGCGCCAGGGGAAGGTTGGAGATGGCATGGCCAACGTGAAGGTCAAGGGTGAAAACTTCTACAGGTCAGTTCGTGTTTTTTCTCTCACACTTCTACGTTTGCGGTATGACTGACTTGAAGAAGAGATGCGAAGAAGGTGAGGACGCTGAACAGGCTGAAGGATGGAAAGCCCCGACGTGATGCCGAGGGAAATATCACCGTGGCTGCCTCGTACCAGTCGAGAGAGCTTCCCACAGCTCGCATTGAACCGAACCGTAAATGGTTTGGTAATACGAGAGTCATCTCTCAGGACGCGTTGACGTCTTTCCGTGACGCAGTCGCCGAACGTGCTTCCGATCCGTATTCCGTTCTTCTCAAGACCAATAAGCTGCCCATGAGTCTGATCAAAGAGAATACCACCGTGAATGGATTGAAGCAGCACGAGGCGAAGATGGCTATTGAGACATCTCCCTATGGAGATACCTTTGGGCCCAAGGCTCAAAGAAAGCGAGTCAAGCTGGGTGTCGCTTCTCTGGAAGACTTGGCTAGTGAAACAGTCAAAATGCATGATGCGTTTGTTGAGAAGACAGACCAAGCCACTCATGAAGATGGTACCCTCATCGTCTCCGCAGATGTGTCTAATGAAGACGATACCCTCAGCACAGCTACCACGGCACGAGAGTCCGTCTTCTCCAAGGGTCAGAGCAAGAGAATTTGGAACGAACTGTATAAGGTCATCGATTCTTCGGATGTTGTTATCCATGTGCTTGATGCCCGTGATCCTGAAGGTACACGTTGCAGAAGTGTTGAGAAGTACATTCGCGAGGAGGCGCCGCACAAGCACTTGATCTTCGTGCTCAACAAGTGCGATCTTGTACCAACGAACGTGGCTGTAAGACTTTCTCCCGTTTTGCCTCATCCTTCATCCCTTAGCCCCTATGCGGTCCCATCTACCCCTGTATACTTCTATTGGGCTACCCATGCCCATGCCATCGCTAAGTCAAGTCTCCTTCCTGCGGCTTTTGTGTCGTGCTATTCTCTATGGAAGTTTGTCTGTTACAGCTTTGGCAGATTGACGCTTGCCCGCGCCGACCTTCATTCTGAAGTTAGGCTGATCGGTTTTCGTTTTGGAAGCCGGTCGCAAAGGGCCAAGCAGTGTTCTGTTTGTGAGTTGAGTGCTGCTTCTGCCACTTGGCAGCTTCGTGGCAGTCCTCTTAGTAACATTTCACACATCATTATGTCTCTTGCGCAATCGTTTTGATTTTTGTTTTCTTACACCTGGTAGACCATTGACTAACACGTCCTACCAGGCATCTTGGGTACGACACCTTTCAAAAGACTATCCTACTCTGGCTTTTCATGCTTCGATCAACAACTCCTTCGGGAAGGGGTCCTTGATCCAGCTTCTCAGACAATTCTCCTCGCTACACTCCGACCGGAAGCAGATCTCCGTCGGACTGATTGGCTATCCCAATACTGGAAAGTCATCTATCATCAACACTCTACGCAATAAGAAGGTGTGCACCGTTGCGCCGATTCCTGGAGAGACCAAGGTCTGGCAGTACGTCACGTTGATGAAGCGGATTTACCTGATCGACTGCCCTGGTGTGGTCCCTCCCAACCAAAACGACACCGAGACGGATATTCTGCTTCGCGGTGTCTGCCGTGTGGAGAATGTCCACAACCCTGAACAATACATCCCTGCAGTTCTCAGCAAGGTTCAACCTAAGCACCTTGAACGCACTTATGGCATTAAGGGCGTGGAGGGTGCTATCGAGTTCCTCAGTATCCTTGCTCGCAAGGGTGGTAGGCTCCTTCGTGGAGGCGAACCAGATCTGGATGGTGTTGCCAAGATGGTCATCAATGATTTCCTTCGAGGCAAGATTCCTTGGTTCACTATCCCGCCCAAGTCCACTGGTGACGGGGATGAAAAGATTGAAGGCCGAGAAGGCCGCCTCGGAGAGATGGGCCGAAAGAGAAAGATCGATGAGACGACCTCTGAGCCCTCGGATGTCAAGCAGAGTACTTCTGGCAAAGAGGACAATGAGACCGAGAATGGAGAGTTCGAAGGATTCGGCGAGAGCGACGACGACAACGATTCAATTGCGAATCTTGAAGTCAGCGATGAAGAAAGCGGAGAGGAGTGATTTGAAGTCCCCCCTTCCAGCATTTTAACTAGTTACGAGCCCACGCTTTTCAGCTGGATAACCACCGCCACAACGTTGCTTCGTTGATTTCGTGGCCCTTCCCCCCCGACGATCGTCACCCAGACAGGGTACATTCGCCAGTCAAGAGACCTCTATCACATTCTGCTTGCATGCGTTTCAGGGAACATCCGGCATACGCGTCTCGGAAGTTGAGTACATAGGCTGACGAAGTCGAGACCCTGGAGACGAGGCGTGTCAGTCCAGTCGTAGATTTACACGACATATAACCGGGCATGACACCTCGCTGCTCCCCTGGTTCTTTCTCCGCTGCGACAGCGGCGGAGCCTGATGCCCAGCGCATCGCATTGTTATACCATAGATACCCATAGTGTTCCTCAAATGGAAATATCAGTCATAAGAACCCACAATCTGGACTTCCTACCTCCTCCTTGTAAGCATGGTGGACGAGATTACCACTGAATGGGATTATCAGCACCTGAAGAAATCCCGTCTTGTCCTCACCGCCCGTCGGCCCTGTGGGGCCGCCTCTAGCCTCACTTCTCCTTCGCCCAATGCGTCTCGCTCCTGTCCTTCCTCGGTTTGCATCATATGTTGTATCCCTGGACAGCACAGAATCGTCTGCGTCTTGTGTCTTGTGGAACCCTGCTGTTCATGATTACGCACACAGCTATATATTCCTTCGTGCCCTCACGAGATGTGTCACCATCCCCGCGATAATGGCGGAAGAGGGCATGTCTATCGTTCCCTACGGTTCTTCCAACTCTGGCGTTGTGCTGTAAGGACTCCTTCCTTCCTATCTATGAGATGTGCCAAGGCTAGGTGGTCTAATATAGTACCTTTGCTTTTCTTCATACTACAGACGCCATAATGATTCGGTCGTGGTCTACGATCGGGATGCCCAGCAGCTTGTACTTCGAACTGCCTCCGACGTCCAAGATAACCTTGAATTAGCTGATTGTCCGTATTGCCATCGTCCGCTGCGCGAGAGCAATGCAGGGCAGGAAGGCCACCATGCTAGTCCTCGATCACAGCCGGAATTCATCAATCCGGATTACTTCCGCATGCTCAATAGTTTGCCTAGTTCGGTGAATTCGTCAAATCCTCCTTCTCCGCGTCGGCGGTTCGCCCAACCTGCTCTCGCTGATGGATCGACAAGCGTGCCTGGATCGTCTTCCAGTGGACCCCAGGGAATATCTTCAGCCGCATTTATCCCTGACTATTTCAAGAAATTCTTTGTTGAGGAACGAGTCCTTGGAAAGGGTGGTAAGGGCGTGGTCCTACTTGTGAAGCACGTGCTGGACGGGGTTTCCTTAGGACATTATGCCTGCAAGCGTGTCCCGGTTGGTGATGACCACGAATGGCTGGAGAAGGTTCTTGGGGAGGTCCAGCTATTGCAGCATCTGTCCCACCAGAATCTTGTCTCCTACCGTCATGTGTGGCTGGAGAATGCCAAAATCAGCACCTTTGGACCAAGTGTGCCATGTGCGTTCATCCTCCAACAATACTGCAACGCGGGCGATCTCCACAATTACATCTGTGGTTCGATACAAAGTCAGACGACCGCACAACAATTGAAAGAGCGCCTTCGAAGAAAATCCAAGGGAGCGCCCGAACCGCAAGTGGGCCTTGGTGGTCCTCGCAAGCTTAATTTCGAGGAGATCTACTCATTCTTCAAGGATATCACTTCGGGTCTCCGCTACCTTCATGTGAACGGCTATATTCACCGTGATCTAAAGCCCAACAATTGCTTGCTACATGAGACAAGTGATGGTTTACGAGTGTTGGTCAGTGACTTTGGCGAGGTCCAGGCACAAGATTCCGCCAGATTGTCGACTGGTGCGACGGGAACCCTCTCGTACTGTGCTCCAGAAGTTTTACGGCGAGAATATACAGGAGGACCATTCGGCAATTTCACGTTCAAGTCTGACATCTTCTCCTTAGGGATGATTCTTCATTTCTTGTGCTTTGCAGAGCTTCCTTACAGCAATGCCGATCTTATAAATGAGGAGAAGGAGGATCTGGACCAGCTTCGAGAAGAGATCACTCAATGGACCGGCTTTGATGATGCTCGGAGACTACGACCAGATCTGCCTGAGAAGCTATACACATTCCTTAAGCGCCTGCTATCCGTGGATCCGGATAGACGGCCAAGTGCGGATGAAGTATTGAGTGGCATCCAGGCCGGAGTAAACGGAAATGAGCCTTTCCGCTTCAGGAGGTCCAGCTCTAATGGTCCAGACTTACGCTCGAGCTCTCGAATTCACCCAGTCGACAGCCCGAACCCCTCGTTACTGCCCCCATCAGTCTCAGCGACAGATGTCCTATCCCGGAGTCCAGTGCCAATGCGGCACAACCCTCCCCACGAATCGAACAATATCATGGCTGCCCCAGATAGTGACCCACGGAGAAGACCCTCACTCAGTCCTGAGCAAGAGCTGATTATCCGGCCAAGGATCTCTGCTGCTGCACACTCTCCGCCACAGGATCAGGATGATTTCATGGAGCAAACAGAGGAACAAGAATCTTCACCTCATTTACTTCCTCCTCCACCGGCCCGCCCTATTTTGACCAGGTTATTCATCCTCGCGTCATCTCAACAGCTGCCTAGGGTGCCGGTGCTCCCTCTGGCTTTTTTTTTCGTGAAGGTGGTCTCCGTTCTCCAGCCGTGCGCACCTCTGGCGGTCACTCCCTGGGTTCTTTATCCGTTGCTTCTGCTGGCGGGCTTCGTCCTGAGGTCCCGCAGTCTCTTGGGACAAGTTATCGCCCTCGGTTTGCATCTCGTCGTCGTGAGCTTGAGCATCCGTATGGACAGATTATGTCTCTGGCACGCCCCGGGAGAAGTAGTACTTGTCTGATCTCACACGCGCGATACCCATACCACCTCAGCAGTGCACACGCCTCTAGTAGAAGGAAGAACTTGGAAGTCATTTCAAAATTCTGGCGCGTCTCCAAAAGTCTTTCGGTTATTAATTCAAGCACTGTCGCACTGCTGTTCTGGTGTTTTCTTCCTATGATCTTATGATTGCATGACTTTACGCAGTAGCAAGGATCCTCTGTGTTTTTTAGGTGCATATGGAACCAGAAAATACAAACTCCGTGGACTTGAATCCCAAATTAAACCTTTGTTTGAAAGTTGGGGATGAAACTTGTATGACTCAATCCACCTTGAATACTTTAAAAAAAACTTTCTGAAATTAGTTATTTACTAAAACCATATCAATTGAGATACTGTATGTTGAGGGTGAAACGTAACTGGGTCCCACGGGGATTCCTTGCTCACCAGATGCCCGTAAGTACTCTCTTGACGAGCACAATACGTGCACCCGATGAGCCGGGGACGAAACACAGTCAGAGAGCCCTGTCGCTTTGATCTTGGAAAGCTCGCCAGATGAACCATACCACTGGTTTCGGTATGGTCACGACTCTGCCCTAGCTTCGGGGAGCAGATGGCAGAGGGACGAATTCCGGTTTCTATAGGGAAGGGGTTATGTATGTTCTACGTGAAGTTGAATGGGCAAATATGCAATGGGTCAATGCTTTGATTCGAATTGTACTTTTCCTTTTTTTTCCCCCTCGCGAATCGTGATGCCTACGGCTGCCTCATGCGCGCGGCTCTGAACTTGCTCACGCGTTTAGGGGCTTCCTCTGTCTCGATAGGCACGATCTCGGGCTCGTTGTCGACGAAGCCGCCGTCCTGCTGGATCTTCATGTTGCGCATCCTGTAGAACTCCGTTGCGATCTCCTTTCTGTGGAGCTGCTCGTCGAGTTCGTCCGGCTCGGGAGGAGCGGCGGCGCCTTCGGAGACGGGCCGCTCGACAAGCGTGTCTGCGAGGATCTTACCATCGGGACCCTCGGGTTGCGGTGGTAGTGATGGCTTCTCCACGATATCTGAGATTGGCTGCGAGAAAGGTTTGGGCTCTGTCGGCTTGGCGGGGAAGAGAGGTAATGTAACCGGGGTCGACGTGGTGGACTTATGCTGAGATACGTGTGGTTCCGCAGGCCGGGGGATAGCGTTGGTTGGAGGGAGGGCCACCGCGGCGGTATCATCAGTTGGGGTGCCTTCAGGTGCCTTCCTGGCGCTCTTGAACCGCGAGACCTTCTTTGGACCGCTGTCTGCGCCTGGCTTCTTCTCAGCTGGTTTGGTACGCTCGATGATCGAGTCTGACATGGTGGCAACCTCCGGCTCCTTTGGTGGAAGCTTCCGAGGCTCTAGAACAGGGGGTTGAGACGCAGGGGCAATGTCTAGGTCATCAGCGAATGCGACCTTTTTCTTCGGCTTTTTCTCTGGTATCGGTGAGTCGCTGAGTTCATCTGACTTCTGAATGCGGACCACAGCAGGTTTCTCGAGTTCGTGCTGGACATCCTCTGGAAGCGCGGTGGTATCTTTGCCCACGTTCCACATGCCTTTGGCGTTCAACTTCTTCTCCAGCTCACGCATCTGCTGGTGGTAATCCTCATCCAGGACGGGGCGGGTTCTTCCGAATTCATCCTCGTCCTCTTCTTCATCATCATCATAGTCGTAACCATATTCTTCATCAACGGAGATATCGTCGGCATCCTCGTCTAATTCGAGCTCAGCGACAACGGCTCCCACCTCGTCCAGACTGTATCGCAGCATTTCACGGCGAAGCGCAGCATCCTCCGGAGACTCGTCAACATCGGTGATCGGCTTCTCTTTGCGCGCCTCCACTAATGATTCTAATTCCATAGAGGCGCCATTCTGTGTAGCTGTCTGATGATCCTCAGGTTCATCTATCTCCACTTCAGTGGTCTCATTAATTCCTGCATTTGACTGCGAAGCGGGAGCGGTATGCTCAGAGTCTTGTTTATGCGGAACATCAGGTACATCCTTGACTCCGGCTTTCTTCAAAAGCTCCAGTAGTTCAGGCGCCTTACTCCCAGGCGTAGACGTGGAGCTAGAAATTACATTTCCGTCCTCATCCAGCTCCTCCGTGATCTCGGTCATAGGAAAATCGGCCGTAGGTTCCGAAGGCATCTGTTCCGCGCTTTGCAGCGCATACATTTGATTCTCTGCTGTCCGCAGTCTTTTCTCCATTGTCGCAACATTTTCCTTCACATAGTCAATCCGCCTCGATATGAGGTCAACAGCTTGCTGCTTTGACCGGTGGACACCCTGCTTTTCGCCGAGGATCACTTTGATTTCGTCTTCGCTGACCAGCGAGCCGCCAAAGTCGCGGCCGACGCGAAGGAAATCGTCCGTCGTGGCGTCATCATCGAGATCATTGATTTCTTCCTTCAACCCCTCGTACTCAGCCTCCCAGGTTCGCCAGTGGTAGAGCGATTCCTGGAGTTTCAGGATATTCCCTTCGAGCTCGAGGCGCTGCCGTTCCAGATCTTGTAAGCCGCCGTCAAGCGCGCTCATTGTGGAGATCTTCGCGTAGAGAACTTCAGAATACGAGGAAAGATGGTTTAGCAGAGCATTGAACAAATTATCGATATGCTAGAAAACCCCAGGGATATATCTTAGCTGAGGGACTCGGCGAGAAGATGTGTAGAAGACTTAGATTTTGTTCACCTAGAGGCAAAAGAAGAGAAAAGAAGCTCCGCAGCGGATACATCTGATTGGCCGGTGGCTCCAGCTCTTGATTATCAGCTCGACTGCCAAGTCGTCATTGATGGAACTTCTTCCTCCGCAGTTGAGGTCTTGTTCATATACTTTGGAAAGCAGCCATGCCTCCCTCGCGAGATGGAGTCGCTCACCGTGGCGATGAAGATGGTAAGAGACAGGAATCTGCCTGTGAAGCCGCGATGCTGTGCTGACGATTCTATCCAGAGGTTTGCCCCGTCTGCAAATCGTCCCGCTACTTGAACCCGGACATGCGATTTCTCATCAACCCAGAATGCTACCATAAGATGTGTGAGTCCTGCGTGGACCGGATTTTTTCGTCAGGTCCGGCGAATTGCCCTGTCGCCGGCTGTCATAAGACGTTGCGAAAGGCCAGGTTTCGGAAGCAGACATTCGAGGATATTCACGTGGAAAGGGAGGTGGATATTCGGCGCAGGGTAATGTCGATGTATGTTGTTTTATTTATGCTGAGGAATGTCTTTAGTGGCTCTAGTCGAACTAATGACCTCTAGCCTCAACCGCCGAGAAGAAGAATTCGACTCGAAACGCGCCTGGGACGACTTCCTCGAGCAGCGTGAAGAAATCATTGCGAATCTGGTCTACGGCACGGACGTTGCGAAGACAGAAGCAGACCTGCAGAGATATGCCACAGAAAATATGAGCTCCATCCGCGCCAACCGCGCTCTCGAGGCCCAGGAAGCCACCTCCTTTCAGGAACAGCAGACGCACGAGCAGGAACTGGCAAGAATACGTCGGGAGGCCGCAAGGCAGGAATACGAAAACGAACGACGGGAGGTCCAGGCAGGCCGCGAAGACTACCTCAGCCGACTTGCGGCTGGCAAACCGGGCGACGCAGCCACCATTGCCCGTGAGAGTCACAAGGTCCTCCTCAAGAAGTCTTCTGCTCGACGCAGCGAGGAAGACCGCATTCGGCAGAAACAAGCTGCACTGCGCAGCTCCGACCTCAAGAAAGCTGGTCCAGGGACCACGGCAGCCGACCGGGCTGGCGAGGCTGGTGGTGCAGGCCTCATCAAAGGTCTCAGGAAGATCAAAACCCCAGAGCCCGAGAAGCCCTACGACCCATTCGGTGGCCTCATCCCCGGCAAACGCGACTATTATACTCTGCGCGACTACTATCCATCCAGCTACCTCGACCCTATCCGACAAGATACCCGTATGCAGGCCGGCGGGTACGACCTACGCGAGTACTATTCACGTACATTACTCGAGGCCTTCGCGGGCTTGGGATGCTTCCTTGATGAAGAAGTCCCCAAACGTTATGCGGCAGACACTCTGGGGACCTCGAAGCCTGCGGCTACCGAAGGGGCAGCAGTTGCTGCTGTATCATCTGGTAGCTTGGGCAGAGCTGCTTGATTTCTTCACATTTAATTGGGTCTACGTTGGATACTCGACTAGTAGATAGATACTGGAGGGAAAATTCTTTTTTTTTTCTGGGTTGACCCACCGCTCGGAGTCATGGCATGGTTTGGAATAAGCATAGCGCTGGCGTTTGTCTTTTTTTTTTTTTTTCTCTCTCTCTTTTCTTCTTTCTCCTACGTCTGTTCATACCTATCAAAGGAATTTCATGATATCAAGGAACTCAACTCACTTAATCCATGATCAGAAAGCAACATCTGAATCAACCTCATCAGAAAATCCAGAATCGAACATGATGCGCGGATATTTCTGAACCTACACAGTAGGAAGACAGTTTTTAGGTGGGCCATAGGACTAAAGTCTTCTGACTCACCCACACTTGGCGCCAATAGTCTAGTGGTTAGGATGCGGTCCTCCCATCCCCATATTGGGCAAGACCGAGACACGAGTTCGAATCCCGTTTGGCGCACTTCTTTTTGCTGTTTTTTTTTTGCCTCTCATTCCTTCCTACAAGGGGTACCTTGTTGACCATGGCACACTTCACGTAGCTGGCAAATGGCCACGGCGTAGACTCAGGGTACATCGACGTTGAGGAGGCAAGCTCGGACATGTACTCCGTGTGTGCGAAGCGGTTATGTGTCCATCACGATGACAAATAGTGGCCAAAGGCCGTGTATATATTTCTTTGTAGGAATCTCTGATTGCTGTGGTTCGGCTTGCTTTGCATACCAGCCCAGTCCCCATATATGTCCCCAAGCACGAGTACATAGATTGTATTTTTGTTTACATAGATTTCTTTTACCCAAACTACGACCGAGATGACAGCCGCAGGGAGCCAGTATGTCCTCCAAGCAGGATTGACATCCGGTATGTCAGCCACGGAGGGGCTGATGCACTCGCCTCATCCGAAGCCTGTTGATCCCAAGATGGCTGAAGAGTTCCATGTGTTGCCGACTGATATCGTTCCGGACTCCCAGGCCCGAGTTGCACTGCGAGGAAAAGTACAAGACGTTCTGGTTCCATACATGTGCATCGGGGCCTGGTCTTGGGGTGATAAAGCCACCTGGAAATACAACGCGGAAGAGGATCTTCCCAAGATTCGCGCTGCGTGGACGAAGCTGCGACAGGCAGGGTTGACCTTTGTTGATACATCCCATGTCTACGGTGATGGGGAGAGCGAGCGTATCTGTGGGCAACTCTTCAAGAACATGAACCGAGACGAGTTCATTATCCAGACCAAATGGATGTCGTGGCCCGACATGTCGAACCTGTTGCTGCAGTCGCAAGGTCCGGCCCACAAGCTCAGAACATCGTTGAAGAATCTGGGCCTCCACTATGTGGACGTCTACCTGGTTCACGGGCCAATTCACCCCAGTATGATCTCAACTGTTGCCAAGGGGATGGCGGACTGTGTGAATTTGGGATTGACTCGAGCCGTCGGGGTCGCCAATTACGACAAGGGAGAGGTGATCAAGATGGCCGAGGAGCTCGACAAGCATGGGATCCCACTAGCGGTCAATCAGTGCGAATACTCGGTTATCAGAAGACATCCAGAAGTCCATGGACTCATCCGCGCATGCCGTGATAGGAACATCGTCTTCCAGGGGTTTGCGTCTCTGGCAGAGGGCCGCCTGACGGACAAGTACTCTCGATTCAACGAACCTCCGCGAACATATCGGTTCAGTAGCTACCCTATGCACATGCTTGAGCCCACACTGAACGTGCTAAGAGAGATTGCGAGAGAGAGGCGAGTTCCCGTGGCCGCCGTGGCATTGAATTTCAGTATCAACAAGGGAGTGATTCCCGTGGTGGGTATTCGAAATCCTGAACAAGCGAACCAAAATATGCAGGCTCTAGGATGGCGATTGACACAGGATGAGATGCGAAGGATTGAAACCGTCAGTATCGAAGGAGATACCACCATATTCTGGCAGCATGGTTAGTTAGACGACACAGAATTAGGAATAGTCGATAGATTTAAAAAGATTAAGCTGGCTTCTTTTTCAGAGGGTCCCAGATGAAAGCACATATATTGAGTATTCAGCTTAGGGGACATCATCAAACATCCGCTTCAAATTGCAGTATAGCTGACACCCATGGTCGCGGGTTGATGACAGGGGAAGCCGAGAGTGTTGTAGAAATGACGGATAAGACGATGATGATGTTGTCGTTGTGGTTGTCGCCCCGCCTCCCCCCTCAACTCTGGTTCCGGCCATCTCCCCGCATCACAACAACTCCAACGACCATCTCTCACTTATCAAGCCCCTGGACAACTTTCTATCCTCACAGTCTGGTCAATCATGGAGCGCTCCAATAAGCCCTCAGCCATCGGTGTGGCTGCCTCATTGCCCCAACCCACTGTCACCTTCCGGGAGAACAAGATCGAGGCCACCTTGCCCACCGGTGAATCGGTGACTGTCCACCTGTACGGAGCGACGGTCACTTCCTGGAAGCTACCAAATGGCCAGGAACAGCTTTTTGTGAGCGAAAAGGCTCACCTGGATGGCTCCAAGCCTATCCGCGGCGGCATCCCTGTGGTTTTCCCTGTACGTTCATTCAAATTGCTCAGATGGCTAGACCGGCATGGCTGACCAGAAAAACTTAATGCCCGCTTCAGGTCTTCGGTCCCCCTCCTCCCAACCACGCCACGTCCTCCCTTCCACAACACGGCTTTGCGCGTAACTCCAACTGGGAGTTCCTGGGCAAGTCGTCATCTGAATCGCTCGCAAAGAAGGATGGTGATGACTCGGTCAAGCTCGACTTTGGTCTGTCCCATACAATGCTGAGTGAGGAGTTCCAGAAGGCTTGGCCGTATGAATTTGGTCTGGTGTACAGTGTCACCCTGACCAAGGACGGTCTGGAGACGTCGTTGCAGGTTCAGAACAAGGGGACTCAGAATTTCGACTTCCAGGTCTTGTTGCACACTTATCTAAGAATTGATGTAAGCAAAGCCCACCTTGACTGTCCCCTCAAATAGTTCTCCACTAATACTCAATGGCATGCTAGGACATCGCACAAGTTCGAGTCAAGGGACTTGAGTCTAAGACTTACATCGACAAGACCCAGAACGCTACCACACACACTGAGACGTCACCTGCCTTGGAGATCAGCCAGGAGACAGATCGCGTGTACCAATCGCTAGATCCCAAGGTCCCTGTCATCGTCTCATCTGCCTCAGATGATAAGCCACTTTTCTCTGTTATACGGGAGGGCCTGAACGACGTGGTTGTGTGGAATCCTTGGATCGAGAAGGCGAAGGGCATGGCTGATTTCAGCCCGGACGAGGCATATAAGAACATGATCTGCGTCGAGGCTGGCTCTGTGGCCGGCTGGCAGACCTTGGAAGCTGGTGAATCCTGGGAGGGTGGACAGACAATCCGGCCGAGATTGTGAATACCAAGACCGAATTGAATTCTCCATTCAGTACATGAAGCTGCGGTGCTGTGATTGATTCTCGCGACTTTGATGAGCCAAAGAACAATACGAGAGCCTCTGCAGTCTCTGGGACTCCTTCTCAATCCCAATAAACGAATGGTCCTACATAGTTCTAGCGTGTAACACTCCGTATATCTTCTTTATTGTTAGAGATCCATGCTGCAGGCGCTGTACGCTATACCCTTCGAAGATAAGCGGAAAGCGGAGACTGATATACGACTCTCAACTCGCAGCCGGTTTCTTCCTCTGTCTTTGCATGTCAATTGCAATGGTTTGTGCGGCGCCGACGTTGTACTGTGGTCCTTTGTAATCGTGCCTTCCACGAATACACCACCATGATGTTATTAAGACCATCAGGCCTACAGCGATCACGCTCGAATAGTTCATGTTTTCAATCGTGACCGGTAGCACAAGCGGGAAACAGAAGCACACAACCGTGACAAGGATATAAACCACAGCTGCGAGATTAACCACGAAGCCCAACTTTCTGCCCAAGTAGAAAGGTCCAGGAACGATATTCCTTCGGCGGGCGAGAACATGGGGCAAGATGGCTCCTAGATAGGACAGTGTACTGAGCACGATAAAAGACGATAGCAAGGCCTGGAATGCGGTTGTGCTGCCTATGTATATACAGCCCAGACAGCTTATCATACTCGCCATAGCCACGGTTGCTCGGAGAGGGCAGCGGGTTTTCGAGTCCACATGGCTAAAGTACGAAGCGAAAGGGGTAGCGTTGTCGCGAGCGAGACTCCACCACATGCGGCCACCAGTGATGTAGACTCCGATCAGCGTTGGGAATGTGGCCAGGAAGAGGACCGCAATCAATCCGACGGCTCCTGCGTTGGATCCCGTGGCTTGTCTGTAGATCTCTGCGGTAGGGAAAGACGTGAGGTTAAACTCGAAGACAGCGTCGAGGTCTTGAATCGAGTAGAATAATGCGATCAGGTACAGGAACGTGGTCACGAATGCTGTGAGCATCTGCAACATCGTTCCTTGTGGTACTTTGATCTCCGGTTCAACGACTGGACGAAAGTCTCTGAGTAATAGACACGGTAGGTATTCGGGATCAGCTTACATACCTTCCTCTGAGAGATGGCTGATGCAGTCCGGGACCCCGACTGAGAATGCCGGGTTGATCAAGCCTGTAAGGAAGCAGATGCCATCTGACCAGCCCCCAGTGTTGTTGTAGTATGTTTCCCACACCTCGACAGTACTCGCATGTTTCTTTGGCATGATGACGAGGACCATGATGGTAGCGAATAACCCACTCATTGAGAACACCAGCGCCACCCGGTTCATTGCAGGGATGAATCTGTTTCCGAAGCAGACTATCCCGCAGCATAGCCAAGCCAGCAATTGAAAGACGATGAATACCTGCCAGGGATGCCATTGCACGCCCGGATTGAGGAGCATGTACATAGAGACGACCTCGTTTCCAAGCAAAGAGCTGACCGATGCTCCTGATAGAAGCCAAGCGCAAGCATTCAGGTATCCGGTGAGAAAGCCCACTGGCCGCCCATATCTGCGGCTAGACACTGATGCCCAATAGTAAACACCTCCGGCTGATGGCATCGATGATGCAAGTTCTGACAGGGATGCAGATATGAGCGTGTAGAAAACACTGACAAGCACCAGGCCATACAGGATTGCCATGGGACCTCCATTCTGAAGGGCTGCAACGATGGTACCTGCGCTCAAAGCCCACGAACTGAACAATCCTATCAGCAAGAGTATGTGATAATTGATAGCAATGATAAACTCACTTCGCAATGACAATGCCAATGCTGATCAAGCTGAACAGATCAAATCGCCTCTGGAGTTCTTGCCTGTGACCCAAGGCGGCTTCCAAACGTGCTTCATCCATGGCATCGAAACTGCATGCAAAGCTTCAGTCAACCTTGTTAGAAGATAAAGCCGGGCAGAAAGGATGGATACAAAGTCCACTGTCCAGAAATTTTCTCATTGAGGCTCTAGTATCATGAGTGACACAGCCAGTGTTGTTATATATCCTCCCAAATCTTTCCGTATCTCACCCATCTGCAAGGAGCAGAAAGCGGCTCCATATGGTTGCCACATGGGCCACATATCTACCACCAATGCTCAGGATTGGCAGATATAATACGGAACAATAGGCTGAATTGCCTGCCATCGACATTGAGCATGCTGCCGCAGGTACAGCACCGAATAGTAGGGATTGGCAGGACCACAGTATGTGACAGGACAAAATGGCGTGCTTGATACAGAGGCTTGATCCTCTAGAGAAAACCTTGCTGATGGATTCAAAGCAGCGAATGGTATAGAGATCCTTGCTCCATGAGTTGATTCTTAATTCAACTTAAACTGTGTTGGTGCCCTGCTCTGTTGGAGCGAAGCAAGGGAGGTTGACGGCCGTGCTCAACCTTTGCCACTGAGGCCACATTCTTGATTAGCACATAGACTGAGTTTTTTTTCCCTATGGGTTGTGTTTGCTGTTTAGGACAATCAAACAGCAATCTGGAACAAACTGGTAATCCATAGGAAAGATGCTCCGGTGATTAAGTTAGAAATAAAATGGGTGCTGGTTCTTGTCGACCCACGTGTAGCTCCAGGTTTGATATGCTTGAGCTGAATCTTTGGTAGAATAGACTGTATAGCAGTTAGATTGAATTCCTCAAGAATAGAAGAAGAAGGCCTGCCATTGATCATTAGAGTTGAGAGGACGATATGACATTGGTGCTGTGATAGAGATGGAAGACTCGCATAATAATACGCAAAATACGTCGCCCAGAGCGTGAAGGACATACTGATAGTAAACAGTAGATATGGTAGCTCCGTGAAGACCGCCAGCTCAATAATTTTGCCAGTTTTGAGTGGTGGGATTCGCGCTCGAATGATCGATACCACGATCGCTGCGTTCACCATCACCACGAAGCCCATAATGTGAACTGTCCAGGGGAACCCGACGCGATGTAGCAGCCGCTCTGCAATCAGAGAGAAAACAATGCCCCCTGTTGCGGCGCCGCTCGCCGCTGTCGAGATAGCAATGGACTGTTTTGTTTGTGAGGTACGTCGAAACCAACGGAACGGTTGGGCAGAAGACGAGGCCGTTGCCCAGGCCCTGACACACATCTTGCGCCAGAAACAAGCTGCCAATAGCTCGTGCAGAGGCTCGTCATAAACACAGCCAGCAGCTGCATAGTACACCCGGCCCACTTCGAAGGCTCGTCCCGAGACCGACCCGATGAGAAACACTAGAAAGACTTGGACGCTGCCCATCCAGGGAGATGGTGGAGGCAGGGACGGAGAGGCACGAGGCGTAGTAGGCCTGGAAAATGCGAAAGCTGTTGGCATGACCCCAGGTGTTGAAGACGACTAGATGGCCAGCAAGGACCTGGAGCGAGGCTATGAGGCCACCATTTGGGGGTGGATCATCAGATAGTCCAGCGATTCTATAACAGTTTGCTCGGGGCGGGAGTTGGAGTTAGATTTCGAATCAGTCATAATTGATGCTGGATTCCCGAATACTGGCGGGTAAAAGAGAAGACAACCGACACTCAGTTAGCTCTTTGGGGAATTTCCCCCCAGTGGCTCGCCATCGAGGGACTGACCAGGATGCTATCGGGATTTGCTGGGCCATATCCCGTCTCAAAGCACGCTGGTGCAGCCTACTAGCGAAAGCCCAACGGATAACAGAACCCCGATTCAACCTGACATTGACTTTGAGGAAGAATTGTCGTTCTTCAAATGTGACTATAAGTTGTGTCAGGAAGTATCTTCGATTCATATAAAATAACACCTCGAGGTCTAAGTACATAGTGTTCCGGTGATAGTCACCACTGGCCTATCAAAACAGTAGTTCATAGCTTTTTAGAAAGCCATTTTTTAGTGTGAGTCCCCGCAATATTCGTATCGGCGCGATCGGTGTATAGGCTCATGTGGCTCACAGCTGAGGGGAGTTCAGAGCTCTTTCGTTGGCGATGGCACCTTGTTGAACGCTTCTATCTTCAAATCACCGTGGATCAGCAGCGGCTAGGATCAGAATGTGGCCGCCACTATACGAGATGCCCACCGAATGGAGAGTAGAGTAACTGCTGAAAGAGAAGAGATGATCCTGACGAAGATTCTGAAGGGTATGGTGAATGATTTTCACAACTGGAAGAGTAGCTATTGGCAGAGGATACTCCAAAACGAGGAATCCTAGGCTGTCGAGATCCAAAATCTAACCCGGATGATTCCCTTCTACTGTGGATCATTTCTATGTCCCATCTGATCAAGCTAATGACAAGCTCACAGCTCGTGCTACTAGCCAGCTAGTCTTAGGATCTAATGCCATTGATAAGTGCATGCCTCATGTTAGGCGGGCCGCCTGCCGACCCTCCCAATACTATGTATATGTAAGTGGCCCATCCAGGCATACTCCGTACCCTGGGCATACAGATGTGTCCGGCTGTGTCTTGGTCTGATATCCTGAGACATAGCCTTCAATTTTTGTGAAACCTGTTCGCGGGTGGAAATAGCTAGACAGCTCCCGTCTTAACGCTTTCGCCACCTTTATGGGTGGAGACTGATCAAACTTTCTGTCTTGTTTGCCCTCTGAGCGGCTCCTCGAGGCACGCCTCTATCTCTCTTTCATTTTTTTGGTCTTCGACACTGATCACTTTCTTGCAAACAGGTGGCTATTTTGTGAAGACAAGGCAAGGGTAGAGGGCTTGGGCTTGGGCTAGGGCTAGGGCCGAACCATATCACTCACCAACATCTCCTTTCTCTCTCTACCTTCATTTCTCTTGTGGCACGGGCTCAATTGAGAATGATTCACATCCATCTTCTGTGTCTGATCCGTCGATCCTCGGAATCGATTTCACCCCAATCTACCGTGGTCATAAGGGAGGCTAGTAGTACGAAATCCGTAAGGGATACCTTCTAGTCTGCAGCCAATATGTAGCGGCACCATCGATGCTGTTTAAGCCAATACCCTTGTATGAACTTGAGTTTTACAATCCTCTTGTCGTTAGATATCATCAATTTGCATGATCCAGAATAGAGAGTAGAGCTATACATCAAGAGATCCTCCTTGGCTACAGACCACTCCCTTGATATATATTTAGGTGGGAGTTTACCTCAAAAAGGTAAATGGGGACACGGCAACAAGTCTGTCTGTATGCTCAGCTTCCTCAATCAACCAGAACAGATATGTGTCAATATTCTCCTAGGTAGTCGACTCTCTTGATATGTATATTAGAAAGAACAATGCATATTGAAGTGACTCAGGCATAGCTATAATTTTGTGCCGCTGATTCAATCAGCTATCATGGTTGACTCCTGGGGTAGTCTGCATCGGCTCGAGGCACGCAATGGAGGGAACTGTTTCTCCCCACACTATGTTTTCTCGGCATCGAGGGGAAGGGGCATATCAATGTATGTCTGACTATGACTGCTTCGCCGTAGGAGCAATCCGGGGAGATTGACTCGCAACAGGGCGGGAAAAACTCCAGGCTACTGTCCAAGCAACTTGTCGACCTGTCAAGCATAGTGCCTTTGCCGCTGGATCGCAAAGTCTCTACAACCAACCTGGCCCCGTGTCAATATCAAAAGCATTTTCCGAAAATACTATCTCCCCTTCTGTCTCTGAGTCATCGGCGCCGCCGTGATTGCTATAAGTGGCTGCCCGAAGAGTCTCGTTAACTGAAACACTCGTTGCCTTTGAAGAAATGCTGAATCACCATTTAGAGTCCTTTTCCGTGCTGACTGCTGAGAAATGGAATACGGTTGTGTTGTGGTGTTACACTATAAGAGCGAAGTGGTCGCGCGGCTATTATTTGTAGGGTTTGGATGTAGTCCAGCAGCGTTTATGGTAACATTGCTGCTTGCTGTCGTGGTTTACAATCAGCTCTTGCTTCTTGCCTCAATTAGACTTGGGTATCGTATCCAAAGGCACTGCAGTGAGTGGCCTCTGTGGATCTTAGGCCGTGTATGCTTCTGAGAGTGTTAAATATCTTTTGATGGACAAAAGCTTCAACAATAGTACCCATAACGATACTCTCTTCTTGCAGTACTAACTAAATCACATTGGGATACACTAATAGGAACCTCAAGGGTTTATTAGGTAGCCTGAACCGTGGTATGTGTCGTTTGTGATTTAACATTGCAGCTAGGCGGATCCTGAATTGCTTCTCTATGAACCGCAAGGAGAAGTGAGACTCATATCATGTTTGGTTATGGCGTCTGCCTTGCCTGCAAAGTTTAGCTTTCACGGAGGCTTCAATATCTTTGCACCACGAAGAGAAGGAATTTAGATCGGACTTAAAGACCTTCTGAGGAACCATCCAACCAACTCTTCCCGCGAGGACAATCTAGCCCTGGCTGCCTTTAAACGGCAGACACATGGCGGTGTCATTGACTAGTTATCCCTCACTTCAAGAGATTGTCGTCAAGTCGGCAACGGCTGACCTGACAAAGGGGCGCAGAAGTCAAGGAATGGAGGGTAAGAAGCACTACTCCCACTCTCCCAGTCTCCCACCCTGTGATTCAGGCCTGATATTATGCCGAACATTCTTTGCTGCATGCAGATGCCTCGAGTAGCATTATCAGCTACGTGTGCAAACCCTGCGAGAAGCCATGGCCAATTGTGTTATTGTGCATGTGGTTGTTTTAGTCCCTTGCTTTGGACTCTCGCCTCCCTGCCTTCCTTCATTCCCTTGCTTTACTTGATTCTGACAAATACCAGCAAAAGGAAGCAGGCGTTAAGATCGTGTGAACTGCTATTCATATGTGAAGTTACGGTCAAAGTGTCAGTTGTCGGCACTTGAAACCGTAGGCCACTTGATAAACATGAGACCTGGTTCGTTGTGAAATGACGACCTAGAAGTCAGAATAGCAATGCGGCCTTAGATTAGCAGACGGCCGGGAGCTATATTGCTTCTAGTTAGGAGCAGACCTACCTTGGGAAGTCCCGTTCATTGCGGCTCAGTGTCATGATGGGGAACGAGTCGCCCACGCCACGTCAATTGCTCACCGAGTCAGTCATATTCTGGAGCATTGCGACTATTTTATACTTGGGTAGAATGTATGTATACATGGAAGCAATGTTGAAGCTGCCATCTAACGGACACAAGGGCTTCTCGTATCATCTCAAATGGATCCATCAAGCGCTTATTCTGTACGCTGGTAGGAATTGCGTCAAGTTAGGAGACAACTACTGACGAGAATCCAATAGTCGATGACTATGTCATGACTGCAACCTTTGTAAGTTATTAACCTGCGCTGAGGCTATTCAATATAACTCAAGAACCAACGCTCTTGCTCTAGCTGATCTATACATGTCTGTTGGTTCTGATCCAGATATCGTCCCGTTATGCAACAAACTTGATGGATCCGGCCGACTATGACAGAGTTCTAGCTAATCCACAAGAAGTTGAAGACCGGATATTTGGCAGCAAGGTTGTCATCGGGCTGGAACAATGCATGTTGTTCTCAACCTGGGGTGTCAAGGTCTGCATGTTGACCATGTTTTGGCGGTTGACCAAGAATCTCCGACTCCATGTCTACGTTAAAATCATCGCCGTCTATGTATTTGTCGGATTCGTGGTCATCATGATCACCTACTATGGCGTATACTGCCGGCCATTCTCGCAATACTGGGCCATGCCAGTGAGGGACCTGCAATGTGCGACCTACCAGAACTACTCCATCACCCAGGCAGTCTTCAACATAACATCCGATGCGGCGATGCTAGCAGTGCCCGTCCCCCTTCTTATCAGAGCGCAAATGAAGATTGGGAAGAAGTTGCTCTTGATCTGCATCATGAGTCTCGGCGTGTTCACGATCGTCGCGGCAATTCTCAATAAAGTGTTTAATTTCGCCTCACCACTGACGACCACTTATCAGATCTGGTACATCCGGGAAGCCAGCACAGCTATATACGTTGCAAACCTCATGTGTTTATGGCCCCTTCTCCGCAAAATTTTCAACCTAAAAGCATTCATATACGGCAGCAGGCAGTATAGACAGCAGGATGCTGCTCCACCCGTCAAAGATTCGTCAAGTGCATCACGTACCGCAGTCGCAAACTCACGGCCATCGTTCTCTTTTCGTCGGGTCCTGAAGCTCAAGGACCCCGATTGTCGAATTGCCGTCAACTTATTGGTGCCCCAACGCAGGATTGACGAGTCACCAGCAAGTGAAGAGGCGACTACTAGGATTCCCCCCGGCGGTGTGCACAAAGTTCCTGGGGAGCAGAACATTGCTTTGGAGGAATTGTACGAGGACGAGATACGTTTGACAGACGGATATCCATTAGATGATCTGGGGGATTGGTCAAGCAAAGGTCCTACTGTCAGAAAACTGCGATTAAGCTCAGAATTTGAGACCAAATAGTCTCGTGAACAGTGGCATGAAAGTGAGTTTGAATACGTGGATATAGGAAAATGACCATTTCTCTGATATACTGCTGTGCAATGACCATGAGACATGACACGCAATTTGATCAAGGATAAGATAAAAATAGTACCCGAGGCTGTTGCCTCTACTACCAGGACCTCAAGTCGCCACGTCTTCATTCGAGGTATACATGCTCTGCATACAATAGGAACTTCTACTGTGTGAATCACGCTTGCAAGTAGAAGAATACTGTTATCTCATTGCCATTTTTTTCACCCACCGTCCTCGAGAGTCGGGTCTAACCAAGGCCGCCGGAGGCAAAGAAGGCATATCGGACAGCTCACAGTCCCTATCTGCTCTCTCCAGATCGAATGTAGAGCTAGGCACTACAAGACTCACTCTGCAGAAGGGACACCAAGCATGATGCCTCGTAAGCCATGTATATCAATGAGCCTCATGCTTATGAATTGTCCAGTCTATGCACTAGAGGGACTCGCAGTCATGTATCTGGTGTCCGGAGGCTTCTATACTTATTCAACCCGCTTCGTCGATCCATCATAGGGTTTCGCCATGGGCTGGAACCACGTTTTCCAATGGGCTATCATCGTTCCCCCCGAGCTCACTGTGACCGGTCTCACGATAAACTACTAGGAAGTTTGACGGGAACGTTGCGGGGTGTGGATCACCGTCTTCCTCATTCTGACTATTATAGTCAACAGCTTTGGCTCCCTGATCTATGCAGAAGAGGAGTTTCTGGTCCTCGATATTGAAGCTGGGTGCCGTCGTGGTCTTCATGGTCATTGCTCTGATTCTCGTGAGGTGGGCATCAACGACGCAGAGGGCTTCTTCAAATCCTACCTCGCTCTTCCCGTCGTTATCTCCTTCTGGGCCTGAGGGGGTTTTTTTCTGGAAGCGGACGGGGTGGCTGCGCACGCACCAGATCGATCCATGTTGACTCTGGCCACCACGAGGTCGACTGGGGTTCGATTCGCGCCGAAAGGGAGGGACTGGCAGCTATGCCGGCTTGGAAGCGCTTACTGCATACGATTTTTTTCTAGGTGGAAAGGTGGTATCTGGCGGTTGGGATCGTTAGGGATAACGCGCGGGAAGGGGTATCCGAAGTTTGAATGCAATATTTATATCTAGTCTTCTTTCATAAATATTGAGGATATTGGTTTCAAGGCTGCAAATGCATTAGGAATAGCTTATATATTACTACAGCCTCTCAGCTCATAGTCGGCCTGAGATACTACCACTGATCATGATAAAGCACTAGGTTCCATTTATAGTCATCATCCCTTCTCATTCCAATAGCCTCTATGTACTTGTCCCATCCGTGCAGCCAGGGAAGAGAGGACCAAAAAGAAAACAAAAACAAAAACAAAAAAAAAAAAAGAACTATCCTGTAAACTCTGACTAGGTACTCTTGAACCCAATTACCCAATCCTGTTAGCCATAACAAAGCAACTATATCAGTGGGTACAAAAAAAGAAGAACAACAATACAGCAGTTGCTATCGTCTAGACAGCTTCCGCCAGGATAAGACAAGAAGGGAAAACATAACAAGAGAGCTTAGACGCCAGCGCTATGCATATTGGGATTTTTTAAGTTGTGTGTCTTCTCAGTGCTTCGTGTGTCTCGACTCGGATGTCGAAGAGGAGATCGTCAATTTCCTTCAGCGAGGTGAGATCCAGAGTCGTCATCTTGATATCGTGCAAAGCCTTGCGGAGTGTGGAAATCACGCCATCCTGGGTGATAGTCTCGGTCGGATTGTCGGTTTGAGTGGATTGAGTCGTCATTGGTTGGGTGTCCGATGTTTGAGCAAGTTCATCAGCGCCTGTTGGAACTTCATCAAGCTGAGCATGATCGCTTGTTGAGGCTTGCTCGGTCGATGGGCCTGCGTCGTCCATGTGAAGATTAGTAGAATCCTCACCTACTGTGGGTAAGGACGCTTGGGCGGCAGCTGTTTCTGGGACATGATTTTCCAGGACAGGGCTCTCCTGATTCGCTCCCTGAGTCTGGATCTCCGTCTTGTCAGAAACTTGCACTTCGGGCTCTTCGGGAGTAGATTCAGTTGTTGGCTCTGTGTACCTGACAAAAGAGTTCTCTGAGACAGCTGCCTTTTTCGTTGGGCTCGGTTTGTGCGAGCGTGTCGTACGGGGTGATTGTCTCCGAGAAAGACTTTCCTCTGCCATGACTGGCGCTGCATGACCGCCCAGGCGAGAGGATCTTCTCTTCTGAGGCGAGATCTCCGTCGGTCCAGGTTCTTTCGGTGCATCGTTGCTCGACGTTACCTGTTCGAGAGCCGGGACTGATCCTAGAATCTGCGAGCCAAAATCCACTAACTGCTCCAATTCGGTCTTCGACTGGCGCTTCCGCTTCTTGGCAACAGATGGCGCAGGCGAAGACTTGACATGTTGTGATGATGCGGAAGTCATGGATCTTGTGGCACGGGTACTCATTGCTTCTTGCATCGCAGAGACAGAAGGCGCCTTGACCGATGACAATCTCTGAGAACGACGTCGCTCTTGCGTGGAAGGCGTCTCAGCTTCAGCCTCATCCACCTCCCGTTTCCTTTTCCTTGTCATCGATTGTTTGCTGGGAGGTTCCGGAGTTGGCTCGCTTCTGGGCTTCTCGTTCATATGCTCTGCAGATTCCATGTCTTGCTCTAATTGGGATGCGATTTGAATCTCCATGTCATCGCTAAATGAATCCGCAATGCAATCCATCTCAGTGGAAAACTCGTCGTGATTTGCAGTGTCGTTAGTAACGTCTGGACGATTCTCAAGTACAGATTCAGTAACATCCACACGCTCAGTAAGATTGGTGGGTGTTCGTGGCTCATTATCTGCTTCCTGTTGCTGTGCATCCGCTGTTTCTTCAGTGTTGGTATGAGTTTCGGAGATGGGAATTTTGCTCATAGAAGAACGAAGACGGCGTTTGAGAGGCTTTTCTGACTGTTCAGGCTCATTTGTCGTCGGATTTGCGGTTTGGATGACCTGAGGTGCAGGTTCACTATAAACCTCTTTGTCTTCACCTGCAGGGTTTGGGATATTCTCTTGATCCCCTGTATCTCCATTTCCCATTCCTATATTCAAAGGTCTCTGATGAGAAATGGACAATTCCGACTTATTGCGAGAGCTCGGACTAAGAAGTCTCATTCCTGGAGGTGATGACGGAGGATCGATATCCATGTGGGAATCCATCACCTCGGTCGCCAAAGACGAAGGGTTAGTCGAACCACCCGCCGGCACTCTGCCCCTAGTACCAGGAGTAGGAGAAGAGCCGAAGAAACCATCCTCAATTTCCGCCACAGCGACTGGTAGCGTAGGCGTCTGGGGAGAATTTACCCCCGAATCAGGGCTGCAGAGCTTACGTGCATGTGGGGGAGTCAAGAATCCAAGTTCTCTTGGAGTTTGCGCTTGCGGCGACGACGGACGGATATTGTCGATAATGGCAAAGACGTCATCAGGATGCCCGGAGACTATGTCGCCGGTTGCAAAAGGAATAGATCGAACTTCGTTGGGAGAATGGAGCAAATTATCCTTCGCTGGCTGGGCAGACGGGCGTTTGATAGCCTCTCGGCCTCGAGCCACGGGCAATCCCGTAGCTTTATGTACATTCGTGACTGGGGACGAATTAAAGCTGGGAGATCGAGTACTCTGGAAATTATCGTCAAGAATATATGAAATGCGAGACTTGATCGACATATCCGCCAGATCGCCTGGTTCCTGCGTTGCCAGGGCTGTGTTGGCGAGGCCTCCGCCCTAGGAACATTGATCAGCAATCGAGAAATGAAAGTGACGACCGGAGGCAGTTACCTGTAAACTGTGTGTTCGAGTTGCAGCTTGCAGCTGAGAACTTAGGTGAGACTCCAGTTTCGCCAGAGCGCGAGAAATGCCTTCAAAAGATGCCAAGGATTCCTGTGCCCCAGAAGTGGATTTCAAAAATTCAAAGAATCTCTTTGCTATAGATGCATGCGATGATTCCAGTCCAGCGGTGATGATAGACTCAAATTTGCACAGACACAAGGCGCTATGGGGGGATGAAGCCTGTAAGATGTTGATGACAGCTGATGACAGAGCGCGACACTAAAACCAGATTAGTATATGTACCTAGGACGCCCCTTGCTTAGTGTACGTACAGCTGTAAGAATCCTGCTCTCCACACCATTTTCAACATTGACTTTGCGTGCTTCATCCTTGAGCCAAAGCGAAAGAGTTTCCTGGAGACTTTCAAGAATTCCCCAGCGGAAAGACAAGACCCCAGAGCCCAAAAACGATGTCAAAGACTCGAGGAAATCCGCAACGCCGCGCGTTTCCAAAGGATTAAATTTGGCGTAGGATTCCTGAAGTGTACGATTCACCAATCTCGCTAGATGACTCGGAAAGAATACTTCGTTGTCGCTAGGTTTGCTGTTCATTTCATTCTCTGGGCCTTCCCCCGATTCCTCATGGCAGTATGGAATGGAAAGGGACTGGGCGAAAAGAGAAGATAACGGAAGATAGGTGCTCTGAGGATCAAGTGGCAACATGTATTCTGCAAGAGGCTCTAGAGCCATCCTTGCAATGGCCCGCTCCCCTTTCTCCGTCCTCATGGCGCGAACGAGGGCTTCAAGGAGCTGGTTCCATGCGGGAAAAAACAATGGGAATCTAAGTCCAACGGAAAGAACCTTGACGACATTCTCGTAGTCACGAATGACCGAACCATCCCGTTCACGTGCCGACTCAAGGGGATAAGATCTGAGAGATTCAGCAGCAAGTTGTGCAGTCGAACTCCAGACAGTCTGCGCAAAATTACGAACACCAAGGTCGAACTCGGTGTCACTGGGATACAGCCGCGCGCACTGCTGGAGAAGTTCTAGTCTTGAGCCTCGAGACGCTTTTCCATCGCAGGCCGCTTCGAGTGTGCCACTGATTAAACGCGAATACGAAGAGGTTGGTTCCGAGATTTGAGACACGTCGCTTATGAGTCGGAGAAGGTGGAGGATAGGACTGTCTAAATTGGTGCTTCCACGTGAAGGATGTGATGTGGGTGTGTTAGCAGCCTGAAATGTCTCGTCGGCTGTCTTCAGAAGCAATTTCTCAGTAAATGAGATGCCACCAAGTGAGAAAATCATGGTCGTAGATAGAAATTGGAAACGTTCGAAGAAAGCATCCATGGCGTCGTGAATAGTGACATTCAGAGAAGAGGGACCGGCATTCCAAAGACGCTGGAGGAGGCCGAGGACGCTGCCAACAGCTTGCATAGATTCGGGAGAAGGGGTGATCTCTTTGCTAGAGGCATAGGACAGAGCGCGAGACAGGCTAATCCAGGCGCCGGCAATATTCGATTCAGCCGGATTATCACTCCAAACCGAGGACTTCAAAACCCTCTCAAAGACACCAAGAACCGTGGAGATTCTGGATCTGACCCATCTGCAATCAATCGAGGATAACTCCTCAGGTTCCAACTTGGTACTCTCATTGATTTTATTTTCCGTCCATATCTTCGCTTGCGAGCTCCATAATAGATTAGACAAAGCTTGACAGAATCGGTCATTCAGGCTGGCGTTGGAGGCGAATGTGCTTGACGGGGCGGCAATGTACTCTTCCCAAACGACATCAAGGTGATGGAACGTTGCAGAGGGCCGGAACGCATAATATAGAAGATTATGATAACTGCACATAGCCAGGTGACTAGGTTGTGACCCGAACTTTTCTTGCTTTTTTCGCTCAAATTGGGACATGATAGGTTTACTTAGCATCTTCAACATCGAACGACTCGTTGTATCACTCGGGCTGACGACAGCAACGAATCGATTCCATCCAAGGATGGCCTGGGCCTTTATCGATGATTCGCTGCAGTTAAAACATCTTTGCAGAACAAGTACCCATTCTTTGAAGTGGTCCCATTGATCGATAGTGCTCCTCTTGGTCCTCAGTAGGAGGACTATGATGCTCCAGATTTGGGGCACATGGACGCCACTCTCAAGATTCGGCATCATCCGCGCCATCCGCTCGCAGATTTCTGTTACCAATTTCCCGCCGTTGTCCAGAGGACGATCGAATAGATCGCGAACACTTTTGGATAGGGTGGGGTTCGGACCACATATCATTGTAGTTTGAAAGCCGAGGGAAATCGCCTTCAACCTCGTATCCCTGACGTGGTGGAGTAGGCCCGAGAGAAGATGTTCTACCCATAGCGCGGACTGCGAAATGAAAACTGACTTAGATTGAGTGAGAAGGCGTTGATAGATGCTTAGACGCTGGGAGACTATCGCATTCCCATTGACTCGAGTGGTAATGTCTTCAAGAACGGTCAAAAGGCGCGCGATCCGTCCATTCGTCATTACTCTCGGTTGGAAGTTTTGCATGGACAGTATGGACATATAGTGCGTCAATACCGATTTGGGTGCTTTTGCAGTTTGAAGGCAGTTGATGGAGTGCTCCACAAGGAAGATTTTGAAATCATCCGAAAATTGTGGTGCTAGCTGGAAATTCCATGCAAGCGCAGCAGCTAACTTCAGAGCTTGAATGACCAGGTTTGTGCCCAAGGGACCTCCATTCTCAAGGCCTGTGCTAAGATCCCGCTGTATAAACTGGACCATGAGACCGAGTTTATCCCCGATTTCTTGATCCCCTGGAAGCTTTTCATATGCTCTTAGTGCCCCAAAAAGCTGCATATACGCGTCCAGTCTGGAAGTTATTGACTCTCCGGCCAGTTGTTGCGAAATCGAATCCAATAGCATGGCGAACGATTCGGGGGTATACTCTTCGGGGTCAGTCGTGTTGGTCGGGGTATGCGCATTCGTCGTCTTCAGAATCGATTTTGCAGGCTTGCATTCATTTGAGGGGGGCAGCGCCTTGAGTTCCGACTTCGACTTCAGAGTGGCATTCGCAAACGACGGAGGTTTAATGTACTTCGTCCATGGTGAGAAGTTCACCCGCTTGGATTGTCGCGTAGAGGGAGCACCCGTGGAGCCGTTCACAGTAAAAGGAGAATCGCCGGGGGTCTGTACGACGATAGGAGAATCATGCGTTCGATCTTTTTCAGACAGCATACGAATACCTGTCCTAGGTGGAGTGGGCGGACGAGCAGACAGAGCGCCGACAGCCTCCACCATATTTCAAAAGATCGAACGGTTAAGAGACTGAAAAAGAAGACGGGAAAGGGACCAGAAGCATTGCGATATATGCCAGTGACAAAACTTTCAGACGAAGCTGACCACCATCCCTTAGAGAAACGTCCAACAGCAATCTCAAGCGCCTTGAAGCCCTTTACGATCTGTCTCGGCTGCAGATCCTCCTGGAGACCGCGCCAAGATGGAGGTGTTCAGGCAAAAAGACGCGCTCCGATCGCGACGTGTGGCTGAGGCACGCGTAAAGTGGTGGCTGCATGCTGGATGCCTGAGGCAATGAGGCAACAGTGGCTTGTCAGCAGTTCCCAACGATGATTTGGAAGTGAGGGAGAGCGTGTGTGCTGATTGACAGGTCACTGTGCCCGGATATTTAATAGTAATCATAACATATATACATGTGCATTCTATGATCAAGACATTCAGTGATGATTGTGCAAAGTCACCGATATAGAGGCTCATCTGTGGCTAAGTCAACTCAATGACCATCTGTGGGGTTCTTGTTATCCACCATATTGTTCAGCGGTGTCATCTAGCCTCACCTATCACCAACCCATCTCACCAACGATATTCATCTTGTATGTTTTTCTCTGATCTCAGACTGTTGTTCCTACAATCTTTGTTCTTGCATCTAAGAGCTAGTTGTGAGGCTCTTATATAGCCCGATACTGCAATTCCAGGCGTATAGGGGTCCTCCTCTGTGACACCAAGAGCCAGTCTTTGGTGAATAGTGGTCTGCCGGTCATTGAACCAGAGTCGAGAGATTCATGATGGCAGGTATGTTTCGATGATCACTGCTTGTTTCTGTGACCAAAGATCAGAAAAGATCAGCTGACGACTATAGATAAGGTGCAACAAGTCACACAACTTCTGAATATCCTCGAGAAGGATCTCAGAGACAAGTCTCTCACCTCAAGTCGTAAGACATACATGGATGAAGTTCCCTTGAACAAATATTTCTAATCCTATGGACTATGTGCACAGAAAGAGTTGAGAAACTTCTCCAGTTACGACAGTACGGCACAAGCCCACGTGATGCTGGTCCGATATATTCCCAGCGGGTAAGACTATGTCAATCCCCTTGGGTTCCGCTATTTCTGATCATTAATTCAGGGAATGGAAGTTTTGGGAAGATATGGCATTGACGGAGAAACGCCAGATGTGCGCCGTGCCGCGTTGCGCTGCGTCGCAAACGCCCTCCTGCTAGATGAAAAGATGCGCCAGATCTTTGTGGACACCGGCTATGGAAGTAGATTGGCAGAAATGCTCAAGGTATGGACAAGCCTTTTTCTTTAAAAGAACAAAAAACGTCTATAAAAGCTGACGCAGTATCCAGTGCGATACCTCGGACGACGAGATGGTTATTAGCCGGATACTCTTTCTATCCACGTATGATACCACTTTGGATTATGAGGAGCTAATCAAGAGCCACTCGCTCGGCGATAATATCAACTATGTAGGCTCGTTTGCACTGGAAGAGATACCATGTACTGACAAACACAGCAAATCATCCGACATGCAAAGCAGTTTCCCAAATCTGGCAAAAAGCCGTTGCCACAAATTGATGAACTGGCGCTCACTGATACTTTGAAATTGATATTCAACATCTCCAAGTTCTATCCGGATCTTTCTTCAACTTTTTCGCCTTCAATCCCTTATATATTCAAGATCATTAGCCGCATCGATATCCCACGGAACCCCCTCGATGGTCTGCTAGGCTATCTTCTCAACTGCCTATCGACTCTTGACCTTGAGAACAAGAAGGGCAAGCATTTTGAGAGCAACCCGATCTTCCCAACAATCAATCAGAACTGCAATGTCGATAAATTAATCAACATCTTAGATCAGGCCGTATCCGTCTATGACGCCAAGGATCTTGCAACGAAGGCCATTCCACTTTTTCATTCGCTTGTGACCATATACGAAGTGGCTCCGGATGGGCCGCGTAAATACATGCAATGGCTGCTCCTGCCAGAAGATAATGATCGCAGTCAGCCGATTGGGACTTCCGACACGCTTTCTTCGAAACTCCTCAGACTGTCGACTACGCCGTATCCAAACCTGAAGATCGCCATTTCGGAGCTCATGTTTGTTCTTTCCGGAAAAGACGCTGAAAGTCTCACAAAGAATATCGGTTACGGGTTTGCTGCCGGGCTTTTGGCCACTCGTGGCATCGAGATTCCTCAGTCCGCAGGAGAGGCGTTCGCCACGAACTCCAATGGCTTGAATCCGGATGTCAATCCAATCACTGGCCAACGGTGGGATGCCGAAAGACAAGATACAGGCCCACCCATGTCGAGGGAGGAGAAAGAAAGGGAGGCAGAGAGATTATTCGTGCTGTTCGAGAGGTAAGTCGTGGCCGTGTTTGGAATCACAGACCTTCTGGCTAACACACAGTATAGAGCCAGGGCCACTGGGGTGCTCAATGTGGAAAACCCAGTCAGACAAGCCGTTGAAACGGGACGCTTCGAGGAACTGTCTGACTCCGATAGCGATTGACGTACTATTAGCAATCCATGTTCCTCATTGCTGTTTTTACTTTCCATTTGGAGGACTAGCACATGGCTAATCCCCGCCATTCTATTACAGCCATCGACTTGGGAACTGGCCAGAAATAGTAGTGGGTCCTGTCATAGGGGTGAGTGAGATGCTTAGATTTCGACTTAAAGGACATTAGTTTAATAGTGTTTTTATACTCCATATAACGATGAAACAGTTAGCCAGCAGCCAAAAACAGCTATACTCAACGCCATTTTATGAGGACCTACTAACCATTAGCATCCTTAGCATCACATGTAAGTAATCACATGCCCACCAGGGTTTACCACTATGGCCTGTACTGTTTGCTTTTTCCCTGTTTTATGTGCCTAGTCCCTGATGTTTAACTGTCATACTACTGCTATTACCTGAGGGCTCTTTTAATGCTTAACTATACCTTATTTCCCTTAAGGAGGGAGCTATTTTAGCTCCCCTCTTAACTATCTTATTTACTCTAATCCTATAAAGCCTATAATAACTATAAGACTCTCATACTTCCCTTCCTTTACTTTTAAGTAACTTACTTATATACTACCTATATATTTATCCTTTACTATCTATTTTAAAATAGCTAGAGAAGCTTACCTTCTATTATTATTAATATTTTTTTATATTTAAGAATCTCTTGTACTTATACCCCTCTATCTACCATATAGTACTTACCTTAACTAATTAGGTCTAATAATAATAGCTATATAAGTAGTAATATTCTAGATATCTTTACGCGGGGCAGCACATTTCACGGCCTCATCCTCTACAGTTTGGTCTACTATGTGCCCGAATACTTCCAGTCGGTCAAGGCCTACAGCCCTGTAATTGCTGGTGTGGCTGCGCTCCCACAGACAGTGACCGTCGTGCCCTGTGTTATAATGGTAGGAGTAGTAGTCGGCTTCACAGGACGGTACCGCTGGGCCGTCTAGGTAGGCTGGGCTCCTGACCTGCTTCGGTGTGGGCCTGCTCATTCTGCTCGAGTCCAACACCACTGTTGTGCAGTGGATATTCCTGGAGGCTGTCTCGGGTCTAGGAATTGGGCTGCTCTTTCCATCCATCGCTCTCGCGATCCAATTCTCTGTGCCGCAGCGCCAAGTCAGCACGGCGGCGACATTGGTCTTGTTCTTCAGATCCACGGGACAAGCGATTGGCGTTGCTATCGGAGGGGTGATTCTCGACAACCAGCTCCAAAAGCATATGTTTGATGCGGTGGCGAAGGGAGCTGCCAATGAATCGCAGGCACAATCGTTGAATGCCATTACACTGGTCGAAATATTGAAAAAGCTACCGGCCGACTCTTCTGAGGCGATCATGGTCCGGCAGGCTCTGGTAGAATCATTCCAGGTGATCTGGATGGTACTGTGTGGCTTTGCAGGCCTCAATCTGATCCTGAGCATTTTCATCAAAGAGTTTCACATGAACCAGAATCATGAAACGGAGCAAGGCTTTATGCACGAGGTACCAGAAAATAACCCTAGTATAAAAGCAGATCGCAATTGATTGATGTTTCCAAGGTTCTCCATATCTAGCAGTATGAATGCCTCGATGATGTTTGTTTTTTTCTGCTGGACACAGTACGCAAGTATGGTTGTATGCAATCCCATTATTGTAGAATAAGCTGCCTCCTTCAAGCGGATTCACGTTTCTAGTTGGAGCAGAACGAATAGGTATCAGTGTTCCTGATTCTATAATGCGGCATAAAATCAATAATTTGAACAGCTTTCAGGAAGCCCGATGGATGAAATTTCATGTGAACGGTCCTATTGTGTGCTTGCATATTATGGGTCGCCTCACAATTGATCAAGTTTTGTCAGAGCCGACTCCGGGGCTTATCGCCTGACGCAGATTCTGGTAGCCCAGGAGGTCTCGTGGTCCGCCCTCGCTTCCAGAACCTTTGAACCTCATCCCAGTATTGATTATAATGATCTCTCACCAAGCCGCAATGTGGCGCGTCCGGAAAAGCAACCCCTTGAACCGCACATCCCAGCTCAGATTTAGCTTCTTTCTGATGGGACACCACATCCTCCCATCCAACCATTTGATCAGCCATCGAGTACAAGTATAATCGTGCAGCTGTCGCCCCAAAAACGCTAGGGTCATTCAGTTGCGCGCGCAGGTCTCGTACAGAACCCATCCACCCCGTCTGCTGGAGACCATTGATAATGCCAATAACGGGGTAAAGTAAAGCCTTTCCTACTGTTTGGACGGGCAGAGAGGTAGGTAATGAGTGTGCAGCCGCCTGGTATGCCCGCTTAAAGGATGTATCGCCAGGGCAGCAATCAAAGATAATACCACCGAGATATCGGCCAAATTCTGAAACGGGATGAGTGGGATCGCTCTGTAACGAGAGAGCCAGCTGGATGGCAGTATTGCACCCGCCATGTGAGAAAATATGTAACAGAATAGAATCAGTGCGTTCTTCCCCGGTGGCAGAGCCAATAAATCGCCGAATCACATCGCGGGCGGGGGCCAAACGCGTGTGGAGGACATTGAAGGGGAGTGCGCTGATCTCCAGTATGCGCGTAGTGATCAGAAGGACTGCGGAGTTGGTGTACAAAGCTCGATAGCCAGCAATGTAGTTCTGGATGCGCCGAGGCGTTGCACCACCGAGCCAGGTACAGAGTATGATGAGGGCGGGACTGCTCGTCACACGTGGCTCTAGAGGCTGCAAGAAATGTATGTTTTCACCGATAGGTTGTAGAGGGTTGAACGGGACTGCTTCCATGGCTTCTACTTGTGTGTATTGGATTTGTCTGACGGTAAGATCATTGAACACCGATCATTGGATAACTGTTCGGGGTTCGTTGAGCAGGACATACTTAGCTGAGTTCGAGAATAAAACACAGCGATAAGCACTGTCCCGCAATTATAGTGGGCCCGGCCCGGCCGCCGCCCAGGCGCCCAGCGGTGGATACAGAGATCGATCCATGTACAACATCATCTCCATTGGGCTCTCCAAAAGACTATGTGTAAGAGCTTTAGTTTGAATCCGCAATGCAACAACACTCCCTGTATTGAGCACTCTATGGTAGTGTCCTGATAATCCTACCAGTAGACCCACATGGGTAGGGGCTGGGCCTAAACCCACTACGAAACATCTGCCTTTGTCCTACGGGGACGGGGATGCAGCCAACTGGCGTAAAGCCAAGCACTTTGCTAGAAACGTACTCTACGATTCTAATGTGTTCATTCCCAAGTCCAACCCCTACTAGTTGTGCTTTACTCAAGCATAACCGGGTTGTGGCTCTCTTCCACGGCAAGTATATGAAAGCCGAACCACTACTTGGATATATAGCCTAATAGGTGCATCTTACAGAGATGGGTCATGGCATCCATGACCTATTAGCCAGGACAAAGTACACCCGCTTCCATGGCTACAGACTGCCCCCTGACTTTGGTGAGACGCCTAGCATTATGCTCGAGAATTGGTGTTGGATGAAAGATGTCTTGAAGGGACTCAGCTGTCATTACACCACACTACACCAGAATTACCTAGCAGACTGGCGCAAACAACATCCTGGCGAGCCAGATCCGCCAAAGGAAATTCCAAATGACTTGGTAGAGAGCCTCATCAAATATCGGTACTTCAACAGGGGACTTTACCATTTGTATCAGCTGTATGTTATGCGGGCGTCTGCTATGATTCCTGCCTTGTTACAGACACTAATGATCTGGATTAGGTCAACATCGATCTTTGATCTACAGATACACTCCCTGAGTACGGACAAGGAGATTGCAGACCTCGATCTACAAAAGCTGTGGTATGACCTACGTGAGGAGATAGAGGGGATGAATTTTTCTGAATGCAGAAATGGGTTTGCGTTTGGGACGTTCGGTCATCTAACGGCTGGTTATGATGTTTGTTACTATGCTTACTTATGGTATGTTATCCCCAGTTATGCCAACAGGTTATACTAACAGAAAAAAGTTGCACGGCTGTGGCCTAAGATTTGTTCCACTCTGTCTTCGCCCATGACCCGTACAATAAAGATACGTGGGATAAGTACCGTCGCGGAATTCTAGAACACGGTGGAAGTCAACCGGACCTATTGCGGATGTTGGAGGATTCCCTTGGGCGCCCTCCGAACATGAATGCCCTTGTGGAAGATTTGATACGGTCAGGTAGTCAGATTTAGTTTCAAAGATCGTTGATGATAGGAGAATTTGTTACAGAGAACCTAGGGTTTATAGATGAATCGACCAATCAACACTCTACTAACCTGATTCACTCATTTTCGTCCGCAGCCCAGGGTTTCAACTTCGGGTACACCAAAGACTTTCATCCTAGTTGATGCTTAGTAGATACCAGTCACCTTACACAGTAGATCAAGTAGGATCTATAGGGGCATATCTAATTCATGTAAACAGCATATAATGTCTCCTTAAATAAGTCAGAAAGACCTAATCAGCAGGCGCAAAGTCTTGCTTATGAGTGTTAAGTAAGATAACTTCTAATATAATAAACTATAGCTAATATATAGGACCTATAAGAGCCTTAGGGTTACTGGTACCCTAAACAGTATTTAATAGCTATGAGGGCTTTCACAAGGCTACCTGGCTACCTGGCTACCTGAAAATATTGCACTCTTATATGTATAAAAATTAGATTTAAATCTTGCCTTCTCTGCTAATACTATATATACAACACTGACTTACCCCATGGCGCATCTAGTGGTGAGACCTTGTGGTGGTGCCATGCCATCGCCAACCGCCGAAACTATGCCCGTTGGAGTTAAATGCGCGACTATTCTGGAGTGAACTAGATGTGAAATGTGATAGTTATGTGATATGTGATTTATTTAACCTTTTAGCGAGATCGGATATTAAAGCTTGACCAGGGGGGTCCTGAGATAAGGCTTCTTTCTTCCGTTAACTCCGGCCACCCGGCCAAACCCTAATTGAGTATTTAAATGCTACCTGTCTCCATGCTTGAGGAGTATACAACCCAAATCCAATCTCTTCTATACAGCTAGAAACTCGCATACATCATTACCCATCACCACTATGACTCAGACGGGAGGTCGGAACGAGCGCCTGTTGCGCCTCACCATCAAACTCTACAAAGGTCAAGCCCGCCAAGGTGGGGAGGGCCATGATTTTGCTCGCGACTACGTTGTCAAGGCGGCCAAGCTGCATGCTAAGCATGGCATCTACGCATACCAGCAGGTGAATCAGTCAACTCCGTAGTATCGGAACCCCCCATCTGACAGATATAAAACGATAGTGCTATTCGCCACCGGCATACCGGACGTTTGTCGATGGGATGAACCGCCGCAACAACCGCGGCTGGGTGATTGATGTAAGATACCGAAGATACCAGCCTCTTTACTGTATTCAACAATGAAAACTGAACAATCGAATCACCGAATAGGACCACGATGTGACAATCGAATTCTACTTCCGCAGTTTCGAAGAACTTAACAAGGTCAACCATGACCCGGAGTTCCAGGCTCTGCAGGCCAGTGAGGAGCCCTATGTCAACCGGGCGCATACCGTGGTCTCGCTGTCGTGGATCGAGAAATACGTCGATAACAACGAAGTGGTGAATATTGTGGATGACAAGTCGACCTACCCCGGTTACGATGAGTTGTTGGAGCTGTCGACCGCGCTGCCGACGGGGTCCGCGGCGTGGGTGAAGGAATAGATGAGACGCGCCTGTGTACTTAGTTTCAACTTGGTTGTTACAGTGATTGAGTTCCGTAGGTGTATGAAGTTGTATTCCCCATCGTTTCGTATATTGAGGGTAGTCCATTCGGCGTTCGGTGTAAGAACAGAATAGTCAGGGCTTTCGTGGTTTCGGCCCCCTGGGATTGAAACCAGCAATTTATATAACCATCACAAACCAACATCAACAAATGTACAGTACACCTACACCACCTACCCACTCATCACACAACCCTTTTGCTTCCAGAGAAAAACAAAATTCCAAGAAAACTATGGCCGACTATGCCTCCACCCCGTTGACCACCACCACCCTGGGGACGGCCCTCCTCCGACTTAGCCCGCTCATGATCTCCTCGGCCTCACTGATGCGCGCCTGGGACCAGCAGAACGCCTTCCGCTCGTTCCTGGCGCCGCCGCTCTTGCGCAAGCCCCACGACATCTGCGCGCATGTTGTGGTCGACTGGTTCGCTGAGTTCGCTAAGCCAACCAAGTGGGTGATCATCCTGTCGTACCCATTTGCCCTGATCATCGCCTTCATCAATGCCTTCGGGGCGCCCGGCGCAGGCCTCCACCCTGGAAAAGTCACAACGCGATTCTGATTGCATGAGGGAAAGCTTGTTGGGTGTGTTCTTTGTTCTTTGTCTCATGGAGTTAACGAATCTTATACCCTATAACTCCGTTGCTGCATGCATGCATGTATGCCACACTTTCAGACACTGAGGTTCAATCAAACAACAATAAGCTTCCCCCAAGCCCGATTGCCCCCATCGCAACGCCGATCTGCCATTTTGATCGAGTAGAAAATGGGAGCTGAGCTTGGGTTCAAACAGCCAGGTCTCCCCCGTCTTGATCATTCTCAACATTCTTTGACTATGCTACCATAATTCCCGCAAATCCTGACCACTTAACACAATGAGTCAGCCAGCACAACAGCGTCCTGCACCATTACCACAGCCCGGAGCGCGAGGCTGGAGGTTCTGGACCATTTTCCCTCCTCTTTGTATTGCCACCCTCTTCTCTGCCCTCGAATCGACCGTCACGTCGACCTCACTGCCCGAAATCACCGCTTCCCTGCACGCCGGGTCCAACTACACCTGGTTCGTCAACGGGTATCTGCTAACCTCGACCGTCTTCATCCCCTTCTACGGCCAGTTCGCCCAAGTCTTCGGCCGCCGCTGGCCGGCGATGGTCGCCGTGGCGATCTTCACGCTGGGCAGCGGCATCAGCGGCGGCGCCAACTCGACGGCGATGCTCATCGCCGGGCGTCTCGTGCAGGGCCTGGGGGGCGCCGGGATCGGCACGATGACCAACCTGATCATCAGCGACCTGGTGTCCGTCCGTGAGCGCGGCAAATACCAGGGCATCATCTTTGGGACCTTCGGCATCGGCATCGCGATCGGGCCTGTCATCGGCGGGGCGATCGCACAGAGTGGGCACTGGCGCTGGGTGTTCTGGCTGAACCTGCCCCTCGGCGGCGTGACGCTGGTGCTGCAGTTCATCTTCCTGCAGATCACCTTCCGGAAGGTCTTCACCTTCACGCAGAAGGTGAAGCAGATCGACTGGATTGGGAATTTTCTGCTGATCAGCGCCATGATCGCCATCCTCATCGCCCTCTCCTGGGCTGACACTGTCTATGCCTGGTCAGACTGGCACATCCTCGTCCCATTCCTGATTGGGTTTGCGGGCCTGTTCACCTTCCATGCCTTTGAGGCGACGCGCTTCTGCCGTGTGCCCACCATCCCCGGCCGCCTGTTCTGCAACCGCACTAGCACTATCACCCTCCTTAACACCTTCCTCTCCTCCATGCTCAGCTACTGGCGCTCCTACTTCCTCCCCATTTACTTCCAGAGCGTTCTCCTCGTCTCCCCGCAGCGCTCCGGCGTGCTGCTACTCCCTAGCGTCCTAATCGCCGCCCCGGCCGCCATTCTCTCGGGATTCGCCCTGTCCCACTTTGGCCGCTACAAGCCCATCCACCTCCTCGGCTATGCCCTGATGACCCTCGGCACGGGCCTGTACATTGACTACGATGCCCACTCCTCGCTGGCGAAGGTCGTGCTCTACCAGATGGTCGCCGGCTTCGGCGGCGGTATTCTTCTTACTACCTTCCTGCCTGCCGTGCAGGGCGCAAACCCCGCCAAGGACCTGGTTCCGGCGTCCGCGACGTGGGCGTACCTGCGTGCCTTCGGGAGTATCTGGGGCATCGCTATCCCGTCGGCCATCTTCAATAGTCGGGTCTCGTATTACGTGCAGGCCCGCGTGTCTGATCCGTCTGTCCGCGCGGCGTTGGGTGGTGGGGGTGCGTATGCGCATGTCTCGGCGGCATATATCCGGGCGCTGCCGGATGGGGTCAGAGAGGAGGTGGTCGGGGCGTATACGAGTGCGATGAAGAGTGTGTGGGAGGTTTGTGTGGCGTTTTGTGCGGTGGCGGTGCTGTTAACATTGCTAGAGGAGGAGATCCCCATGCGGACGACCGCGGTGGAGGGGGATTCGGCGCTGAGAGAGAAGAAGAAGGAGGGTGGGAGTGCTGATCCTGCGAATACTGCTGGTGCTTCTGGGGAGAAGGATGCTGAGGCGGGGAGAGTGGAGGAGACTATTCCGGTTGCTTCGTCGAGTGAGGGGTCCGGGGATGATGGGCTAGCCAATCCCTGGAAGGGTAAGAAGTCTGTTGTGGTACTAGTAGACTACCAGAACGACTTCATCTCAAGCGCGCCCAGCCCTGCTATGTCAGAACTGTCTACCACGATTCCGAAGCTCATACAATGCGCCCGCAATGAGGGAAGCGAAGTCATCTTTGTGCGCTTCCTGGGAAACACCAGCTTCCAAGGCCCCAGCTGGAAGCACCGCAATGCACTGCTTGGGAAATCGGAGAAGTGCGTCGAGGGCACCTGGGGAGCGGAGCTCGGCCCGGGCGTCACCCCTGAGCCTGGCGAGCGGGTCTTTGATAAGAAGGGGCTATTCGATCCATTTCTGGTCCCGGAGTTCTCAGAGTACATCACTAAACAGGGGTTCGAACATCTGCTGCTGGCGGGGTTGTACAGTGATGTCTGTGTTGATGCCACGGCTAGGACGGCCTTTCAAAAGGGGTTCTGGATCACTGTTCTGGAGGATTGTACTGCTGCTTTGCATTTAAGTCAGACCGAGCATTTGAAGTTTATGGAAAAGGTGTATGGCGCCCGTGTCGGGAAAGTGGCAGCCTTTTTCGGGACGAAGGCTTAGCTGGGTCTCTGGAGCGTAGGATTGTACTTGGGATTGAGTATGTAGCTTTCAACGCTGGATTAGAGAGCAAGAATGTAGATAGAGATTGGCAGAAGCGTGTCGTAGAGAAATTTTGGATTTGAGGGGTGGAAAAGTCGCGGCAAAGTGTGTTCCTTATAGCAAGCACATCATCTACCACCATCACTAATGCACCTCTGGGGATCAAATACACCACGCAGGGGAATCTTGCACCCCCGCCCTGGGGGCACCCACCAGAGTGCATATCATCTTGGCAGAGTATATATTAGAGTATATATTATTAGCCCCCCTGCTGCCTCCAGTGCCATGATGAATGGATGATATGGTGCATCTAGTATCAGGGATAATTAGCTACACTACCTAGGTAGGAGATCCAGTATAGTAGTATATTAGAAGCTATCCCTAGGATAGGATATATATTAGGTAGCCCATTCCTGTATACAATCTACAGACTACACTATAAATATATATATTTACGTCTCCACTAATCTACCCACCCTAATATAAATCCTAATTCTAGTGACCTTACTTCTCCTCTTTTATCTTCTTTCTCTCTTTGTCACTGATTTTAGTGGTTGTTGGTTCTGAGTTTTGTGGTGCGGTTATGCCACTCTAGCTAATAATATATACTCTAATATATACTCTGCTAAGATGATATACACTCTAATATGCATTCCACCAAGATGATATGAACTCCGACGTGCACTCTGTAACAGCATGCACTCTGGTGGGTGCCCCCAGGAGGCAGGTGCGAGATTCCCCTGCATGGATGCAGAGGTAATACCTTCTATATCTATGTATCACATAAGGCTATACATAACATCTTATAAGGGAGCCTCTTCCCTCACAAGGGGATGTTTACTATATATTTTAGAAGCATCTTTACAATTCTTACAGGTTTGGATGCTTCTTAACTATATCAGACACAGACCGTAATGTGGTTAAATAGTGGATTATAATTAAACATGGAAAACACAAAACTGGCACATTAGACCTCTGTGCATAACCATATTTTATATGGGGTTTGTGCAGATAAGTCTGGCAACTAATCATTAGGCTTCCAGCTCGAGTCCCCTGCCATGATTTTCTTCTCATTCAAGAAATTTCACGAGCTAGACGCAGACCGGCATGTTCCTCAGCCACAAGGAAGCATACTACAACTACTACAGCCTAGACTACTACAGAATTTGAACTTGATAGGTATGACCCCCAAAAGTCCTCCTCCAGCGGGTCAGAGCAGTTGTGACGGCAACAGTCTTGATGGCTAGGGGAATAGTAGTTTCGGTTCGTGGGTAAGCCATGAATACGTGCATGAAAGCTGCGACCATCTTATATGTTCTAGGGTGGTGGCCGAGTTGGCGCAGTATGAGATAGAAGAGCTTTGAGTTCCCGGCGTTGAGCATAAACAGGTTGGCGTGTTTGGAATCAATAACGGTCTCCAGAGCTGATTCTGAGATTAGGAATAGGCGAGATCTTGTTCCGAGTACTTCAAACATACCAGCGGACCCAAAACTGTCAACAAGAGCGGGCTGGCGGGATATAGCGCAGATATGCGTCAGGCATACTGATAGTGCTCCTGTATCAGGGCGAACGCTGACATTCTGAAACCATGGCCGTCGGTGATAGGGGGTATCCACCCATTCTGGACTTGAGTACGGATGTGGATCCTAGCGAGGCGCTGTTGAGTCTGGCTGGAGGCAGCTGAATCGTTGATGGCCAAGATGCTTGACGAGACGATGGACTATCTCGTCAGAGTCGACTAAGGGCGTGGTGAAGATCTGCGGCCAGTTGGCCCCCAGTTAGGAACCCAAGAGGGAGTTGCCTTAGGGCCTGCTAGGCCTGCAGCACAATAGAGAAGATTCAATTGCTTGAGATTGACAAGGCAGTATGCGAAGAAACCAATAAATACATGCTTCCCTTGACCCTTCCTGCTAATATAGGCCAAGGAGACCGAAAAATTTATCCGTGAATCTGATGCGTGCGATCTGGAGGCGAGCTGCAAAACTTGGAAGATATTCTCGATACGGAGCGCCATCTTCGCCATGAACTGAACCCAAAATTGCCTCAGGTTATGTCCAGCTCCAGGCTGACAGGTTATTTAACGTGCGCGAATCGGTCTAGAACTCATAGTCACCGGGCGGAAGAGAGCGCGCTGGGAAACCACAAGCTCCTGGACAACCCATACTTGACTGAAGTATTTGCATTTAAGTATGTCACGTAGCAGCACTGGAGAGCTCCCTGCTAGAGCACCCGCACTAGGTTCAAGCTTATGTAGACAGTGCCGAGGTACAATATTGTTTGTGGCTGGAGCAGCTAAGTCTGGTCCTAGATACACCACGACTTGTACACACTGCTCGCAAATTTTCCTCATATTGGCGACCTGCTCTCCCCACTTGATATCATCTGTTAATGCACACCACACCAACCCAGATAAGTCGCGAACCTTGTTGCTGGCGCACCATCTTCAGCATACTCCAGCAATTCTGGGTCTGAAAGAAAACGTCCCAGTAGGGGCCAACAAAAACTGGCCTGCACGAAGTATAATCCCTATTGTCGCCGCCCCACATATAGGAGACAGTCTCGTACTCCAGGCTGTTTGCAAGAATATGCGTCTCAAGTGATATATGGACCAGGTGAGCTATCATTACTTGATGAATTAAATCGGGCTAATCTGACCTCCTTGGGAGTCAGCTTGTCGTGGTATATCAGTGAGAGACTAGCTTCTACGAGGTTATTAGATAAACATGTCTGATCACCTGGAGGAGAAGCGGCCCACGTATATGGAACCAACTGAGGCCATCGCAGATTCAACTGTCCGGTGGGTTTGTTTTTAGGAATCAGTGGAGGTGCGCTTGGTGTGACTAGCCCTTAAGATGCCAGCATTTCTAATCGAAAATCAATGCCACAGGACCTGCAATGGGGAGTCTCTGCATTGACGATAATACTGGGTGCCGTGCAGGAAGGGTGATGCCAGCAACTCATGGCATAAGGTGGAGCTAGATGGTGCACAGAAGGGTTATAAGTGCTACAAATGTCCAGAAAGAAGAGAGGGAGAAGTTGTGGTTATTAGTCTCTCAGTTGCTAAAAATAATGAATCTAATTTGATCCAATCCTATCCAACGCATGAAACCCGCTTGGGTCACCAGATAAGTTGCGGCGTCGCGCCGTGCCGTTGCCAAAGGGTCTTGGCAGCAATGTAACCAATATCTGGCAGAATCCTTAAGTTTTCACTCAAGACGTCCTGCTCGATCTCTGGTACCTTGGTTATAGATAAGCTCTAACGTCATAGATGTTTAGTACAGAGGTTAAATAATGTTCAAGCTCTGCTCCATGCCAGGCCTAAGAGGGCTCTCGCCGAAGTGTTCATGTCCGTTCATACCACAAGTAGTAAGAAACTGCTTCATGAATTATCTTTCTGCTGAGTTCTCAGTAATGTTGCAGGACGTGGCTACAGCGTGCTATGTACCTATAGAGTCGCGGATAAGCACTATGGGCTATAGTTGGAGCTCAAGAACATTCAGCTTGAGATGTGTGGTTATCATCTGTGTTTTGTGTATGTTAATATAGTATTGCCTAACTCCTAGTATGTGTGAGAACACTAGGTCTCATATATGGAATATGACTAGTGTGAAAGAATAGATACTACATAGCTCAGATTTTAAGAATTTAGATAATTAAGTAGATTAATGCTAGGTTAGGATTCTTCCTCTATAAGAGAGAATTTACCTAATCTACTACTTAGTAAGGGCTAACTAAGAGATACCCATATATAGGTAAGATAGATATCTTTATTATATTATTAGGAGGCCTTATAACTACCCCCTTCTTGTATAGGTCTTAGTCCCTTAAGATATTTATAGATATTATTTTTATAGTTAGTATTTAGTACCTTATAGTCTTCCTAACCTATAAGCCTCCTCTATGTAGTATAGTTATTAAAAAATTATATAAAAGTCTAAAAATCTCTTTATAAGAATAAAAATTATAGTTAATATAGGAAAAAGATTCTCTTATTACTTATAGAGGCCTAAAGTTTAAAGACCTTATAGCTTATTTTTATTATATAGATAACTAGTTAAGATAATTATATATCCCTCTCTTAAAGATAATACTTCTAGCCTCTTATAATCTTTTTTTTTCTTCTCTTCTTAAGCTATTATCTATTATTTATTATTTATTATTTATTATCTATTATTAAAAATAAGTAAATTCTATCTATCTTTCTCTTATTTTAAGTATCTTTATCCCTCTCTTTATAAGTAGGGATAACTATCTCCTTATATAATACCTCTATATCTATAGATAATAATCTAAGTTATCTATAAGTAGTTCTTCTCCTACCCCTAATTATAATAAGATCTTTTAAGTAGAGTATTATTATAAGCTTATCTTATATAATATCCTTATCTATAGGTTATTTCTATAGCTTATAGTTTTATGCCTTATAAAGAAGATTCTTTAGATTATTAAGCTACTATTTTAGGAACTTATAGAACTCTTTTTATCTATAGTTCTTATAGAGTTTATATATACCTAACTTTTATAGATCTATAAGAATATACTTTAGATATAATATTATAAATTTAATTTTCTCCTCCTCTATAATTTATATACTATCTATATATAATTTAATCTTTATAATAAATACTTAATATATTATATAGCTTTCTATTAAATATAACTTATACTTTATAGGCAGCTTAGTTAATATTATAAGGTACTTTATAGATAGATTATCTATAGTATCTAATAACTATTATTTATACTACTATATAGATAGGAATAATTTATCCTAGATTACCTTTATTTATTCTAGAAGGTTAAGTCTCTATATAAGAGCCTTATTATCTATATTATCTAGATTAGAGATAGGGGTACTAGTCCCCTATCCTCTATTTATATCTTTATCTTAGTCTTATAAGATACTTTAGGTTCCTTATTAAACCTCTTTTTCTTTTCTTTATAAGGACTTAATAGGCCCTATCTTTATAGCCTTTTTCTTATAGATTATTTCTAGAGATCCTAAGGATTCTTTATAGAGTTTATTAATTTCTACTTTATAGAAGGTATTCTTTTAGTCCTATAATCCTTTAGGGGCTTATAAGCCTACTCTACTAGTTATTATCTTTTCTAATAGATTAGTTATAATAGATTAAGTATTAAAATTATGAAAATACTAGATCTTATATATAAAATATAGCTAGTATAAAAGAATAGATACTATATAGCTTAGATTTTAAGAATTTAGATAATTAAGTAGATTAATACTAGGTTAGGATTCTTCCTCTATAAGGGAGAATTTACCTAATCTACTGCTTAGTAAGGGCTGACTAAGAGATACCCTCATGTAGGCAAGATGGATATCTTCACCATACTTATTAGGAGGCCTTACACTTATTCTTATAATTTACAGATTTACCACTTGCCAGAGTAAAATTATGAGCTCATCCAACCTACAACCACTCGCGCAAGCTATAAATGCTTATTAATGGTCTTGGTGGTCACATGTATGGGGTATGACTCATGTGAGCTGTGTACACAAAAGGAAGGTAAAGAGGGTGAGTAAGATGCTTAGATCAGCTATACAATGCTCACTTAGGTGAGCTTAGTACAGGTCTTGGCAGGTAGGTGCTGACTAATAATAGGGTAAGCCTACCTACAACAGGTCCCTTACTGTAGGAGCTACAGTGCTACCTACTATTGTGAGCTGCATTGACATTACCATACCATACTAATATACCAAGTATCATTACAAATGCACAGTCATGGATCAATAACCTAGTGAGCATCTGTACTGGAGTAGTCGCAGGATGCTTCCAGAATGGCCCAGTGACAGACTAGATGGCCCTGGATGAGGATAGATGGATGACGTACCAATCCGAGGACTGAGACTGGCGGGGTCCGCAAAACTTCCCGCCCGCCGGAAAAAAAAAAAGAAGAGTGCGGGGCAATTTATCATCGCCCAGTTCTTCTTTATAACAGAGCTATTGCACGTCTACAGAATTCATTACACCTTCTTTTTAGAGGATATAAATCGATTTTCTACTGTCTTCACATCATTTTACGATACCAACAGCTCACGCCAAAATGTCGAAGCCATTTGACCCAGAGACGGCAGATAACCTGGAGGATGTACGTGAGATGCCTTGTCTTGTGTCTTACCTACTTGAGCTTCAGTGACGGTGCTAACTTTTGCTTTAGATTGAGAAGCAGTTCGCTGTGAAGGGTTAGCCACTGTCAAGCCGTTTGGATTATCCCTCATACTAACAAACGTCGCTTACAGCCGTTGAACAACTGATGACATACTGGTCGATCCTCGAGAAGGTCCGGGGCTCGCAGCTCAGACTGACGAAGATGGACGACGATATCTACGAACACTTCAAGAAAGAATTCCCCGACTTCGATCCTTCAGCTACTCTTGACGAGAATGAAATGAAGAGCAAGGAGGGCAAGGAAAAGTGGCGTGAATTCATGAATACCTATGAGAACAGCATTGCCGACTACAATTTCGGTACCATGCTCCGGGCCAGAGCCGACGTTGAATACGATCAAGAAACAACCATTTTCGGTGAGTTTCGATAGCTTGTGAGATTTTCTGATAGAGAGCTAACCGGTCATTGAAGCAATGCGCATGCAGTTCTATGCCATTGAGATCGCTAGGTAAGCTTCTGCCCATTCCATCAGCGTCTATTTATATGTTTCTAACCAGGCTAGAAACCGTGCTGGTCTGAATGATTGGATTTATGAAAAGGCGCACCCAGAGGAGAAGAAGGCAAGCTCATAAGGGCTGTCTGCTTTCTTTGTTCCCAAATATGCACTTGACTACCAATGAAAGAGAAGGGGAATTGTGTAGAGAATACTGTCGATTATTTGAGGATTGATTGGCCTGCGCTATGGCAACATGGCTACCCATCTCTGGTGGCAACCCATTTGATCGATATCAGCTGCCCAGTCCCGTCTGCGGGTGGCCCTTTGTCAAACAGGCTGAAGGCCTAGGGAACATTACTCGCACTTGACTCTGCGACATTTGACTCACGGCACACCTAAACTTCTTCAGATTTGGCTTGCAGTCGAGAAAATTATCTATTCTACCCGGCAACTCAGAGCGCGATAGATTTGCGTCTGAAACCCACAAGGAACCCAAAGTTGTCGAAGCGACACGATCGAATGATACCTGGTCGCTCTGCAATCTTGAGAAATTCATTTTGTACATAGTCCTTGGATGCTTAATCTAATATTCATTACGCCCCGGATGGCACGTGACTGCTTTGTCTTGCTCATGGGTGAAGAACAATGGTAACGGCTGGCTTTCGCGTTCCTTTGTTCGCACAGCCGAAGTGACTGCTTCAATATTACCGCTTCGGGCATTGGGACATAGAAGGCAAAGAAGAATGAGAAAGCATTCCACAACGCCCTCATATTCTCATACAGAGAAGACTCGAGTCTTCCGACGTTTTTGTCGGTCATTTCTACAGACACTCCTCTTCCAAATGCTATTTTGTCTCGGGTCCATCTACTTGAAAACAGTTAATTCCACTGGAGTTTGCTACAGGGAGTGTCAGGAACCACTCAGCCATGACCTACAAGGTGAAATCGTTAATCACTGCATCCGTCTCCAGCTTCAAGTGCGTGCGTAGCTGGAGATGGAGTTGGATGTCCCTGTTCAATTTCACGACCAGAAGCCATTCTGCAACACTAAGTCTGGCGATAGTTTTCGCTTTCCTTGCTAGTTCGATTACTCCTATATTTGCAATCCTCCTTGGGGAAATTTTCAATTCATTCACGTTATTTGGCGGTGGTCAGCTCAGCAACGATGGACTGCTTCAGGATGTAGCCAGAAATGGCATCGGACTCGCAGGTTTGGGTGTTGCTTCCTGGATTCTGAATGGAGTATACTTCACCCTTTTCATCATCTTTGGGGAATTGCAAGTCTCCAATGCTCGTATCACGCTCTTCGAAGGGTTGCTGGAGAGAGATCAGGAATGGTTTGAGACTCAGAAAGATGGTACTAAAGCCCACTTGTCCTATCTCCAGGCGTAAGTCGATCCCTGTTTGACTCATTTCCATCCGTACTGTTCCTACCTGAATGTTCTCTGCTCACTATCCATCGCAGTCAAATCCAAGAATTACAGATGGCGACCTCTCAGCCTCTCGGGCTCGTCATACAATTCGCATTTCGTACACTCATCTCGCTCGGCCTGGCATTCTATACCTCATGGAGTCTGTCTCTGATCACTCTGGCGGGAATCCCGGTTTTCTCGAGCCTTGTTGCCCTGGTATCATCTCGCATGAAGCGGAGTATAGAAGCCCAGCAGGATGAGCTAACTCACGCATCCAAAGTTGCAAATAGCGCCACCAGCTCAATTGACACCGTCAAATGTCTCAATGGGCAGGAATTCGAGCTTCGAAAGTTCGCAGAGAAGATCGATAATGCTGCAGCACACTATCTGAAACAGGCACGTCTCAACTCTCTCCAGATAGCCATTATACGGTTAATGATGTTTGGTATGTTTGTGCAAGGGTTCTGGTATGGCACTACTCTTGCAACATCCGGGAGACTCACTGCGGGTGAGGTACTCAGGGCATTTTGGGCCTGCTTGACGGCAGCTCAATCTATTGAAATGGTCTTGCCGCAGGTAATAGTGCTGGAGAAAGGCAAGGTTGCCGCATCGATGTTGAAAGAGCTCCTGAACGGTTCAAAGATTAAAAAGCGCGCCGAAAGCATCAAAGGAGCATTGTATCCGCGCTATTGCAAGGGCGACATTGAAGTTTCCAATGTGAGTTTCCTCCAAGAATCATTATTCTTACCATATGTCTCGTACTGCTGACACTCTATCTACAGCTCTCTTTTACCTATTCATCTCAGCCTGATAGGCCCATCCTCAAGTCAACCAGCTTCTTCTTCCCTGCCGGCGAAACTACGTTTGTCATTGGGGAAAGCGGGTCTGGGAAGAGCACACTTGGGCAGTTACTTGCTCGTTTATACATGCCCACTTCGGGAGAAATCCTCATCGATGGTGTCGCACAACAAACCCTCAGCATCAACTGGATTAGGAACAACATCACTCTAGTTGAGCAACGGAGCGTTCTTTTCAATGAATCTGTTTTCACCAACATTGCCTTCGGTCGTCGGGCTTATGATACCGTCACGAAGGAAGATGTACGAGACTGCATCGACCTGGCAATGCTTGGTTCTACGATTGGCAATCTACCAAGTGGTCTCGACACTTGTGTCGGAAACGGGGGAAGCTTCTTGAGCGGAGGGCAGAGGCAGAGAGTGGCAATTGCAAGAGCCAGGTTGAGAGATACCCCAATTTTGATAATGGACGAGCCTACAAGTGCTTTAGATGGCATCAACCGCAACGCAGTGATGAAAGCGGTTCGAGAATGGCGCAGGGGAAAGACAACGATTATCATTACCCACGACATGTCCCAAATTATGGATCATGATTATGTCTACGCTCTCGAGCACGGGTCGGTGACGCAAGCAGGGTACAGGTATGAGCTTAAAAACAGCCCAGCCAAAGAGAAGTATTTCCCGTTTACCGACAAGAAGGACGTGGATGAAGCATTCAAAACTGCAGAGTTGAAAGAAGTCCGCGGTTTGTGCTCAGATACAGATTCAATAGAGACCACGGGGAGTCACCATGGTGCAGAAACACCGACTCATTCCACAGAAGCTCCTGATGGATATGAGATACTTCGCCCAATGGATCGAAAAATCAGGATTCAACAAAAGAGGGGGTCCGGGTCGAAGAATAACAGGCCCAAGTTACGGGGTATGTCATACGACGAAGAGAACTGGACGTCTCAGGGATACGAAATACCAATGCGAGAGCTCAATGCTAAGCCACACAGATCTACCACTTCTCGTCAAACCCATTATGGCCATGCTGCTTCGAAACGTTCTATTTCTCAAAGAAAAGCAAGAGCTCGTCGTCAGTCTGCTGAAGTATCTCACAGTGCAAGAAACAGCACAATTATCGCGAAGGGACAGCGTCTATCTCTCACTCAGACTCTGCGGACATTAATTCCGAGCCTTACAGTATGGCAACGTTTGCTACTACTGCTCGGAGTAGTGTGCACGCTGTTGCACGCTTGCGCGACGCCGATTTTCTCTTACTGTCTCTCGCAGTTGTTCCGCTCCTTCTACGATACGACCAATAACTCCATGAGATGGTCCTTGGTAGTTCTCGGAGTTGCAATCGGTGATGGAACCGTATCGTACTTCATGCATTATCTCTTGGAACTGTGCGGTCAGGCCTGGGTTGATTGTCTTCGGAAACGAGCATTCCAGCGAGTGCTGGATCAGCCTCGGCAGTGGTTTGACGAAGAAGGCAACTCAGCTTCCCGGCTCACTGCCTGTCTAGATCAGAACGGAGAGGACATGCGGAACCTCGTTGGTCGCTTCGGAGGCTTCGTTCTAGTGGCAGTCGCGATCACCCTGACTGCAGTCATCTGGTGCCTGGTCGTATGTTGGAAGCTGACCCTAGTTGCGCTGGCTTGCGGGCCTGTCATCTATGTCATCACAAGGGGTTTTGAGAAAACCAGCGGGCTCTGGCAGGGCCGATGCAACGAGGTTAACAGGGTTGCGTCTGATGTATTCATCGAGCTGTTCTCGGAGATACGCACCGTCAGGACATTAACTCTCGAGTCGTTCTTTCACAGAAAATATCTGAAAGCGGCGTCAAAGTGCATGGAAGTGTGTCTGAAACGAGCTGTTCATACTGGAGCCCTGTTTGGTCTCGTGGAGTCCACGATCATATTCGTCACTGGTGAGTCGCTGTCCCATCTTGAAATGGCTTTTGCTAACCAGCATTCAGCATTGATATTCTACTATGGAGCGCTGCTTGTATCATCCGGATATACAGTGATCAATGTAACCACCGTATTTTCAATACTCTTGTTCAGTATTGGATATGCCAGCACAGTGCTATCTTGGAGTAAGTGCCATGTTTACGACTGACCTTGACCTTTCTGGCTGGAACACCCTGCTAACGCTTCCCCAGTCCCACAGATCAGCTCTTCACAAGAGATGGCCAGTCAGCTTCTGCGCCTAGTAAATCTCCCTGCTGGGCTACCTCATGAACATATAGGAAATAAATATGTTCTGAAGGCGGCCCCTGTGAATATCAGGAACCTCAATTTTCGATATCCATCACGGCCTGACGCGCAGGTTCTTCGCGACGTCAGCCTCAATTTCCCTCAAAACTCTTGCACGGCTATCGCAGGAGGCTCGGGATCAGGGAAGTCAACGATTGCATCACTGCTCCTATCGCTCTACGAAGCACCACTATCCAAAAACGGAAGGCCAACAATCTCCTTGGGAGGCCTGGATATTCGACACTTGCACACGCCTTCTCTCCGTTCCCTGATTGCGGTAGTCTCACAGCAGCCCACCATATTCCCCGGAACTATCCTGTCCAATATCTGTTACGGCTTGGATGATGATTCTCCATTGAGGAGGCTACACAACGTGCGGGCGGCAGCTCAAGCTGCGGGAATTGATGATTTTTTCTCGTCACTCCCTAACGACTATTTCACTGTCATTGGAGACGGTGGGGTAGGACTGTCTGGCGGTCAGGCGCAGCGGTTGGTGATCGCACGGGCTCTTGTGCGACGGCCGCAGGTTCTGATATTGGACGAGGCGACCTCGAGCCTTGATCCTGAAAATGCAAACTTGATTCGACGGACAGTGCAGAATCTTGTGTCTGCTCGCTCGGGCTTGACGGTGATTATAATTTCACACGCCAGGGACATGATTGAGATCGCAGATAACGTCGTAGTCCTGGAGCAGGGCTCTGTTGTGGAACAGGGACCATACGATGACCTCGCAAAACGACCTAGTGGGAAACTGAACGCTTTGATAAGGCTTGGAGATACAGGCGCATTTTAGAGAAATTTCCTATATCTGAGAAGACATGCATCGTTTGAGCCACAGTAGGAGTATCAATAAGAAACATTAGCGAAATGGCGATTGAACCACTCCAGAGCCTGATCCTCCGCTTCAGCAGCCTGCTTCTCAGCATTGTCAAGAACATGGTCCGCTCGCACGCAGAATCCATGCCCAGCTCCGGAGTAAACCCTGACCTCTCCCACACCCTTGCTGTCAACGATTCTTTGAATTTGTTCAACCTGCGGCTTCTTCACCACCATATCCAGTTCGCCCATGGCAAAACTAACGGGAATCCGGATCTTCTCAATCTCTTCGGGTATCTTCAGAAAGCTGGGGTGGCCCGTAAAACCGGCATCAATCAACGGCTTGCCGTCCACTTCGGCCCCGTGCACAAGATTGACGACATACTTTCCTCCCCAGCAAAATCCGGCTGCTCCGATGGGCAGCCCGGAGCCTTCGTTCTGGCGCACAGCGGCGAAGAACGACTTGACGACGGGCCAGGCCTTGCTGAAGCGATTGGAGTACATGAACGGAACCATGGAGCTCACGGCACAGCTGAGATAGTAGCTTTGGGGATCTGATCAACAGAGCTCGGACTTGGCTATCACGGGGATGCGATTCGACTTACGGCTTCCACAACCAGTCCGAGAGGGTGTCGTTCTTGTATAGATCACGCATGGTGGTGATCGCCGACGTGGGACAAGCATTTCCTGCGGCGTTTCATCTTCAGCCCTCCCCTTCCCCTTCCGCCTTTTACTTGTTTTCATCCCGGTCACATTGGAGGTAGGTTCGCTTACCGTTCATGAACTCCGGCAAGTATACTTTATACTTGCTTTTCTGGGCGTAGTGATCCGCCAAGATCCGGTTGTTGACAAACTCCCAGCCGAATGCATCGGGGATGATGATCACGATGCCTTTGATGGCAGTCGAATCCCCCGCTGGCGATGCGACATAGACGTCCAGCCCGTGCAGCTTGGTGACCTGGCCTTGGGGTTCGCCTGAGTGGACATGGCCGCTGAAGCAATCGGGACACGACATTGTGGGGTACTTGGCTTGATGCTGAGAAAGATATACGTGATAAAATATTATGAAAAGACAGGAAATCACATTAGAGGAAAGTTATGAGCTCTGGCGTCTGTCATGTTGGTCCTCGTGTTTGTCTCAAGGTTTAGCACATGTGACAACTAGTGCAACCTTAAGCTTTAGGCTGCAAGGCGGACCACAAGAGTAGGAGAGGCTGATGAGATAGTTTATTGTCCGCCATATTTCAAAATATTGTTTGTGTAGTATGCTCTGCTGGATGAAGTCACTAACAAGCAGGTCAATATTCCTCCAGATCAGTTAACGACGGAGTAGATGTTGTCCCATGTGGGCGATCTACAAACTCCGTATATATTATTCGGCTAAGAAATGGCTTGCGCACCACGAAGTGCTCCATAGTGGGGAACTGCACTGCACTCCATCAAAATGTGTTATCACGCAGTTGGGCTTTATGCAAGGAGTGCCAGGCTTTGCAGCATTGACAGTTGAATTCTTCAAGGCTCAGATATGCAGCTCTTCCTTGTGCACTGATCAGCCATGGAGGACAAGACGTTCCTCTGTACTTCTTAGTGATATCCGGGTATTTCCGAGAAAACTAGAAGTTCCGTGGAAAGAGGCTAGGAACTTAGACTGGAACCGATGGATCTCCCTATTTGACCCTTCGGTCGACGTTCTAAAAATGGAGCCTTGGGCTCTGTTGAGTGTTGAGAACTTGAGAAATGATAGTAGTCGTTGGTGCGCCTGAAATCATCAAAAGCCACGGGCTCGGCTCGGAGTGGCGTCCATATGCAGGCTGCAAAGTTATCTGCGATTGTGGGCAAGGTTGCAAGGATGTTGTTGGCGTTGCTGCTGCTTCAAAGCAAGATGGCTAATATAGTACATTTGGAAATCCTCCGTAGTAGTGAAACAGTGATAGTCCCTCTGGGGTAGACACTGCGTACCTGGACGGTGGAATTGGAAGAGTTGACTGATTGTTCCTTTCCGCCTTGGAGTTCACCAGCCACCGTGATTATTATTTCTTACTACTCTGTATCATACCCACTTGATATTGGGAGGGATCTTCACTTCAGCCCATTCAATTCACTGACGGCCTCTGATTAGTGCAAATGTTCAAGACTGACTCTAGAGCTGTTGAAGAGGAATCGATGATTTGGTCCTTAAATCATACTGCATACAGCCTTCTCTTCCTCTAACCATCTGTCTTCTCTCCTCCTCTTCCTCTCCATGCTATTCTGCACAACTAACTCTCCAATAATATGGATTTGGTGACTGGTGATGCTATACTCTCTATTTATATTGTCACTGTATGTTGATTGATGACTTGATTTCACAACAAGCCTATATATATTACCTTCTTCTGCCTTGTGCCGAGACTTCCCCTTCACTTAGTGAGGGTAGTCTCTCCCATCTCTGGCGCCAAGTGCGCTTCTTTCTCATCTCTCCTCTGGTATCGCCTTTTTTCCTACATCAGCAGCATCCAGATTTATTGTGAGAGATACTAGACAGAAAGGCGCCCATATTCCTCGAGATCTCGGCGTAAAAAGCCGTGGTGATGTACATTCCAGCTCCGACTCATGGGCTGGTGGCCCGTCAAAACGGCACCAGCACCGAGACCAAAGACGCCAAACCAGATCCCGGTCCAAATGGTTCCGACAAGAATATCACTTATGTCATTGTAAGTATGCCATTCTTGGTTTTGGATGGCTACGTGTCTTCGACAAGTAGCCAAGCGGTTTCTCAGCATACTGGTGGATTGATGAGTTGCGTGCTGGTCGGGGTTGACTGATCTCCGGGTGTTCCGATGCAGGTCGTTCTGGCTGCCGTTTGCTTTCTCTCGCTCATCGCTATTGTCTGGTTCGTTTTACGCTACCTGCGCAAGAAAGGCTGCAGTCCGAAGTACATCCCCTCCAAATTTCTGAAAGAGAAATGGACTCGCTGGAACGTGGGGAAATCCTATGATCCAGTCGCAAATGGCTCCGCTGTCAATCGAAACGCGTCTGCCCCAGGCACCGACGGCACAGAAATGGCCGCGCGCACTACCAACACCGTCCGTCGAGATGCTTCGATCCGCTCCATTGCTACACTCCCTGCCTATTCCGCGAATCCGAATACCGGCGAACAGGTCATTGCCCGCGAAGGAGAACGAGATGGGATGGACACTGTGGTCGAATACCCTGAGACTGCCGAAGAAGAGGAGGCCCGCAGAGAGGGGCTGATGGCTAGCTTGTACCAAGCTCGTGTGCGCCGTCGGGAGGAGTTGGCGGCACGTGAGGCCAGACGACAGGCGCGCCGTGAAGCTCGTGTTCGTGGTGATCATGCCCAGTTGGAATTACTGCGGGACGAGGATCGTCGTCTCCGTGATCGCCAACGTAATAGGAGCCATTCTTCGACGAACGAAAGTGGTAGCACTTCCAATCTTTCTTCGGCCTTGGAGCAAAGTCGCGGTCGCGACAGACGGATTTCCAGTGTTAGTTACGCCGATGTGGGCTACGTTCGCCACGACGGCTCCCGTGTTCGAGCTCCTTCCCTTGACTCCGATCGTCGCCCGTTGCTCTTCAGCACTCCTTCCGCCGGCTTTGATACATCCAACCGGTCTTCTCTCGTCGAGGCGACCAGCATACACTCGCGGGGTGAATCCTACTCTTCTGCTTCCACGGGTCCGGTCGATCCCGGCAATTTGACCAGGGTCCAGTCACAAGCGCATTCTATGCAATCTACGATGCCATCCACCCCTGGTGGGGACGAAGGAGATGTCGGTGACTTGACCATCCCCCCGCCCGACTACGACAATCTAGACTGGGGAGAGGCGCCCCCTTATCAGAGTCCGGACTCCCCACGCGGCGAGCAGGTCGCACGCTCGCGGGATCTGACCGCTGTGCCTACCATCCACGTGGATGTGGCCAGTCCCGTCAGCGAGAGTCCCCGGGGCTCCCCTGGTCCTGCACCTAGAAGTGTGGATTCTTCGCTTGAAAACTCCCCTCAAGCTCACTAGGGCCCTTGAGACTACCGCTGCTCCTGCTACCCCCGGTCTTATCTTGACCTGCACACTGGGGATCTGCGGGCCGCGAATGGAAGGGACGAGTTAACGATCACGAATAATGATAATTTTCCGGTCCCCCATAATGGCGTTGGGAGGAACTATGACTAGCATGGCGTTGGGGGCCTTAGAGACCAAAAAAAGTTTGATCTCATGTCTGTGTAATATTTCTGATTTCTTCTCTTAATGATTCCCTCGTCCCAGCGTTCTACCCTGTACATGGAGCCGAAATACTGCTCGCCGTGTTAATAGAATGTAATGGGGACGGAATGAAAATATTCAAAGCTACATCTTTTCTGCTTTACACCTCATTAAATTAATTGATGTAGCCACAGAAACTCGCATGGATGAGTGCAAGCCCCGGCCGTACAGCGGCGAGCATAGATGATTCCTACACAATAGTAGTATTCAGATTCTCTGTGCCCAATATCAGGTTCACTCCTCTTCCCACCATGCATCGTGAAATACTCTGCAGTCCTAGTTGTATGTTCAACTCCAAGCCTCTACGCGAGGAGCATGAGGGCTCTTTTTTAGTCACCATCAATCGTACCCATTCTTCTGCTGATGCATTCAACTAAGTTAATTCAAAGTCCACCCACCGGGAGTATACGTATTATTACTCTTACTGTGTACTCTTGATTGTATTGCTGACGTTTCTTCTATACTTCATCTCAAGGACAAACGTGGCATCGCGGTACTTCCTATGCTTTGCTTTCAATCTGTCGGTCACCCTGATTTAGGCTATGACAATGTATTTTTTGGATGACACGAGCCCTTCAAGTTGCTCGGACCGTCTAACCTTGCCTTCGAATGCCTATGAACCGGCAAGTAATGTATGTGGTTGTTGACACACCTCTACTCCCTCAACCACTGGCTCCGCCCAGCGATATATCTCTGGATACCTGACTAAAACAGACTATAATGGAGGAGGGTCGGACAGCGAGAAAGAGATCGAAATGATGTACGACAAACCCCTCGTCCAGTGCTCTCCCGTGGCTAACTCTGAGATCAGATGGAGCAAGATACCAAAATCAAGGAGAAAGAAAAGTTTCACAAAAATCTCGGGGAAGCGAGACCTAGAAAGCATTGCAGCTTGAATCGAAGGCGGAATAGCTGGAATGGCTCCAGGCGAATCCATTATTGAAGCTGTCCTGACTCGAGCTCTGGAATGACTGTCTCACTTTGATCATCGCAGCTACCCAAAGTGTTGGCCTCAAAATGGTCCAAGCTTGACTTATCCCCAGCGAGGCAAGCGGGGAGTGCTGTCTTTCAGAAGACGTACTTACAGATCAGGATAGGACACCACAGACCACCTGGCGAGATTTCTGTGGCGAGTCGAAGACATCATTCGCCGGTCAAACAAAGGTTTCTTGTTTAGACGCGGTCTCTCTAGCCAAGAAGTTGGTCGGATCGTATGGGACCTCAAAATTGGCTTGTTTACATCCATTCCGCCAGTCGGATTAACCAGCCTGGATGGTGCAGGTCAGTCTTCAACACGACGAGACCAACAGGCAAGTACATGGACACTTCCTCTGAACACATTGGGGTTCTGTATCATTGACTGGGTCAAGAGGTGTTTTAGTTGCCAATGCACCTCACCTATGCAACAGTTGTCAATCACTTTCCGTCAATGAGAGTGTTGTGCAAATTCTCTTATCTTACTATGGCCAAGCGAGCAGTATCTCAGAATATAGTTGCATGCCTCCTGGGGCCGCTCTTCTCCCTGGTAGTATTCCCATCCTCCATAGGGAATAGCTAGAAATGCCTATTTTAGCAGAATGGCTCCCAGGAGCCCAATGCCAGGAATAAAACTGGAGATCTCTACGGAGGTATATAACATAGCAAGCAATAATAATGATGGGGAGAGAGATCACCTATGGAGTACTACTGAATACCTTGCTAAAGTATTGTACGCGCGGGTTCTTCTAGGCGGTCACTCCAGCGGCAGCTCCACCTCTCTCAGCAAAGTAAACAAATCAACAAACTCCCAGCCTCCTCTTTTCCCCGTCCCATGTAGTCCCATCGCGGTGACTTGAAAGTCTTCACTCATCGCATTGTTCTGAATGTTATTCAAGCATAGACTAACTTAAAGACTTGCATACCCTTTTTTTTTATTGTTTTGCGCTGTCGAGATACCCTCCTGTCGTATCATTGTCGCTTTTTTTGTTGTGGTCCGCGGCCACCAGACGCGCTTTTCTCTAAAACATCCCATTGCATTTGCTCACTGAACCCCGACCACGAGCCAGCCGCAACTCCCAACCCGGACAGAAGCATTCATGTCCGAGGCCAATTGACCACTCTATCTAGTCTAATCGCTATACCTGTATCGGACCATCTGATCAGACGCGTCATATTTTCACCACCACCATGTCGCGCGAGAATACCAGACGCTCCGAAGCGACCACCAACAGCTTCGCGTCGTTCGGCTCAGACTTCGACCCCGAGCACGAAGCCCTTGCATCTACAAAACACTTTGAGAACAGTCCAAAACTGCCAGAGATGAAAGGCAGCGCAAGGAAGCAATTGAATGATGACGACGATGACGAGCCTGAATACGCCATCGATACCTCCGCGTTGGAACGCGCCTTCCCCGAATTCTCGCCGGTTGGGACCTCGGAAGACGATACTGACGAAAGCATTTCCATCGAGGCCGGGCGCGGCATCCCCAAAACCACGCGTCGTCTTGACGACTCGCGCAATTCTATGATGAGCATCGAGAACAGTGTGCGTTCGTCATCGCCTGCCGTCAGACTCGACTATCCTACTTCATACACTCCTCAAAAATCAGCCATGCGTGGCACATCCAGACGAGCAGTTAGCGAAAATCTTCGCAAGGATGCCCAGCTGAGACAGGCAAGCCTCGCGCACAAGGAAAACCGCGACCCCCTGTCGTCCAAAGTAGCTCGCAAGGACCAGCGACGGACATTGTCTGACATGCACGCCAAGGTTCGCGACTCCTACGATGGTTCCTTCCTTGGTGATGAGCGACCTCAGCCGATCGCGACTAGCACGCGTGCGACGCGCTTCGGAAACGTGAATCTTTCTCATCAGATTGCGGACGCCGTGGAGAGAGCATCCCAGGAAGCATATGCCAAGGAGATGCGCCGAGGAAAGATGCCGAGTAATCTACGGAACGTGTCTGGCACTGGTGCTGGTGATACGGGAACCATGCAGTCTTTTCTCCTCCCCGATCTTCCCAACCTGTCAGAGTTGGTCTCAGGGGTCTACGAGGATGGTACACCTGTTTACTCCCGCCAGGGCAGAGCCAGGGCAACCCGGTTTGTGTCGCCTCCTCACGATGGCGCGGAGGTATCCATGACGCGAGAGCATATTCCCCTTGATACAATTCCCATCCCCGAAGATGAGAAGGCACTCTTCGTCTCACTGAGACTTCTCCAAGACAAGGTCTCGGAGCTTGAAAGGGCCAAATCGGAGGCTGACAGAAAGATCGATGAGATGAGACAAGAGAACGCGGCTCTGAAAGCAGGAAGGTCCCGTCAGAAGGATAAACACGGTCGTTCTCGCGTCTATGAGTCCGAGGATGACGATTACAGGAGGAACAGACAGCTCGCTGGCGATCATCAAGGTATGTTCCGCTCATCCCGGAATTTCAACTTCCCTGCTAACGGCTCTAAAAGAACTTGAGGCTGCGAACTTGGTTTTGCAAAATCAACTAGATATCGCCGAGCGAAAGGTGCAGGTGAATGAGGCAGCGCTGAAGAAATTGAACCGCGAGAGAGACATGGCTGTTTCTCAATTGGGGATAGCCTATCTCGAGTCTCGCGATTTGAAGAGCGAAAATGAGAGCTTACGGCAGGAGAATGTTGAACTCAAATCGCAGCTGGCTAAATTTGTCTCGCATGCTTCAAAAAGCCGTGAGGACACAGCTCAATCAGAGCCACTGTCTGAGACAGATGCAAGTCTGGATGATAGCCAGCTCGATACACAACAGAGCGAGAACAGAAGCCGAGTCACCAAGGATCTCACCACCAAGAGCGCACGGTCCAAGTCTAGAACTGCGCGTGCGGAAGAGTCCCGTACCAAGATCTCAAAACAAGTGGACAAGGAGATTTCGCGTCTCGAGAAGGAACGAGCTGAAGATGCTCTTTTCTCTATCGACCTCCCGAGAGCTAGGTCTTCCACCTCGAAATCCGGAAGATCCCAGAAGCAAGCGGTAGCAACCAGCTCGAAAGCCAAGAAGCAGCCAAACACCGGGAAACAGCGTGTGAAACGTGTGATTGTCGAAGAAGTGACCGTCACTGAGCCTTTAGAATCGACCGCCGAGGATGCCTCCTGCCAAACCAGAAAAACTTCTAACACAGAGCAAGATCTGACCCTGTTAAGCCTTGTGGATGTGAGTTCAATCCGGACTTTCCACTGCAGTCGGGTACTGATATGTCATCTCAGGAAAACGAAATTGCTCAACTTCGGAAGACGCTAGAAGAAGAGCGACTCGCCCGTAAACGACGACAGTCTGTGTCGACTAGGATTCAGACGGTGGATGAGACCGCAAACTCTACGCGACAGAGTCTGTCCAAATCCGCTGCCCCTCGCAAGTCCTCTCTCAAAGAAAGTAAAGCCCCAATCGTCGGGCCCGCATCGGCTCTGGGTGATTTGACGGCTACCTCCCAGGTCAGCATGGCGGAAGCGGACAGTAATCTTTCGGTGCCTATTGAGCGCCAAAGACGGCACTCGGATTATTCAGTCACCACCACCTCGCAGCGGCGACGCCGCCGAAGCACGAACGATATGACATCCGCGTTCATACTACCAGATATCACTCTTCACCATGCGAATTTGGTAGCTGAAGACCCTAGCCGATTGCCTCAAGCTGCGCAAAAGGCGTTGGACGGTGCTACTCAGCACGACGGCAAAAACTGCACAGTCTGCAAGCGCTGCATTCCTATTGACTCTCACTGCGATCACACTCATGAAGTGGTGAAGGTCCCGAAGCCAGTGCCTGTGTCGGAGCGCATGCCGGAGCCATCTGTGTACAACGAAGAGCCCACATTGCGCCCTGCGCAATCCCCAGGCGTCGCTCTTGCAACAGTGCTCAAAGCATTGGAGGATGAACTCTCCCATCTCAGGATGCAGCTTGTGGTCTACCAAGGGGCCTACAATAAGTTGGATGCGTCCCTCAGCAAGCGCCAGAGGAAATCGCTTGCTGCAAAGGTTGAAAAGATTCTCAAGGACATTGACTTGAAAGCGGATCAGATTTATGCGCTCTACGATGTCCTTGAAGGTCAAAAACAGGACGGCCATGAGATGACCGAGGCAGAGATGGAGGTGACTCTTCAGTCCATCGGGATGGATACCGCTGCCACACGCGCGGGGGATGTGACTGCTACTACGGACAAGTCTTCTAACAGACATAATGATACCGATCTTGAGGATGAGGAGGAGCTACCATGGGAAGGTATTGAAAGCACAATGGACATGACGGGCAGTCATCGGAATTAAGTTTCAGGAAAACTCCATCAAGCACTTCTTAACACTCTTCGGAAGCTACCTTTTTCTTTTTCTTCTTTTTTTCGACGTCCCCGCCTGTTGGAATGTTTTCGGTCCTAGTTTCCGACTGAGCTCTTTGAGGTGGATGCCCCTGTACCCTGAGAACGTCGCTTCAGACTTTATGTGAATCCTTTCTCTTTGGTTGAGGAGTATGTCGGCTGAATCTCTCGGCGTCTGACTGTCCTTGATAACGGGGTTTTCCAATTGCCTGATTGTTACTAGAGATCAGCCTGATCACGTCGATGGACATTCGAGATCATATGTCCGTCTCAGGCCTTGATTTCGTGACTTGCAAGCACCCTTCATTTCTCTATTCTTTGTTTGTCGTTTGCTGGGCGTTCGCTTGTGGAAGCAGGTGTTCTGGTCTTCTTGGTTGCACAGCGTACAACTTTGTCCTATTTACTCCGCTTAGCATTTGGGTTAGGAATTTGGTTAAGTGTTCAATTGTATGCTTTCAGTGACCCAACCATGCAGAAATGTCCTGGTCGCTTCTCTCACCCCTGATACATAGTCTGAGTAGATTCTCTACATGCTTGCCTCAGGACTCAAGGCATCCCCCATGATCGGCTAAATCGGCACTTTCTCCGCACTCTTTTTTTCTCTTCACTATCTTATCGATAAGAACCATCCAGATAACTAAATGCAGCAGTCCATCACGCGAGTTTAGCGGTGAATTCATCAGCACTCAGCAGCACATTTTCTCACCTTCTTGCAAGAGATTTGGGATATTGATTCCTGTTATATACCTACCTTCTATCTCTTTATGTATATATATTCGACTGGCTCTCCGACAGTCATCCACAGTCTCGGACTCAGACCCATTCCTTGATGCTCGCCACCTCTTCGAATCCGCTACCTAATGACATCCACCATGGCATCAGCGATGTAGATGTCAGCACCGGTGTCCCGGGCACCTCTGCCGACTATGGAAAGATAAACACGGCCTTCAACAGTGGTGACCGGCGTCCCCGACTCGCACCTGTAGCCGTAATCACGCACAACCACAAGCCGAATTCATCCCTCACCACCTTCGACGACAGCGACGACGACACGGAAGAGACACAAGATGCACCAGTGACCTGGGCCTCCCTTCCCAGGAAGGGCCAGCTCGCCATCCTCACCTTCGCCCGTCTCTCCGAACCCCTCACTCAGACCTCGCTACAGGCCTACCTCTTCTACCAGCTGAAATCGTTCAACCCCTCACTGCCGGACTCGACCATCTCCGCGCAGGCGGGGATTATGCAGGGCAGTTTCACCGCCGCGCAGTTCCTGACGGCCGTGTGGTGGGGTCGGCTGGCGGATGCGGAGTGGATGGGACGGAAGCGGGTGCTTCTGATCGGGTTGCTGGGGACGTGTATATCGTGCGTGGGATTTGGGTTTTCGCGGTCGTTTGCGACGGCGGTGGTGTTTCGGGTCCTTGGCGGAATCTTGAATAGTAATGTTGGTGTGATGAGGACGATGATCTCGGAGATTATTGAGGAGAAGAAGTAAGTGTGCGGCTTGGTTAAAATGGGCTTGAGGCTGCTGGTGCTGACGAGTTGCAGGTATCAATCGCGCGCGTTTCTACTGCTCCCTATGTGTTTCAATATCGGAGTGATCATTGGTCCGATCCTGGGGGGCTCGCTGGCCGACCCGGTCAGTAACTTGCCGAATATTTTTGGTCCGGGGTCAGTTCTTGGTGGTAAGGACGGCGTGTGGTGGATGGAGCGGTGGCCGTTTGCACTGCCCAATGTCCTTAGTGCTCTTTTCATGCTTGCTGCCTTCCTGGCTATCTGGTTGGGACTTGATGAGGTAAGTTCCGAGGAGCTGTTTTCCTGACGATTTGATCCTAGGGCTTATGGGAGACCTAGACACACGAGATTTCACGGTATCGAAGCGACTGGGGCCGGCAACTTGGCCGTAGCCTTGCTAGGGTATTTTCTAGACGCCGGGCTCCGCGCTATTATCGCCAATTGCGAAACAGCGAAGACAACGAGTCGCTCTGTATTGACGGCAGTGTGGTCAGCAATAGTCCTCTTCGTTCTCGTTTCCCACCCCGGCACGAACGCCCAACCTTCCGTCAGATCTGGACACCCAATGTCCTCTTGACCCTGCTGGTGCACTTCCTCCTGGCCTTCCACACCAGTGCCTTCAACGCTATGACATTCGTCTTTCTCCCCACCCCAAGAGCTGCTGAAGATAGTCGACAGGGCTTCTTCAACTTCGGCGGTGGACTCGGCCTGCCGTCGTCGCGCGTCGGCCTTGCAACGGCCATCATCGGGATCATCGGCCTCCCGCTGCAGATTTTCGTGTACCCGCACGTCCAGGCCCGACTGGGAACCCTAACATCTTTCCGGGCCTTTCTTCCCTTCTCGCCTTTGGCGTATACGCTCATGCCATTCCTGGTGATCATCCCCCGGTATCCCTGGCTGGTCTGGCCTGCCTTCACGGCTGTGGTCGGGTTGCAGGTTATCTCCCGGACGTTTGCGTTGCCTGCGGCTATCATCCTGGTGAACAACTGTGTCACCGATCCTTCGGTTCTTGGAACTGTGCATGGTGTGGCTCAAAGTATAGCGAGCGCGGCGCGTACCCTTGGCCCCTTCATTGGAGGATGGGGGCTGGGGTTGGGGCTCAAGCATAACCTTGTCGGTGGCATATGGTGGGCGCTGGCGGTGGAATCTTTGATTGGCTGGTTACTGCTGTGGACGATCTACGAGGGCAAGGGGATCGAAAAGAAGAAAGAGGAGACCGAGGGGGAAGAATCATGATGGCTGTCGTCTATCGACTGTGGGTGTGCCGGGACGACGGTTAGACTTGGATGAGCGAGTCACGAGCTATGATTAATGATAGATATGTACATCCACTTTTCTTGGACAAAAGGAATATAACAGGTTATGGTTCATTAATTCATGAAAAGTAACGTCACACAGAGCAGCACAGCTGAGTTCTTGAATTCCTCAACCTAGCTCGCCATCAACCCTTCCTAATAACACCCCTATATCATGCCCTGCATTGCCTCCAGCAAGGGTAAAAAAAAAAAAAAAAAACAGAGATGCGAAGTATCAAGCTCCAAGAGGAGCGATAAACCCCCGAATAGCCTCCCTCAGATCCCCATCATGGGCCTTCAGCAACTCCGTCGCCTTCGCCTTACTCAGGTCCAACTCCTGCACCTGCGACTCCCCCAGCCATTAGCAACGCACCACGCAATCCCTCCCCAACCTCATTCCATTCCCCCAGGAACGCACATACCAGCAGATTGACATTCTCCGCAGAAACCTTGACAGCCTTCTTCTTCACCACCCCCGCATCCTTCTTTGGATCCGCTGCCCGCGACACCGCTGCCTCCTTCCCCGCCGCAATCTCGAGCCTGCTCATCGCCTTCCCCAGCGCCTCTTGGTCCCCGGAGGCGAAGGGTTTCCCGGGCTCTGCGCTGATGTCATTGGTGTGCAGGGCGGAGAGGGCGGCGGCGGCTTTGCGGTCCTCGGCGTTGGCGGGGGGGAGCTGCTCGGCGGCGTCTGGGTCGTGGGATACGGAGGGGAGGGAGTCTGACATGATTAGTTATTTCTTTTTGAGAGAATACAGAGAAATTAGACAACAGGAAGAGTGTTGTTGAATGCCGTGACTTGAGTAGTAAGTAGGTACTAGGTAGTCATTCTGATCTAGTAGATGGTAGATGGATAGGCATAAAGTTATAACTCCACGATAAAGCGATAAGAATGAGTGATGACGATAAGGTCGCACGAGAGGGCGAGTCTTTACCGTATCGGGCCTAGCGCGGGAATACCGATGACTCAGGTCCCGGTGGATGACTAAGCGCATTGTTGCTTTTTCGCTCTTTCAGCTGTATCTGCGGCTGAGGTCGTTCGCTTGTTCACCTGGGTATTTCTTCCTTCCTCTCTTTTATTTTTTATTTTGTATTTTCTCTGACAGTCAGAGCATTGAGCACCAGCTTGTATTCTTAGTTCTTACTCCCCCGATCGCATCCAAGCTCCTCGTAAACCAAGCTTGTTCATCCTCGCTGCCTGGGTGCTTTTTAGTTAGCGGTCCTTACTCAACCCCGCCATGGAGAACTGGAATCCCGCCTGTGAGTGATATCCACACGGATCAGATCAGAACGGATCAATCAATTGGTCGAAAGGGGACTGTTTGAGTACTAACCCGTTGCTCGTCAGCCTGGACTGCAAAACCCATCAAGCAAGATGTGGTCTACGACGATACCGAGGGTGTACAAGCGGCGCTGGCTAAGCTCCGGAAGCTCCCTCCCCTAGTCACAACGCAGGAGGTACGTGCCCTACATACAGCTTATGCAGGAACAAGACAGGGGCTGACTGTCATCAATTGCGCAGATTGTGAACCTCAAGAAGAATCTGCGAAATGTGGCTCTCGGGAAAGCGTTTGTGCTTCAGGGAGGTATATATAGTCCCTGTTTGACCAGTGTGGAGGGAAGAATCAAAATTAACGAATATTTGCAATGATAGGTGATTGCGCCGAGCTGTTCGATTACTGCAATCAGGATATGGTAGAAGCTAAACTCAAGCTGCTACTGCAGATGAGTCTGATTTTGATTTGGGGTATGTTTGGTGCGATCTCTGTGGGCCGCGACCAAGTGCTAATGGATGAACAGGAGCGAACAAACCAGTCGTGCGAATCGCGCGTATAGCAGGGCAATTCGCCAAGTGAGTTGTATCAATTCAGGGGAGTCAGTTGGCTCGGTGCTAACGCCATCTCCAGGCCCCGGTCAAATCCCATGGAAGTCGTCAATGGTGTGGAGATGCCCTCGTTCCGCGGTGATAATATCAACGGCTTCGCTGCCACTCCAGAGTCTCGCAAACCCGACCCCTCACGGCTAGTCGACGCCTACTTCCACTCCGCAGCAACCCTTAACTACATGCGTGCCTCCCTCTCGTCGGGTCTGGCAGACCTGCATTCCCCGCTGGACTGGGGACTGGGCCACGTCATCACTCCATCTATCAAGGAGAAGTACGAGCGCATTGTGAGCAGAGTCAAAGACGCGCTGCGCTTCATGCACACCGTAGGCATCGACACGGACCGCGGCGTCGAGTCCGTCGACGTCTACACCAGCCATGAGGGTCTCCTCCTCGAATACGAGCAGAGTCTCACCCGCCTCCTCCGCAACCCTGTCTCCACACCTGCCCCTACCGAAGCGCAAAGCTACTACGCCACCTCGTCACACTTCCTCTGGATCGGCGACCGCACCCGCCAGCTCGATGGCGCCCACGTCGAGTTCTTCCGTGGCATCGCGAACCCCATCGGCGTCAAGATCGGTCCCAGCATGTCCCCCGACGACCTCGTCCGCCTCCTCGACGTTGTCAACCCTTCCCGCGAAGTCGGCAAGGTAACCCTCATCTCGCGCTACGGCGCCGCAAAGATTGCCGAGCACCTCCCCGCCCACATCGCCGCCGTCCAGGCCTCCGGCCACATCCCCGTCTGGCAGTGCGACCCCATGCACGGCAACACCCAGTCCACCCCGGCCGGCATCAAGACCCGCCACTTCAGCGACATCCTCTCCGAGCTGCGGCAGGCGCTCGAGATCCACCGCGCCGCCGGCTCCTTCCTCGGCGGCATGCACCTCGAGCTTACCGGCGAGGCCGTCACCGAGTGTGTCGGCGGCGCCGGCGGCCTAACCGAGGAGGGGCTCGGGGAGCGGTACACGACCTTCTGTGACCCGCGCCTGAACGAGAAGCAGGCGCTGGAGCTCGCTTTCCTGGTCGCGGGTTTCTACCGCGAGTTCGACGATGCGGAAGGCATGAACTCGATCTAAACAAAAAAAATACAAAAATGAGCAAAACAAAAACATGATTTCGGGGCTTTATACCACTTACTTACCTTACTCACTTCGTTCTACATATTTTTCGGGTTTATCCTACCTAATACCTACCTACCCCACACCTACACCTACACCTACCTCTTTATTTCGGGTCCACCTAAAAAGGAAAAAAGTCATTTCTGCACAGCTGACCGGTTGCATGCAAACCATCGTTGCGCTTTTGGGGCTGCTCTACGAGTTTATTAGAGCTAATGAATCATATACAGTAAAAAATACACTACTGGTCAATGAACACATCCCACAATTTGTGACTCATAATTATAGTAAAACAATGGTATTGACAAATTACAATATTCACAATCGATCAACCACGACTCAATGTACAACGGGGTATGATGCAAGTCGAAAGCACCAGACAACAATTTAGGAAAAGAAAAAAACAAAAGCGCCAGTTCCATGCAAGGCAATAATCATTATTTGATAAGCGGACTCCCAACCTTGGGTTTAAAGGCAAGACTCTTCCGTCGCGCCGCCTCGAGCTTGAAGCGAAGCTTTTGGCTAGGTTCGTCGTCGATCAACGACGAAGAGGAGGTCGAGAAGAGGCCCTGCCGCGTTTGCTTAGGCGGACACGTCTGCTGGACGAGTTTGGACTTCTGCGAAAGATAGAAGGGCGTGGCTGGAGACATGCCCATGCTGTCCATTCTGCTGAAATCGTACCCGGATATGCCCGGAGTCTTGGGCGTCTGGCAATAGTTCTGATCCGCCTCAGTGTGGATGGCGGCAAACTTCTTGTTGCTTTGCGGAGTGGAGGGCTCTTCCTGAGATACAGGAGGCGTGAGTCTCTTGAAATCCTCCATTGTTGTCAAACCCACTCCCGATCGTCTCCCGCTGGCAGATGTTGTCATGGCGTTATCCGCCTTGACCACAGTTCCGTTGACGTTGCTCAATGCCCGGGGCTCCATGCTCTTTCGGCGCTTGGCGCCGCCGCGGGGGATGATGGAACTATCGACCGCGTAGTGGGTTTCGTCGAGCCATTTGTTCTCACGCTCACAGCTGAGACTCTGGGTTAGCACTACTACTTCGAGACTTGGAGAGCACGGACTACTTACTCAAGAACCCAGCCGACACCGACACACTTGACAAGGCCCCTTGACTGTCTGACTTTCTCCAGGGTCCTCACTCCTCCGTCCTTGAAGACAACATGAGTGATTCCAATCTTGCTGTCTCGGCGGTCTGCACCGTCAGCTGGACACATGCTCGCGCGGGGGTTCCATCCCCAACTCTTGACACATCTGGCTCCCATCTGCTGCAGAAGCTCGACAAAGATGCCGCTTGCATCTTCTCCTTCGGTTGTGTGTACATCGACAAACACAACGGCTCCTCCGAGAACCTGTTCGCATGCTGGGAGGCTCTTCCGGGGGGTTTTAGAGGGGCTTGGGGACGCTGATGGAGCAGTAGACCGTCTTACCGCCTGTCCCACAGAACTCCTTCTGGGGTCACTTGGGCGAGCTCTCGGATTGTCTGTGCGTTGCAGTTTCGGTGCCTTTCGAGGGGAAAATTGGAGCACGCTTTTCTCCTTCGGTGCAACAACGGGCTTGCGGAGTCTAGGTGAGGAGCGGACAGGCGAAGTCATCGAAAGCGACCTTCCTCGTTTACGGGACAACTTCAGAGGTGAGACATGGCCTTCAGGTTTTAAAGGGACCTTCGACACGGTGTGAAATGATTGAAGTGGGTTTGTCTGCTTCTTGATTGGCGTGACGGGGCGGGGAGATGCCATCGCTTCGTTCTCCTTGTTCTCATCAGAGGGTCCCTCCAGGAGAATGCTGGGCGAGGTTGCTGCATTCTTAGCTTGATCGGAAGAATTTGCAGATTGGCGATTGAGGAATTCCTCATATGCAGCGGGCTGGGCGGAATCCAGCTGTGGTTCACTGAACAACTCACTCATGGGCTCTCTGTGAGATTTCGACATTGGCACCTCAACTTCATGCTCTTCCAAGTCTTGCCCATTCTGGTCTTCAAAGATATCAGGAACACCGGCATAGACTTCACTATCTCTTGGGCGATTGAGAGATTGGACTTGCAGCATTTTAGCGCCACCCTCGAGATCTGGGTATGCCACTTCTCCAGAAACACGAGATGCACGGCGTGAAGACCTGCGGAGTCCTCCAAGAGAGAAAACGCCTCGCCTTCCTGCGCGCCTTGGCTGAGGCTTTTCAGGGGTGCTAGCCTTCCATTGGCTTAGTTGCTCCGCCAGCAGAGTAAAGCGTGAGCGTTTGCTAGGAGCTGTAAATACGTCCTCCTCTTGGCTGTAGAGATTCATGGTGTTAGAGGGCTCCGAATACTCGGAGGCGTTTGTTGCAGGCATTTGGATCTCCGTAGTAGCCTCAGCATCAGATACGTCTTCATCTTCACGATATTCCATAGGGCCTTGATAAGAGACAGCATGATTGGGTGATGGTGTTTCGGCGTGTAGAGGGGACCTGGCTTGCTCGACAATGGGGCTGCTTCGTCTTTCCGATTCTGGCTGCAAGATCGATCGGGGCTCAGATTGCTTGTCCGCCTCCACGTCAGCCAGGACCTCCTCGTAAACATCCTCGTGAACGTCAACCTCGCCATCGGCTTCGATGTTCGCCTGATCGTTGTTCTGAACAGTCGGCTGGTTTTCGACTTCATCGTTCAACTCGACTTCCTCCTGAGCGGCTTCGTCAACGTCTGCCTGGGCATCCGGTTGGACATCATAGATGTAATGATCCGTGGTATCAAATGCCACAAGTGTAGCCTCATCGTCGTCGAAGTATACCTCGTCGTGAAAGTCAACGTACTCCTCGTTGTGCTGATGTTGGCTCATCTCACCATCCTCAGGATCGAGATCCTCGAGATCTCCGACCTCAGATCCAACCTCTGGCCCCTCGTTTTCCTCTTCAGGAACCATATCGGTATCGACAAACACATCTTCAAGGCCTTCCGTGTTCTGCTGGAAAGGGGAAGCAGGCTGCTCCAGTTCGGCCTCCACTTCGCCATTGCCGTATGTCTCGTGAGTCACGGGCTCTTCTTCCTCTGGTTCTGATTCAGTCGCATCGGGGTCATATTCATTGCCCATGTTGGGTGCATGGTTCAAGTCCTGTACATTCAAATCATGAACAATGTCGGCGTGCTCAGCATAACCATCAGCATAGTCCTCTGCCTCATGGTCACAACCATTATCCAAGACTTCTCCCATTTGATCATCATTTTGCTGGGAGAAGGATTCCTCGGCAAGGCTCGCCGCGCGACTATTCTCGATTTCGGCGTCGAGAGTGCCATTATCAAGCTCATCGCTATGAAGGCCTACATCCTCGTTCGCGGGCTCATTTTGAAGCTCAAACGCGCGGTCATCCTCGTTATCAAGATGTTCGAACTGTTCATCAAGCAAGACGGCTGGTTGATCCTCGTGATCGTCAGCGCGATATTCTGGCAGCTCATCGGCAGATTCATCGCCCATACTTGCGTGTTGTGACTCTTCCAGCTCATTCTCAGCCACATTTTCAGGTGCAGCGACTTCGGGAGATGCCAAATCCTCAGAAAAGGCATTATCTGAATCATCCTGCTCAATGTCCATGTCCGCCAACTCTGCTTGCTCAGATCTCCTCGGGGGCGAGTCCACGTCGACTGCATTATCTCTGTTCTCGTTCATGGCTTGATCATTCTCTCCGCCAAGCTCCATGGGCGGCAAACTTCTCGTTCCGATGACACTAGAAAACAGAGAGCTTTTGAAAGGAGACGCGATCCTCTTTGCAGGGCTCTGCAGCAAAAGCGAGCGAGACTTGAATGGGGTAGACGTTGATTCCTCTGGAGGCTGCGAGAAAGATGTACCAAAAATGCCTTTCTTTGGGGATGATTTGAGAGGCGAGTTATGTCCAGGGGTGAAGTTGGGCTGAGATAGCGCGTGATGATCTTCGAAGACACCGAAGCCCCCGTGTCTGGGAGTTTCCAGATAAGCCTTCTTTGGAGATGCCTTGAGCGGCGAGTTCTGGTTCGGTGTGAAGTTCGGTTGAGAGATCGGTTTCTCATCCCCCTTGAAGGATAGGCGAGCCCGTCGAGGGGTCTCCTTGACAGTGTACTGGAAAGGAGACGGGGTCGGTCGCTTGGCAGGACTGGACATGAAAAGCGAATCACCAAAGTCAACAGACTTTGTAGGTTGGAGAGTCGGCTCCCCATTCTCGTCCACTGACTTCGTAAATTTGCTCGGGGTAAAGTTGATTTTTCGCACTGGAGAGCTCAATCCAGTGTTTTCTGATCCGTGTTTAAGAGGTGAACTGACGGTGAGTTTGAATTGGTCTTTGGTACCGCTGAGTTCGTCGTCCTCGCCGTCCGAGCTGACATATGAAGAGATAGACTTGGCTACCTGGTTGGCTTTCTTCGGCGAAAGTGGCTTACTCGCCTCCTTCTTGGTAGCTGCCGGTTTACGGCCCCTCCCAGTCGTCGTGGCAGGTTTGCGAACCGGCTGCGCTCCCAGACCAACTTGCCCTTTGGATGTCGGTGCTGCTCTCCGCCTTCCAGTTGTTGTTGTAGGTGGTTCCATAGCCTCTTCTTCTTCTTCAGAGTCAGACACGTCCTGGAAGGTAACCTTCTTCTTTTTAGCCGGTCCACGGAGCAAGTTTGACCTCATGATAGTAGAGTTTGTCGTAACAACCACATGCTTGGGAGCAGTATGCGAGGATGCATCGACAGTGGTCCGTACTCGTGTAGTCTTCTTCTTCGTGGCGTCTTTTTCAGCAGTTGAGGTCGTTACAGGCTTCGAAGCTGTGGTTGCCCTCGGTCTACCTCTCGGTCTCGGTGCAGTATTCTGTTTCAACTGCTCCTCCTCCTTTGGCGCTGGCTTTGTCCTTGGCCGCCCCGGCCGTTTCTTGGGGGCATCTGACTGCGCAAGTTCGTCATCATCATTCTCGCTTTCAGGATCGTGAGTTGTGATCGTTGTAGGTTTCCTTCCTCGGCCTGCGGTAGTATTTGACGCAATGGAGCTCTTGGCCTTTGGTCGCCCCGGCTTTGATTTCTCCTTCGTGGCATCGACGCCAAGTTCATCGTCGGTAGCCTCGTCTGAGTCCGAATTCGCTTGCTTGCGCGTCGAACTCGTCGCTGTTGCGGTTCTTGTAGTCCTTTTCCTTGTTACTACTGCAGATGCTGTTGTGTTTGTCCGGGCCGTTCTCGAAACCGGCTTGGTGGATGTTGCGGTCGATGTTGTTGCAGATCTGCTGGCAGCGGTTGTTGTTGATGCTTTGGGCCTACCGCGGGTGGTCCGTTTAGGCGGAGACTGTGGGATGATCGCTGCTCGAGCCATTATGTGTTGTTATTGCAGGTGTATATATCAGGCTTGACTAGATTTCGCGATCGGCTTGGTCGTGTGCTGCGCTGTTAGTATTCGATGTGGGTTGTTGTTGTTGTTGACGAGTCCACAAAGCTCATCATAAGCTGATATCGCGGCGACCAGGATATCACTCGAAGGATCCCAAGTGAAACATCTGCAATAGTCCACGGACTGAATCAGGTGGATGGTGCAGACATGAAAGGAACTGGGTTGGTGGATAGGACTGACGTTGTTGACTCGTAGCTGTTGGGCGCTAGAGGCTCCGAGGTTTACGCCTGCTTGCTTGTTTGGGCGATCACGTGCATGTTGTCAGGGTAACATTAGCGGTCCCACAATTACGTAACTCATTCACTGGTCCCATTTGCACAAGTTTATGCAGTTTGCTAGGTAAGGTGACTCGAGGTCCTTCACGCAAAATACCTTGCAGTTCTTCTCAATCAACGGGAAAGACATCTATACTAAAGTATCAGAGAAAATTCATGGAAATGATGTTGATACACCTAAATTTATTTCAAATATGATCCAAGAAATTGACCGGTAAGCGACCAAAAAAGAGAGGGAGATAGATATAGATGTATATATGTCTGTATATATGAGTGTGTGTGTGTGTGTACAACGGACAAGGCTATAGTAATGCCCAAAGGGCAAAACATGTAGCCATGAGGCTAGCGAGAACGCTTGGCGCGATTCCAGAGGCTGCGCTTTTCAGGAGAGTCACTGGCTCGTATTCTGCTGGTGTCGTGTTGTTGGTCGTGCCGTCCCAGCAATACCGCTGGAAGCACTGACCACAGATTTCTGGCACCTTGGTGTTGGTACGCTCGAAGGAGCGGCTGAGGATAGCACAACCGACGCAAGTTGACCACTCGCTATCCCGGGTGCTGTTGCCCATGGTCACGACATCATATCCGTTCCGGATGGTGTCGTCTCGTTCCTTTTCCGTATAATCCGGCTGGAAAGTGGAAAAATTGGAATAGGACATGTAGGGATAGTTGGGAAGATACACGATAAGAGGGGAGGGGCCAGTCATATTAGAACTGTTGCAGCCGAAAAAGGTAGGTCGGGTGTTCAAGCCATTGTTGACGAAGGTGATCTGGTCGGGGACCGCAGGGAAGACAGTACCATTGCCAATGCCGGTAGTGTTTAAGCCACGTTCATAGGTAGCTACAAGAGCAGTGCCGTTGGGCCAGCTCCAGGTTGTATCGGCGGAAGAATCAACAGCGAAGATGACATCCACATGGCGCTCCGGCTGAATCAATGGGTGTAGCGGGATGTTCTGCAGATCCTCACCACCATCCACCAAATCCAGTTCCAACTGATCGGCATTGGGGGACGTGTTGTTGGAGTAATGATAGAATGGGTTAGGAGCGTAAAGCGCAATGTCCTCATCATGCTCACCGACCTTCTCCAAGATACTCGTGAAGGCGGTTTTCAAAAAGTCGGGCAGAGCCGTGGAGTTGACTTGGAGAAGGAACTGGTTGAAGAGGGTGGAAGAAGTTCCCATGACGAAGCCAGCATTGTCATAGCCACGCACACAGCTCTCATTCTTGGGGACGGATCCTCCATCGAATTTCGTACCCAAGTATTCCAAAGGAGCGAACCCAAAAACTGTAGGATCAAAAGTGCCGAATTCCCAAGGATTAAACTCATATATAGTTGCATTGCTGCTGATTAGAAGCTCTCCGGGGTAACGGCCGTCGGCGACAACCACAGGCATTGGCATCTCGGCCTGTTTGAAAGTATCGGTCTTCGCAATGGAGGACCAGGTGTAGCTTGGCCCACCATGCGGCGCGTCAACCATCTGATACGATATAGCACGACCCCTGTGGCCTAAGTTAGCAGACTACAGTCAATCTTGAGATATCCATGCTGCTATTACCAATAGTCTGTGATAGAGGTCGGATAGCCCGCATCGGATTTGCCAGACACCGCATCACTGATAGCCTTATAGTAAGATGCTGAATCCAGAATTTGGATCTTATCCCCATCAGGCCCTTCGAAGATCGAGTTCTGAAACTGCCACACGGCACCCTTTTCGTAAGTCTGCAGGTCAGAGATGGTCGTAAAGTTGTTGATGTAGATGGAGCCGAGCAGCCATGAGCCACCACTTAGACCAGCCAAGTATGTGGCTGACTGAAGCAATCCACCTAGCTGGCCGCTGCTCGTCGAATTCGGCGTGCGACTGTCAAAAGCCTTGATCGCACCCGCGCCGTTCATCAATGCCCGGTATCCACCGCCAGAGACTGCAATACCAATGTTGGGAACATTTGACATATTACCAGCAACCTGGTTGATATAGCCGACCGGATCGAAGTCCTTGATCTTAACATGGTTGAAGAAATCCTTCAGCGCGGAGGTTGTTTTTTCTCGACGTGTCTTCAACCATGATACCTCATCGGGCGACAAGCGAGCGGCACTCCGAATGGTAGGACGGCTGGGCGGGCAGTCGACTTTGCTCGGAGTATATCCATCAGGGGCGTTAGGCAGAGCACGCTGCAGGATCAAATCCTCACTACGAACAGGTCCGGGAGCGGCGGCCACACCTATTTCGTTTGATGGTGTCTGTTAGTCTCAAACTCATGTTCAGATAAGTAGTGAAGAACAGCAGTCGATAACCGAGGGGGTAGACAAATTTTGAACAAGGGGGGATCCACCTACCCGGCAATAGACCAGCGAGGGCACAAACAATCGTCGTAGGCTTCATCTCAGGAAGCGCAGAATCGCCAGCTGACGCAAAAATGAAAAGAGAAAATGAATGACTGCGTGCGGACCAAGAACAGCCGGGGAGGAGGGATTCAGTGAAAGATATACCCTCCCCTCAGCCCTACCTGCCATGTAAGACAGCCATGATTCGACATTTGACTGAAATGGGGCGGTGTCCCTTAGCCAGGGGTCTTCACCTCTGAACAGTGGATCGGAGCGTAGCCAAGCATGCTGGGGGGGTCTTGGGAAATGCGAACAACAACAGACTATGGTGCTTTTATGCTTTTAGTCTCCATCATCGAATAATGATAAACTGTCATTGGAGCAAATTGAAGTTCGGAACTGAGTGAAATCAGAACCGCTCATGCGAAGCTTGAGATTCATTGGTAATGTCAAGCCTAGGATTCAAGTCTTGACCGATCGTCCGGTGATTCCGTTAGTCTAAGCTGAAAAGGGCCAAAAAATGGACTGGATGAGCGGATCCTCGGCATGTTAGTGCAAGTGTCTGCATCGTCATTCGATCATGATCGATAGTGTTGGAGTCTGCGCCGGATGAGCTGGCTGTGGAGTTGTCGTGTCAGTAATCAGTTCTCTATCAGCTATTTACTCAGCTTACCTGTGAATCTGTGATCATTTTGCCGAGAGGGAAGTTGGGGTCGAGGATTTGGCTTCGAAATGTCTTCTAAGTACTTTCGAGGTTCTCATCCGCGCCATGTGACACCGGGCTGTTATTATTGTCCCTGAGACAGCCTCGATGCATATGCATAAATCAGCCGTGAAGGCGTGGTTTATGCAATGCATGTGGAACCATAACTTGGACATGTGTCACTGGAACGATGGGTCAACATGGGGATTTACACAGTACTGTGATATTGTGAATAGAGGCGAGCACTGAACACAGTATCTACACCGTGTCCACTCTGCATTGTTCGTCTTGGATGATAGGGCTCTAATTGGCTTCTTCGTGTGCGCTTAATAAAAGAAGTCTAGGGCCATGGAGTCATTGCCCACTTCAGCCAAAAGTTGGGAGCCGGAGGCTTTGGATCATTGGATGATTATCTATGCCACCAGAGATCCAATGTTCGGTCGGTTCTGTCAGCTGAAAAAAAAAAAAAAAAAAAACTTAATAATATGAGTCTCTATGGTTCACAATTCTATATTGATCCACAATGGCTTGCAAATTGCCGTATCTCAGCCCCCACTGTTGCGATTGTGTTCGAATCGCCATGAATGTGAATTATGAGGACGCCCCGAAATACATAAAGTACTCTGTACAATATCTCCGTTTACTTCGATGGCTTGAACCGCAAAGATACCAAGTGGACAGATGGGTGTTTATCATTGAGATGCGTTAACTATTATTTACTCCCCCAATACCTCTTGGTGCATTGGAAAGCCCCAAGATATCATGCGCAGGAATAGCCACCCTCTCCAAAAACCACAAGCAGGGCTTTCGTCTTTGGATTCAGATCATCCGCGAACTTGGAAGCGCGTGCGAACGGCCGAAAACATGTAACCCTTACATACTCTTTCAAGTATACCAGTGACTGCTGGTTTCTGTGATGAAGAGGATCTGACGGATGCATTTCACCAGCTCGACTGCCTGTCACAGTCCAGCACGCCAAGAACTTGTAATCAAGGAATCCATCCTCCACTACAGACACACCATCTTCGATATTGGTCAATTTGGCTTTGATTGAGAATGCGGGAGATCCCACAAAGAACGTGGTAGTATTAGGTGTCGTGTCGATGACGGTAGCTCTCGACGTCAGCCAGATATGGTGCGCAGGAAGGCAGTGGTTACGATGAAGGTTGAGGGATGTATCCAACCCCAAGTTTAAGGGAAGTTGGAGATGCTTTTCTCCCCGTTCGATGTTTGTGAAGAATACTATTGCGAGTTAGTCTCCATTCGAAAATCAGCTTGGGTCAACTTACTTTAGGACATCCTAGACAGGAAGGGAGGCTATGCAGATGGACAGACGGAAGTCTACTTGCTGCAACTGTTCATAGGGAATAATGGGCGGTGATATATAGCAGGTGGTATTTGACACCCCCTGTTGGTCTGGCAGTCTCTATCACGCCCTGTAAGGATCGACTAGTTGAATCCTGTGGCTTTTTGTTTACCCCTATGTTAAGCAATGAGAATTGGGCTATATTCTGCCATGAGGCGCAGAAAGTGTCTCGCATTAAGACATAGAAGAACTCTCATATCGAGTATCAGCCGCACCACGCAAATTGGAGGATATGACGAAATCCCCTGCTATACAAGAGGGCACTATATATTTGGTTAATGAAGCTCACGACAAGGCAACACAATGAAATTCTGTTTGATAAAACAGACACGTACTTATTCTTTCCTGTACCAGCACTCGGACGAGCCAGGGAAAGGGGATATCTCTGGCGGGTTGTCAACTATTGTTGGTCTGCTGTCAGCTCCAGCAGGCTAAGGTTCTCTCGACAACGGAGGGATCATCCTAAGCCTGGACTGAGAATCACAAGTTAATAACCAACTAGTCTGGTCTGAAGTTGTTTGCATGATTATTGACTTGAAAATTCAGGAACAACATTGAGCAAAACGAATCAACAGTCGTCAATCTACTGAATATTACTTGTGTCTGAGAAACCACCTCAATACCTGAATCACCTCGATTGCTGTGAAGTCCTAGTCGATATCGACTATCTTTCCCAAGCCAAGTGGTCTCAACGACTTATCTTTCTCTGTTGAACGCTCCTGTGCACCACCCAGCTTGGCCCCGCAGGCCTTAAAAATTATGGATTGACAGTCAAGCGAAAATCCGCCGCAACCATATAGGCTTGGCCACGACGACCGAGCCATGGCAAATGTTGACTCCTCGCTAGCGATGCTAGATCATTAGGTCAGCTATGATCCGTCAACCTTGTCAAATCCAGCAGCTGGATTTGAAGGTTACACTTCCACTCTGGAAAGAACGAGGAAAATCCAAATTTAATCCCTGGAAAGCTCAGGGAGCTTTTGAACATGGTGAATAGACAGCTAACAGGCAGGCATCCCGAAGGGCTGGGAGAAAACCTCGAAATAACAACTCCCGACCCCGATGAATGACTCCGACGAGAATGCTAGGCATAGGACTCACCCCTTGTTCATCCTTGATCGAGTCTTTGCTAACCCAAAGATGATAAACTCTGGTTCAAGTGTATCAGTGGGGTAAGCATTGAGGTCAAGACCCCAGACTCATTGTGCCGTGGTCCGTGGAAGCATCCCGGAAGTCCCAAAAGGGTAATTAGCTACTTAGCTCCAGTGGGTTCGCCTCTTATGATTCTTCCCGAGCGATAACTAGCAAGTTAAGAATCAGATGGTCACACGGTCAGTTGAATTATTGATAGATGGCTAAATGAACAATTGAAGTTGCATGAAGTATTTCTTGTTATCATTTCCGATAGTGCGCAAATTGGACGTCGCAGGCCGATGGTCCGTTTGACCACAACCGTAAGGGCTGACCACAGTAGGACCACCAGTAATAATAAACTTGACGGCTAGACTTCGGGTAATTATAGTCTACGGGGTATCAGAAGGTGACAGGGAGCGCTTTCACTCATCCAAGGGTGTAGATACACTGTACAGCTGCATACTATTGACATTTGCAACCGTTGGCCCTGATCACGCTCTCTCCTGCATATGAACTAGATATCAAAGTCCAATGATCGTCGACGATTCGTGATCATCCAAATTCCAAAAGCATGTAGACTACCAGACGCGTGGAGTCTCTGTGGAATCTTCGAATATGGGGTATCTAGTATCTACAAACAGTTAAACACTAGTCTAGTCATTAGTTACTGTGAGACATCCCGCACAGCACTCCGCAACCTCAAGTCCCGAATCTGGCCTTCCAGAACTGCATAAGCCATGGCCTCGTGACCCCAAAGTCCAGACTGCCCCGGCTTCCGATGCGCAGACCCTGGGTTGCTTTTTTTTTTTTATTTGGATATTCTTAGAACGATGGCGTTCTTTGAAGTCCTCGGGTCGCCTCCGGTCCGGATTACCTGATTGGGATATCCGGGGTTCAGTGATAGTTGACCATCTGTTTGGCTGGAGTTTGGGGGGAAACAGCGTAGGTATGAGATCAAGCTGGGTCATGCATTGTTTCATTATGACTTGGGTATACTGATTGTTTTCATTTGCTCTCGTCTTGTCTTGGTTGTGGGTTACCGGTGATCAAGTGCTCTAGCAGTGGATATATGAGATACCTTGTTTAGAATTGTATGCTGTAAATAGTCTAGATTGATCCATGTTTATGGAGAACACACCATTGAAGAAGAGATCTAAGCGGTATCATGCAGGAAACATGAGTAGTCTACCTACCTAGCCTACTGAGGAACAGTGGAAATCCGCCTATGTGTTTACTCCATTCCCCGGGTCTGGACCGCATCCATCAACACTCCCTTGCGACGTTTTCTGGAGACTGATGGATAATTTCCATTCTCATCAGTAAATATGGCCGCTTTTTCCATATTTCGACTGCTCACATGAGTATCTCCATTGGGATGTGGGATTGTAGAGACCGTCGTACTACCCACCAGGACCCTCAGCATCGTAATGTATATAAGTAGCCTGAGATGCTTCAAGATCAGCCCTGATTCCTCTGATGCCTATCTCTTTATTCTACGCAACTCTTGACTTCACTGAAGCGATACTAAGCCCTTCGTACCTTTGTTCAGACCCCTCTTAAAAATCATATCTTCAAACACCATTATGTCTGTCTCCATCACCACCGACACTCCTATCGCCCCGGCTGCCAAACAGGCCGACCTCTGCCTGGGCTCCAAGTCCCGTATGCCTGAATTCAGCCTGGCTGGCAAGGTCGTCCTTGTGTCTGGTGCGGCGCGAGGACTTGGTCTGACGCAAGCCGAAGCCCTCCTGGAAGCCGGCGCAAAGGTGTACGGACTGGACCGTCTCGAAGAACCCGTATGTTTGCTCTTTCATCACTTTATTCTTTGTTGTTGTTGTTTCCCTTCATCGGCTTTTCTAACCATCCGGACCGTCGGTGATATCTAGTCCCCCGAGTTCTTCGAGATCCAGAAACGCGCCAAGGAAGAACTGGGCACGGAGCTACACTACCGTCGCATCGACGTGCGTGACACCGAACTGCTGGACCGGACGGTGGAGGAGATCGCCAATATCGAGGGCCGGATGGACGGGCTGGTTGCCGCGGCAGGCATCCAACAGGAGACCCCAGCCCTGGAGTACTCGGCCAAGGACGCAAACACCATGTTTGAGGTCAATGTGACGGGCGTGTTCATGACTTCCAAGGCGGTGGCCAAGCAGATGATTCGGTTTGGGAACGGAGGCAGCATTGCGCTAATTGCCAGTATGAGTGGTACTGTTGCGAATCGGGTACGTTTTTTTTTTTTTTTTCTTTCTTCATGTTCATGCAGCCCTGGTCCTTGTCCTGGCAACCAATGTTGTACAGAGATGCGTTGCTTTCGGGACATCCCCCGCTTTTGACTTGACTTTTCGTTCTGCGATTTATCCCCAGTTGCATCAACCATACAACATAACATGGTGATACTAACTACGACGACCAGGGTCTGATCTGTCCCGCTTACAACGCCAGCAAGGCCGCCGTTATCCAACTAGGCCGCAATCTCGCCATGGAGTGGGGTCAGTATGGCATCCGCGTCAACACCATCTCCCCCGGCTACATCGTCACGGCCATGGTCGAACAGCTCTTTGTTCAGTTCCCCGAGCGTCGCGACGAATGGCCCAAGCAGAACATGCTGGGCCGTCTGTCCACCCCGAACGAGTACCGTGGTGCCGCTGTGTTTCTGCTGAGCGACGCTAGCAGCTTCATGACCGGCAGCGATCTGCGCATGGACGGGGGTCACTCTGCCTGGTAGATGCTGCCTGTCAGTGTTGATGTTTTCTTTTCTTTTTGGTGTTTTATTTGTTGCATGGCGTTTCTGTTGGGAAATCAAGCGTGCTGTGATTTGCATTCGTGCGTCTTGTTGTACTTGTCTCACTCAGCGTACAAGAGCAGTATTTATTAATCCGTGGACAATTGAATCAATAGGCTAGAGCTCTCTCCGTAAGTATACAGAACTCTTGGATCCAATGGCCCAGTTTAACAAGACCCCGCTGGCCACGGAGTAACTCCGGATGTGATTCTTGATTCTGGGACATCGGGTTCAGTAACCGTCGTCACTAACTCGCTATTCTCAGTTGATTCTGGGGTATGTCGATCATATCCTTGGAATCCTCTTGGCTGAAGGTGGATAACGGCTCAGTCTATCTTATGCCAGGCACATTTTTCGTCAAGGTCTCTGCCGGCAGAGTCACCTATATCTCTCTCACTTCACCTATCCGAACTATTTCACCATCTATATAGTTGCTCTTCCAAGGTTCTGCTTCCATTGTTTTGCGTGTGACAGTATTCTGATAGAACTGGAAGCCATCCGAACGAACCTCGCACTCAGGCCAGCATAGACAGCAGAGGTGCAGTTTCAACTCTTCAGACAATAGCAACACGCCCAATGGCCGATACAGTTGGCAACAATTACTCAAAAACCCCAGTTGCAGATATTGCCTGTGCGAGTCTGGAAGTAGGAACAGCTATGGATTGTAGCATGGAATCAGTGCGATGCTGTTGAAATCGCTCGCGTTCAATAAATCGTAGGATCGAGATGCGCTGGAGGTGATATATCTACGTACAGGAAGTAACCAGAGCGATGATGGTACTGGACACTCACTCTCACTCCCGAACATGAGGTGAAGAGACTTGATCTGATCACTGATGCCCAACGTGTCAACTTTGCAGACATCCTTCGCTCGCTCAGAATGCCGAGATGAGGGGGAATGAACCTCGTGAAGTCTCATCTCGGCGAGCATCCGAAAGACTATATACCCCGGGCATGTCTGACATGGTATATATATATATATATATATATATATAAAACCAAGAAAGGCCGAGATCATTGCCCCCCATCAATCATATACAGCAGCACAGAGCCCTCAACATGCCATCAAACACAGTCTACCCAGGGGGCATCCACGTCCCCTCCCTGACCTTCTTCCAGGACAACCCGCGCCAGGACATCGACTGGGCCACCCAGGAGAAACACCTCACCTTTCTCATCCAGTCCGGTCTCCACGGCAGTACGTCTCCCTCAACCAACCCCCAAAGCCCATCCACCCACTAAACCCACACCACAGTCGTCCTCGCCGGCTCCAACGGCGAAGCCGTCACGCTCAGCACCGCCGAAAAAACCTCCCTCGTCAACCTCACCCGCACGCTCGCAACCCGCCTCAACCGCCCCTCGCTAACCATCACCCTCGGCTGCAGCGGCCAGGCCACCCGCGCCGTCATCGACGAGACCGTCGCCGCGCACCACGCCGGGGCAGACTTCGCCCTCGTCCTCGTCCCCAGCTACTTCCACTTCGCCATGGACGCGGGCGCCATACTCGCCTTCTTCACCGAGGTCGCAGACCACAGCCCCCTCCCCGTCATGCTATACAACTACCCCGGCGTCGCGGCCGGGCTGGACCTCGACTCCGAGATCCTGGTCGCGCTGAGCAGGCACCCCAATATCGCCGGCGTCAAGCTGACGTGCGGCGGGATCGGGAAGGTGCCGCGGGTGACGGCGGCGGCGGAGCCGCCGTTCGCCGTGCTCAGTGGGCAGATTGACTGGATGGGGCCGGCGATGGCGGTGGGGGCCATTGGGGCGATTACGGGGATGGCGAATTTGTATCCGCGGGTGAGTTTCTGTGCGAGGTTCATGTGGGCAATTTCTGGGAAGAAAATGGTAGCTGATGGTGATGGTAGACGTGTGTCGAGCTGTACGAGCTGTATAAGGCCGGGAAGACGCAGGAAGCTACGGAGCTGCAGTTGCAAGCCGCAACAGCCGAGTGGGCGTTCGCCAAGGGCGGCATCAATGGGAGCAAATGGGTCGTCGCGAAGATGCTGGGCTATCCGGAGACCAGCGCCGCGTGTCGAAGACCGTACCCTCTCTTCGCGGACGCCAGCAAACAGAAATGGATGCTCGAGCTGGCCGAGAAGCTGAAGCCTGTTGAGGAGGGACTGGCCTCCCGCGCCGCATAGAAGACCACCCCACTCACTCATATAGTACGCTGATGAATCAAAGACCTCGCTCCCATCACGAATAATAGTACACATTAGTATCAATAGTACCCAACAAATCATCTACCCAACCTCCCCCACAACCCCCTTCCTCCCCAAACGCTCCAACACCCCCTTCTTCAACCTCAACACCCCCTCAATCTCCCCCTCGCTCAACCCCTGCCGATCCCGCATCGTCAGCGCCTGCCGGATCGTAAACGCATCCAGGAACTCCCGCCCCGCAAACCCGGGCCGCCCGATCTCCTCCACCTCCGCCTCCGCGGCCGTCGCGATCTTCTGCCGCGCCGCCAGCACCAGGAGAGCCGGGTTCGTCGCCGTGGGAAAGACGGGTTGCTGGCCGGGCTGGGTGGTCGGGGCGCCGGCGGACCGCGGGTTGAAGGCGCTGGTGCGAGAGAAGGTTGGGTTAGGGGTGACGGGGCCGATGGAGCGGAGAGAAGCGGCGAAGTCAGGATCGCGGCCGTCGAGGTCGATGACTGTACTTATACTTAGCTTCTTGGAACCAACTGTGTTATGCCTGTTTTGAGAGTAGTTACGCACCTGATGATTTCACCGTCGATGCTTGTTCCCTGGGCTGTGGTGTTGGTGGAGGAGGCGGACTTCGGGGTGGTTGTGGTTGTCGTTGAGGCTGTCTTGTTTCTGTTTGAGGGCGTGGAGCAGCGGCCCTCGAGGCAGCGGATGGCTGTTTGGGATATTGCCGGCGCGAGGCCGTGCTTGCAGCCGACCGCGCGGGTTTGGATGCTGAGGCGCCCATTCCTGTGAGAGGGTGTGTCTGTTGTTGAGAGATGGGAATCGTTGAGAGTGTACGGAGTAGATAGTATAAGTCGAGTTGGAGATTTGGAGAGCTGGTGGAAGTTCTCTGAGACCCGCCGGACTAGCCCGACTGGGTCAATTGTTGTCGCCGCGCAAGTGACGTCAGGAAACTTCAACTAGATATAAACTCATCTACTAAAAGGGTAGAATTTTTCTGATGGACCAGATTAAAATTTTCATAGAGGTTTTGTAGTGACCGTGAATAGTGAGGTGATTGTAGTGTTACTATGTAAAGCTAGATGTAGTAGTATACCAGAACCAGCTCCGCTCCGTACTAGTACAAGCTTATCTCCCGTCCTCCGAGCGCAATATATCCAGTACTTGCGCATCTACCGCAGCCCAGCAAGACGTCTGCCCTGGACTTCTCCTAGAGCGCGGCTACCGCTGATGAACGCGACGACACTGGCAGCCGCAACGGCCGGAAGCACCTGGAAGAGGGTCCAGTGGGTGTAATAGAGGAAGAAGATCCACTCGATGATGAGCAGAGATCCCAGGAACACCGCATGGGCGGCGGGAGCCGCCTTGAAGGCAGTCGGCAGATGATTGAGGTTCACGCCAATGTAGAGCCACTACGAGACAAGTCAGAAACAGGCCATATCGATCCGTGGGGAGGGAAAAAAACTCACCAGGCCACCCAAGATTGGAAAGGCAGCCAGCACCATTCCAACAAAGGCCAAAGTCACGACAACGGGAGGACTCTGCGCATCGGCCTTGAAGATGTGGTGAATCTCGGGGAGTCGGCCGTATCGCGGGATTTCGACGGTCGGAAGCGGTTGGTCGGAGTTGCGGGCGACTCTCAGCTGGAAGGCAGCTTTATTGTATGCTTGAGCGCTGCCGAAGGAGCCGATGAGGAATCTGGCATCTAATGGCTCGGAGGCTGCGAGGAGTTGGACGGGGAGATCTTTCTGAGTCTAAAGGGCCGAATCGCGTTAGCTGTTGGGACCACTTCACCATCCTCAATTCACACCTGATTCAACTGACCAGCTCCAATCTGGATTTGCCATTGTCTTTGACGGTGAAGGGATATGAGATATCAAGGCCAGTTTTCGGGTCTTCGAGGAGAAGAAAGACTTGGTGGGCGCGTTTCGCAGAGCTTCCTTCTTCCGCGGTGAGGATCACCTTGAGGGTGTCGGAGCTCCCAAGAGCGATCGGCTTGGAAAGAGGCTTGTTGTCGGGGATTCTGCATCGTTATTGAGAATTAGTTCAATCCAATGGCTGCTTAAATCTGTCTGAAATGATTGAATACCGTTCTTTCAGTCCAGTTCCAACGCCTGCACCTTTGGTTTGAACTGACACGGTGGCATCAGTAAACCCCCACGAGGATGCCGCTGCGGTCGGGATTGCAGCCGAAGCCAACAGACAGAGCTGGAGGGCCGTGTTCCAGAGCTGCATTCTGAATTTTGACTGTAAGACCCCGAGGAGAGGATAAACACAGCAGCACAGAGTTGAGAGACACAAGTAATAGAGTGTCTGGAAAGCTGTTTGTTGTGTCAAGATTGGAGCTGCAGAATCGCGGAAGCGCTAACAATAACCTGCGGAGCTGCTGATAAGCGCCCTCCATACATACCTTACAGGGGTTTACAGTACTGCCCGTACATACGTAACTTGGGGCATCGACGTCCACCTGCTCGCCGCAAGCCCTAATTTCTTTCCCGGATTCTCGCAGTTTGGGCTGTCGGCCAAACACCTCACCATATCCTCGAACTCCTCGATCGCCTTCCGGCTTCTCTCGCCGCTGCAGCTATCTTCTGGCATCGTTGTTTTCATCGTTTATCGCTGCACTTTCCTCCGAGCATGTTTTTCCCCGCAGCTCTCTAATTACAGGGGTCCTTTTGCGCTTGCAAGTCGACCGAGTCGATCGCTATCCAACTCCTCGCCTCCGCTACACCGGCAGCCACCCAACGCTGCGACGTTCGATCTGGCTTGTTTCTACAATATTCGACCATCGATATTTATACTTTAGGACTATAAAGACTGAGGATACAAAGTTATTGGTAGGTGGATCTTCGGGTTGTTGGTCTACGATCTGTGCAGGATGCGGAGTGGCTATCTCTCCAACTGCTGTTACCAGTCGCCGTTGAAACCTGACATACTCTGGTCTGGAGCATTAACTGACATCTTCTGCGTATAGTTTTAGGGGCAGAAAAGATATAAGAAATTGTTCTTCGCGTGTCGAGGCGTCCTCATATCCTCATATCCGCTCCATTCCGACGCCTACCATCGCATTCCTCTTCTTCTAGACTTGCGACATCTGCATATCAAGAATCGATACTGGGTGTAGCAAAAGAGTGTTACGGAGACAGCCTCTGAACCTGTTCAAAAGTAAGCTTCTTGTTTGCGACGCGCACCGCATGCTGTCCGACCACCCATTAACTCGGTCGAGCTTTGGTCCTGCCCATGGTTAACACGCTGGATGCTGACGGCAAGTACAGTGGCCAAAAGGGCTTCTGCTGCTCAGGATGTCCCTCCCTTGGATTCTTCCTCTCTATTTGACACCGCTCTAGTAGGTATTCCGCCATTAACTGATCTTTCTCCTTATTTAACACTTCCCATAGAGAACCCACTCTCGACGTAGCTCTTCCCGTCCATCACAGAAGTCAACACGAGAACCTGAGTCAAATAGCGTCAAAATGGCCCAAACCTCTTATTCCCTTCCCCCAACCCCTCTCGCCTCTTCGTTTGATGAATCACTGTCTTCCACGAAGCGGTGCCATTCTCAGCATCCCCCAGGTGATCTCAAGACCCCACAGCCAGGTAAAACCAAGAATTCGACTCAGAAGCGAGATTCTATTGCTCCAGAGGTCAAGTCTGAGGTCAAGAAAAGCAACCACAAAAAGCCGGGACAACCAAATAGCCATAATCAAGACTCCCAGAAGCATGAACTGGCTACACCCATCTCCAACTCCAAGCGCAAGGCAAAGGCTCCACAGTCGCAGTCGAATTTGCGTACTCTACTTCTGAAAGATCCACAGAAGAAACGCAAGTCTCTTTCTACTACGACCGAGCTGCTAGGCAAACACAAGAACAAGCTAAAATCCAAGTCATCTATCGTCGCCTCGACTCCCATGCAGAACAGCCGGAAGGCGAGAAAGTCCATGCCTGCAACTCTCAACAATGCTACTGAGCATAAAAAGGAAGCGACCTCAGCTAAGCCTTCGAAAGCCTCGGCGTCCCGTGCTTCGACGCCGGCTCGCAGTCACCATAAATCGAAAACTGCATCTCAAGCTAGCATGAAGGCATGTAAGCCCGCTACCAACTCCATGGACCACTCTATTCCACAGCCCACCCCATCCATTACCACGAAGAAAGGGATTGGAGCGACCGAGTCTGCAACTGCCGCCGTCAAAGCCAGCGCACCTGCTCGTGACTCTACTGCAAAATCCCGCCGTCGGCGAGACCGCAAGTCTGCCGCAGCAATGCGCAAAATCATAGACTCAGCACAACAGACACCATCTCATACCACTCCTCTCCCTGGTCCAACCAATGATGCGGCTGAACCTCTTTCCCACACCCTGAACACCCGCAGCTCGCGAGCAAAAGCTGCCGCCGCCAAAATGTTGAACGTCGATAAAGCTCTGGACTCCCCGGTCCCTCTCATGGCCCTGAATGCTACTCCCCGCAATCGAGAAGTTGCTGACAGCGTCGATGGGACTCCCATGCAAGTCTATAGCGATGGCTTCCACTTTGACTACGCACCGGAGATGTACGGCAATGCCTTCGGCCTTGATGGCCAGGTGGACAGCTCAGGATCCCCCACTAGCCTGTCTACTGGCGCATCTGCTGCAGCTAGAGCCTCGACACGCGTCCGCAAGCCCACTATCAGGGCCTTGGAATCTTTGGAGTCGGAGCGCCAGTTCCGCCGGTCCAGGCCTCCGTCTAGCAAAGCCGACTCCACTTCTGGAGAGGTCATGGGACAGAGAAAGGGAGACGTGGCCCAGCAGGCCCCGCCAACCACGCAGACCTCGCATGTCCCATCTGCTGCTGAACAGCCTGATACGGCGACCATTGCTAGGCAGTTGTTTGATTTCGCGGCAGCGGCTGTATCTGCAGAAGATCCCGCGCTGGACGCAGGGCTTGAGGCGAAGATGGAGAGCCTGCGCCAGGAGTTCGAGGCGGAAAACCTGTCACAGATCCGACAAGAGGCGGGGTCCGGGGGAGAAAGTAGGCTAACCTCGAGCTTGCCATACATTTTGGATAATAGGAAAGTTTCTGAGCCTTGGACTGACGAGGATGGCTGGACACATACAGGTCTTCTTAACAAGTTTGGCGAGGAGTATGTTTTTGTCTCCTCCGACTATGAGTGGGTGCATCCCGCCAACACCTACGGGGACGACCAACTGCCGCAGCCGCCGGGGCGGTTCAGGACACGGGAGCAGGCGGAGAAGGACCGGGTCTTCGGATATCCTCCGCGCCTGGGGGAGCGCAATCTCCCCCGGCAAACGAGTTTCTTTCGTTTCGAAAACGTGGATGAGGAAAAGGCCAAGGTCAGGGCGCGAGATGCCGCCCGGCTGAGGGGCATCCCAGTGGACCGGACCATGTCAGTCGCAGACATCGAGGCGCTGATCACACAGCACGACAGTACAGGGCAAAAAGAAATCTCGAAGGAGGTGGAAAAGCCCGTCGGTAGCACGCGCAAGCGAAGGCGCACGGAGCCTGCTAAGGATTCCTCAGAGACCAGCTCAGGCTCCAAACGGCGGCGCACCAATCCTCCTGCTATCGCTGCTACCGCTGTTGCCGCCGCTGCCGAAAAGCCAACTCTCAAGATTAAGTTTCGGTTTTCCAACCCCGAAAAGGCAGCGGCGGTAGCGGCGATTATCGCGGGAGCGGATCAACCGACCAGTCTCTCGAAGAAGCGCCGTTTCTCCGACACCAATGGAGCCATGGCCGCGACCGAATCACCAAAGAAGTGCAAGCCCTCGCCGGAGCCAGCTAGTCCGGCCAACCAGGCCTTGGCACTGACTCCTAGTGGTCGCCCGCGGCGTCGTGCCGCAGCGGCTCTGATGGCGGACTTTCAGAGCCATGCGGAGGAGAGAGCATCTCGGGCTCAAGCCCGCAAGTCAGCCGTCGGTATCTCAGGGAAACCGGGGGAAGCCCAGGTTCAATTGGAGGAGGGTCTCAAGAGTGTCTAACCGGTTGCCACTTTTTTTTCCATCGGTAGTCACTCAGATGACACCAGAGCAGTGTCTCAAATTACAATCACCATATCATCTGTCTTATAACGTCTTCGCTTCAGGGTTTCACCAGATGCGGCTGCCTTGAGTTTGGATACACCACTTACAGACATTCCCGTCCCATTGTTCTCTAGGTCAGCTGGTCTGGCGTCCTTCCAGATTTCCATATTGGGATATGCGTTACTCCTACTTTACGCTTCATCGCCACTTTTCGTCTCCTCCATACCATTTCATCTGTTCTTTTCCTCTCCGATATCCCTGCTTGATTGTATCCGCCATCTTCTCTTCTCTTATTTTCTCTTCTCTTCGCGACACCATTGCCTCTACATCTTTAATCAAGCCTGTTTTGTACACAGCGGGGCGTCCGGACCGGTCTTCAGCATCAAAGCATAGCGCAAACACATCTAGTGGAAAAAATCGGTTGCATTCTGTTCTGTCATTTTCTCTCCCAGCGTTTTTGTTTCAGCATCTACTTTTTTTTGTCTTCCTCTTCTTTTCCCCTTCCAATTTCGTCCCTCTGCGGGTGTGGTCAAGGTGACTGGGCCGAGCTTGACGCAGCGGACCTCCCCTAGCCAGCAACCCTGCGGATTTTTTTTTTTTATTATTCTAGAACTAACACTCGAGGTGTGAGGTGCCATTGGCAGATATGTATTCTTATTTTTTTCCCTTTGTTTCAGTCTGTACGATGGCAGGGGAGGGGATGTTATTGCATTAGATCCGGCGCAAGCAACGGGTCGATACTGATAGAAGCGTGATAAAGCGTGTGCTATTAACGGGGTAATAAATTCGGTGAATTTAGTATATCACTACTGGTTTCTCACTCTTCAACTCAGCTGTAGACAATATTTCCGTAGTCAATACGGCAGTAGTTCCATTCTATAGATACGTGCCTCAGGCCCCAAGGCCCCAAGGCCAACTTTTTTCCACGCCCCTTCAACATCCTTCCTTTACCTTACCTTACTTTACCCTACTCACTACTACTCACTCACAACCCACTCTATCCTCTATCTATCTATCTATCTACCAATCTACCTACCTCTCTCTCCTCCTCAATCCACTACCCCCATAGATCAAGATCAACATAAAGAAAAGAAAAAAAAAAGAAAAAAAACAAAGATAAGTAAAAAATGCCCACCCCCCAACCCCGCGTGGTCATCGACCCCCAAACCCCCTCAGAGCGTCAACGACGACGAGCCGCCGCCGCCGCCGCCGGTCGCGGTCACGGGCGCAGTCCAGCTGTGACAGACATCCGACAGACGCGGGAATACAAAGTCGCCGCGAGGAGGTAAGCAAGGCTTCTACCCTTACCCCTACCCCTACCTGCCCCTGGTGAATTGGTGGATTGGTGGATTGGTGATGAAGGATGCTGATGCGGGAGGCCCGGGGGGGGAGGGGAATAGGTGGTTATCAACGATCGTGGCGCTGCCGATATTGATGTATACGTCGTGGGTGTTGTATGATCGGGGTATGTATTTGTGATTTCTTATTCCTTGTTTCTGATGACTATGCTTGTTTTTTTTTTTTCTTGGTGGTTGGTTTCGTGGTGGGTGTGTGGGCTGATTGATGGGTGGGCAGCGTATGGGAATAGTCAGCCGAAGAGGTTGGTGAAGAGGTCGGGGGATGGTGAGGAGAAGGGGTTGGAGAAGGGGGAGTGAATGAATGAGTGTAAATCAACCAAGGGTGGGATGTTCTTGTATACTAGATGCTGCTATCACTACTGCCGTGTGCAATTGAGATTGATTTCTAGACGGAAATTGTTTTTTTCAAAAAAGGATATGATCATAAGATGAGATACTCAGAAAACCAATGCATCATGCATCCCCCCCCCCTCCAGCAGAACCCCCCCCCCTGTCTAAGCAAAACACTGGGCCCAGTTGCCTCCAGAGCGGGCAAAGCTCTGGCTCTTCACAAATTTATCCAGCTTGCAGCGGCCGTGCTTGTCAGCGTTGCAGCCATGCAGCGGCACGACCCGGTCGTTGATGATGGCGCGGACAAGAGGCTGCTTCTCGCCCTTGCACTGCATCTGCTCGAAGTAGGCGCGGGCGGCAAAGGGCACGAGCCAGGCGGCGGAGTAGCCGTCGGACTCCTTGGTGGACTCGACGGAGGTCTTGGACAGGAGCTCGGTGCTGTTGTACAGGCCGAGGGCGAAGAAGATGGAGACCATGGTGTTGTCGTGGGAGAAATCGGCGTAGATGGTGTGGTTCAGGGGGAAGGTGGCCGGGTTGGAGTCCAGGGTGGTGTTGACGGAGGTGTGGTCCTGCACGGGGGTCTGGGTCATGCGCGCGAGGAGCTCGTTGACGAAGCCGATGCCCTGATCGGGGCCGAGCGGGTGGCCGGCGCCGTAGCCGTAGTACTTGTCCAGGGACTGCTTGTAGTCGTACTGCAGCCACTCCTTGTGGGTGAACAGGTTGCAGAAGGGCGACAGCTGGCTGCCGTCGGCGGTGCGCGCCACGGTGTCGAAGGAGCACATGTCCATGAGGCTGACGACGTCCCCGTCCTTCAGCTTCACACCGGGCAGGTTCTTCTCCAGGCGGGCACGGATGGGCGGCACGAACAGGGCCACGAAGCTGTCCACGATCGCGTCGCCGGACTCATCCTTCTCGAACTTGGTGCAGACGCCGTGGTCCAGGGTGTTGTTGAAGGTCTCGCCTTCGGGGATGATCACGCTGATGACGGGCGCGGCCTGCTTCTTGGCCTTGGGGTCCGCCTCCTTGGTCTTCTGGAAGCCCTGGATGAAGCGCTCGCCGGAGAGGATGACGCGGCCGGAGTCGGCGGCGCGAACAAAGGGCACCGCCTTGCGGGCCAACGACTTGTACTTCTGGTAGAACTTGATGCCGGAGTTGACCATCTGCTGCTCGCCAAAGGGCGTGAGGTCGTCCGCGCCGAGGGTGTACTCGTACGTCTTCAGGAACTGGTAGCCGCCCTTGAGCTCCGTGGCATTGGCCTTGATCGCTTTCACCAGCTTCTTGTACTTGGCGCTCTTGCTAGCGGTGGGGAACCGCGCGGCATGGCGCGACAGCACCTGCACAAAGGTGACCTCGCAGTCATCCGGCACATCGCTGGAGTCGGCCCGCTCCTCATCCAGGGAGAAGTAGGGCGAGTACTGACCCCACAGATGGGAGATCTTGGGAGAGCACTGATACCCTTCCTCGGGGGTATCGCATGCCTTGGTCTGGGCGTGCTGACGAGGCACCGCCGACACTCTGCATCAGATTTAGCACCATCATCATATCCCGAGCAAAGCAAGCAAAAACTCACCCGGCCAGAAGATACGACACCGAGAGCAGAAACGCAAAAGTACCCATGATGCCGACAAGTGATGATCGCTGTCCCGTACACAAGCGTTGAAGCAAGAAGTCCTGTTTTTCTCTTTGCTGTGCTGCTACTGCTTCTTCCTCATCCTTCCCCCGGACCACCCAGTCTTTATATAGACGTCCCATGGCAAACCGTCGGACTCATATTGAGTTCCGGCCAAAACAAAACCGACAAGGCACGACCCCCCCCCCAAATAGCCTGCCTAATTGGGCTATTGGCGATAGCGGAACACGACCCTCACCGGCTGCACACGGGGAAGTTGAAACCCAGTGGAGCACTGCTCACGGCCCGATCGAACAGGGTTCAGGGACTTCGTTTAGACTGGACTGTCGCGTGCTAGATAGATTAGATGAAGGATAGAACGGGCAAGCGTCCGAACCGAGATGGGAGAAGGAGGGGGGAAAGTCAAGAAACACGTCCAATGAAGCGAGGTTGATGGGGCCATCGCCGACGAAGCGAGAGAGGGGGAGAGAGAGAGGCTTCGAACTCTTCAGACAATATGGCCAGGGATGGTTTGTTCTCCTTGATTGAAATTGGGCCGTGGTGATGTGCGCGGATGTGATAGGCTGGACGCGGCATCCACGTGGGAGGAGCCGTGGCATTGGTTGGCAGCGAAGTCGGTGCCTGAGGCAGAGAGGCTTTGGTGCCTATGTGCCTGTGTGCCTGAGTGCCTGTGAGCCTGTGTGCCTGCGTGCCTCAGGTGGAGCCCTTCCCGTCGCTGCTCTCTTCTAGTTCGGCCCAAAACAGAAAAAAACAAAAAAAAAGCGTAGCCGAGCTTGACGAAGTCTCAAGTCTAACTTTCTAGTAGTACAGAGTAGAGATAATAATAGACTAGAGCAGGTATTCCTCGATCCAGAAGCTTGAGCTAATGTGCAACAATACGAAGCTACGCGGGAACGCCATCAGCCCACTTGCACCCTGTCAGAACTCAGTCAGTCCTCTAGTTGGACTCTACCGAGTACAGTAGTAGCATAGGTAGCAGTCGAGATACCTCTCTCTCTCTCTCTCTCTCTCTCTCTCTCTCTCTCATCCCTCGCCATGAAAACACCAATGGAACACCACCCCAGCACAACGTGGTGATAAACCATCTTCAGGAACCACAAAAAAAGAAAAAAAAAGAAAACAATCAGCGCATTTTCCAGTGTTCCAGTGTTCCCACATCCGATCAATCCCTGCAGAGCCAATGCTAACTAACTAACTCAATGGCATCCTTCTTCAGCATAGCCATAGTCCCCCCACTCTCTCTCCCCCCAGGCCCGGTTCTGCACCGATCCGGCAGCTTATGATCCTGCGATTATGGGATTGATGATTGAGGGAAGGGGAAGCGCACTTCTGAAGCATCCAGGGCTCCAGGAAGATCAGCACTTTCACAAGGGAAAAAAAAAACCAACACCTGCAGGTTTGAGAATCGCTGAAGAAACGTTTCGTTCCCTTCTTCCTCTCCCCTCATCGGATATTGCTGTTAGCCTGTTTCACGCTGATGGAGTCGGCACTCGAATCCCGTGGGTCTTCCTTTTTTTTTCTTTTCTTTTTTTTATGGCGAGGATCTGACGCTTTGCATCGAGTCGTCGGCACTCCCGGGCAAAATGAGGGGACAAGTGGTATCTTACGATCGACAGTCAGAGTCGGACCATTGAGGCGTGCGGTCAGCTCAGAGTTCGGTTATTGAAGTCGTATCGTATCCCAATGCATGGGGGGCATCGATGCGACCCCAGGTGACTCCAAACAATATACAGAAGAAAAAAAAAAAAAAAAAAAAAAAGGCCAGCGTTCTTGTTGCATTGGACGAATGTGATACCAATCAATATCAATCAAATTGGTGGAAAAAAAATGTAAGTAACTGTGAATGGAAATGTAAATGCAATCTCACGCATTCCCCAAAACACCCGCCAGTCTAAATCGAGCCACCAACAACAAGCGAAAAAGAAAAGAAAAGAAAAATAGAGTATATACAAATGAAATGAAAGTGAATTGGAAGACAAGGGTCAACGTAAGCAGGTGCAACCTGCACGGCAATCTCGCTTTGCGCGCTCGTCGGAAAACGTATATAGGCAGCTAGATAGTCTCAAGTCTCAGACCAGGATATCTGCAAAGGGTGAGCAGCAAGAAAAAAAAAAAAAAAAGCAGAACACATCCACCGATCTTCGCAGCAGGTCACACTCAATGTTCACCTGTCTTCCGGGATGCGAGCAAGCTTTCTCCCAGAGAATGCTGCCTCTCAATGCAAAGCAATGATGTGTAAAAGCTGGGGGAAATCATGGCAGCAGCAACAGCAAAACAGCAACAGTAACAGCAGGGTCTCGCCGGCTTCTTTTTTTAAAAGAAAATCAATCTTCCGCGGCGGACCAGAGGGTAAGAAAAGGAACAAAAAAAAAAGAAAAAAAGGAAAAGAAAAAAAGGAAAAGAGGAAAATAAAATGATAATAATAAATACATTCAACAGAAATCTCGTCAACGTCCTGGGTCGAATTGAATGTCCAGACTAGATGTGCTTCATATTCCATGACTCGTCATTCAGGAACGGGTCCAACTCTCCGACAGCTGCGACATCGGTCTCGTCTGCGGCTCGTTGGACACCATGTTTCGTTCGGCCGGCGCGGGATAAGAGGCTCCATTGTGCCAGCTGCCCGGCGAGTGCGAGCTCGACCCCAGCGGTGATCCAGTGGGGTTGAGATGGCCCGCTGGGCCCACGGCAGCTCGCGTCTCACCACCGGACCATGTGGTCTCCGCGTCTCGCTCCGAGGTCGATCGACATGCGGCCGGGGAGGCTGGCCGGGGCGGGATCTGGCCCGGCGGGACCAGCCGGTTGACATGTTCGCGATAGAAGTCCCGCTCGGACCGATAATGATCGCGTTCCTGCATCAGCGCCTGGATCTTCTCCTGCTGCTTACGGATCTCGTCCTGCTGCGCGGTGATCTTCTGCTCCATCTGCATCTCGTTCCGCTTTCGGTTGCGGAACCGTCTTGAGGCGTCGCTGTTCGCCTTGCGCTTCTCCGCTTGGCTCGATGACCCGGACTTGAGATCCAGAATGCACGGGATCATCCCCGGCACCGGTGGGGTGTTCGGGGCCGATCCCCCCATGGCCGCCTGCTCGTTCCCTGCATGTAGAGGACCGGGCACTACCGACGGCAGTCGGCTGACCGGCTCTGCTGTCCCGTATTGAGGTAACTGGACGAATGAGGCCGGTTGCGTCACACCGAGGCCCGTGATCGCGGGTGACGATCGTCCGAACGGACTGTAGACGGACACGGGCGTTGTAGGGCTCGCCTCGTGCGAGCTGGGGGTCGGGGTCGGGTTGGTGCTGACTCGACGGCTGTGAAACGTTGGCGTGGAATGGATGGAGGCGGCCACTGGAGCCTGACTGTCGGACATATGACTCGAGTCCATGGGCAGGGGGGATCCAGAAGCCATCCGGTACAGACCCGGCCGTGACTCCTGAGCCAAGGGGGACTGCACCAAGGGAGACTGTGATGTGTTAGTTTTCCGGGCATAGGGCCCGGCGGATCCCACGAACCGAGCAGTGGGGGAGGCAGGTGCGATGATCTGGCGGCTCATCAACCCCGGCGAGAGGGAAGGCCGTTTTGCGTGCTGTATCGATGGAGAGGCCAGACGGACTGTAGGCGAAGAGGGCATTCGGACATGGGAGGAGGGAGCAGAAGACAACGAAGCAGAGGATGACGAGGCAGACGGCTGCAGCCGTCCCAGACTCAGCCCGTCTCTACCCAGATCCGTCAGTGCAGCCGGAGCGGATTTGGCGGGGGGGTTCAGAATAGAATGGACGCCGATGGAGCGAAGTTGGGCAGCTTGCAACGGGGGTTCTACTGGCGCAGAGGGCTGCCACGAGAGCGGCCGAGGATGCACGGGATCAGGACCCTCGGCTGACGGTGCTTCATCGTCCACGCGAGCTCGCTTCTTGTCGGGCAACCCGCGGGTCTCTGGCCGAAGACCATCGTGCGTTAACGGGGCAGAAGCTGGCGAAGTCTGTGACATATGCTCCGGTTTCCTTTCGTGAGACAGCCGCTGGGGATGGGGGCATGGCGCAGGGCCCCCTCTCTCCCGATGTGACTCAGAGAGAGAAGGATGAGAGAGGGAGCCGATGGGTTGGGCGAGCGAGTAGCCAGACAGCGAATGATATTGTTGATGGGAGAGATGGACTGGGTTGGAATAGGAGGGGTTGTTCAACACGGTGATCCCTAGAGTAGCCAGCTTGACGGTTGTGAATGGGTGGAATGGTTAGAAGGATAGAAGAAGAAGAAGATGATGATGATGTTGAGATATAGTAGATTAGATAGATAGATAGACGGGAATTCCTGTTGCCGATGTCTGTTTCTTTCTCAAAGAAAGCGAACAGAGGATGAGAATGACGATGTTACAAAGTCATCCGAGGGGGTTTACTCGGATGGTCTGAAGGTATACAGACGAAGGGTCAAAGAGACGATTGCAGGGAGAAGAAGAGGAAGAAGACAAAACATGTAACAAGAAGAATTCAGTAAGTACAGAAGTGCTATCGAAGGAATATAAAACAACTTAACGTCCCAAAGGTCAGAAAAAGAAAAGAACAGAGAAGGGAGTGTAAAATAATAAAATGATGATGATAATAATAAATAAAATAAAATAAAATAAAATAAAATAGAGGAAATCAGGCATTCAACAGACTTATTGTATACCCAGTGGTAAATTCCATTTATCATAATGATTGGAATTATTAGAATATTATTATTATTATTGCATTCCGGCACTCTATTCGAAGGTACGTACTTACTTAACTTCCTTACTACACTATTAGGTACTACCTACTACTAGGTCAGCTACTGAGTACTGGCTGACTTACTTGTCTCCTGTCGGGAGCGTTACAAGACCAGCAGATCCGGCGGTGAGAACTGGGACCGACTTAGTGCTTTAGTTAGTGACTTAGTGGACTTGAATTAGATTCGTAGTGGGAACGGGGGGAAAGTTGGCATGTCCACACTGGAGTGGAGAGCGCATTCCTGGGAGTGGGAGCCCACTGCGTTACAACTTACTGGGTATTGTTAGTGGACCCCCTGCTGGGAACCACAGGCATGGGAAGACCAGAGGGAAACCCAAGGGAGTAACATACGAAACAATCAAGAAATGAAATACCGGTACATACGGTGGGTGCAAGATACCTTACCAACGTACCAGTCTGTACCTAAAGAACAACCTACAGGGTAAGATATCTATCTATCTATCTACCTAGAGAAATTATACTACGCTAAAACAGCACTCTCCGATAGCTACAGGACACCCTAAGGAATAAGAGGATTATCATCCCTGACAATGAAGCAATCCAACGTAGGCCGGGAGACACCAATGGAAGTTTTGTACAGAACGTTGTAAGTACTTCCATGACGGAGTACCATACCATACTCAACCGGAGTACTTACCTTACCTAGGCACCTAGTGTGTTTTCGTACCTCATACCACAGTAAGTAGGTACGTACCTATTGGTCTCGGAGAACCTAGATAAAGAGAAGCACACCAGATGGGGCCGGGGAATCGGAAGCTTCCTTGCGAGTTCCACGAGTTGGCCAGCTTGGATTGGAAGTCTGGACTCCGGGAAGCTTTCCACAGTCAAGAACGTCACTCCTCGCTAACTATCATGTCAAACCATGACAGGCAGGGCGAGCGAGCTAGGCAGTAAGTCATGACCCGCTCTTGCTCTGATGTTCGGTCAGAGAACCATTGAGATATAACTCACTCCATAGTCTGCAGTATGTAGGAACTTTGTAGACTGGGTCTGAATCCAAGATTAGTATCACTATCATATATCAATGACGCTGCAACGCTACACGGCATGTTGCCATCATCTTGACAGCCATGCGCCTTGTTCAATTTTGGTGGCCGTCACCGTGGATGTGGGCAGGATCTGTGCCTAGTGGAGCCGGGAAGTCAATGAGTTGGTACGGTACCAGAGTACTCCAAAAGAGGTACTCCGTAGGTGGTCGATAGGTAGCTAAGGGAGGTTAGGGTACCGTACCTATTTTTCCAGTAGTACCTTACTCACCTACTGAAAGTCCTGTAATGTACCTAAATGGGCTGCTTCTCGTGCCTGTTCGTGTGATCGAACCCAAGTACCTAGGGGTAAAAGGTACTCGGGTAGCTAGATACACGTAAGTACAATACAAGAATAGATACTTACCGCTTCATCGAAACTAAGAACTGTTTTCTGAGACTGGGAGGTATGACGGACCAGATCAACAGCACGCAAGACATACTCCATCTTTTGCCATGGGAAATTGATCGGAATGCGAAGTTATCTGATAGTGGCTGGTCTGATCACGGATGGTGTTACTGGTGTTTCGAGGTCCTGACTTGGATGAAGCAGGATCATCAATATAGATGAAGGACTTCGGAATCCATTGACCTCACCTCACTGAAATGCCGTCTCGGTATCCCAGTAAGCGAGCAAAAGTACCTGTAGGACAAGTTGGACAGAGAAGCCTACCTAGTAGTCTACCGTACAGAGTTACAGACTACTTCCCTTGAATCTCGAGATTAGCAGGCTAATGATAGATCATGTACAGAGTAGAATCAAATCCCGTCTCGCAGGATCCTTTTCGATCCTGTGGGCCAGACTAGTGGTGAATTGTCAAACTGTCGCAGGTCCACTCCCGAAATGGCTTGCCTCGTGGCGGACGGGGGTCGTATCATGAGACACTGACCAGAAAATTAGGGAAAAGTCCCACTCCCAATGCGCTGTTATTCATTGTTCGCCGAAAAGTGGACATCCACAAAACTATCTAACTACCCTTTCAGACTTCAGTAGTTGCTGGCCGCCGGGAACGCAGCTAATCAAGACCGCTAAGGCACTAAAATAAGGGCCCCGTTTAGTACCGGCCGGCAGATGGGGCCAGAAACTCTACTCGACTGTCTGTTCAGCTGACGAGCTGGGAAAGGGTTGGCTCTTCGGATGTTGTGCATGCATGCAGTTCATGTACTCCATAAGTGACTGGGTCTATTTCCTGTCGGCTTTTTTGAGCGTTGTTTAATAGCAATTGCATTGTGGCCAGTGCCAGACGGATGAGGCAAGTTGGGCCTCATTTTTTTTTCTTGTCTTCTGCAGTTCGCCCCCCCCCTCCCTCCCCCCGGGTAAAGGTAACCCAGAGATGATGTGGCGGAAAGATGGGACGTATAAGAAATCGTTCTGCTCTTCCTCTGAGGATCTCCTTTTGGCCCCCTACTCCGTACAGCCCTGCTGATCCCAGTAGTGATATGCCTGGACGCGCTATCAGCGGATGGATGCTACCCGAAAACCAATGAGATGGATTTCTCAAGAGAAAATCTTACACCTCATACCGCGGAGAATCGCTGAAGGAGTTGATCGCCTGTAGATACTTTTTGGTGGTGCCTCAGAGGCTCAGAGCTCGGTTATCGATGTGAGGTAAGATTGACGGAGGTCCACGAGGTACCATTTTTACCCTGTTGAGTGCTTGGACCTGGAGCTTCCTCCAGATTAGTTCTAGATTATTAAAAGAATGGTAAATAGTCAAAGGGTCGTCAGCTACGTCATTGGGCATCAACTGCAACGCCAAATCATCCAGACCCGCAAGAGATGCACAGTTTCCCAAAAATGGACTGTAGAGCTGGCCAGGACTATAAGTGTCCCAGTATGGTGGCTCTTTGTATCTCTTTGGATGGATCCTGGAGTTGGAGCTTTGCAGACTGAAGGGAAGTCAAGTTCGACACATCATCAGTTGCCCTGTTCGGTCTGCCGCTAAGTACTCCCAGTCCCAAATATAAGCGCGGATGAAGCCGCAACTGCGCGAGACAGCCCTAATGTAGGGGAAATGAGTCGCATCTTAGTTCCAACTCAAAAATAGCCTGGATATCAAGTTAAGTGCTATCCGTAGATAACTGCAAGTTCCTCATACTGATGTAATCCATATATCCAGTGCATGGCGGAACCCAGGATTCCCAGCTGTGACTTGTGCTTTTTTCAGCAATGCAGACAAAGCCAATATCAGCTAGCCAAAACCGGATTCTGGATAGCCCTCTTGCCCACTTTTGGCTGTTCTTTGAACTTGAGGCTTTGGGGGATGTGATCTATCTCAAGAAAATGAGGTCTTGATCTGGTACTTTGGTCATCAGGACGGGGAAGGTGAATCAGACAGGGAAGAAGGGGATCGGAACTTCGAACGGAAGGTCGATACTTCCCAAGAGGGTGATGTGAATGCGATGACTGATGATGAGCAAATCATGGAACATTTGATGCTCTGTGCCTGACTGGACCCCGGCTTTAGAATACCCACGGATACAGTAGATAATCTGCAGCGGAATAAGATGAGCTACTTCCCGTACCTAAGAACCGACCTACCTGCAGCGGGTTTTGGCAATAGATCACCAATCCACTGCAGTCATGGATGCAGAAAAACAGCCATTGGTCAGATTGAGGGAATTTCTGATTCGGTGACTGCTCAGATCTGCCCCAGATGGAGTGTGAGATATTCATTTCATTTCCATTGCATTATTATATTACGGTGAGATTTTTAAGCTCTTCGGATCATGTGTCGACTCTTGCAGTGAATTCCTTTAGTAGTTACACAGCCTATATGAGACGCCGAGTCTAGATTGCAAGAGAATGACCTAGAATGTCGAGTCTCAACTCTCAAGCCACCTCTACCGATATTTTGCACTTTTGCACACGAAGAAATAATAACCAGAGATGTGGGATCCTCCCCCCCAATGATGTCACTGCCTCATATAGATTCATAAGTCTGTGCCAGAGTCCAGAGTCTCCAGAGTCCAGACATACTCCGAGTTTGGACTTGGGGAATGGTAATTTAAGTGCGAGAACGGTGCAGTGGAGGCTGGCTGGATAAGCTAGCTAAGGGAGATGACCTAGTGAGTCTGACCATGTGGTAAGTTGTAACTATCAATGCCACCATCATCTGGATACCCTGGGGACTGTGGAAACTGGGAACTTTGGGTCCCAGCTCCCGGCTTTCCAACTCCTGACTGCCTGGACTTTTGGATTTGAAATTTCGGATCCTGGATCCTGGAAGCCTGGGGCCTGGAAACGAAACAACGAGTCTCTGGAATGCGGGAAGTGGAGATGAGCCATGAAGTCTGAACCAGTCAATAGCTGGAGATAGATAGATACAATATGTCGGATAAATGTTCCGCCATCATCTTCTTCGACATCAACTGTCTTGCGTGGGTTGATTGATAATTGTCTAGTTTCATTAGCTTTGGTGCACAACATCTCCGGGGAGCACCAATAGGTTACTAACTACTTATGGAGTAGATGGTTAGTATGTGGGTGACTGTGTCCAGCGTGCATTAGCCTGGAGACTAGCCTGGCTGGCCAAAGGGGCTTTGAGTCTTCCAGAACTGCAGATTTGGAGATGCTCTGATCTCAGGGATTTTTGGTTAAGTACGAATTCCTCTAGCGAGGATTCATTCTGGCTGGAATTATCTCATCCTCAGAGCAGTACTTGAGTGATTACTCAAGTTCATCGTCAGTTTAGTGCAGCATACCATTGTAATCCAAAACAACCTTGTCATGACATGTTTTATCATTTCATGGTATGATTTGTCTTGATCATACACTATCCATGTCTTCCATCAATACCTGACCTGCCGTGTATTTATACAGCGTTACCAGGTACCTAGGTATCATCAATTAGGTGGTATGGACTATGGACTATGAATTACCTTACTTTTACTCCATACCAAGTCTCATTTCTTGTTCAAGAATTCGAACAAGGCCAATTTGATCAGTCCTCCCACGCTTTTTTCTTTTTTGTGTCACTGTTTGCTCTTTTTTTTTTTTTGTTTCTTTTCTAACCTCGTTGCTCACCTTGTATTTCTTCTCTGGAAGCCGCTGTAAGCGCCTGTCTAGCCATGCACGCCGACTTCCCACCCGAATCCTTCGTACCCGGTGCTGGATGGCCGAAGTACTATGTACACCGTACGAACTGCAGACTTCGGTTCCACCTTCAAATAGGCTTGATCTTGAGATAATCATGATTCAGCAATCCGCTAAAAGAGCTGAATATTCGAGTAGGTACCTACTACTAGTAGTCACTCGGAGTGCCTGTAATACGAAATCCTCTCCCCTTTCCACACTCTGTAGCTTCCCGATCTTCCCAGGGTTATTATCAGGAATCCCAGAACACCCACGAGTCACTGCATCTGCATGCATCCTTAGATGAGTTGGCAGTTGTTCACTCCTTTAGGTGCTCCAGAAAGTCTTTTTTCCTTCCCCCCTGAATCATGTCGAAACAACGTATTGGCGGTATAGAAACTTATACTTTAACTCTCTCATGCATGTAGCCAATCCTCGCCTTCAAGTACAACACGAATGTACCCAAGTCTCATGCATTGGTACCAAGTAGCATGTATCCTGTGACGGTCGCCATTGACTTGGGTGACTGAGTTACCGTGTATATCTAGTTCTTCGCCTTCATTATTGAGCTGCAGATGGGATCTCCCGTGCATATTCGATTCCCGAAGCAACCCAAAGACACAGCGCTTCTCCCCCACGGGAATAATGGAGATATATACCTCTTTTCTGTCACTAACACGCCTTCCCAAAAAGGTTGCCGGGTCATGTGCTTCATCAGTTCTCGCTCAACTTCTCGAAGATACTGTCAACTCTTCTGGTGAACTCAGTCTCAATGATCTGCACCTCTCCGTTGGGAGTCATTTCCATCTCGAGATGAGGGATTGGCCCTGAGTTTCAATTAGTATCGAATAGCAAAGGTTCCCCTTCAGGAACTCCTACGGCATCTGTCCGACATCTGCCGATGGAGCCGGCGCTCATGATCAACCGTCGCATCGGAACCTGTGAAAATCCCAGACATGTTTACTTTCGATCGATTTCCATCCGTGGAAGTCAACTAGGTCCTAATAGCTCCCACACATATGCAATTGCGATGGAAATCCTGGACTTGGAGATAGTCACAAACACTGAGAGACCCGTTGTGGGAGACAGTCATCTGAAGCCTTCTAGAGCAGAGGGCTTAGAAGAGGATCTTCAAAGTCTTCGACGGCATGTCTCACATGACGGGGACAGAAGTTCAAACTACTATCTACTATTGAAAGCACTATGCACATATCCACAACAGTCATTGTTCACGTGGACCACCTTCCAACTCTACTGTTGAAACTGGAACTCGTTCTTCGGCTTGCCCCTTACTCCAACATCAAGCCGATAGAGTCGTCCGCCATAGCGAATGGACTCTGGGAACTTGTCATCATTGACATCATCCTTGGCCGTGGTCACAAAGAGCTCCGTCCCAACAAATGCTGGACAGGTGATGTTCCTGGTAGGGAATGAAATCTCTCCAATAAGCTGGCCCTCGGGGGAGATCCGGATGATCTTCCCGCCCCCGTAGATGGCGCTCCAAATGCACCCTTCCTCGTCGATGGCGAAACCATCGGGTTCCAGGGGCTGACCCACATCATAGTGCACCCTGCGATTACTGATAGCACCGGTGCTGGCGTCAAAGTCGAAGGCGAAGATCTTCGCTGTGGGTGAGTCGGTGAAGTACATCGTGTCGTTTTTCAGATTCCAGCCAATCCCGTTAGGGATGGACACCGGCTCAACCATGCGATGCAGGCTTAGATCGGGATCTAGTCTGAACAGCACACCCTCGTTGACTGGCTGTTGAACCTTGGGGTCGTTCATGGATCCTGCCCAGAACCGCCCGTGGCTGTCGACAGCACCATCGTTGAAACGCATTCTGTGCCACAGAAAATTCAATTGGGGTCAGACACAGATCAATCACATGGGGACTCCCACTTGGGTTATGGATCCCATTTCCAGACTGGATGGACTTACCGCCGAGCTGTCTCTGGATCCCTCTGGTCATCAAAGACCTTGTGGATATAGGAGAGTTCCCCGGTATGGCGGTTAGCCAGGGCATAGCCGTACTTAGCGGCTACGACTATTTGATCCTTGTGATCATCGCCGGCATTTGCGATGTTGGCGGTGACTCTAAGGTCCCCTCGTTCAACAAATCAGCAATCAGATACGATCATAACAGCCGTCTGTCGGTCTTGCCCCGTTCAGCTGGTGAAGAGTTGACCCACCCAAGAGAGGAAGCGGTGTCTATAGTTTTCAAGGAATCCGGGCCCTTGGCTAGATCCAGGACATAGAGCTTCTGGTCCCAGATATCGACGAATCGGAATTCGTTTCGAGTCTGGTCGTGAAATGGGCCCTCAAGAAGGGTTCCAGGTATATCGATGTAGGGCTAGTGACGGAACGGTAAGACTCAAAAGCTGCTTCTTTGTCCATGACAACTACTGAGACCGGATTTTCCAGAGTTCTTACCTCGGTGACCGTCCATTTTTGAATTGCAGACATGTTTTTGAATTTGCAGTCTTGACTCGGAGGGATCTGGAGCTTGCCGTTTAGGGCCGTAAGTTTCCGGTCCGGATGATGCTGCTGGGGATCAGAATTGAACTGATGGCAGGATTGAACAATTGAAGATCAATGACGGAGACAAAGAGGAGTTGAAGTTTCAATAGTTGTTGCCCACCGGCTGCGTGGCATTTTAATGCCAAGACCAACCCCCACAATCCTCAATTTATCCTTAGTTTGCTTCCAACTGGTTCGAATCTACGCTGGGCCACGCTGCCCTTGGGTTTGCCCAAGGCTCCGTAACCTCCGGACCGGATTAGCACTAGATAGATGTCCATCCGTGGATCAACAGGTTCGATAGTTTCTTTAGTAGTTGCTGCTCTTGCTGGTCAGTTCCAGAGCTATTGATATTGATGGTGGGGTGGGAGGTGGTTTACACTATTATTATTGTTATTGCTAACGAATCTCTATCAGTTTCAGTTTCATGATCCATGACAAAGTCCCGGCTAAAGTGCAACTCTTGTGTCTTACAGGCTCCGAGTCGAAACCCCCCACTTATGAATGAATGTTATCTCCTGTTGCACTGGATCCTTCAGATGTCAGAGACAGCTCCTTCCTGACAATCGATAAATCGACATGAGACTATTTGACCGGGTTGATCTTGAGAGACAGAATATCATTGCTAGTTGCTATCATTATGATCAACGAGCAATCACCATTGAAATCTAGCGCGACAGCATGAAAGTACTGACACGAAACGACATGGCAGATCCCATCACAAAATGTGTGAGCTATCCCCTGTCAGTCGAATAGGAATACTAGAACTCAACGAAGATCCGCACGAAAGATAATTTGAGGGTTGACGAATGATGAGCTCAAGTTGTTGTTGTTGTTGTTGTTGTTGTTGTTGTTGTTGTTGTTGTTGTTATTATCTCTGTCTGCGCATCAGAGAGCTTCTCTAGATACTAACCAACGACGTGGAGTAGAACGATAAGACCGAGGTTTGAGACTGGAATTATCCATCAATATCCATTGATTGATGTCGACCGTGAACAACAGTTCGTGATACTGATAATAATACTGCTCTTGGCTGCGAATTTACGGAGTATTCTTTGGAATCTGGTTGACAGTTGCCTGGGGTGAGACTAAACTTCCCGTGTTGCGCCTCTTTTGTTCCAGAATCCCGACAGAGACCTCGTCGAGTGGGGAATTTTGGAGGATAATCGTTCTTTCCAAGGGATTGGGGTCACTTAGACAAATAGGAATCGATCCGAGCCTCCTGATGGGGCCAGCCCGGGTCACTTCCCTCGCCTAGATTAACATGCTGCCTGGACCTGCTTTGTATTGGTAATAATCCATCTCTCTACCGAGTATTGAAGGGTGAACACTGATTGAAACAGGGCGACTGGAGATGCAGTCTGCATGGCGGTCACCGAAGGAACGTTGAATCATCACAGTCATCCAGATGCCTGTGATCTAAGCGCCCCCATGTGATGCTGTCTTACTTTGGAAGGCCATCATTTCATGGCATAGCCGTCTGGAAGTCCAGGGGCAGTCGGACTCTGGTTCGCTATCAAGGATTCCAACTTGGGTTGACGCACAGCCGTTGCAATGATATGCCTCTCTATCTCATTTGCCGCATTGATCACCAGTTCTTGCGCCTCGCCGCAGGTCTGTGTGGTGTGTTTGTTTATTTCCTGCATGGGCTGTGGGAGATAGATCAGAAATTGAGAGAGAGACGGGTGTCTTCGACATGAGTTGCATCATTATACTTTCTATGGAAACAACAGCGAGGCTATGGGCTAGATAGAAACAGGGCAGGCAAGCGAAGGAGCAAACATGATTCGAAAAAGAAGGTCAGCAAGACAGCGAGACATGCAGATTGCAGGCAGCCACCGCATGGTGCAAACAGTTTCAGAACATGCTGGCTAAGATTCGACTAGATGACTAGATTGGGTCCTCGCATCGATTCCGTCGGCGTGCACGCGACGACACTAGTGTACCTAAAGTATGACCCAGTCACAGGTGGACTAATCAGTCTTCGGCCTACGCGCGACCACCTCCGCCGCAGTTCATCGTTCAGGCGAGTGATAGTTAGAATTCGGGGGAGCTGCCAATTCATGCTTGACATCATTCTGACAGTCTCGATCTGAGATTGTCCACTGACTCGTCTTTTTGTCCGTCTTGGTGATGATGATGATGATGATGATGATGATCTTGTTCCCTTGAAGTACGGAGTAGAGATCAACGTTTGAAGTGTGGGCTCAATAGTCTTGAAAAGGTCAAGACGAGGGTTGAGAGTTTCCAAAACATTTATTCCTTGCCTATATCCAAGATTCCAACCTATGATGCTTCGTCGGGGCAACTCTAATGCAGACCTTGGACTGGGTCAACGTTCGAGGTGCAGACGCAAAAACTCGGCTTGGGATGTTTAACTGTTGATGTTGGAGAAGACAGAATACTACTTACTGTTGAGTGTTGACCCACTGATAATCTGCATGGGGCGCTTGATTATTTGGTGATTGAGAATCGACACCGCATATACGCAAAATGCGGTGTATGCGTAGTCTGTCAGCGATCAATCAATACTATTATCGTGGACTTTTTTTTTTTTTTTCATTTTTTATTTTCGCTCTGTATCTACCTATTTCAATCGTTATCAAGATTAACAATAAATGATTAGCTTCTGTGGAGAAAAAAGATTGAGAGTGGATGCTGTAAAACATCAACATTGACATCAACGTTGAACATTGACGATGGATCTATCTTGATGCAAGTCCCTTCTACTCCCCCAGCAGATGTTGGAAATCTGATTTAGATATGCTCTGCTTCACATGATTAATTCTTCATGCAGCTGCAAGAAAACAGTCAGTATCCTTTTTTAACTTAGACTTGGTTGGTGATGTGCTGGCAGATTCATGGATCATTCATGCATGGTGATTTAGCTGTATTGCATGATACATACAGAATACAGATACAGTATCGTATTGTAATGTGCCATGTATGTATATATGTTTGTCTGTATTGAAATACAATACAATGTACTCCAGGTTGTAGGTATCATCACACCAACACCAGGTACCGAAGGTACGGTCCGTCAGAGCATAGGAGTACATTAGGTACCTGTCTACTCCGTAGGGACTAAGGAGTTGGTAGCACTTGAGCCTACAGAGTACTGCCTACTGCCTATCTCCCTAGGTACCTAGCCTAGCCTAACTCACGCCGTATGATCTATAGAAACAACAACCACAAAGTACTCCCTCACCGAACAAGGAGGCCTCCCCCCCCAATACAGTAAGATCTCAGGTCCCCCCCCTTCACCAGCTCCCACGACTAAAGACACAAGGACAAGGAAATCAAGTTCCATCCAAGTCATGGTCATCATCCTCAACCAGCGCAAGACAACATCACCTCGCATCGCATCGTCTCGCAGCATCACCATATCCATATCCATATCCATATCCATACCCTCCTAACTTCATCTACCCAGTTTACTGCACTTTTTACCTAACAACCCTCCTGCCGAACAAACAAACCACGATGAATCCCAAGCCAAAAAAAAATAACAAGTAACAGCCTGCCACGCCGCATCTGCCTTCAACCCAAAACCTGAACCCTGAAAGCCCAGTAGAATATAAACAACACAGCCAGCCAGCCTTAACATTTCATGGCGCTACGGTAGTATGGCATGGCATGGCATGGCATGACCGGCAGCAAGCGGAGCAGTAGTGCAGGGGAGATTGGTCGGATTCTATTGCGTGCATGCCGTGTGGGGTGCGTTTTTTTTTGGCAATACCTACTTACTGCGTAGTACTGACCACGGAGGAGATAGTTCTAGGACTAGGAGTCGTAGTATGCCAGTTTGGGTTATGGTTATGGTTATGGTTATGGTTACGGGTACGGTTACTGGGGTTTGGATTTGTTTGGAGGCTACGCTAGGCTACGCTTTGGAGGGTTGGGTCAGGGTATATGTAGATATATAAATAGGTGTGCAGCTGTGCAGGTGTGTTGTGTTTGGTGTCTGGGTCTGCGTCTAGATGATGAAGAAGGGTGGATTGAGATTGAGATTGAGATTGAGATTGCTGATGGGTGAGAATCGTGGGTACCTGATCGAGGGGGCGACCAATTGGGTATATATACATCTGGGAACTGGAAGTGCAGACTAAAATTAAAACAAAGGTCTTAGGGTTGAGCTACTTGGCCAAGGCTCAGGCTTTGTAGCATGTGGCTTCATGCCTTGTGCGACATCAAACTGGTTTGGGGATTGTTTGTTTTTTTTCTCTATACACTCCAGAAGAAGAACTCTGGGGCAAAACAAAAAAAAAAAAGAGAGAAAAAAATAAACAAACAAAGGTTACAAAGGTTACAATTTCAGTCCCATGTTGACATGTACGGCTTTCGTGTGCGAGTACGCGTCGAGACCTGCCTCGCCCAGTTCGCGGCCGATACCGCTCTGCTTGACGCCGCCAAAGGGCACGCGGAAGTCGCTGTCGTTGCTGCTGTTGATCCAGACCATACCGGCCTCGATCTCTGAGGCGACGCGGTGCGCGCGCTCGATGTCGCGCGTGAAGACGGCCGCGCCGAGCCCGAAGGTGGTGTCGTTGGCGCGTGTGATGGCCTCGTCCTCGGTCTTGAAGCTCGAGACCACCGCAAACGGGCCGAAGACCTCCTCGCGGTAGATGCGCATGTCGTCCGTGACGTCGGTGAAGATGGTCGGCGCGATGAAGAAGCCCTTGCCGTCCTTGACATTCTTGTATGGCTCGCCGCCCGCCACCAGCGTCGCGCCCTCGCTCTTGCCCGTTTCAATGTATGATAGCACCCGCTCGTACTGCGCCTTGGTGACCTGCGGGCCCTGGAAGGTGTCGTCGGCGAACGGGTCGCCGACCTTGCTGGTCGTCGCGACTGCGTCGTGGAAGCGCTTCACGAACTCCTCGTAGACGGACTCATGGACGAGGATCCGCGACGTGGCCGTGCACACCTGGCCCTGGTTGTACATGATGCCGATGTGCGCCCACTTGGCCGCCTGGTCCAGGTCGGCGTCCGCGAAGATCAGCAGCGGCGACTTGCCGCCCGTCTCGAGTGTGATGTTCTTCATCGTGCCGGCGGCCATCTTCATGATCTCCCGGCCGGTCATCGTGGAGCCCGTGAAGGCGACCTTGTCCACATTCGGGTGGTGCACCAGGGCGCTGCCGGCCACGCGACCGTGGCCGTTAAGGATGTTGACCACACCGGGCGGAAAGCCGGCTTCCTTGATCAGTGTTGCCAGGTACAGGATGCTGAGCGGTGTTTGCTCAGCAGGCTTCATCACGACGGTGTTACCGCACGCGAGCGCGGGACCCAGCTTCCACGCAGCCATGGACAGCGGGAAGTTCCACGGGATGATCTGGCCGACCACACCGATCGGCTGGCGGAGCGTGTAAGCGAACTTGGCGGGGTGGGTGCTGATGGTCTGTCCGTGGAACTTGTCGGCCCAGCCGCCATAGTATCTGAGGGTGTTGATAACCTCGCCGAGGTCATCTCTCCACGAAACCGAGTATGGCTTGCCTGGGAGCCGTCAGCGGGGAGTGCCCATCAACCTACTGGGTTTTCAAACCGGGGAGGGAAGAAGAATTTTTTTTTTTTTTACCATTGTCCCAAGTCTCAATCGTCGCTAACGTCTCCCTGTGCTGCTCGACCAGATCCGCCAACTTCAGCATCAGGTTGCCCCGATCCGTGGGGGGGAGGAGCTTCCAGGAAGGATCCTTTAGCGCCTTGCGGGCCGCCTGGACGGCGATGTCGACATCCTCCTCTCCGGCGGCGTAGACGGAAGCGATCTCCGACTCATCCCTGTCATCGGTTCAGCATTCTCCAATTTTTTTCTTCTTCTTCTTCTTCTTCACTACCCAAAAAATTATTGATCTCTGAAGTGAAGCATGCGGAACTTACGAAGGGTTGATGGTGGGGAATTTCTCGCCGGATCTTGACGCCACGAACTCGTTGTTGATGAACAGTCCAACGGGCTGCGCGTACTTGTGGCCGTTGGGGGCCGTCAGCTGCAGCACCAGATCTGACATGGCGATCGAAGAACTGTGGAAGCGCCGGTGAGAGGAAGTGAAGATGATCGAGATGGGTGAGATGGGCTTGGGGCGAGGGAGAAATGATGAGGGTGATGATGGATAGAGACAGCGCAGACGCAGTCGGAGGAGAGAAGAAGTGGTGGTTGAATACATTGACCGAGGTTGGGAGAGGTAGGATTTATATGCCGAGTGTCTCGATAGAGCACCGAGAAAGAGATAACTAACTACTGCAGAGAGACTGCAGAGAGACAGATGGAACCCGAGGCTGATTTATTTGATGTTCCTATTCCCTATTCCCATTCGAGTCCCCGTCGCCCCCCAAAGTGGGAACTGCTTCTGTACTTCTGGTTCTGCCCCTCCATCCTTCGCATACACTTACTCTTCCCGGAATTCTGGCCTATCTGTCTATCTCTCTCTCTCTCTCTCCATTCTCTAGTGTATCGGGAGTTCGTGACTAGTGAGTTATATTTCACCCAGGAATGCGAGTCATGGAGCATTATGGAGAATTATGGGGAATCATGGGGAATCATGGCTCTCGGCCTTCGTCCATTACACATCATCCTGTCCGTCAAGTCCCATCAATAATGCAACCGGTCATATTGAATGGCTTTAGATGAAATTATTCCCCATGAATTGTACAAATGAAAGACACACACATACACACACACAAAAAGAAAAAAAAGAAAGAAAGAAAGAAAGAAAGAAAGAAAGCTTCCCCCGGGAACAGTCATGGCTAATTACTTCAATGTCTCCCCCGCCAACCCCAGGATGTACTTCCACTCTTCTGGCGTCACAGACGACACGCTGAGCCGCGACTGCTTCAGCACCTGTAAATTCTCCAGCGCTTGTCCCGACTTGGCATGCGCCTTGAGGTCGTTGAGCGTCACCATCTTGTCGAATTTGCGGCGGAACTCGACGTGCACCACGTCCCATTTGGGGTCGTCGCGGTTGGATTTGGCGTCGTAGTACGGATGCGCTGGGTCGAATGCAGACTCTAGAACAAGGGAAGAAGAGCGCGCAGATCACGTTAGCCATACGCTCTCGAGGGGTGCCATGGGGGACGTCCAAACGAACCGTCGGGCGTGTGTTCCTGCACAATCTCCATGATGCCCACGATCCCGGGGACTTTGCAGTTCGAGTGATAGAAAAACGCGTAGTCGCCTTTCTTCATCGCCCGCATGTGATTCCGTGCTACTCGACCCGTAAGCCTGCTGACTCGTTCCTGGTGGACAGAAGATCCATTTTCGTTCAGGCACCCTTACCAACGGCGTTGCGAACCCCTGTTCACGCGCAACACACAATCAAACAAACGTCAACCCACGATCCATATGCATCTGCGTTATTCCTCGGCGGAGGTGGCAGACTTACCATCCCACGGCTCCGGCTCCGTGGCCGCCTCCAGATCATCAATGGAAAACTTGACGTCTGTCCCCTTCTCGATCCGCGACTCGGGCTCCGCCTTCATCAACCAATATGTCCGCTCGCTGTCATCGTCTGTGGATTTTGTGTCGGCGGCGTCGGACTCGGTCGGTTGCGAGGGCGTCTCGGCGTCATCCTTGACGGGGGTCTTGCGGGGTCTTCCAACAGGTCGCTTCGGGCCCTGGGGTGTCGCGGGCGCCGAATCCGGGGCTTCAGCCAGAAAGACATGGTCAGTCTCGTCGCTCAAGTGCCAGCAGGGGCTTTTTGTCAACGTTTCTTACACTTGATGGTGCCGTCTTTGCGGGGACGGCCGCGACCGCGTTTGGGTCCTGGAGGCGGCTGCGGTTCCTCGCCGGGAGGGTACTTTCTAGGTCGGCCTCTCTTTCTGGGTTCGCCGGTGTAGGGGTCAATTGCAGGCTGTAAGGGATGAATGAGATCAGTTTCATGTTCGCTGTAACCATCGCCCCTCCATAGTTGCTGCTCCTGCGCATTGATGACAACTGTCGCAGAATCAAAACACCGTCTGGATTCAACGGTACCAAGGGGCGAAAATCAACCGTGAAACCGCCGGCCCTCGCATGACGCGCTGAACATAGATGCAGGACGCGGATAGATAGAAGAAAAATAAAAATAAAAATAAAAATAATATAGAAAAAAAAAAGACACTGGGGGAATTAGGCTTACGCACTCGTTTGGGAGGGTTGCTATCTGACGCGCCTTCGGACTTGCGCTTTCGGCCCATTTTGCTGGTGGAGGTTTGTCGAAAGGATTGGAGATGGATTCAAAGAGATGATCGAAAGTGAAATGAAAGAGGATAATGAAGGTCAATTCAAAGCAACGACAGACGTAGGGGGACGTGGAGAGCGAACAGAACAAGAGTAGGTAGCAAGAGTAGTAAGTAGTAACAAGAGTGAAGAAGCAAGAGACACGACTCTCGCTGGTGGACGCGCCGAGACAGCAAAAACACTCCGTCTGAGCGCTGGTCCGTCAATGCGGGAACTTCCGTGAGAGGGGAACCAGTAGTTGAGTCTGCAGTTGGCAGTCTGATGCTTGCGATTGATCAGAATACTGAGTAGCAAGGTGAAATAATAATGAATAGATCTCTATAGTTGACAAAGGAAAACTGGTCAAAATGGAGGAAAATTCAACACGTCCCAGACAGCTGAGTCTGGTAATTACTAAGAACTAAGAACATACAAGGAACTGAACGGTCACTCATGAACTCCAATACATAATCTATACAGTATACAACCTCTCTTGACAGACACTTCAAGCAACCTTTCTTTCAGCGAATCGGACATTTATTCTACCTACAATTCAAGGGAATCACCGCTGTCAGAGCTCCTGCGTATGTCTGGCCAGAAGAGATACAGCTAGAAGCGCGCGTCAGCAAGCGGCCATCCAAGTGTGTGTGTGTGTGTGTGTGTGTGTGCGCGCGTGCCATAGCAACTCGCACTAACAGTTCCATACAGAATAGCCATATAGATGGTCAGCAGGAGAACGATCGCCTCAAAGCACAGCAGCGCCTATGGCCGAACAAGAGCGGTCTTGACAGTGCTCAAGGAACTCTTGTGGGGGCGGTTTTTCTCCAGCTTCAAGACATGAACTCGACCTTTGATTTGGGAGAGCAGGGCCGCCCGTCGCACGAGCATGGTGGGCGCGAACGTCTCCGGGAGGATGAGCGCCAGGCCAAGACAACATACGCCTCCCAGGATAGCGCTGAATGGAAAAGGATTCACATAATCATTCGGCGTGCGACCCTGCCACCAAATAGCGGAGTGGATGGGAAAACATACAGCAATCCTTGCACCCATCTCCATCCGCCTTCCTCCCCAAGTAACCCACCAACTACTGGGCCAAGCGCTGGACCAAACAATGGAGCCGACGAGAAGAAGATCATCCCCAACCCTCGCTGCTCATCAGGCCCGATATCAGCCAAGATGCCATCCGCGAGAAACCTCATACTGACGAGGCTCTCGATCGACGGGGCCAAAGCACATCCTGTAGCGAACAGAGTGAATACCAGGTACTAACCCTCTATGCATGTTAGTTCTTAGCATTCTCGAACAAGGAGGCAGAGCTAAGGGGACCCCAGACGACAGGACCTACTGCGAAGCTAGACAGGAGTGATATACCTACGTCAGCATGTGTGCGCGTGCTGGAGGGTACCAAACTGCTCGAATCAAGATACCTACCCCAGGATAAAACGCCGATAACCCAATCTCAAACACATCTTCGCTCGCGGAGAAGGATTGCATCACCTGCGCGGACGGAGCCGTATAAGCACTCCTAGCGAGAGCTACGATAAAAGTGGCAAAGGAAATCAAGACCGTCCACATCCATCGCACCGCCGGACTACGCTGCATTGGATCCTTGGGGCCACTGTGCGTCCACCCAATGGTAAAAGGATCCTCCGGCGTTCCTGTGCTTGAGGATGTAGCCGTCGACCCAGTCCTGGTCAAGCAACAGAGCTCGATAGGGGATCCGGCGTCGTGGTGGTAAGCAGGCTTCAGGATCAGGTCTTGGGGTTGGATCTGCCGCCATTGAGATGCTGAGGACGATAGTCCATTCAACATCGGGCATACATCATGGAGGGGAGCCTGTGTTAAATAGAGAGGGAGAAGAGGAAACAAAGCGACGGGAAGAAGGTGTAGCTCAAGCGTACAAACAAAGACTTCACTGGATGGGATCTTTACACGCCAATCAGTATCCCTATACGGCTTGATGTCATGGCAAACAATACGGGTGTGCAGCATTGAGTGGCGAGTGTATTCACAAGTGATGAATACAGTACAGGATATGGAGATAGATGGTAGACTAACGCTCTGTGACAAGCCGTAACCAGATGAGGGATGTCGCTGCTGATCCCACAGCCCCTACTCAGAATACACCATAATATCCCAGTAGATATATAATAGCCCTACTACCAGAAAATGCAGACATACCGACGAAAACGCAATTGAAGAGCGACTCAACTCAAATAACAAAAACCCAACATCTATCTATCTCGCACCACTTGACCACCTCATACGAACATGGCATCTGTCAGCGCAGAAATCCGCTCCCTCCTCATCACAGAACTATACTCGCGCTGGGGCACCAGCTACGGCCAAGGCCGCGTTAACAACATGCAAAGCCTCGACATCACTACCATCAGAAGGGGCATATTCAGCAGAGATATGGCAATTGCTCGTCCAGCATTTCCACTATAGCCTTCGCCCTCTCAGCCAGCCAGACTGGTGGCGCTACCTCAGGCAGGTCGTTGAAAGAGGGGGGGCATCTCATCCTCTGTGGCCGTTGTGCTTCCTCCTGAACCAGGAACAGTGTGCATTTATATACCTGTGGAAGAGCGATATTTCCGACTCCAGTCGTAGATCGGTGGTGAACGCGATTCGGGAGAACATCGACCATCTGATAGGCGCGGGATTCCTGCCCCGTCTAGCCTAGGCGGTTTTTCTGGACGGGCCAGAGAGGCCGGAGGAATCTCTATGATAAAAGATTGCTTGTAGCGCTGGAGCAAACTATTGGAAAGTTGTTTCGTGGTGGTGTTCGACGTTCTCTCCCTGTGAGGTAGTGGGTTGGAGCATAATCAGGCACGTGTCGATTTACTGTTTTCTTTCCTGCTGTACTCAGATGATGTTCCCAGTATCACCAACATACTACTCGCGAACGACTAATACGTATATCCACTTGTGTATACTCGATGGTTAGGCGATGCGTAGAAATCGATCCAACGGTGCTGCATGGCACCCTGTGCTCTCCCTGACGCGCCTTATGAAAAGTCAGCAATGGGGGGATCCATAATTCCTCCGAAATGGGCAAGAAGTGAGCAGCATAAGAAACAAGAGAGAGTTTTTGCGACTTCATTTCGCACATTCCATCTCCGAGACTGGTAGAGTAGAGATCCTCAGTCTCTACATGGCTGTATTCCAACCGGAGTAATACCTCCGGGAGGATCAGATCAATTCAACTCGGCTCTTGGAGTCGATGTCCATCTAGCACGCGATATTTTCTGCTTGAACTTTGTGTTCTTCCGTTGTGTTATGATGATCTTGCCATTCTTGACACTGCCTATGCGGCGGGCGAGTACACGCCTCCGGCCGATGAAATTCACAGTCATGTAGAATGTAGGGTTGTATATAACCTGGGCATTACGCTGTTTACTTTCGGGTTTGGCATTGCGCCCATGGTGCTTGCGCCTTTTTCTGAGATTAACGGGGGGAGACCAATTTTCGTCTCGAGTGGGTTGCTCTTTACTGGTTTATAGACGCACTGGCCGAACATGCAGCCGTGTCCATCGGCGCTGGTCTGCAAGCTAACGACCGGCCAAAGGTTGAAACATTCTTGGGCGTATATTTCCTCTGGTGACGGAAGCCATGTTCAACAACCTGGGGTATCCTGCAGCTTCTAGCTTGTTGGGTCCTGCTATCAGCATGCCGAGGAAGCACAACAGCTTCGGGTTTCGCTATCGGGGCCAGCTTCTATATGTGGGTCACCGGGCTCGGGATCCTCGTCTCGAAGCCCGAGAAACGCGCTCTGCTTCTGGAACATTCACCGGTGGGGTACTTTGTACATATTTGTGGAGTGAATGAATGAATGTAGAGCGGCATGTAGATTCTAGATAGGCACTAGAGCGGCACTAGATCTCGTCATCGGCTCGGTATCAATTGTCAGTCATCAGCTGTGGCTTTTCTTAACGGTAGTAGGGAGCTAGATAGATAGTCATGTATCTAATAGCAAATATAGATTGATACTGAACACGTTTTCTTCTGAAGCTCGTAATGGGGAAAGGGGATGTGCGATTGCGCCATCACCAAAAGCCTCGATTGGCTTAGGGAAGATTTCGACATGGCTGCTGAGTGAGGGGAAGGGCATCTGTGAGACTGTAGGAGTTCAAGTAACTAGTTAATATAGTTGCTGGAAATGTCAAGTGAAGAAGGGAGCTGAGGATTGACATTATTGATAGTAATGAGCAACCGATGCAAGAATCGACGCAATCGAAGCAACTTCAGGCTGTCCAGGCATCCAGGCATACAGGCACTCAGGCACCAAGGTCCTCCTCAACATCGACAAATGTCCAACAAAAGACCTCAAGATGGCCCGAACAGGCAAGTGTGGGGTGCCAACCCCCAAGACACGCTAAACACCCCACCATGGATGAGCTCATGTCGCGCCAATCACGCTGTTTCTGCCTGCCTGGCGGTGATTAATTGCGTGATCGCAGCGATACAGGGGACTCTGTGTGATTTGCCCGTGGATGGCATGGAGCACGGCGATCTAAAGGGGTAAACTAGCCTCGACTGGGTTCATACGTTGCTCTGGAAAGGTCTGGATAATGAAATATATAACCTCAGACCGCCGACAGCAATAAGTATTTGTAGCGCGCCTCCCCCGCTCAATTCCACATCCTGTCTCTTTTCTCCATCCCATCTATCCTCTGTCTTTTTCGTACCAGCTCTCTCACATAAACTCCCAAAAACTCATTCGCAATGGCCCAGGAACGTGCTGCTCCGTAAGTCATGCCTGTCCGAAGTACTACATGTCCAAAACAAAATACTGACGTGTAGCTTTCCCTATCACAGCCTCCGTCTCGGCTCTACCGCCCCCGACTTCGAGGCCGATACCTCCAACGGCCCCATCTCCTTCCACAACTTCATCGGCGACAGCTGGGCCATCCTCTTCTCCCACCCCGATGACTTCACCCCTGTCTGCACCACCGAGCTCGGTGCCTTCGCCAAGCTCGAGCCCGAGTTTGCCGCTCGCAACGTCAAGCTGATCGGCCTGGTACACCTCCCTCTTCATCTCGTCATCCAGAAGGCCAGCCCTCCCCACTAATCACTGCCATAGAGCGCCAACGGCACCGAGTCTCACAAAGCCTGGATCAAGGACATCGACGAAGTCAACGGCTCCAAGCTCACCTTCCCCATCATCGCCGACCCAAGCCGCAAGATCGCCCACCTCTACGACATGGTCGACTACCAGGACACCACCAACGTCGACGAGAAGGGCATCGCCTTCACCATCCGCTCCGTCTTCATCATCGACCCCGCCAAGAAGATCCGTCTCATCATGGCCTACCCCGCCTCCACCGGCCGTAACACCGCCGAGGTCCTCCGTGTTGTCGACGCCCTCCAGACCACTGACAAGAACGGCGTCACCTGCCCCATCAACTGGCTCCCCGGTGACGATGTCATCATTCCCCCTACCGTCTCAACCGAGGATGCCCAGAAGAAGTTCGGTGAGCTCCGTATCGTGAAGCCGTATGTCAATCGATCCCTGTCTTGCTGTAGGTGTGGATGAGTGATACTAATCGATGCTACAGTTACCTCCGCTTCACCTCCCTCCAGAAGGAGTAAATGTGGTGCTTGACTACGTTCCGAAATACCTTCCCTAGCTTGCTTGGAGTAGAAGAGACAGCTGGACTTGAAAAAAAAACAAAAAAAGCTGAGCTGCCCTACAAAAAGGCACGGGATATGATGGCAATGACTCTATCAAATGATTTCTTTCCTACTTTTGATACCTCTATTGAACCAAATACACGTTATTACTTTGAGCTCTCTCCTGCAATTTCCGGCACCTATAAGAGAGCCAGTCGACCTGGTCAATAAATGCTCCTTCTATCAATATATCCAATTCAGCCAAGTCTGAATATATTCTACTTGCTAGGTGACATTCATTGTTTGTGTTCCCAATAATACGGATCATGATATGACTATACGTGAAGCAAAGAGAAACAACATCCTAAGTGGGTGTGATTCGAACAGACAAATGAATTTAATCACAGGCGGGTAAAAATATATCAAAGAGCTTGGGACTACTGCAAGCGAATCCAGAGCAGCTAGCCACAGACGATTTCCAGTGGAAGCAGGACTATTCGCGCTCATCTTGAATTGCTGGGATAATGTGAGCTTTACCCAGTTCCAGAGTAGTTTTGTGGTGAGTCCTCGACATGAAATCGATGATCCAGGGGGCTGTTAATCTTAAGGAAATTCCCCTCCTACAGCCGAGCGTTGAAATTTCGAACTTGTGGAGGGATGTTGTTACTGTTAGGCAGATGGTGATAGTCAACTGCTGGGTTCATCCGAGATTCCAGCATTGGAGTCATGGCTGCAGTGGAACTTTCCCCACGGTGTATTCAATGACAGGACCATCTAAGTTCAAACAGTACAAATCTCTAAATAGTAGATAGGTTCTCGCTATCATTGTAGTTAGTATCAGAAGTGTCAAAACTCAAGACTAAAGTAAAGTCTGCCTGAGTGCCTGGACCAGTGACCATTGACCACTGACGAGGCTCGCGAGACCGCCTTGGATCCAGTTGGTTGTGAGCACCACCCAAATTCACCTCTCACAACTCCAACACATCATCCGTCTTCCTCTCGTCTCCTTCATTTTTATGCCTTACATCTCCGGTTGACAGGGTTTCCCTCACGCAAATCATCATCTTCTGAAGGCATCCATCCTCCTCCTGTCTTGTCGGTTTCAGTCCCGCTGGGCAGACTGACAGCAGCCTCTCTGTAAGGGCGGGGAACCTCCCCAGCTCCTGTCCCACTCTTCACTGGTCAGTACTCAGTGGTCTCACCCTGCCGCCCCTGATCTACTCCGTACGCCAACGGGGAAAAAAAAAAAAAAAAAAAAAAGAGAGAAGGCGCGGTGACGTTTTCGACGTCGAACCAATTTCACTCTGCTTGTGCGCCTTTGAAGACTGTCTTTCCTTGCGCCAGTCATCAATTCCAATACTTGAATTGTATCCTGTCGCTTCGTTGAACGAACTGTTATGTGACCCGGTCGGATCGCCGATTTGTCAACTTTCCCCCCCTGTGCTGGAGATACATACTCTTGATATAAAGAGTTCGAGATAGGACTAGATACGGACCGATATCGATAGTGACGGCACCCGAAGTCCCGAACCACCAAGAAGATATTGGGGAAACAAGGTCGAGATTCGAAAATACGGTTTGGTTCCGAACGAGCCACCCAATATATTCAAGATGATGTCGAGAAGTCAGTCCAGTCTGGGGTATTTGGATGCCGGAAGAGAAGATCCCTCGACATCTGGTGTCTCACCAGGCTACCACCCGCCGCAGTCTTCATCCGGTCCGATCAACCTGTCCGGCCTGGTCTGTAATGTCCGCCGGACGACAGGCAGAGAACCACACCCTCTCGTGGGTGCCACCACCACGATCCTCGGCGACAAGCTCTATGTGTTTGGCGGCCGGGTTCTATCGAAAAGTCGCCCCGTGTTGACTTCGGACCTCTACGAGCTGGACCTGATCCGCCGACACTGGACTAGAATAGAACCCACCGGTGATGTTCCGCGTCCACGGTACTTCCATAGTGTTTGCGCTCTTGGGGACAATAAGCTGGTTTGTTATGGGGGTATGTCCCCCGCGCCGAGTTCGGCCAAGGAATCGACGAGTAATGGCACGTCGGGTCAGGATGCGCAGGCGGAGGTAGTTGTCATGTCAGATATCCACATCTTCGATGTCCCCTCTCGGACATGGACACGAGTGCCGGCTACAGACTCGCCCCAAGGCCGATATGCCCACTGCGCGACAATCTTACCCTCGAGCGCCTTCTTCACCTCCGCGAGTGCTCCACTGTCCGCAATCCACCACAATCCCGCATCATCCAACCCCCATCAAGGCAGCATCGGCGTGGATATCGATGGATTCGGTGGCGCAGAGATGGTCGTGGTGGGAGGGCAGGATAGCTCAAATCATTATATTGAACAGATCAGCGTGTTCAACCTCCGCAGTCTGAAGTGGACGAATACGAGCGTGCTCGGGAGAAGCTGCGGTGCCTATCGTAGTGTGGTCGCCCCATTAGTCGGGATGAATGTCTCGGATATTGGATCAGCAGCAGCCGACCGAGACCCACAGGAACCAGTCGAGGAGTCGCAGGTCGAAGGGTGCCCCATGTTGATCTATTCCAACTATAACTTTCTAGATGTCAAGCTCGAGCTGCAGGTGCGCTTACCCGATGGTCGCTTGATCGAGAAGCCGATGCAAAGTGTGGCATCCCCCCCGGGTCTCAGGTTTCCCAATGGCAGCGTCATCAACGGCAACTTTGTCGTAAGTGGGACCTACCTGACCTCGTCCAAACAGGAATTTGCGCTGTGGGCGCTGGACCTCAAGACCCTGACCTGGGGTCGGATTGATGCTGGTGGGTCCGTCTTCGGCCACGGGAGCTGGAACCGTGGAGTGTTGTGGACGAGAAGGAACACCTTTGTCGTCTTGGGGCATCGCAAGCGAAGCCTCGTGGAAGACTATAATCAACGTCGCATTAATTTCTCCCATGTCTGTATGGTCGAGCTGGAGGCGTTTGGATTATATAACAACCCTTGTCGAACCTCGCCGACGTCCGGGTACATCTCCCACAGCTCCCCATCAGTTCCTGCATCCTTGCAGCAAAAGCTGGCTCAGTTGACCTCTGGCGGAAGGCCCTTCTCAACAGCTGCGGACGAATTGGGTAAACTTGCGCAGATGCTCCCCGAGATGGCTGATATGGAGCTCCAAGCGGTGGGAGGAGAGCGCATCCCCGTCAACTCCCGGATCCTAACACGAAGATGGGGTCCCTATTTCATCCAGCTCCTCCGAGAGTCATCCGACACGGGTGTTTCCGACTCGGCCACCCTACGCACGGCGATTCAGGCGTATCCAAACCGGAACTCCAGCATCACGATCACCCCCTCAGTAGGGCCCAACAGCAACTATTCCAACGCAACCACACTTGTTAGCAATTCCTCCAACCCTTCCAAATCATTATTAGCGAACCTCGAGATACCCTCCGCCCACAGCCTCGCCCCTGCTTCGCGCCCTCGCGTCCTCTACCTCCCGCATACATATCTCACCTTGCAAGTCCTCGTCTACTACTTCTACACCTCCTCACTCCCGCCGGCCGGTTCCCCCCTCTGCACCCCTCAAATCCTCTGCTCCCTGCTGCAACTTGCGCGACCCTACCAGGTCGACGGCCTCCTTGAAGCTACGGTCGAGCGACTCCACCAGATCCTCGACGGTCGTAATGCGGCTGCCGTTTTCAACGCGGCTGCCATGGCCGCAGGCGGCGGCAGAGGCACCGGCTTCACCAGCGGCCTTGGCGGCACCCTCGAGGCGCTGAACGGCGCCCACGCCGCCAGCGAATCTTCCTCCTCCGCCGCCCCCGGCACCACTACCACCAACCCCTCGCAGAACAGCCTCCTCACCTCCGACTCCTCCGACACCGAGCATGGCACTAACTCCGCCCTCTCTATCGCCAGCAGTGGCACCGGCGCCGCCGGCGGCTCCAGCGCCTCCGCGTCCCGCGGTATCCCCCTGCGCATTAACACCAACCTCTTCAGCCGCAGCCACCACCGCCGAGCCGACCGCGACCGCGAGGACTCCATCAGTAACGCCAGCACTGCCACCTCCGCCTCGAGCTACGACCACTCCGACTCCGAATTTACGGGCAGCGAGTCGCACTCGCAGCCGCAATCACGCTCCCAGTCCCAGCCGCGCCGCCTGCGCCGCGACACAGACGCCCAGCTGCGTCCGAACCGCCAGATCTGGACCGGCGACCTGAGCAGCGTCATCGGATTGCAGAAGCGCGGCCTGCGCGGCCTCATGGAAGGTCGGCGCCTGCGGGAACGGAATGCCAAACCGGCGAGCACGGCGGGTCTGGTCGGTGTACCTGCTCCTCCATCTGCCACTGCGACCGCAACTGCTACTGTCGCTGGTGCTAGTGCGGAACACATCATGCCCGCCGGGGTATGAGCTCATTTTTTTTCTACTTCCCTTTTTCTCTTTGTCAATTTCCTTTTTGAATCTACTGGTATATCATGCACTGGGACCGAGTATATAGAGTACTTTACACGAGCATTCCAATTCATTACCTTACCTCCGGCCATGTCTTTATGAGATATCTACGTCTTCGACAAATATATATACTTATGTCATCCCAACTGTTTTCCTTTTTAGGTGGGATACCATGCACGGCCTCGCGCAGTAACGAGAGATTCTATGCATCAGAACTAGAAAACTCGCAAGCAAGCTAGAACAAGACAAAATTGATTTATGAACCCAATCAATCCGAAAATCAGAGAGTGCCTCCCCCAAAAGAGCCTATGTAAAATCGCGAGCAAGCTCATGCTAAGTTACCACCAATAACACACATTAAAACAAAACGGAAGAGAAAAAAAAAGAGAAGAACACGGATGCGTTGGGTTCAGGTCCGCCCATTCGAAAGCTGTGCGCTCGACAGAACCCATGCCTCCCAGAGTACAATTTGCTGCCGCCGCACGGCCATCCCGTCGTCCCCCAGGTCCTCCGCAGTGAGTGCATACAGCTTCTGCCTTGTTGTCTCGGGGATGGATCGCCTTCCGGTGCCTCGCGGGGTGAGAGATATGTACTCTGCGTCGAAGCCGGCTGGCTCCGAAGGCGAAAGGGGCAGGTCGGCTACGATGGCGAGAGCGGGGATGGACTCATGGACGCTTGCGCCATGGCCATGGCCATTGCCATTGCTGTTGGCGATGGTGTGGTTTCCGCCGTCGTCGATCGTGTTGCTCTCCGATGGCAGATGGCGGGCGTAGTTGATCTCGTGCAGATCTATGTGCTCCAGGTGCTCCAGCTCGTCGTGCAGAAACGACAGCACGTCCCGCCAGCGGCCGTTGCGGATGTAGACATTGGTAAGTCTAATGTCGCGGAGCTGTCGCTTGTTTTGACGGAGCACCGCGACGACCTCATCGGCGTCAAGGCGCCAGCCTTGGAGGCTGAAAGTCTGGAGTCGTTTCCAGTGCACGCGGTGAAAGACCTGGTGGAGGGAGAGTTCCGGTGGCCGGTTCGCTGGAAACCCCAGATGAATGGCTGTTAGATTCCGGGTTGCTCGAAGGAAGTTTGCAAAAACCCCCGACAGTTTTGACATGGTACTAGCCATATTCCCCGTGCACATGTGGAAGGTCACATCAAGGCTGACCAGACGAGCACCCAGCGCGGAAAGAACTGTGGCTGGCGTTTGCAATAGCCTGATACTGGCGTGAGGACTGATCTGTGGTCCAACAAACCGAATCGTGTCGCAATTCGATTCCAAGAGTGAGATCGAAAGGCTCGTCACGGCTCGCGTGCAAGCCGGTTCCCACTCCAGAGAGACGGGTTCCGCACGAGCGCGTCTTCGAATATGTTGGACGAGAATTTCGTCCGCCTCGTCTTGCAGCCGGAGTAGCTTGATTTGTTGAAGAGTTGAGAACGATGCTATTGCGCGCCGTAGCAGAAGAATATCCCGGTTCTCCTGGATAATGTAGTGTTGGTCCTGCAACCGGCACCTGAGTACATTGGATACCGTTGGATTGATTCGGTCCAGTTCATTGAGAGCATATGACCAGCCTAGTGGATTGGTTAGCGGTCCGCAAGGTCTAGGCGTCGTCAAACAACACTATACCGTCTCCTTCATAGAAAGGCCGCACCATGTACGTAAAATATCGGACATGACAGGCCAGCTGCATGCTCAACAGATCTTCTAGTCGCTGAAACCCATCCCGCGAGAAACGTAGCACGAACCGGCGGAATTTCCTTGGTGTGCCGATTCGCATGAATCGCTTGCAGACCAGCCTGAACCTGTCCAGATCGGATCGCTCCCCATGGGCATAGCTATCAACGCGGGTGTCATTGCTGCTCTGCGACAGATTCGGCGAGCTCAGGGGAGAGATTCCGCTCGTAAAAGGCTCCGGCCCTAGAAGAAATGAGAGTATGTCACTGATCAGCTCGTCCGCCAAGTCGCCGATTTGTCGCGGGTTGTCCATCCTGATGGCACAACAAGGCAGCCGCATGTTCGGCTGCTCCGATCAATCGCAGCCACATGGAACTCAACGCGGGTGGTATATGGAGGATAAGAGGTTGCACAGTCCGATCAGGAGGGCAGGAAGGGTGTGTGTCTGCATGAGGGTTGGTTTTGGATTATATACAAGGCAAGACAAGACGATCGGAGGCGTCCAAGAAAATGAGATAGGGGAAAGAGGGTGGGAGGCTCCCCCCAAAAACCACGCAACGCAAGAAAAAGAAAGGAAAAGTACTGAAAGGAATGCATGCCTTTCTGTCTTGCAGAGTCGGCCCTGCGTAGGCTCGAGAGCAGACGGAGGTCGCAGAAACCACTACGTGCATGCAGCAAGTTGACATGTCTGACGAGAGTTAGAGCGTCCCACCCGAACTACCAACCCGTTCGACTGGGATCATCGTCAGCGACTAGTGATCCTCCGAAGGGGACCTGTATCCTGCATCCCCTCCAGCCATCGAAACCTCCGGGACTTCGACGACTGGATATTGGCCGTTGACTGGGACAACCGCAGTCACATGATTGAAGCAGCATGCGGTTATCCAGCGCGAACCTGCACGAAATTTGGCAGAGACGGCGGACGAGTGGCCAGGAGAAGACGGGTGAGTAGATGAGGTGGCAGGAACTAGCCTAGCGAGACCAGGAGGAGGAGGGGGGAGGAGAGGATGGAAAAGCAATGACCAGGCCGACAGACTGCAAGACACAGACCGAGTCAGGATGCTAAGGTAGTCCTAGTCCGACATTGTGCTGCAGACGCCCACTCCCCCCGCCAGTGGCCCAGAAACGAATCATCGCGCCATCTGCTGCAGGTCTGGATTGTTTCTGTGACCGGCGGGAAAATCGCTGCCACAGTTCTCTGCCTTTTATTAGTCCTGGAAGCGCAGCTGTGGAAGACTCCAGACAACGATTCATGCAGAACGGGAACGAGGCTACGGTGGAACAATGCTATTGCCGTTCAACCTGCATCCTTGGGTTAGAGGTCTCGCCAGAGGGAATGGCGAAAAACCACTCTTTATCAACCAGTCGATTCTGCTGATGATCCGACTTTTGGGTTCTGGTGTTTTGCATTACTGAGGAGAAAACGGAGAGAGGAAGGAGATGGTGGGAAATCGACTACGGGAGACTGCGCCTTGCGGGTCCTTCTGGCTTTTCGAGCTAGATACTAAGGTACTACTAGGCAGATGCGCTTCTTCAGGATCCTGTATCCATCTACGGAATCGTGGGTTTCCAATGGTTTACCCGGTGAGTTTCACGGCGCGACCGATTCCTCCTGACGTGTCCCTTTCTCCTGGGTCAGTAGTGGATGACGGATGACTGCAGAATTATCCCCGTGAGAAAGAACTCTTTCAATGCCTGAATTATGGACGTTTCTATTTACTGGGCAGCGGCCATTTCCATCCGACGCCGTCTGATATCTGTGCTGCTTATCTTGGATGCGAAACTCTCGCCATCCGTGGAGGGAACCTCTCCAGAGTGGAGGACATCTATCTCATAGACATCAAGACTCTTCCATCCCTTCTTTGCTCGCTCGTCATTGACAGCTGCGCCGCCTGAGCGAGTTTCCGCCGAAACCACCAGGGCATCGATACTCTGGTCGGTGATGGTAGGTCCGAACGGGTCCGAGATCTCCACAAGCTTCAGTGTTAATCCAGATCGGATCTTCAACAGGATATAATGGCCGTTGGGCCCCGGTTGCGTTACTCTCTCAATACGCGGTGCGCTTTTGTCTGGAGGGCTGAAATCCATTATCGCCATGAGGAAGGACACGGCGCCCTGACAGCGCTCTTCCCAACTTTCAAGAAATTCAGCATACTTTTTGTTCTTTAACAAGGCTTCGCCTGTGACGCCGACACTCAACATTCGTTCTGGGATGGGGTCGAACTCCTCCACCGGTTCCAAAGCCATTGCGGTGGCAGTGAGCAAGAGTTTGTGTCCAATGTGGAAGTGGTCAAAGGTGCCTCCTACAGCGACCGAGTAGTGCGGTGTCAGTGGGCTGTCGCGCTCGAGAAACAGCAAATGCTCGGAAGAAGACCAGGTGGGTGAACCTGAGAGCGGATGCAAGGTTCCAGCATTTACGTCCTTGGTCTTCGAGTAGATACCATCGAAGGTTGCTGCTAGCTCTTTGCCTGCATCATTGTCTGGATAGTAGATCCAATTCCAGAGACGTGCGCTGGCCGCCAACGTTTGCAAATTGACGATCGGTCCGTGTCGTGGAGCCTCAGAACGCTCAGCCGAGGCAGCCGGATTGTCAATGAAGATTACCCGAGCATCAATGCCATCCGGAGCATCCAGCTCAATATTGTGTTCCGCGCTGACAATACCAATCAGTCTGTACATATTGGCCAGGTAATGCTGGAGGCTGGGGAAGATCTTCGCGCGAGGCTCAGAGCTTTGGGATAGCAGCCCGGGGATGGTGATAGCTATGTCCAGAATTGCAATTCCATTGACGCCATTGAGATCATGTGCGAGCTTTTCAAAAACAGTAGATAATGACGACTCATAAGCATCTTTAAACTGCTCGAAACGAACCGACGGAGGAGGAGGCAACAGTAGCAGCGCAGCCATATCCCCCAGCAACTCGTCGGAAGCCATGGGTTTAGATCGAGGGTGTGATTGCGGGGGAGAAAGCGAGGGGGATATTGTAAGGGAACAGTGGAAATGGGATGACAGACGACAGCTATATACGCATGATCAAGTGGAATCTAGCAGCGGCAGCAGCGGCAGCAGCAAGCAGGAGATCCAACAGGAAGAGGTATGCTCGACCATGTTCTCAGCCAGAAAGCAAAAGCATGTCGCTCATCTTTGATTCTGTCCGAGACTCAAATCATCATCATCGGCTGACTCAGCGGCACGAGACTCCCATCGTCTCCCCTGCGTGTCTCATCCTCGACTCGTTGCTGCCCAGTCGCTGCCACTCGTCTCGTCTACAGTTCTTTTTCTTCCTGATCGCAAGCTTCAGAATATGCTTGCGAATCCCTGAGAAGGTGATTTTCCCCCGGTGCGATCCAGACTGCACACGTTCTTGGTGCGGTCGGAGCTCCCGTGTTGCTGCTGCTGGTACAGACAGTACAGAGTGCCGCTCTCCCTTCATTGCAAAGAACAGTTGTTGAGTATGCTTCCAGGACCAGTCGCTGTTTGAAAATAGTATCCCAGTAGGAAAGATTAGTTGATATTCAACTGCAGTCTGCGTTGATCGGCCGCCTCCCCCGACGAGTCCCTCACCGACCGAGCTCCCTACAGCAAGCATGTCGAACCCCGCGCAATCCTTCGACTCTCGACGGGCAACCATCTATAACCGCCAGCCTGAAGAGCTTCATATCCCAAGCGGAGCCTCAGCAAATTCGACTCTGCCTCACCAATCAATGTCCCACGAGTCGTCGGTAGCGGCAGATACCGGAATGAATAACCTTCCTTCCATCAACGTCCAGCCATCGAGCTCCCAGCCAGGTCACTATGCAGCCGGCAGCAGTACTGGGGGCGCTTCCCTTCCAGGAGCGCTTCAACCAGGGAACGTCAACCGGCCGCCTGCGATATCCATGAACACTGCCCCGTCCGTGCTGCCTACGCTGCCCCAGTTATCTACCCAGCTGCAGCCGCAACAATCGCAATCGCAGCCTCAGCAGCAACAACCACCAACAACGCCTCGTTCAGGCATGGTCAATTCGCACGGTCATTCCAGATCCAGTCCGTCGAATCTTGAACAACCGAAATATAAGCCGCATGGAGCTTCGGAGATCTCCAGATATGGGGCGTCTCCTGGTGCCGGGTTCCCGCCGCACACCCCGCAAGGATCGAAGTACTCTCCTCTTGGGCTGGCTGATATCCGTCCGTCAGGAGATCTTCTGAGCGACGCGATCACTAGTCCAGGAATGCCGGCCTACAACGGGGAAACACAGGTGCCCACCAACGGCAACTATGTTGCGCCGTGGCCCATCTATGCGGTGGATTGGTGCAAATGGCCGATTACAGGCAATTCCGGCTCCTTTGCAGGCAAGATTGCACTGGGGAGCTACCTGGAAGACAACCACAACTATGTAAGAGAGCTATCGCATGGTACAGCTCTTGTGTTGCCTCCACGATTTGCTGACTAAGGAACTCCAGATACAAATCATTGACACGCATTTGGCTCAACCAGACCCGGATACCCCAGATGTGGCCCCGGGTGATCTCAAACTAGAATATGTCAAAACCGCCGAGGCCACGCATTCATATCCCGTTACAAGGATTCTCTGGGAACCCCCCTCATCCCAAAAGCAATCGACCGATCTACTCGCGACCTCTGGTGATCACCTACGGCTGTGGTCACTTCCCACCACTCAGCCCTTGCATAGTTCCAACTCGATTACACGTCCTGCCAATCATAGGGATCCTCCAACCGCCAAACTCTCGCCGCTAGCCTTGCTCTCGAACTCCAAATCCCCTGAACATACGGCCCCTATCACCTCGCTTGACTGGAATACGATCTCTCCCAGTCTGATCATCACCTCCAGCATTGATACGACCTGTACTATCTGGGATATCCCCACTCTCACGGCCAAGACGCAGCTGATCGCGCACGATAAGGAAGTCTACGATGTCCGATTTTGCGCGAATAGTGTCGATGTGTTTGTCAGTTGTGGCGCCGACGGTAGTGTGCGCATGTTCGATTTGCGCAGTCTAGAGCACAGCACCATCATCTACGAGCCAACCGAGAAAAATGACAAATGTAATGCTCTTTCTATCCATGAGATTCGCTCGACTGATCATTTTACCTCCAGTAATGAGCCCCGGAAATGGCAGCCCCCCGGCATCATCGCAAGCTGTCTGGCCGCCGCCCCTTTTACGTATCGCAGGTACGGAGCTTAGCGCACACTCCGGGCACCCCAGAGTTTAACTAATGCAACCACAGCATCGCCCCACGACGCTCATCTCCTAGCAACATTCTCCCAGGATTCCAACATCGTCCGCGTCCTCGACGTCCGACAACCAGGCCAGGCGATCCTCGAACTCAAGGGCCACGCCGCCGCGATCAACTGCGTCGAGTGGTCCCTCACCCGACGCGGCGTGCTCGCCTCTGGTGCAGACGACTGCTGCGTTCTCCTCTGGGACCTGATCAACCAGCACAACGCCGCGCCCGTCCCATCCGCGCCGAACGCCCCTGGCACCCCCTCTACAACATCCGAGCGCGGGCCCGCTGCCGCCTGGCAGTGTGATTACGAAGTCTCGAACATCAGCTGGTCGCCCCAGGGCGGAACCAACAGCTCGGGCCACCCGCGGGATTGGTTAGGTGTGTGTGGTGGTCGGGGTGTGTGGGGGGTTGCATTATGACCTTATCGTACAGAATTGCTCCTGCTTCCTGCTCCAGCTCCTAGACTCCTTTGATTTTATTCCCCTCTTGTTCTTTTCTTTTCTTTTCTTTTTTTGTCTTGCTGCGCTTTCCGCTTTTTATTTTTTTATTTTTTTTTTTTCCGATCTTGACTTTTGGTCCGGTGCCTTTGTCTGCGTATCTAACAGGCGATGGAAAACGAATTGACGCATACTGGTATATGGAGCGATATGCACGAGTGATGAATGAATGAAAAAAAGAATCTACACTTTTTGTATGGCTTGACCGAGCTCCCTTCAAAAACCAATGGTATATCGAGCATGTTCTCTTTCTTCCTTCTCCGAGTCTAAGTCTACTTCCTGCTATGTCAGGTAGGGAGGGGGGTGGAAGGGAAGTCGTGATATGTACAGCGTAGGGAAATCCTTACAACCTTTTGAACAAGACAAGTAGATGAAGTGGCCCGAATACCGAGAAAGCGATTTTTTCAATGGATATGTGAACTGGGAGTCTGGCTCTGCCGCCCCATCTTCACGGCGAGTTTATCTTCCAGCCAGCGGGCGAATTTGACGCTGGGGATATCGACGGCGCGCCAGAAGACGTCGCCGGCCCAGAGCGAGACCGGCAGACAGATGAGCCAGCCGATGAAGAATCCCAGACAGTACCGGAAATCCGTGTTCTTGCCGGTGATGCTCCAGATATTGGGCATGAGCGAGTAGCCGAGCGAGTGCAGGATGGGCCCGTGGACGATGTAGAAGGCGTAGGAGATCTTGCCGAGGTACTGCGACAGGCGGTTGACGAAGAGCTTCTGGATGTCCTTGGAGTGGTTGATGCTGTAGACGATGAGGACTGCGCCGAGCGTCTGGGGGAACCGGTGCGGCTCCGGATAGGTGCGTGGGGTGATCTTCCAGGTCCACATGTAGAAGGGGGTCCATTTGTAGCCCGTGTTTGGCGCGGAGCCGAGGTAGAGGCCGAAGACGAAGAGGGCGATCCAGAGTTTTCGGCTCGAGAGGCGGGAGGCCAGGCATTGGGCACGGGGTGCGGGTTTCTCGTCGCCAACGGGGCGCTCCCATGTGCCGTTGAGGAGGTCGGCTTCCGCCATGAGCATGCCGAAGAGGAAGAGGACGACGTCCCACCGGCCCCAGCGCATGCAGAACCAGATTAAGCCGCTGACGAGGGTCAGGCGGGCAAAAGCGGTGACGCGCGAGGTCGCAATGATGGTGAGGAAGAGCACAATGGAGCATCGGAACTCCACGGGGATAGTCCACAGATGCGGGTTGTAGTAGTTGTAGTAAAGCGCCCAGTTCCAGGGGTCGATCAGATGCGCCACAGTGCGGTACCAGTCCCCGAATTGTTTAGTGAACGACTTCATGAGAGGCGGGTGCTGCTCGTTGGTGCCGAGAATCGTGTCTCCTTGATTGACGACGCGGTGCGAGTAGTTGAAGACGCCGAGGCGCACAGCAACGAAGACCAGAAAGATGCCGACAATGGAGGGTATGTACAGACGGAAGCCGCGGCGGAAGGTCGAGGACGCGAGCACGGTCAGAGTCTGGTCCCATGACCGAGTGCGGATCATCTTCAGAGGCTTGTAGGAGAGCACATACCCTGAGATGACGAAGAAGATAGCCACCATTATGTGACCGGAGACCAAGAGGTGGATGATGGGCAGATGCAGGATGCCATAGTTCTCACCATTGAAGCCCCACCCCACCGCGACCTTCCATGTGTAAGTGAAGAGAAAATGAAAGTTGAAGACTAGTAGACAGGCCCAGCCTCGTAAACCATCCAGCGCCGCAATCGCATGGAGTTTTGTGAGCTGGGGAGGCTCTCCTCCCACCCAGTGTTGTAGATAGCTTGGCGTCAGAGCGATCCCCAACTTTCTTAACCACCGATACAGATAGACCTGCCAATGATCGGAGATGTGTCTCGCTTGTGACGACAGTCGATCGGGACGTGCAAGCATATTTGCAGGTGTGAAGTCGGACAAATTGGTCCAGTTGAAGCCTGGCTTGCCACTATAGGGGCCAGACTCCAAGTCATCGAGGGGGATATCATGGATCGCTGGAGTGGAGCGAAGGTCCTTGTCTGTGAGCGACATCTTCCGTGTCGTTCCTGGACGTAATTATTGTGGAATATCCCGCGTGTAAAAAAAGGATCCCCGGGCACGATGATGGCGAGGCAATGATTGCGCAATGGGGATGGTCGACCCAGGTATACAAAACGATCCAGCCGCTTTGGAATAATCGGGAAAGGGGTCAGATTAAGGCCGTCGAAGAAGTATCAAACGTGTGCGACACTGGATACAATGAGAATCTTCTTTCAGATCTAGTTTCCACGACGAGACAACATGGTAACTCTGATGAGCAGGCTATAAAGTGCGATTCGTATGGTCAGGCATGTCGTCTCAGAGCTCATCACTGGACTGGGGGGAGGGATACTGGAAAAGCACTTACCTAGTCATTAGAAGGAACAGGCAATCAGTGAGTCTCTATCCAGCGATGGAAATGATGGAGGATTTGGGGGGGGGGGGCAACGGAGTGACAGAATACAGAGGAAGCCCAGGAGACGAAGTAGAGAAGAGGAAGAAGAAGACTGCGTTTGTTTGTTGGGTCTCAATGCCGATCGCAGAACGCTGTCACAGAGGATTCTAGGAGGGATTCATGCCAATTGAATGGGTTGGAAGAGACTGACCATGGCAGCTTGTTTCATCGAGATTAAAGTAGAGCTGGGATCAATTCAATTTCGATCTAGATCACGGAGTGGTTCTCTTGAGCCTCCATCTGGATCTGGATTATCGCTATAGCCTCATCGACACAGTGTAGACATCATTTAGTGTCGGTTGACCTGGATCCTAGAAAGATTCATCCTCATCTCTTCATTCTCTCACGTCTACGCCCTTGTTGGCTGTTGTTGACCAGACGTCCTCATTTCTTCTGCGCTGAATCGGCCCAAACGAACCAAACTTTGTTCGTCTCCCGAATTTCTTCATCTCTCTCTCTCTCTCTCTACTCCCGGACCGATCCTATCGCTTCCAATCCCATTTTCTCCCAGCTACATCCATTATCTATCGTTACCCAGCTATTATTTCCAGCTTGCCAGGCCTTTCCTATCCTCGCGTCTTTTTCTTCTTTGATCAAGGAAAAACAGTGGCCCCGCGACGCATCGCATTGCGACGACGGAGCCCCTGTTTTTCGGTCTTTTCTGGATGTCGGATTCGTCGAACTCAGCCTCTTTGTCTCCTGCTCCTTCGCCTCAGTGACCTCCAGAGAACGCTTGTTCACCATGGATCTGCGCACAATAATGAATACCGATGCTACCGGCACCGCCAGCGCTGCCTCTGCTCCGTCGCAGCAGTCGCCGTCCCGAGCTGAATCCGTCTATCCTCCACGTCAACCGCAGCCTGCCACCGCATCGCCAGCGTCGTCGGCCTCGTCTTATCCACCGGGATACAATGCGCAGCAACAGCCTTCTCAACCGGCCCCATTACAACGATCCCGTGCATCGCCGGAACGATCTTCTTCCTACGGCTCCATTCAGTCGCCGTATCAGCCTCATTCAACCGCCGCCGTGAGTGCCGGCGCGCAACCCCAACGTGGCCAGAGTCCTCCTCCTCCTCCCCCCCCGCCCCCTGCCTACGCCTCTGCCAGCTCGCGAGACTCTTACTCCGCACCCACGGGTTACAGTAATCAACAGCACGCGTCAACTGCTCGATTGGCCTCTCCGTACACGCCGCAACCCGCGAGTTCCGCCGGTCCCTTTGCGGAACAGCAGCAGCAGTCCTATTTCGCGCAGCAGCGATCACAGTCCATCCAGTCCGTTCTTTCCCCCCAATCCGCTCCCAGTCACTCATTCCACCCCAGAGAAAGTCCTTCGGTTGCTCCACAATCGCATCCATCGCAACAATTTTCGCCTCCAGCGCACGGGTCTCTACCTGGCACACCGAGAGCTTCCGCCGTGAGCTCTCTGCCCCGTCAGACCCCGCCATCGACGCGTCCCCCTTCGTCCGGCCATGACTCGCATTCGAACAGAGCCTCAAGTCCCTGGGTGGGACAGGATGCCCAGATGCACATGTCCCCGACCGCAATGCCAAGAGGCTCGCGCCAGAATTCCAGGCATCGAGAACAAACACCGCGACAGCTCCCTCCCGGGGGGGAAAGGCGAACTTCAGACGAAAGCGTTAGCCCCAAGACGGCCTTCACTCCAGGATCCCGACAAGGGAGCATGACCGGAACCTCCGAGCACAAATTCTCGTCTCAGCTCAATTATGTCGAAGATGGCGTCGGCAAGGAGGACTCGTCTGCGCCCGTCATGACTTCCTCGCAGTCGCCTATGGCCGTCATGAATGCGCGTCCTCCGCCGGCTGTGTCCCAATTTGACAGCTCTCCGTCTGCCCAGTCCCACAAGGCGAACGGATCTCTCACTGGAGATCGGGCCCAAACGTACCCCACGAAGATGGACATGACGCCTGACTCGCGACCTGACACAGGTGAGCGACCTTTGAAGCGGAGGAGAAGACGATACAACGAGCCCCCGATCTTTGCGCAGCGAGCCGCTCGTGTCAAGGGCCGATGCCCCGTGATTCCAGACCCGCATCCCCCAATCCCCAAGCATCTCAGAGACTCTGCTCAAAGCCCATTCGCACCGCGACGACAGTCCGTCTCGTCCCATACGCCAACTGCTACTGCATTACCACCTCCTACGGCGAGGGTTAAATCAGAAACTCCACCCACGAATGGCCCTGTAGCTGCCCGTCTACCCTCTGCGCCGACGGTACCAGCCCCCATGGTGCCCGCGCCTTCGGAAGGAAGCCTAGGACCGTGGGAACCCTCGATCACCGGGTTTATTCCCCATGAGGAAATCACCAAATTGGTGTGTGACTTTCTGTTCCAGCACGTGGTCCTCCGCAACGACGCCACGGCTGGACCTGCTGGGACCGCGGCAGTCGGCCAAGGCACTATCATTGAGGTGGAAGGCAAGTTGGGGCATATTATCGACATGGATCGCGGAGAGAGAGTCAACCTACCAATCCTGACCGAAAGCGTCATCAACAAGGAGAATCCCCGTTTCCGCACGGCGTTTGAAAGTTCGATGACAGTGGTAAGTAATCCCCTGACTCCACAATCGCCCAGGCATGGCTCGCTGGGCTAACAAGCCAAACTAGTCTCAACATCGCGCAATGAACAACTTCCTCAATGAAGCCGTTAAAGCATCCATGCCTCAGACGAACCCAGGCCGGATCCCTCTGTCTTATGCGCACAAGAAAGAACGCGACACCTTCTACGAAATCTCCCCGTCCGAACTCCCCCCAGTCATTCGACAGAACCTCAACCCCCGTCACAAACCCAAAGTGCGCGTCACCATCGACCAACGCACCGGCGAAGTCCTCGCCAAGATCGTCAAATGCCGTATCGCAGACATGGACGTGCACAGTCCCCGGACATGCGTTGACTGGCGCATCAGCGTCAACCTCGAAATGACCTATGACGGCGACGTCAGCCACCTGACCATGGTCGACAGCAGCCGCGGCAGCAAATCTGGCGACCGCACCAAGGACCGCATGAGCTACAGACATTTGGCGTACCAGGTCGATCTCACCCAGGTTGCCAAGTCAGAAGTAAGCCCCCCCCCTTCCCTTTTCACCTTCCATCACTTCCACCCCTATTATGCTCGAACCTCTGCTAACAAAAGAACCCCCCTCCCACCATAGCCCCCCACTAAAGGCGACTTCGAACACGAACTTGAAGTCGAGGTCTCCGCCGCCGAAGTCCGCCGCCAGGGCCAACTCGCCATGGCCGGCGACCCGCAAAACCAGTACGAGGAACTAGTCAAGGGATTCGTGGACAATATCCGTTTGCTGGCGCGTGCAGTGCCACCCTGAGTTGTTTTGCCCTGTACCCGTGCCATGTTCTCTATCTGCTATCTCTGGTCAAATCCGCAGATCCGTTCTTGCACACTGAACGTGCGAATAACAAACATCGTGCCTATACATACACCTTCGTTTCTTTTATCTTCTCGAGTAGGCAGTATCCCCTGCGAAGATGGATCGGATTGTACCACTTAGAGTCACGCAGGAGATCTTTCTTTTACCTTCTTGATCGTGTCCTTACTACCCCATACTTGTTTTTTTATTCTGTTTTTATTTGTGCAGATTTGGTCACACTAAGGTGTGTGCGTCTCGCCAGACACGACATGATTCTTATGACTATTTGAAGGTTTTTTTTTTTTTTTTTTTTTTTTTTTTTCCCCTCTTTCTTTCCCGACTGTATCTTGCGTCGCTCGGGGTTTGAACTCCCGAGATCTCCGTACATAGATCTACAAATGGTTGATATAATCAGAGCGCAAAGTATACATCCTGTTGAGCTTTCTACCATGCCAAGAAAAAAAAAAAAGATTTGCTTCTAGAATACAAAGTAATGTAAAATGTGCCGACTGGGCGATGAGAGAGAGAAAATAAAAAAAAAAAAAAAGATCTGTCCACTCTGCGTGTTCCTCTCGGTATGTCGCCCGCGTTTTAGCTTAAGGACTAGGTGTCCCATCGTCATAGCGAGGCCCGCCATCCTCGCCGTCCCCATATGGCCCAGCCCCCGGGGTCGCGGCCGCACCACCCATCGCCGGCGTGGGTGCATCGTACGGACGGCTTGAGGGGCCGCCCGGTGTAGGGGCGTTGTAAGCACCTGGGGTCGGGGCGCTGTCGGCCCAGGCTCCCGGGGTCGGGGCGCTGGCGTATGCACCTGGAGTCGGAGCGGAGTAGTTGCCTCCGGGGGTGGGTGCGTCTGCGTACTCCCGGGACTCCTTGTGTCCTCCTGCGGTTGAGCCTGCGCCACCCCAGGCTGGTGTGCGGCCGCCAGCGTTCGCGCCGCCCCAGGCTGGTGTCCGAGATCCTGCTGCGAACGCGTCGAAGCCGCTTGATCCCGAGCCGGAGTCGTAGGGCGTTCGTGCCCCGGCGTTCCATGCCGGTGTGCGCGATCCGACGCCACCACCGTACGCAGTTCGGCTGCCATCGTAAGGATTCGATGTACGCGATCCATCCATCTTCCATGCCGGAGTACGGGAACCGCCAACGCCTGCCCAAGCGGGTGCTAAATAGTATAGTCAGACACTGAAATCTCGCATACCTAATCGAAGTTGTATACTTACTTCGAGCAGAAGAAGCGCCACCCCACGCAGGCGTTCTGGAAGAATCAGCTGCTGCCATTGGGGTACGGCCACCATGCCAGCCGGATGGTGGTGCAGCAGAAGCGCCATATGGTGCGCGCTGACCTCCCTTCCGAGACATGTCGAGCGTCTGGCCAGTAACGGGGTCTTTGACAACAAGGACCTCTTTGGGGATTGTCACGAGCTTGTTCCTCGAGTGAAGCTCGACTCGTGCTTGCATGTCTGTCGAATCCTTCACAATGCCAACGAGACCCTTGTACGGACCCTTCCTCACCTGAACTGTCTTGCCGATCAGTCGATCACGACCAAAGGTCTTAGGAGGGCCCATCCCGCCGCCAGGCATGCCATTCCTCATCATGGCAGGATTCATTTTGTTAAGATCAGGCCCGGTGGATCTGCCGCCCTTGGCAGAGACGGTCACGACGTTAGTGGTACGGACAACGACAATACCCGAGTTCTCAGCTTGCGACTTGTTATGCAAGAAGAGGAACGAGCGGTAAATGTGAGCAATCACACCACTGCGCTGCTCTCCATAAACCTCTCGCACGGTATCGCCGTGCCGAATTTCGGCACCATTGCGATCAGTGGCAACCGCATCTCGACGAGGTGTGATTTTGTTGGCAACTTGAGACGGAAGCACATTGCGAATGGAGCCATTCTGATCCAGAACTCTCAGCGATTCACGGTCGACCTTGACGACGCATGCAACAGTAGAGGCACTGGGAAATATTCAGTCAGCGCATGAAGAGAGAAAAAGCCAAAGATACTCACTCAAGTTGAACCAGATCATGGACGTCGAACATGCCCAGCTTCCCATCAACGCCCGCTTCCGCAGATAACCTAAGATCCTTGCTAAAGACAGTGATTTCCTGCATGCTCATATCACTGAGCAGAGTCACTGTATCATCCTTGACCTGTACCACCATACCCAGCTCATCCTGGTACCGACTGCCTCCAATAACCTTGACATGATCACCCTCTCTGAAGCGCTTGCGCAAGGATTTGACGGGGGCGTCTATTGTCTGTCCAGCCAGTTCACCTTCGGTGACTTGCAAGGTCACGATATCTCCCCGGGTCGATGTGGTGCGGCCAACCAGGCCCTGCTGTTCGCCTCGGAACACCTCAACGGGATCCCCAGGCAGGTATGATTCCTCGGCGGTCGAATTCTTGAGCGTTTCTGCGAGCGAGGCCAGATCCAGATTCGAAGTTCCGTCATCAGAACCCCGTGCAAACATAGTCACTTCCTCGAGTCGGGGATTGACATTCTTCGTGATGAGATGTTGCACCTTCATGTCCTTGATGAGGAAACCGTCAATGTATGTCTCGCCGAGGTAGCTCCACGACTTTCCACCCAGGCCAGATGTAGCAGACAGATACTTTCCATGCCTCTTCTTGGCTTCGGCTTCACTGAAGAGTCTTTGGGGCGCCCGAGGGCCCGCAGTGTTCATGCCAGGACGCTTTCTCTTGATGTCAACCACCGGGGCACTACTGTCTTCGTTCAAGCCATAATCTAACCGAGGAACCAAACGGACCGTGACTTCCAATCCATTGGTGTCGACTTCCTCGATCTGGGCAAGATCGCCTTGGTACTTGCCTCGCTTGATACGGACCCATCCGCCGGGATTTAGCTCTTCGGACTTCTGTACTCGTAGAAGATCGGGCATCTCGCGCACGGGCACGAGAATCATCTTCGTGCGCGGGTACACGTTGGACATGTCTTCCAGCGCCTCCATTACATCGGCCTGTCTCCGCGCTTCGACATAGATATAACCACTCATGGCGCCGCCGCGCTCGAACGCGGAGATGATTTTCATCGGTTTCCGAGATCCAGGAGGTCGCTCTTCAATCCGCTTCTGAATGGAGAATACAACTTCGCGCTCCTTGCCGGCCTTGCAGCGAACACCCCAGATACTGGGGTCGTCGACACTAGGAAGCAGCAGCCGCTTGGGCACGACAACTGCATCCGACGCGGCAGCGCGATTCCGTCCATATCTTTCCTTAAGCAGCTGTGCTTGTTTCTCGGCATCCATGCTGGCCTCGAGCTCACGCTGACGATCGAGTTGCCTGTGACGGCGGTCATCGGTCTCGGCACCGGCAGGGAGGGCATCCAAATCATCCGGGTGCATCTCAGCACCGAAATCGGCCAGTTCATCCTCCTCGTCTTCCGCTTCGTCCTCTTCTTCATCAACACCGGCTTCAGTATCAATGAAGTTATGGATGCCCCCTCTTCTCATTCGCTTTTTCGGCCGACCCTAGCAAGCAAAAGACAACCAAGGTCAGAATGGCCACCAGTAGAAACCCAAGCAATGGTCAACTCACTGAGGAAACCTCCTGCTCATCTTCGTCCTCTTCTTCATCTTCCTCATCCTCTTCATCGTCTTCCTCCCCTTCACCTTCGTCTTCGTCCTCATTCTCATCATCCTCGTCACGAGCATCAGCTCGGCGAGCGTTATTGGCGTAGCCCCTTGCCCTCACATCATCCTCGCTATCCTCTCGGTTGGCGCGTTCAGGCTTGACATCTTCGTCGTCGTCATCCTCCTCATCATCTTCCATTCGAGCGCGGTTCGGTGCCTGTATTCCAACGAGCGTGAGCACACATAAAGAGCCCATCTCTTGTCATATGAAAACCCACCTGCGGTTTGACATCATCGTTATCCGAGTCCTCCACGGGCGCGGGGTTGAAATCATCATCCTCCTCCTCGGATCCAAAGTCCTCATTCAGAAAATTCCGCGACATGTTGTCTTTGAGATGTGATGTGGCTGTCAGATTAAGAAATCAGACTGGAGGAATTCGACCGCGTGCAGTACTAGAGGTCGACCCTTTCTGCGGAAATACCTCTCGACGAATTTCAGTAGGTTTTAAGCAAGGGGAGTAGCGCGTTAGACTCTCTTCGAGTTGAGAGCCTGGTCAGCGAACGAGCTCTCAGTAAGCCAGCGAGAACAAAAAAGTATTGGGAAGCTGACAGACACTGTCGGGGGTATCTGCAGTTTAAGTAGTCGTGAACCTATCTCTCAGCTCGGGAAAACAGGACGGCCGGCTAAGTGGCACAGAACGAGGTGAACAATGAAGAGAGAGGTCGAGGCGTCGAAGTTGACCAGACAAGCAATCGAGCGGCAACTTCTCCGTTGGTTCGCCGACTCCGCGACCGCGACAGTAAACCTCCTGGTTTTCCGAGATAAGGTTATCGCTCGGAACAAAACAAAAAGGGATGGAATGAAGCTGCTCACAAATAATGATTGTGAGTGGGCTCTGGTGAAGGAGAAAGCAACACGGTCGAGCTGTGTTTGAAGTGAGGGAACTTTCAGATGGCGGCGCAAGTTGATGATTTACTCGGTCGACACGGCGGAGACTCTACTGCGCTTCTGGTCCGAACAGTCAACCGTACGTCTATCCTCTCGGTCGCGGCTCAACAACTTCACATACAAAATACGGTGATACTAGGAGATTAAGACAAGGCTCTGATCCAAAGAAAAGTAGAAGCAATATATATGGTCATAAGGTACATCCATCCTGTGTTTGATACCCAAATGGCTCAATAATCAAGAAATCATATGGAAGATGGTGGATATCTATGCTTTCCGCACTCTCATATTCCAGCAAGAAAGAAAAGAAAAAAAAAAAAGAAAAAAAAAAAAACTCAAAGTTTCATGCCAAACATCTGGTGCACACGCAAGCTCTGGCGCATGCTGAGATCCAGCATGATCTCCTCGCTTCCACCGGGAATAGCGTAGGCACGAACATCACGGTACAACCGCTCAACCTTGCCGCCCTGACCGCCACGGCTGTAGCTGAGACCACCGAAGATTTGACTGGCCTCGCGGGCACAGAACTCGAAAGTGGTCGTCGCCTGAGCCTTGAGACCAGCGATAGCACCTCCTAGCTTGAGCATGGCCTCAGTCTCCTCCATAGACTGGCACTGGTAGATGATGTTCTCGAGCCAGTTGTAGGTAGCCTCGATTTGACGTGCCATATGTGCGAGCTTCATGCGGATCACAGGGTGATCGATGAGCTTCTTGCCAAAAGTCCTACGCTTGTGCGCATACTTGACCGACTCCTCGTAGCAGACCCGGGCGAATCGTACGCACTGGATCACGATGCCAATTCTCTCGTGGTTGAAGTTGGTCATGATAACTAAATGGCAGATCAGTATGACTAAGTAAAAGGTAAAGGTAAAACACTAGAACAGACAGCTTACCCTTGAAGCCCTGGTTCTCCTTGCCAATGAGGTTCTCCACAGGCACCTTGACATCCTCGAAGGTGACATAGGTGGTGCCACTGCTCCAGACACCCTGGCAGTCCATGCGTCGGGTGCTCACGCCACCAGCCGATCTCTCGATCAAAAGAACACTGATTCCGTTCATGCCAGGCCCGCCGGTACGAACAGCAGTGGTGAAATAGTCGGACCAGATACCGTTGGTGATCCACTTCTTCTCACCGTTGACAATGTAGTGCTTGCCGTCAGCGGATAGCTTAGCTTCACATGTCAGGTTGGCAACGTCACTGCCCGCATCGGGCTCAGTAATGGCAAGACAGATGCGCTTGTCACCTGCCAAAATGCCGGGCAGGATTCTGTCGACCAGGGGCTTCTTGCCGAACTTCACCAGTGGCGGGCAACCAATCCCATAACCACCAATCAAATTCCAGACCAGACCACCACTGCCGGCACGCGATAGTTCATCCGTAAGCAGCATCTCGTGGAAGAGATCCCAGTTCTCCGCCGCTACCGACTGCACTCTGTGGGGAGTGTGGTTGACGGGATACTTCACACCCAGGAGACCGGCAAGGTAACCCCTCTCACCCATTTGTTTGTAGATCTTGTCGGGCACCTGCTTGGCCTCATCCCATTCGGTCACATACGGCTCGATTTCGGTTTCTACCCATTGCCGAACTTCCTCGCGGAGGGTAGCATGAGTCTGGTTGAAGTAGGGCGAGTGATACTGTAGATGGCGGGGTTAGTACAACCGGTTCCGCCAGGCTCCATGCAGCGCAGAGAACGCCAGATTTCAAACTTACGCCTTGGTACCATGAGGGATCCGAGAAGGGAATCAGTTCACCATAAGGATCGAGGGGCGCTGCGGACTTGGCAGCCACCACATCGACTGGCGCAGCCGCCTTGGGCTTAGGGGCCTCCTTGACGGGAGCGGGGGCAGGCGCAGCAGCAGCCTTCTTGGAATCCAACGATCCAATCTGCAGCTGGCTCTTGTACTTCTTCAGAATCCCCTCATTGTGATACTTCCAGAACTGTTTCGAAGCGTCTTTTCCGGCAACACGGGAGAGAACTAAATGCGCATGGTTAGCGCGGCTGCCCCTCATGGTCGATCTGTACCCTAGAGCGCCAACATACTCTTCTTTCCGCCAGGGTGGTCGTCTTGGAACTTCGTCAAGTCGTATACGTCTTCATCGATGATAACCCAGAGGTTGTCGGGCTTGCTATGCGACGCCACCTCGTCCTTAGAAAATGTCTTGGACATGATGTATAATGTGAACGGGGTGTTCCACGGGGAAGAAAAGCCAATATGAATGTGAGATTATGGAGGATCTATCAAGAAGCCCACAGGATTAGGGTACTGGCACAGCAGACTATCTGGGGTATGGGGCGGGCAAATACAGGTACAAAAAGTAAGGGATGTGAAAGACAATCCGGGGTAAGCAGCGGGAGAGAAGTCGGGGGGGATAGATATATGTAGGACCAGGAAGGGGACCAAGGAGAAGCACCAGCTGTGGATATCTGCTTCGGAGGAACAGCCCAAAAGAGTGCACAAGACCAACTGAGCGATTCCCAGGGACCCTCGGGTGGTCTGACATGCAACAAAATTTATGCGCTCAGAGTAGTGGTATTCGGCGATTTCTTCACATGTCCAGCGATATGCGCGACAGCGGTCATTACTCTTCCCGTGAGTTAATAGTAATATGGATGGAAATATGATGCCGTCAACCTGTCAGTCCAAAACAGCTGCAGCAGGATGCACCTGAACCTCGGCCAAATACTGTAAGTGTAATTGCTCTTCGCAGCTGAGGTCATCCGTTGTGTTTTGTGCTTGTGCTGATTGGCTCACAAAGTCCCTCCACGTCATGGCGGCACCCGACCCGCGTGTGTAAATCTCCCCTTTTTTGGAAACTGCCGAGGCTCGCGGTTTCACGTGACAGCAGGCTATCGCTCATTGGGCAAACAACGCGAGAAATGGATCCCGTCATTGGATGCAGTCGCCAATCTTACAATACAGAGTTACCGTAACCGCTGTACACAGAGCATCTGACCCCTGGTCAACTGGCAAACATAAAAGGGAAGGAATGCATGTGAAGATATGCATGAGCATCCATTCATTATGATCACTCTCGGATCTGCTGGCCTATTCCAGGACAGTGAGCGGTATTATTTCATAGCCTATAAGCAGCACCACAGTAGTACAAGCACGAATTGTAATGTTCTACCACCCTTCCTCAAGGTGTATACAAACTCCAATATAGTTGCAACGGTATATTTCAGGTCCCCAGCAGTGGTACTGCTCTCGCTGGGAAGTCACACGCAGATCCATCATTAATCTAGTAATACAACCTCCAACCCAACATATGTCCCGTGTGCCGACCCTTAGTCCTCGGCTTCGTCGGTTTCGTAGTTGAATTCGTCCGGCACTGGCGCTTCTTCGCCATCGTCTTCATCCTCATCGACAGCCGTCAGAACACCGGCAGCGGCAGCGGCGCCTGCAGCGGCGGTGGGATCGGCACCCAGAGGTGTCCGACCAGCACCACGCTGAGGCGTCTGGAGGGCCGCCGCGCCAATGGCGGCTTGCAGCCGGTCCTGCAGTGATTCTGCAGTGGCGGCAGGAGCCTTAACTTCCTTGCTTGCTTTCATCTCAATCGTCTCGCGCGGCTCCTCGGGGTTCTTATCCAGCACCACAACAACTCCACCGGTAGGCTGCCGATACAGTTAGCAATGCGACGGTGATGCAAAAACACTATAGCTTCTAAGGGGCAAGACTTACCCGTTTTACTGGCTCGTACCGCGGGTCAGGGAATGTGAGGTACTTAAGCAGAGCAGGGAGAACTCTGGACATGTTCTCGAGTTCATATCCGACCTTCTCGCGCTCAGCCTTCTTCTTCGGACCTTCACCAGCGCCCTTCTCTCCCTCCTTGGCTTCTTCTTCCTTCTCCGCACCTTCATCGGTCTCCATCTTCTCCGGCAGTTGATCTGATACCTTAGGTGTCGTGGGGGTCTGGTCAACGTCCATGCTTTCTCGGCGCTGTTGCTTCTCCCGGCGCTGCGCCCGGCGCTTGGCTTGAGCAGTAGTGGAAAGAACGGCCGTCTTCACCTTCTCTGGCGCTTCCTCAGCCTTGACCTGTTGCTCCGGGGGGTAGTCAAAGAGGCTGGGCCTTGTGTTGCTGTGGAACTTGAAGAAAGGAACCTCAAGCTTCTGATCCACTCCGACCACGGCCGTCGGGGTGAAACTGAGAGATAGGAAGTGAGTAAGCGGGAACCAGTACCAGTACTGGATGAAGACAGCTGCGCCAACGATGCCAGGCATGTTGAGGTTGCCTGTCTGTGTCTGAAGGCTGATGGTGCAGTTTCGGCCACCAGCATCAATAATACCGAGGGCCACAGCGCAGCCAAACTTGGCCATGGCATCCTCATGCCTGTCTCCAATCATCTTCATCATAGCTTTACGGAGGCTGCTAACACGAGGATTCATAGCCTCATTCTGCTGCACCAGGACCATGGCCAAGGCGATCAAAGCACCCTGTCTGACAAAATCGGTAGAATCTTTCAGCATGGGTTCTAACAGGTCAATAGCCTCATCCAGCCCAGTACCAGCGCACGAGATACCCAGCGCCATTGCAGCACCATATCTCACATGCGGGTTGTAGGACTCGGACAACAGCTCAACCATACGGGGCACGCTCTGGTATTTCCTGAACAAGATAAAGCCCAAGCTGAGAACAGCGACACGGCGGACGTCATCATTGACATCGCTGACGGCGACGTGCAGAAGCTTGCGGACGGCCTTGTTGCTACCAGTACCGCAGTAGGCCAGAGCGATGGTCATGATACCACCATAGCGGAGGGTCGGATCAGGATCGCCCAGGAGACCATTGATCAATTCGTCAGCAGCCTCCTCACGGCCGTACATGATCAAGGCCATTCCCATAGCCAAACCGCGAACGATCTTCTCATGTTGCGTATCGTGAGCATACTGGATCATGTCCTCGAGAGCTCTCATGTTGCCAGTACCCAGCATAACCAAGCCCATGGCAAGACCGACAGCCTCACCGTTGAGCGCCGAATCTGTGTAGAGGACGTTCCGCAGATCCTCGTAGATGCCCTCATCACCGGTAGCCATGCCCGCAACACCCAGGCCCAGAGCTCCACCATGCTGGACGACCTCCTCAGTAGCCTTCTTGAAGTGATCACGGATTAGATCAACCGCCATTCCACCGTGGTTGGCATAGATCAAGCCAAAGGCGTACAGCGATCCACCCTGGCTGTAGACAGAGCCCGAACCACCGACACCCGCAATATGTTCCCTCGGAAGGTATGGCTGCAGGAGCTTCTGACCTTGGCTGAGGTTGCCACGGTGAATGACACCGAGCGCGGCGGTGGCTGTGAACTTGGACCAGTTCACAGCCTTGCCGAGCCATTCCAAATTGTCTCGGAAAAACTTGTCGTGGGTGGTGCCAGCATGCATAAACGCGTTAGAGAGGGTGACTGCTGTGTGGAAGATGGAGTTGCGCGCTTCCAAACTGTCTCGCACTTTGTTCAAGATGGCAATGTCGGCCTTGTTATTTCGGTAAAGAAACTCCAAGTTGAGCTGGATCGATTTTATGCCGTCAAGAATGTCAAGGATGTTCTTGAACGCTGTACGTGCTTCGTCTGACATCTTCTCATTGGAATCATTGCCTCCGAGTGACCGTGATTGCTCCTGGTCCTGCAGCAGAGGGTCGGACTCCTTAGGTTCATCGTCTTGATCATCAGTCTTCTTTTCTGCTTCACTCTGATCCGGTACAAGCTCCGCAATCTCTTCGCGGACCTTCTTCAGAAATTCTTGCGTGCTGTTGTCGTAGAGGTCGAAGGAAATTTGGTAGGCCACAGCAAGCGACCGTGCATCCCCCTTCTCCACTAACTGGCGAAGAATAACAGAGGCCATTGAATGCTCGTTCAGAAAGACAACACACTTGGCGATGGAGAAGTAGTCCGGAGCGGGAATTTCGTTCAAGAGATCAAGAATAAGCTTCAGGATCTGTGACAAGAATTAGCCAAGTCGAAGTCGAGATCCGTGAAAACTGAAATCCCCATCCATACCTCATTACGGAATGCACGCTCCTGAACAATGCCCATGCAAATATCCAGTACATACTCCATGAGCTCTTCGCTACGTCTGGACTCGCCGTGCTGCTTCTTTTCGTCCTCACTTGCGCGAATAATGGTCTTGCGTAGCACATCCAGGTTTTTGGCCTCGATAGCGATTCCAATCACTTGGCGATAGCGCTTCTGCAGGAAACATTGCTCAAACAAGCGTTCAACAACGGCTTGTAGTTGGCCCTGAACCCCACTCTTCAAGACGAGGGAAGTCTCGTCGTGTTTTACAGTAATATCTTCCCCTCCCGGATGGGCAGCATCCATGCCTGGAAGCTCTTGCCGAGAGAGCAACGATTTCGAAGGCAGAGCGGACTGCGAGAATGGCGTTATGGGAGACGTTAAGCTGGCGGAAGTACTTGTGGCTCCTTCACCGGATGTAGGGAACGCGGTATTCAGGTTGGCAGGCTGATCGCCAGCTGCGGGGCGTTGGGCAGCGGAGAGAGAGATGAAAGTATCGATACATTTTGCTTGAGAACGACAATGGAATTAGCAAACCAATCATGCTTATGCGGTGCGTTCTCACATACCGATGATTGTCTCCTCGAACTCGCCACCGTTCTCCAACTTGAAAAGTTTCCCGGCCCCGAGAGCGAAGACCATACTTTCATTGTATTCTTGGAGGTTGTAGTAAACCTTTGCCGCGACTAAGGCGGCGAGTTCCCGTTCCGGAAACGACTCATCCTCGTACAACGCCTCTCTAGATGCAAAAGTGGTCAGTGACAAGGCCTTGAAGCAGAAAGTATCATTATGTCGATGCAGAAGATAAATCAATATGCAAAAAGACGATGAATGACTAACATTTGGGGAATTGCATCGACAACTTCTGTCCAGAGGAGGTCGATCTGGGAATCGAGAGTCTTCAGAGCAAACACTCGCAACTCCGGATCAGGCTCAGAAAGGAAGCCAACAAGACCGGCGGCCGAAGCGAGCCCGACCATCTTTATTAGAGATATCTTGCTTCAGGACCAGGTGATTCGGGTTGATGGAAGGGTCAGCTGTTCTATCGCGAGATGAGGCGATAGCTTCGAGAACGGAGCTTCAAGACAGCGTTGTTAGCTCAAAGCAAAGGAAAAGCAGTTTGGGATGAGAGAATATACCAGATTTTACAAAATGTACAGTGAGATAGTGTTTTCAATGAAATAAAAACAAGCGGAAGATGAGAGTAGCAAGCTGGAAGTTGATTAGGAAGCTTCCGCCAGCAGCGAGGCACACGTCAACGCTTGAAGCTGACGAAAGGCATCCGTGGTTCCTGCAGAAACCCCTAGAACTGTCACGTGATACCATGATGGAATGGGAAAGATGATCACAAGCACTCAGACTTCGGAAGAGATAAAGCCAACATGACACCTCTGCATTGATCATTCTTCCCGTACTTGCCTTGGAGCGATGGTGTTTCACTTACCGATGCTCTTCTGATCTTTACTCCCGGTGCAGACTATCTATATGTAGCTCACTGGACCCGCCTTGGACTTTCTATAGTCTTCCAAGCTACCCCCCAGAGTGAGTGCGAAGGAAAGCTTGAGCATTGCGATCAAACCGTGCCCTCAAAATGTCGACAATTTTCCAGAGAAGTGGCGAAAGCTCCTTGCTGCCATTACGTCCTGGGAATTCTGCACTTCAGCAAGATCCTCTTGTCTACATTGACCGTCAAACAAAATACATCCAGCATAATCTACAGGTCCTGATTGATGCCCAAAGTGATGGTCTCCTGGCAGGCCTTGGAGGGACACCGCAAACCACCGATTCCGTCTCAAACGGAAGCTTTACCCTGACCGAGCTGAGCCGTCCTCGAAGTCCTCCAACAGTTCCCGTTCGGCAGCCTGTCGCAAGAAATATTGGACTACGTGCCGCAAGAGAGGGAATCTTCAAATCAATTTATGACTTGCTGAAGTTGAGAGAAGAGGAGCGAAATATTCTCAGCTTTCGGGTAGACGAGAGAGCGGATGCATTGGGCGAGATTGACAAATTTAGTACCAAAAAAGCCGGCTTAAAGAACGCCATAGCAAGTATCCACAATAATGAGGGCAACCAGCGCTCAAAAGAGCTGCAGGATGAGAGCCATCATCTGGAAACGGAAATTCGGGAGTTGGAGACTAAGCTTCTTGAGATGAAAGTCAGGCATCGACATGTCATCCAAGAACTCTCGCAAATGGAGAACGCCGTTGAGTCGAAAATGTCTTCTTACAAGGCTTCATTGTCTCTCGTGGAGTCAGATATCGACAAATTTCTGAGGCAACCCTCTGTCCAGCCTCATTTAGCCGGTAGCAATCAATCAACTTTCTATTCTCTCAATCCCAAGCGCCGCACCCTTGAGATGGCTCGGGATCATTGGCAAATGGAGCAAGTCGACTTGCGGAAGAGGCAACAGGAGATAGATGCTGAGATCCAGGCTCTCGAAGAAGGCGGTGGCATATGGAAGCAGGTGATAGGCGAGGTTTCAAGCTTCGAAAAACGACTTAGAGCCACGATGCGCAGGTCGATACAAACATCACAAATTCTCAAGGCAGACAAGCAGTCAAGAGACAGTCTGGAAACTGACCAGATTCGGACTGTAATAGAAGACCTTGATCAAATGACGAACAGTGTGGAGCAACATCTGGATCTTGCGGAGAGAAAAGGGTGGAAACTACTCACATGCTGTATTGGTGCGGAATTGGGAGCCCTACGTGAAGCACGAGAAATGCTCCTAGACGCTTTCGGTGTATCTGAAGAGGCCCTATGGCCTGGTAGAGGCAAAAAGAAGGCCAATGAGGATCACCCCGATCGTCATCACGATTCTTTTGCAGATCCACTGAGCGTGGACAACCCGGAACCTCCTGCTGACTTACTCAGGGATGAGACGCACTCCCACACGGCAGCTGCCAGGTCAGAAGACGAGGATGATGAGCCTGATCCCGCTTGGTTGCTTCCAGAAGTTTGATCATTGCGACGGATCCCGCTCTGTGGGTAGAATTTGTTCCTGTCATTGACGAAAGCGTTAAATGTATGGCCTTTAATAGAGGCTGAGAGGAATAAATGGTAGAATAGATCATTGTGTATGTAATAAGCCACAGTTGCCACTATGCTGAGACTCTCTTTTCGGCCAAATTGGCCATGTTAGTCATCGTTTCTAGAACGGAGAAGTTCTCCAGACAATGGATTTGACCCACTGGTAGACATATCGTGCACGGCCCCTGAGACTGAAGAATAAACCCAACCCGAAACTATATATATCTATCTTATCGACCCCAATCAACTCCTGGAATCATCTAGACATTAGAAATCTATCCATATTTTCTCTTCGTTTCCTAAGCGAAAGGGTGTGGCCAGATCGCGTGTTGGATGAGATGTACCTTTCAGCTCCAACCCACAGTTTCTCTATCCCCTCTGTTCATGATGGGACCGAGCTGGAATGCCGCGTTTATCTGCCTGTTGACCATTCCAGTAACTCCAACATACGAGGTGCAATTGTGGCCCATCCATACGCGCCTCTTGGAGGGTGCTATGATGATCCAGTTGTGAGCTTCATCGGTGGAGAGCTCTTGAGATGTGGCTATTTTGTGGGCACCTTCAACTTTCGGTTCGTGTCCAGTGTCTGATACACAATCCTTGTTATTGTCAATACTTTTCGTTAGCGAGACTGACCAGTTCGGCAGTGGAGCTGGGGAATCTGGAGGCCGGACCAGTTGGACAGCGAGGCCTGAGTTGGCAGATTATGTCTCCTTCTATGGATTCATGCTCTATTTTCTACATACACTAAAACATGAGCACGCAGCCAATGGTTCACATATTGCCCAGTCGACTGGCCCCCGGCGTGAAACTCAAAGCATCTCTCCTGGAGTTGATCTCGTTCTAGCTGGATATTCCTATGGGTCATTGATCGCTTCGCACCTACCAAGAGTCGACGTTATTGCGGATCTATTCTCAAAAAGTGGCGGAAAGACACTTTTTAATGAAATATGCCATACCGCAATCAAAGTCGCAACTGAGTCGTCAAGCGATACCACTGCCAGTACTAAGGAGATCGCTGCAGAAGAACTTGCCCAAACAACCATTTCGTATCTCCTCGTGTCCCCTCTTCTGCCTCCTGTCAACCTATTCCTCACTCTTTTTTCGAAAATGTCCTTGGATGTGAGAGTGGAAACACCAATAAAGAATAAGCAAATTTCTTGTCCCAAGCCGGCCGACCAGCTCACTTCGCATAGAACCTTGGCAATCTATGGCAATCAGGATACATTTACTTCGGCGGACAAGCTACGTAAATGGTCCGAAGACCTCTCCCAAGCGCAACAGAGTACATTTCAATCGGCCGAGATTGACCATGCGGGACATTTCTGGAGTGAACGAGGGGTCGAAGCTCAAGCGGGAGAGGTCCTAAGGAATTGGCTACGCAGCATTTCTTGATCTTATGAAAAGGGGAAGGATCGCTTTCGCTTAGCTTGATGAGAGAACCATATTGATCGCCGGTTATTTGAATGGGCTATAGCTACGCTAATATTCCACAAGTGGATGTTGATACCGGCGGAGGCAGGTTGATTCCAGGGCACGTTTACTGGAACAACTACGCTGCTCGTCCTTTCGGGAAACAAGAGACTGGAGAGGATGGGTCAAATCGTGTCCTGTCTGAAATTCATCGCCTGGAGTTTCAGCGCGTTAACTTCGCTCTGGACGAGGAGGATACGACAAATGCCAGACTGGAGCATGGAACCAACCGAATATTACTTACCTAGAGGGATTATGGTCGTCCTACTAACTCCTACGTCATCCTCTGTGGTCTGTTCGAGCCGATTGCCGTCCGATTTAGCCATCGAATTCAGGACCATTGCCCATGGCGCCAAAGATTATGGGGGTAGGATCTAGATACTTGGGAAGCGCTGGCAGGCAAGAGAGAAAAAAACGATCTGGTGGCTCAGTGCAGACTTGAGTAACATTTCATGATCAGTGCAAACGTGGCTAGCTCTCAGGAGTATAACTTAGGCGTCTGTCCAAGCAGGGAGTTCATCCTAGGTAGACAACTGATCAAGAGGATCCTGCCTCCGTGCCTTCCCATCTTCAGATCCTTTTTAGGACCCTGATTTATTGCGATCATGATTACATACAGTTAACTCCCTCATCTAATTCCATAACAAGTAATTACTAGATACTAGCTGAGGTAATGGGTGCTTTCATCGATCGATCACATGCTATCCGTGGACACAAAAGAGAAACTGAGTTGGCTTTCAATGAGACAAAGCATGTGAATGGGATGACAGCTGGATGACCGTGGGGTCCTTTAGGAGTCATCAGGGCTCTGTCATAGGGGGAAAAACCAGAAGTGATCGAGTATATACCCAAGTGTAGTAGTAGTTATTCCACCGCCGAACGGGACCCTGCGAAGAGTCTGGCAATTCTTTACAATATAATGTACTCCGTATCATCCTGAATACTGACTGATACCTCAGGCAGAAAGCCACTTGCGTCAAGGGTCACTTCGGCACTCAAGGATCTACGGAGTACATATCTACATGAAGTCATGAACTAACTACCTCTGAATAATAATAAATAATGGACACGATATTAGACGAGCAATCATTCGAAAGAAACATCCACGGATATCTTTCGTCCATTCCCTGTATGACGAGAATGAAGATGAAGATCAAAACAAGTCCCTATCTACCCCAAGATAGTTGATTACCCCAGACTGATGATGAAGCGGGCATCATCGATCGGGAAGCCCAACTGGCCCGCGTGACCTTGTTGCCAGCCTGCCACTCCCTACTAGTGACTAGTGCCGAGTCTGCCGAATGACTGACTGACTACTGACTAGAGAACTGAACCCACCTAACTAGTTACTGCCTAAGGCTCTAAGCACTTAAGCAGTCCCCCCCCAGATTCGCGGGGATTCCACCTATACTCTTCTAGTAAATACATGCATGCTGCCAGGATTCGCTTTAGTTAGCTCAAGCGAATTTCTTCTTTAGGGATTTTTGTTTTTTTTATATGAACCGTCTGAAATCGCCTTGATCCACAAGAATGCCTTAACCACGGCAGGGAGTCCGTCTTTTGGATCCGTCTGGTCGTATCCATCTACTACTCTTCTAACCCATCTCCTCGCCAGACGGATGGCTCTTCCTCAGCCTCACGCCTACTACCATCATGTCGCTCTTCCATGACTCGACCATTGTGCAACAGCCCAAATGCCACGGGAAATCCAAATCCGGGAACAAACCCGGTCCATCCTCGACCTCTTCCAACCGACAGCACCATTTCCTGCCGCGATTGATCTCCATTCCTTCGTTATCATCAGTGGTGCGGAATTCGTTCACCTGGGCCGGAGATACCTTGTACTCATATCGTGATTGGGCTTCCAAAGAGCAGAGGAAGGCACTTACGGAAGCCGAGGATCGTAAGGAGGTTTTATACCTGAGGATGCGAAATGTAAATCAAGGCTTCAACATCTTCCTGGCTCTTGTGAATGTCTGCGCTAACCCGGTATCTCTTGATATACAGGCAGTCTCGGTTGAAGAGTGGAAAAGTTGCGCTTGCGAACTGGATGAGCTGGAGGACAACAATACCTGGAAGCGAACGTTTGAATGTTCCGAATACAACCCCCTGCTGGTCCAGGAGCGCCTCAAGCAACTGGAAGAAGCCCGCGTCAGCTGCGATGTGAGCAGGATGTTGTTTCTGATCCGCACCTCGCTCAGTCGCGACCTGGGAAATATGAGCAATGTATCGCTCTATCGGCATTCGCACGTTGGAACAAAGGAGCTGATCGACCGCTACATTACTACCGCCCTCGACACTATTTCTACTTTGGTGGAGCTTTCTGGAAATAAATGTGACGGGCTCGAATTGAGATATATGCTTGATCAGCTGCTTGCAGCAAGACAGGCGTTCGGTCGAAGCGCTCTTTTGTTCTCTGGAGGAGCCACCTTTGGCATGAACCACATTGGCGTTCTCAAGGTTCTGTGGCAAGCGAAACTACTCCCCCGCATCATCTCCGGTGCATCAGCGGGCAGTATCATATGTGCTGTATTCTGTACACGCACCGACGATGAGTTGCTTGAGCTACTTGACACCTATGCGTATGGCGATTTTGCCGTTTTCGACGAAGAGGGGAAGGAAGAGAACATTCTGCAAAAAACAGCCCGGTTCTTGAAATACGGCTCTTTCTTAGACATCTCTCATCTTGCCAAGGTGATGAGAAATTGGCTGGGTGATATCACCTTCCAGGAGGCTTACAACAGGACGCGGAGGATACTGAATATCTGTGTCTCCAGTGCAGGCATGTACGAGCTTCCCAGGCTATTGAACTATATTACCGCACCCAACGTGATGATTTGGTCTGCCGTGTAAGTTGCGCGACCCCATATCCCTTTTCCTATCATCAATTCGCTCATTCTTAATGATCGGATTCTGACTCGCAACAGTGCCGTTTCCTGCTCGGTACCTCTGGTTTTTACGCCCTTTGCTCTCATGGCCAAGGACCCATTGACAGGGGAGGCGGTCCCCTGGAATGACTTTGACACGCAGTACATTGATGGCTCGGTCGATGGGGATCTACCTATGACTCGATTATCCGAAATGTTCAATGTCAACCACTTCATAGTCTCGCAGGTGAATCCTCATGTGGTTCCTTTCCTCCCAAGAGACGATGGACCGAGCCGCGGGCGGGCGGAGGAATCGCCCGTTCCTCGATGGTTGCGCGCCGTGACGCATCTAGCAAAAGATGAGATATTGCATCGAATGACGGTTTTGTCAGATTTGGGTATCTTCCCGACATCACTAAGCAAGGCTGCCTCCATCATGAACCAGAAATACTACGGAGACATCAACATCTACCCGAAGATCCTCTACAGCAATTTCCCCCGAATTCTGAAGAATCCGACCACCGAATTTATGCTCCAGGCCTGTCTCAGCGGAGAACGCGCAACATGGCCTAAACTCGGGCGTATCCGCAATCATTGTGCCATCGAGCTCGCACTGGACTCTGCCATCCAGAAGATGCGGGCGCGGGTTACTTTCAGTCCCAGTCCGGTGGACTTGAGGCAGCGCGGTTTGAATGACCAATCGGTCGGTTCTCTCGATAGTAGCAGTGGGCGTGGACGCATGCTGAACCGAAGGAGCTCGTACGATCAGGGACTGACACTTGCGGCACGAACCCGCCCCGGCTTGGACCGCCGGTCAATGGTAGAAGTTAGAAGAACTCGGAGCGTGTTATTTTCCGAGCAGACCCCTTCAACTAAACATGCTCTGCATGCGGCCACTGTTGGTCAGCAGTTACAAGGTCTAGCCGACAATCGTCAGTGTGATGGGCCGTACTTGGTGGATTCGGAATATGGCGAAACGGATTTGTCGTCTCCGGAACGACCCGTGTTGTCGAGGGGTGCCTCGTGGGGGTCATCACCCTATGACCAGCAGGCACAATGGAATGGCTCACAGAGCTCTCCACGCATCCGGCCGTCCTCGTCCGCTGCAGTATCGGTACCGAACATCCCTGCAAGTCCCAAGCATTGGCCATCATCCGTCCATTCTGGTGACGAGACTGTGTCCCAGGTCTCTTTTTTGAACTCGAAGACTGTTTCACCTCCTCACAGCCTGCTCCAAATGATCCCTACGATTCAAGTTGGCTCCCCTGGGACATCCACCCGGCATTCTTACGGCTGACGATGTACTTGACAACGAACTGGCTCGTCGACAGAGTACATACGTCTCTCTGGGATTCTCGGGGCGAGTTCTACACTCTCTGAGGCTGACAGTCAGGCATCTTAACGATAGAATGGAATATTCTCAGGAATACTCCAATTTGCGACGCGACGACGATCACTTGATGATTTCTTCCTGTGAATGTACATATATACCCACGCCGGTGGTGGTTGAAGTCATTGTGTCACCCACCACTTATGGTTGTTGTTGATTGCATGTGATGTTCTCCTGGTGTTTTTTGATTGCTTATACAGATGGCTAGAGAAGGTGTGAGGTAGACAGGACAGGGGATATGGCTGGCTTGCAAGAGGAGTTGGATTGGCTTGATTGCATTCCGGGTCATTTGATATGCTCACGGGGCTCTATACCCTTGCATCACAGACTGGCGTTAGCAACCGTGGTTCAACTGAAAGGGGGGGGGGGGCATTGTATACATAGATATTGCTGGTTTGCCTGGTCGAATCCATGTTGTCCTGATGACCCCTCTACTCGAATACGCAACCACATCCAGATAAACTAAACTACACATAGCCTATAGGTAGACCAGTAGGCAAGGCAACTCCCCCTCCTAGACAATTAACCAAGGAAACACTGCATAATTAGCCTGTTTCAGAACGTGCGTGTGGCCGTGTGGCATCTCGAGCTGGAACTGGGCGCTTGGCTATGCAAATGCAATGCAACTTGTGATCTAAATTTGGCATGATTGATTTGATTTCTCTTCAAAGTACCAAACAGAACCTAATTATGGCACATTCAATGATTTCAAATTCCAACCCCCTCGAATATTCACACTAATTATGCACATCCCCCGGCGAGTCCAGCAACCGTTTCTAAAAATTACCTCCCCAAAAAGCCAGTTAATCCCTGCAAAGCTTCCCATTCCTGCATCTAACCAAACTACTACTGGACCCAAGCGGTTAAGCATGCATGAATGGTTGCTAATGTTGGCAACAATACGCCCGTACTGTGTAGATCTCCCAAACTATGGGCTACTAGCATCACTCAAAGAGAGTGGCGGCTGATGGCTCGTCGACAAGCTTTTATATCCAGTCGCATCTCCTGTCCGTGCTGGACTAGGAACACGGGAGAACATCGACCTCGAGAGTTCCCATGTGTATGTGAGAACGAGATCTCTGACTGACTCGAGGAGTCGAAAAGCTTGGTGCTGTTTGACTCTGGTCTGTGCTGGAGTGTCTTCGGTCGCTGTGATAGGTGTGCCATCGCCCTCATAGTATACCTACCGATCTACTTATCATATACTTCATTTCCAAAAAAAAAAAAAAAAAAAACGGGGAGCCCATCTATATATCAACTTGACCTCTTCACAACCCCCCCCCCCCCCAAAAACAAATCCCCAAAATGACCAGCCTCTTCCGCAAACACAACACCCCCAAACCCCTCCACACCAGATGGGGCGACGTCACCATCTCGACCCCAACCGACGGTGCCTGGAACCAATACCACAACCCCCATCACCCCCACAAGGCCTACGACTACGGCCCGGGCTTCATCCCCGAACACCCCCCGCTGGCCGAACCCGCCCCGCGACCCGTGTCCTTCTCCCGCCGCCTTTCCATGCGCCTCTCCCCGCGCTCCAGGACAAGCCTCGCAGCGTCCGCCTCAGCCCGCAGAAGCGACGACTGCCAGCCGCTGCTCGACCGCGAGTCGCACTTTGCCTACCGCCCCATCCAGCAGGACTATCCGCGCGAAGTCGAAAAGGCCGCGGCCGCGGCCACTCCCAGCCCCAGCCTCAACCGGCCCTCTAGCCATCGCCAGAGCCAGACCTCGCCGCAGTTCCGGTATATCCCGGCGCGCACGCGGTATGAGGAGGAGTTCGCGCGCACCTCGCCGCGCAGCTCGTGCGGGAGCAGTAGCCTGGCGCCTAGCGAGGACGAGAACCGCCGGTTCTCGCTGTATGCGGGGCAGGAGGGTGGAGCGTGTGGTAACTATGAGAGTCCGCGCCTGTCGCCTGATTTGGGGTGGATGGTTGGCACGGCGGTGCCGCGACGGGGCTCGGCGGGCAAGAAGCGGTTTTCCACACGCCGGATGACCATGACGATGGTGCCTGATGCGGAGGATATCTATGGGTGAACTACGTCTCATCATATTTTACGTGCATGATGGTTTGGATATCTGTATTTCTTTTTTTTTTTTTTTTTTTTTTTGGCAAGCGGCATATTCTCAGGCGTTGGTGGACATGGCGGCTACTACTCTCGATATATTTCTATACGACGTTATCTGGTGTTGATGGAGCAGTATTTTAATGATAATAATGATGACCATGAATAAGCAATGAAGCATCTTTGTCTTTCTTCCGATGGGTATTAAATTGCACAAGTTCAGTTTCCTACTGGAGCTGACGTCAGGTCGAAGGCATCATCGTCTCCCGCTTCACATCCACCTTTCACTTTTTCGTTTCTTCAGTCGACGTCAGGAACAGCAGTGCCCTTCCCATTGGCGGGATGGCGTCCCTCGTGGAGGTCTCTCTTGCTAACTGGTTCAAGTACCTAAGTATGAAGTTTCTGACTCTGGTTTCAGCCTGTTCTGTCGCCTGTCCCCATCGGGATCCCAAGAATATGACGCTATGCTCACGCATGGTGCCGGATCATCGTTACAAGACCGCCCATCAGGTTATGTTATTATTCCCCCCATCCCGACTCATACCGCATACACATAGTACCCTAGATACTCCTACCAAAATCGATAATCTATAAGGATCAGAAGCAGCTGCTCAAATCCATCCATCCTGTATATCCGGCACAATGGCAGAATCCGTGGTCCAACTCAAATGTGAATGCAAGGTATGTCTTCGCAACTCCCGTATCGTGCATTCCCCATGCTAACGATAGGCTTATGGAGTAGCACGATCCTTGGGGCAAGAAGGGCAAGGATGCCCTCGTCGCCCAGTTATGGTCCAAGTCGCCCGGCTCCGAGGAGATCAAGGCGACAGAGAAGTATTCCGAGGTGAGTGCTTGCCATACCTTGTGCACAGTTGAACCGGTACTGAGGAAACAAGATGTGGATGGGCACATACCCAACAAATCCATCCAAAATCCTTGCCACGGGCGAGTTGCTCTCCGACTATCTTCAGAAAAATCCGCAGCTCGTGGGAAAATCGGTGCTGGATCGATGGGGTCCAGAGATTCCATTCCTCCCCAAGGTATGCATGCGACGATCGCAATCAGTTCCGAACACTTGTTGGTTGACAGGCAACAGATCCTATCTTTCTCCAAAGCTCTCCCCTTACAGATTCATCCCGACAAGACCCTGGCCGAGAAGCTCCATGCAACCGATCCCGAGCACTTCGGTGATCCCAATCACAAGCCTGAGATAGCCATCGCATTGTCAAACTTTGAGCTGTTTGCCGGCTTCAAGCCGCTCAGCCAAATCGAGGCTATCATGAAACTGAAGCCACTCGAGCACTTTGTGCCGTCCCACAAAACCTTTGATGACGAGCTGTTGCGGCAGATCTGCAAGGAGTTGCTGAGCACCTCCCCAGTCGTTGTCTCCGAAACGCTCAATGAACTGCAGAACATTCCTGAATCCCAATTCGGTCAGCATAGCTACATCCCAGGCATGCTGGAGAGACTCCGCAAGCAATATTCGGAATATGACAACGGGAACCTGGTCGCGGCCCTACTCATGAATTATCTCAGTATTGGACCTGGGGAGGCAGTCTGCGTTCCTGCAGACAGTATGCACGCCTATCTACACGGCGACATCATGGAGTGCATGGCACGGTCCGACAATGTCCTTAACACCGGCTTCTGCCCCCGGCCCGGGAGAGACGATGTCAATCTGTTCTCTCAAGCGCTGACATTCCAGCCCCACTCGAAGAAAGAAGTATATTTGCCTAGGAAAAAAAGTGACAAGGGTATGAATGGAAAAACCGATGAGTATGCTCCGCCATTCAGTGAGTTCAATGTACTAGCCACATGTCTCGGACCCGGTGAGAAGGAGACGCACAAGGCAATCCTAGGCCCAAGTATCATGATCGTCACCAAGGGGTCTGGGCAAATGAACGTGCCAGACGACAAGACGATCGATATGAAGGAAGGATATGTGTATTTTATCGGACAGGGAGTTGCGGTCGATTTTTCGACAGAGAAAGGCATGGCGATTTACCGACCTTACGCGGAGTAGGTAGTGTCCTCAAAGAGTCGGTCGGTCAGCCAGTCTGTCTGTCCACCAAAATGCATGATTTCCATCATCCAAGTCTCGTATTTTGGTAGTGCAATTCCTTTGCCTCTGTAGAATTAGAGCCCTTGAACAGCTCAACTGCAGAATGATGAGTCGGATTTTTCCATTCCCCCTCCCTCGTCTTAGCGCGGAGACACGGGGCCAGGGCGCCCACGACCGACCTCAAGGAACAATCTCAGCCAATGATCCGCGAACCGATACCGACTCAGGTACTATTTTGGGCGAGGAAGGATTTCAACATGCGTTTCACTATTTCACGTCCTGTTTGCCTGCATCCAAAGCAGATAAGTGCGGTCAATGAACGGTCAAACCCGTGTACCGTCAACCGACACCGTCCTCTGATTCGGTTGCTATCTTTGTCCCATGGTGCCCGCATTGCTTGATCCTCAAAATAACTTTAAGCTCAGCAATTCTGAAACGAAGGCCCGTGGGTCACGGATGAGCTTATTGACATGATAATCTGTTTTAAATCATCGCATCCCTCCTCTGATGGTCGGAGGGCACTCTCCGCACCGGGGGAAGCGCTGGTGAAGGGTTCGATGAAGCGTTTCAGGGACTTTCTATACCTCTTGCATGTATGATCAGTCGTGCACCGTCTTCGCTTCAAGAACGGCTCGACAACGACTCTCAGGATGATTCGTTCGCGTGATGACGAATCTTCAAACCCTGCCGGCTCCGATACCATGCCGGCACTCTCAACTGACACCGGAAGCTCCAACAACGTCACGCCAATCATCATCGGAGTGGTTGTGGGTGGCGTTGCAGCCATTGCCAGTAAGACTCCTATCGAGCGGTTAAATTTCCCAAAAGATGTCCTGGTACTGACGCAAGTGTGATAGTCACCGCGGGCATTCTGTTCTTCCTTTATAAAAAACGAAGATGGGATCGTATTCACCAACGCGAAGAACATCTCCTCGCATATCATGTTCATGCAGGGCTGAAAGAAACCGACGCCGAACTTGCAACGATGCCAGGGAGACCCTCCTCCTCGCTCTCCAACTATCGTGGTCCAACTGCCGAGAGCCATGACCAACCACCCGCCTATCAAAGCCTGAGCTTACCGGTCTATGACCCGTCCAGGTACAAAGATATTGATATCCCGCCCGCTGTCAAATTCGGCGCGACCAGGCAATCAACCTTCCAGCCGGTCGATAGCTCTTCTAGGGTCGGCCCCTCCCAATTGAATCCACCAGTGCAACGAGCCGATGACTTGTCGGTAGCTCAGCTATCGCCACAGCCAGGCCCATTGTTTCGGGGATCATCGCCAGAATGGCCCAGGGATTCAATACAATCCGACAGTCTTTTCGAAGTCAATGTGGCTCCCGTGGGTTCGCCATCCACGCCAGTCCAGCAGGAGCCAAGGCTCCCTCGAAGACCGAAACCGGTACTTTCGAGACTGATCACTGATCTCAATTAATGATAGCGATCGGCCATCATGACCTTTTCATGGCCGGTCGCGTTGAATGATATTTGAATAGTGTTTCCTGTCCATGGGAATGGCGTTCGGGTCGCTAGCGATGGAGTAGGGTGTTTGGGAGCTATTTTTTTTGTATGCGTCTTTTCTGGCAATGATCGAAGGGTAGCAGTAACGATGATAACGATTCCATGAATAATTTTATCCACTGAGGTTTGACCTTTGCTTCTCGTATCACTGAGTGTCTGAAGCTAACGAGCTGGATCCCAACTTCCGACTCGGTGCCCTATTTCTGTGCATTTCATTTAATTATAGCCCCCACGTCGCTGATTTGGATGAACAGTTGGCCGGCTTGATCATCCCTCCATGAAGACAACGCTGCCTCACTCCCATTATGCCCCGTGGAATAGCAATCAGCACTTTGTCTTTAGGTCAACACCAGTCGCATTGCCTGGGTGAGAAAATACGGTGCGCCGCTGGACATGGCTTTACTGGCATTGGAATCGTCTATTCCGATCTCGAGAGGTATGCGAAATCACGGGTCTCTCTGATAGAGGGAGCAAAGAAAGTTGCCAATCTCTGCGGAAGCCACAATCTGGAAATCCTGTCTCTGGCTTTTTTTTTGAAAGCCTTGAGGGACATAATTCCCATCTTGATAAACGCCTTGCGCCTGCGCAACAATGGATTGATGTCGCTCGGACCCTTTCGGCAACTTACCTGCAGGTCCCTGCACAGTATAGTCTCGACTGTATTGGAGACTGGAATGTGATTGTCCCAGAGTTGCAGCAGCTGGCGGATTTCGGGTACCTCGGAGCAACCTACTGTTGCAATTGTCTACGAGCCCATGTCCTGGAGTGTTCACTTCTCGACGTGGGAGAATGCATTGCAGCTCATCGAAGCTGTGGACCGGCCCAATTTTGGCTTACGCCTTGACAGCTTTCATCTGGTTACCAAGCTCTGGGAAGACCCATTTGCGAGATCGGGAAAGTATCCTCACGCGGATCAACAACTTGCTGCTTCCTTGCATCGCTTCCAACAACATTGTCCTCTGGAAATGATCTTTTATGTCCAATTCTCCGATAGCGAACGGTTTGATCCACCCTTTTCTCGAACCCATCCGTGGTATGTTGAAGGTGAGGCGCCTGAGTTCACCTGGTCAAAACATGCAAGACCCTTTCCATTTGAGACCGAACTGGGGGGCTACATGCCTGTCGCAGAAGTTGCGAAAGCTTGGATCCTTGAGAAAGGGTTCAGAGGATGAATATCTCTTGAAGAGTTTGATAGGCGAATGTGTGGGAAGGAGTTCAGCCCTGAGATAGCTGCGATCAGAGCTGAAGGATCATGGAAAAGACTCCAGTCGGTGATTGACCCGGCAAGTCGATTGTGAGCACTCCAACGATTGATTTGCAGCTCGATACAGAAGACTCTTGGTTTCGTGTCTGCCAGTGTCTCAGTGTTTGGAGATGGTCAGGAGTCGAAAGGAAAGAATGAAGACGGGCGTTGAATGGAGAATGATGTCGAGAGGCTTCAGCTCCTTCCCGTTTCAGCCAGCAGCGGCGGATACACAGAAAGAGCGGCTCTTGACCACCCAAAAGTGCTTAGATGCGCTCAAACTATCTCTTTTCTTCTGTTCGCGAGATCTCAGGGCAAGCTGTATCCATTCGAGACACTTCCTCTCGTTTCGTGTTCTCTTACAACTTTCCATCCTTAACCCATCCCGACATTCTCTTCAATGCATAGCGCGCTGACGGATAGTCCATCCGGGAGACCAATCATGACTCCAGTTACCATCACTGTCAGTGGCTCTTCCACTGCTTATCATCAGCCTGAACGAGCCGTTCTCTCCTTCTTGATCAAACACTCGGCCGAATCAGAAGAAACCGTCCTGGAGAATAGTAATATTACCACGACCCTTATAACGGGCACCCTCAAAGATCTTTCCAGAGAGCAGAACTATGGCTCTGAGATTGAGCCGGCCTCGGTGACAATGTTCAGTGTCGGATCCATACGAATCTGGTGGGATATGGCCGGCGACCCTCGGCGTCTCGCGAAAGCCAAACAGAGTACAAACCAGCAAGTCTACCACGCCCAGGTGAAATTCGAGGTGTGCTTTAAGGACTTCAAAGCCTTGAACAACATGTTATCTTCGTTCAGCATAGATCCAAGTGTCGAAATCTTGCGTGTGGAATGGCGACTGGCGGAGGAGACACGGCGTGTTATGGGATCCAAGGTCAGAAGGTTGGCTATGGAGGACGCAATCCGTAAAGCAGATGATTATGCCAGTGCCATTGGACGCAAAGTCACAGCGTTTGATATCGCAGACCCAGAGTGCCCTGATGATCGAGCGTACGTGGCTGCAGCCCGAATGATGTCCCGTGGAGATGGGCACGACCGTCTAGTACTCGATTTGCAACCGAAGACAATTGAGTTCAATGCTGCCGTCAAAGCAGTCTTCAAGAGCGAGTGAAATCTGGGTTGGGATGACTGTTTGGTCTTTGCGCATGCTTGAATTGAACGATTGACCGATGGATGTCGGCAGATTTTGCTCACAGCATTGTTGGAGCTTGCATGGCCTTTGGAATAGCGTTTCTGGAGATTTCTTGTTGCTTGTAGTATCACTCGCTTGAAGTATTAGGCAGTATAGGATAGTTTTTGGTTCCAAGCATTAGAAAATAATTGGTTTACCCATGGGGTATCCTGGACCTAGGCTACAAGACAATCTGTGTGGTCTGATACTATCTGCTGTTTACTTCATCTAAATATCTTGTCCTAGTTCGACTGTGTGTTGGTTGGAGCTACCAAGCCTCAAGTGACGAAAGTTGGTCGAGTTGAGCGTACCGTGATATATATTGCTCTATCTTGGACAAAAGCATTCTTGGATGTTAGTAATTCTAGGTAACATACGAGTGCGCTTTCCTTACTACGCGACCGCCTGACGGGATCAATGTCTTAAGAAACAGTTTAAGCCGTGTGTGAGTAGCATGGAAGAAGCATACCGTGCTTTTGTTCTATCGAGTAGAAGCCTGTGTCCATCTCGCTGTACCTGCCCGAAGTCAGATAGAGCCTCCCTCCCTCCAATCAACTACGTCGGTCACTCCATGGATGCTGAGGATTTGACATGCCCGGAAATCTCCGGATAAGCTGTACTCCGTAGATACAGCGAGCCTACGGAGTAGGTAGGTACCTAGTCGATCATGGCTTTATGCTTTTAGCCGAGGATGCCGGTAGGACTGGTATCTAGCTGTCAGTTATGCCATGTTACATCGACTCGAGTTGTGGAGAGCCAGGTACTTCGAACTCCGTCCACGCATCTAGATTCAGATTGTCGATCCCAGGCGGATGGGCGTTATATACCAATGATTTGTCAAAAGTCAATCACATCCTTGGCTCTCGCAGTAGTATTCCCTAGTCTGAATGCAGCCGTGGAGCTCAGACAGACGCAACGCGCCGATGATGGAAATTCGAAGATCCGGGCTGTCTTTCCTTCCGGCCGAAGCGAATCCTCCAATCATTCGTGGTGTCTTGCTTGCAATGATATGCAGGGAAACTCGATGCGTATGGATTGTTGTTTGGAGGAGAATGGGGTCAATCTGATAGACGGGGCAACCACAAGACCTCGCGATGATATTTCATAATAATAACACACGAATTAATCATGTTAACCCCGTCAAGGACGGGCTCCATCACGGCGCGTATTTAAGCTCTGTGGATGGTGCGATGCCAGACTCCATCGACGGACTGCGGGACGATCAACCTTGTGCTTGTTCGCGTCTCAACCAACGATACGACGTCCAAATAATCGCCGAGTGTTGGTTCCAGGGTTCCATTGTGAAGATATCCAACTTGACTTTTCTTCGTGCTGTGGAGGAGCGAAAAAAGGAGGAAGAAGAGAAAGACGGAAGATGCTGAACTGCTGATGCTGATGCACTATCAACCTTAGACACTCCATTAGTGGGAAAAGCAAAAGGAAACCCCACCTATGGGAGACAGAAGAGCCTTTCGTGTGGCCTTCCTGTCTGAGGATAGATCATAAGGAAGAGCTTCATGTCTTGCCCCCCCTCCTTTCCTCTCTAATCATCCTTGCCATCACCAGTCGTTCATTCCGATAACAGATTGCTATCACATTGAGGATACTAGGTCTTGGTTTTTCTTTTACTCGACAATTATGGGGGCAAAAAGACATGAACACGTCCATAGCAATAACATGGTTCTCCAGCTGGTGTGGGTGTGGGTATGGGTGTATGTCGCTGCTGGTCAACATCAACACGTACTCCGTACGTACAGTGTACGCATCTTCACTCCATCAGTATGTAGATCTACGCTACGCTGTACTTTTTCCCTTCGTATGTCGCCATTTGGCCCCTTTGATCCGTTATCTATCTAGATAGTTGATACAGAATCGACCGTGATAGCGAATGTAGCTGGCTATTCTTCGTCGTAGCAGTCAGTATCTAGTCAGTACCTAGTCAGTACACCCTGTACTGGCATCCATCCGTGGAGTGCTCAAGGCTTAATTGATTCATCTGAAACTTCCTGATCCTTCTTCGAGCATGATGTTGGTGAGCAAGCGCCACGCCAAGAAGACGGACATCTGCACTGCGTCGTTATGTGCAACCTAGTCGACCAACATCCATGATCGCTTGGCTGCTTCAGCAAGTAAGGTGACTACGCCGCAATTTGTCTCGGTCTGTCTCTCTCTCTCTCTCTCTCTCTCCCTCTCTCAGATTATTGTCTCAAGGAGTCTCCGTTATCCACCGGCCGTATACCCCTCTCGTTTTTCACTAGTTACCTGGACGCCAGGCACTGTAGCCTGCTGTCCTCCCTTGTCAGAGGGTGTTCTGTTCGGGTTCCAAAAGCCAGTCACCATTCGCCATTCTTCGTCCCGCTCCAAAACCGCCGCGATGCCCAAAGAAGATCTTCCTGGGAAATTTCCCAAGTGGCGCTCTGTTGACCTTCACCTGAAAGGGGGGGTGAACCAGACTGTCGGGTCCGTAATGCGTCTTTGTCTCGCATGACTCCCGCCTGGAATGCCGTCTATTGAAGCAGACTTCTTCAGCAGATCCTCCTTCTCGGATCATCGCACGGGAAGATATGGGACTGTCTTTTGGTCGTGTCGATGGATGTGTGATGATATATCCTTATTCAATGCAGACTGCTGGCCGTTCAGTCTCACTCCTATATCCCCCCTACCTGATTGCCTAACATCCTTTTGACTGGATTGTGGAAGTTTTGGTAGGAGTGGCCGATCTCTCTCCCTCTCTCGCTTTTTTTTGTTTTTTTTTCCCTTCATCGCGGTTATCAGGTACTACGACCTGGATGTCCTCCAGGCTTGGTATTTCTTGTCTCTCGTTTCTTGTCCAGGAGTGTTCCCTCTCTTAGGCTACATTCGATGAGAACTCCCCTCGGAATCATGACAGCACTTGTTAGAAAATTGCGAAGGAAGCGCAAGGTCTCCTCTGAACTCCATTCAAGGTGGGGGGATGTGTCAATCACGTATCCCAACGAAGGCTCGTGGAGCCAGTGGGAGCAGCAGTCTGCGATTGACATCCCGCCTGCCTCTGAGATGTCCTCACAACCGCACAGAAGGCACAGCTCTCCGGAAAACAATCATCGACGGAGCAGGTCTTCTCAACCTGAGCCGAGTCCATCCCACGGGAATACAGAAGAGCGCAAATCTTCCGTAGACTCTGCGATGACAATCCCCACAGGGTACTACGACGCGAAGGTGCGAAACCGATCGAAGAAGTCACCAACACAGATCGTCACAGAGTGTCGCGGGCCATGCGAGCAGCCAAGCTTTGCCCACCCATGGGATGATCTTGATTCCAGTGACGAAGCCAATGAAGATGTCATGCCGGCACCCAAGGGTTCTGCCGAATCGCGTGTTGAGCCAGGACTGATACGTTCCACGAGTAACACCTATATCGACCCCTTCAGTCGAGTACCAAAGTCGCCGCCACTATCTGTCACCTCACGAATGCGTCGCTGTAGCGAACATAGCACCATCACCGAGTTGACAACGTCCATCTCGGGGACAGCGAGCTCTAAGCATACGAGCTTCACGTCTTCCGTCCCATCAGTGCCTTCCGAAGACCCCCGGAACCTGTCATGTTCTCCCTTCCATGAGAAGAAACTCGCTCGTCGTTCAAAGCCCCGCGAACCTGAATCAGTTCGCGGTCAAGAACTGGTACCATCGTATGATGAGCTCTACGGGTAGCCATTGTGCTCAATCTTCATCTCCATATCTGGATTTTACTCGTCGATCCCAAGGTCTGGGGCAGTAGCAATTTCGGCTGGAGGATGACCTGTTTTGCCTTCTTTCCCTTTTCTTCTCTCTCCCTTTTTTTTTTTTTTTTTTTTACGACAAATACCTTGATGATCATGATTAATTAGTATCGTTTGTGCCACCAGCGAGAAAACGTCGGATATACACCTTGCATTGTGGCGTCTTATCTATTTGTCAGGGAGGCTTCACTGTTGATTTGCTGAAACATGCACCTTCTTCTCTTTTTTCTTTTCTTTTCTTTTTTTTTTTTTTTGTTGTTTTTTCTTCTCTTTGACTCGCAGACTGGAGACTTAGATAGTCGTCGGCGAGTGTTCATCCTGTACGAATCAGTTAGGGGCAGGCGGGTTTCCTGATCATTCCTTAACATAGCTTGACAAGATTAGTTCATGGAAAAACTACTTTTTTCATCACGCCATCGTTAATAATGATGAAGCTGCGTTGCAGGGATGATTCTAGGTGTAGGCGGCTAAGGGACAGCAGAGAGATGTATGTCTACGTGCAATACGGAGTATCTTCGGCACTATATTTCCGGGTGTAAACAATGGGAAGTTGGCAGACAATCCACACGGTGTTGGTCTATCTCGTCTGCAGCTAATTCCCTGATGTATCTTCCCTCCAATCACTATTCCCAGCACGAAGCATGAGAAAATCGTCACTCGAATCCATCGAACATTAATGACAATTAAGACACTGAATGAGGGGTTAGCTAGTCATCCGCGAATCAGGCATCTCACGCGGTCACGCCAGGACCAACGCGAGCCGAAGAGCAACAACCTGCAGGGCCCATCACAGTCACATCTCCAATCCCTCATCACGCTTGTCACACAGCACAGGCAACTCTCTCTGCTCCCCGAAACCCTATCGCGGCCTCCAAATGGCCACGGAGCAACGCCACTGGGCGGCTGCTGGCCTCATCACCAGCACCCGGTCCCGTTAGTGCCTCGACCATTCGTGGAGGGGAACCAGCTGGTCCAGTCTCTCAGCCTCTTTGCCCTCTGTGAGCGCGTTGCTTAGCGCCCAGAGAAACACTATTTGCTCATGGTGCATGCTTGATTGTACTTGTCTAGCTTCTGTGCTGCGAGGGGGTTCCCAAATTCCTGAACCCTGTCAAAAGAGAGGGAAAAAAAAAAAAAAAGGAACAAAGGTCGATCATGCTGGTCAACTTGTGGTGGTGCAGCTTGCGTCCCTCCGCCTGGTCGGGCCCTTATCAATCCAAGAGTAGGACGGAATAGCAAGATGTCGAGCTACAGCGGAAGGTGACCCCAAAGCATAGTGATCTACTTGTTGTCGCTTTCGCTTCGCTGATTACGGTTTCTGGTTGGTTTTACGGACTTACTGCTCTGCCATTTTGTTTTCCGATTTCTGTGCTGTCAATTCGATGCTTGGCTGTTGAACTCACGACGTGATCGCTTTTGCTTCCTCTTGAGCCGTTGTAAAGAACGAGAGACTGGTTATCGTGGGATCTAGGACTTGGCTTAGTTCTGGCACAAATAACGAGATGCTCGGTTGGGGGAGTCCAAGGCCAAAAGCGACGTCGCTTCTAACAGCGGCTGTCCTGCTCTTCAGTCACCTTGCTCCTGTGGTTGTTGGACTGAGGACGGCGCCAGGTTCACCGTGTGCCAGCGTCTGCAACAAATCATCATCCAACACCACAGGGTCCGAGATTGTTTGTCTCGACCAGCAATATCGCGACACCACCAAAGGGTACGATTTTCAGGAATGCCTGGAGTGTCAATTGCAAAGCAGCTATAGCGATCCACATTCCGGACAGACGGACTTGAATTGGGGACTTTGTATGTATACTTGACGTCCTGGTGTTGAGGAGGCAGGCCAAATACTGACGAGAGCCGGCAGACAACCTCCGATATGCCTTCAGCAGCTGCGTGTACGGATATCCTGAGCAGGTCACTAATAATTCTTCTCCCTGTGTGGTTTCGTGTCAGCCATTAGACTCAGCGCTTGAGTTTGACTTGGTAGATCCCAGCGGTGTCAACTTCGATACCTGGTGCAGTGCATCGTCGTTTGCCGACAATTTGATCAGCCAATGCGAGTTCTGCTATAATTTGACCGGCAATGGGACCGATTCGCAGGTCTATCTCTCCAACTGTGCGTTTAGCTCCCTGTCTTGTGCTTCACCATTGCTCGGCATTCACTGACAAAGTCGTGATCTTTTGCAGTTTTGGAAGCCGCTCGATACAACTGCCATTTCCGAACGCCTTCTGATAGGGCGTTTCCCATCAGCCCAAGCCGAATCTTTAACGAGACCATGCTGCCGCAATCGACTGTCGATCTCATCTCGCCCTCAGCGGCTGCCAATTCAGGAAGCAGTCATCTGGCTCTGGTCATTGCACTCCCGATCCTGGGATTCGTGATACTCCTGTGCGTGCTGGCAATAGGCTGCTTCTTCTGCATTCGCTGGCGCCGCAAGAAGGCGCGCCAGAATCATCGATCGAGCCATCTTCATGCACGATGGAATGATACCACCATAAGCACTCCAGCTCCCGGGACATGGGGCGAGTACTCTCCTCAAAACGGCGTGTACAATGCAGCGATTCATCCTCCAGGTCAAGGGACCGGCTTCAACTTTATTGATACAGACGGCCGTAGTCAGGAGGTGGGATTCTCAAAGTCCAATTATGCGGAGGTCACGCAAGCCCCCGTGACAGTTCCGGCGGCGACGCATTCTCCAGAGCACGAGAAGGCATACGAAACTCATACATACTTCCCGGATCGCACTGGTTCGCCACCACAGAAACAGTGAGCTATGACCTCGTATATAAGAGTTGTCGTCGTCGTCCTCGTCGTTCTTGTCTGCCGGTGAGCCCCTTCCGATTTATCCAGTCATGTCGAGAGGGTATCGGTGCTATGAGTACTTCCCGTCCGGTTCCAGAAGAGGCCCTGTGCTTGGTGAAGTTATATTGGCGAAGACCCTCTAGCACAGTTGTCGATGATGAGTCGGCCATCCCCATGCATAATAGTCGTCCACGATGTTCCATGATGTTGATATACCCCTCCTTTATATTGTTTGCTTTCACTCCTTCTTCCAAACTTGTTCGAATGTTCCAGCATATCATATCGTGGTGTTGTTTGTGTTGATAGTCCAGGTGGGCTGACCAGTTGTCCATATATCTGCATTAGTTGACGAGCACGAAAACCAATCCACATGAATTCTCAAAGAACAATCTTAAAAAAACTTGTCAGAATCCATCGCCTATTTATACCATTGCCTTCTGGCTAAAAATAAGGTCGCAATCAGCGAACCAGCCCCCCTCCCTTGGCTGAAGGATCGGTATGAGTATGGGCGTCTATCTAAAAATAACCACAGGATCGGGTCAATGCCCAGGATCAGCAGCAATGGCTTCTCTGGTGTTTCTAAGAATGGAACGATTATGGATTCAGAACCATGGACGAGAGATACGAAAAGGCCAATCATGGAGGACGGACATGCTCAGGAAGACTGTCGTGGGTGCTGTTGTGGTTGTGATGGCGATATTAATAGCCATGGTGTCGTATCCCACAGAGGGCAAGAGCGCAGACTGCAGAGTGCATGCAGAAATTGAAGGAATGGAAGGCTTCAGACGACGGTAGGAATTCAGAGCAGGAGGCTCAAGGGACAATTAGTCGTGATTGTTGAGATTAATTGACATTATGGATGATTCTGTCCTTATCAGTTGTCGTAGCTGTAGTATTGCACCCTTGAAGTTTGTGGGGTTGAGCATCCCGATCTCTCCACATGAAGCTTCCAAACAGCCTCATGGAACTTCCATTCCGATCTTCTTCTTCAACAACCAATCACCACCAAACCTCCACCCTCGCGGCGCCAGCAGCATAGAAAAGTCATTCTTCACGAGAATTAACCACCTAAAATGGCGTCTCCTAGTCAAGATCAAATCAAAGTCCTCGAACAATCGCGCCAGCGTCTCGTCCAGCTCACCCGCTCCCTGGGCTCCCTCATCGGCAGCTTAAACCAAAGCGACCCGCTGCCCTCATGGTACGTCTCACCCTCCAAACCAGCCGGAAAAACACATCAATCATAACTCCTACGCTCGAAAGCCAAACCTAACCTAACCCGACCCAATCGCAACAGGTCCTCGCTCCAATCCCAAGCAAGCATCATCTCAAACAACCTCCTCAGCGTCTCCGAACACCTCTCTGACAACTGCGACCTCCTCTCCGCCCTCGTCGCCTACCCAGGCCCCGAATACCCCGGGCGCACGCAAGCCTCCACCCTCGAGCAGCTCCTGCGCACAAAGCTTGACCCCCGCATCGAGGACTGGGTCGCGCGCGGGCGCCGCGCGGGCGCCTCCGCGCTCGAAGACAAAGACGCGCTCAGCGAGACGGAACTGGCGGAGTTGTGGGACTGGGCGCCTGTCGAGGCGAACCAGGAGGCGCGGAGGAGGAACTGGGGTGGTGATTATACGCTGGAGGAGAGGGAGATGGGGATTCAGAATGTGGTGACGGGGTTGCGGAGGCAGTTGGAGGATGATGAGAGGGATGAGGATGAGGATGAGGATGATGAGGAGGAGGAGGAAGGGGAGGGCGAGGATGAGGAGATGGAGGTTGTTGGCGTGCGGCGCAGGTCGGATGCAGGAGCTGGGTTGGGGTTTGATACTGCGGTTCCTACGCCGGCGTCGTCGCAGCAGGTGCAGAAGGGGGCGGGTCCAGTGGTTCCTTTGGACGATGTTCTACGATTTATGACTACGGGAACGCTTCCGCAGCAGCGATAATAGGTTGAAGAATGGCAACAACATGGCTTCCGTGGCATTAAAAGATTGTATTTTAATTGAAGTGTTTTGATCGAAAGAGTCAGACTACCATCCAATCTAACCCCGTCTGCGTGTGGTGGGCGACTTTGCAGAGGGCCTGGGCGAAATTCCGGAGCTCTCCACGGCTGGGATCTTTTCCACTGGCCTGGACACCCGAGGGGCCTGCTTCTCGGGTTGCGCAGGGCTCTTCCAGTAGTAGAGCATCTGCGCCGCCAAAACAACGTTGAGGACGAATCCAGCAATGAATCCGTACAGAATAAGCTTGTCATCAACTTCCTGCAGCGTGGTGAAGATCCGAGAAAGGGAGCCGACAAGGTAGTTGAAGACCTGTGCATGGTCAAAGTCAGTGGTGTGTCAAACATGTGATCAGAAAAGGAAAGGAATCCATACCGCAAAGGCACTCAGCTGTCCGGTTCCTCCCTCGCTCCAGATGGTATAGATTTGGGGGGCCTTGCTTGCAATGCTCAAAGCACCAGCGCCAGCCTGCAAGTACGACATCGTCTGCGCATCCACCAGGGTCTGGTCGAAGAGCAGGGCGTACACACTGGCAGCAACCACCGCGATGAAAGCTGCTGCTGCCGTAGGACGATCCGCAAAGCTCAGAACCAAAACACCGACAACAACATCCTGCACCGCAATCAAAGCCGACTCGCCGTATGTGCTGAAAGGGAACTGGTTGCGCACTCCATAAGAGAGAGTGATCAATAGACTGGCCGTTTCAAGGGCATATGAGACGAAGGACACGCCGACAGATGATCGCGAACGGATGAGCTTCAGAATTTGGGGAACTTTGACGATGGCACTAGCGCCCACAATCGCAATTCCCAACGCCTTGGAAATAGCAAGGGAGGTGCACGAAGGATCCTTGGTCACATCAAGGTCGAGGAGGAGGGCACTGTGGCATGAAGATCCGACTAGGGAGATGATAGCATCGTGGACAGGCTGCGGGAGGGCCGACGAAATGGGACGGAGGATGGGCTGAAGAGGGTGAATAACGGCCTTCTGTAAAGTATCCATGATGAGAGACAGAGATACAGGGATCCTTTGCCGATAACCAAAAACTATGATTGAGGATGCTTATCCCGATCTTTATTTTTGCGTGGCATTGTATTGTATTGGCGGTCATTGCTGCGCTTCTGGTCTCTGCGGCCCGCCGAAGAATTTCGGCCCCAAACAATCAGCGAGTTCTCGAGCGGAACGATTTGAATCTCACATTAGTCTCACTGGGATAGTCACACCCTGGAGCAATTGTCTCCGTCCATGTTGATTCCGTCATGATTCTTCTCCGGTCCTCACTACTGAGGCCTGGGTCGACTCGAGATTCCGCTCGTCTGTGCTCGAAATGTTTCCTGCGCGTCTCTCACCCCCAGCGACCCGCCGCAGCCCGCAGCTTTCTCTCTTCCTCCCGGCCGCCGACTGGGATTGCTGATCGTGAATCACCTTCCTTGACTGCTCAGAAGGCATATTTCTCTGCCAACCGCACAACGGATAGCTTGTCTGCGAAAAATGGCCTTTTGGCATCCTTGTCTGACGCCCATCCCTCCGCCCAACCGAGCCTCAAAACTACACCAACAGAGAGTGCGGGCTCCTCAGGGCCCGTCTTGTCCGAATCTACAACAGAAGAATTACCGCATCGTCGGAGGAAACGGTTAAAGGAAGAACTGGCCAAAAATGATGACACAGAAAGCGTCATTCCCCCGGATGCCTCGTCACAATTGTCCTCTCTCTCCTCCGCACTTCCCGCAACCTCCCTCCGTCGCAAGCTGGCCGCGTTTCTTGCTCTCACGAAACCGCGTCTCTCGTTCCTGATTGTATTGACGACCACATCCGCATATGGGATGTATCCTATCTCCTCTCTCCTTACTCTCGATCCTTCAATGACCCCTCTCCCAACCCTCTCAACCTCGACATTGACCTTTCTCTACTTGACCGCGGGGACGTTCTTGTCGTCGTGCAGCGCCAATACTATAAATATGCTGCTGGAACCCAAATACGACGCACAGATGTCGCGAACCAAGAACCGACCGCTGGTCCGCGGACTCGTCTCGACCCGGGGGGCTATTTTCTTTGCGATTGCGACGGCTGTTCTCGGTCTCACTCTGCTATACATCGGAACGAACCCAACGACTACCGCTCTGTCAGCGAGTAACATCTGTCTGTATGCCTTTGTATATACACCGCTGAAGCGGATATCGGTCATCAACACTTGGGTCGGTGCCGTCGTAGGAGGCATTCCTCCCTTAATGGGTTGGACCGCTGCGGCAGGTCAAACAGCGACCACAGGTCACGATAGCTGGCAAGATATGCTCTTCAGCAAGGACAGCATTGGTGGATGGCTGTTGGGTGGTATTCTCTTCGCGTGGCAGTTCCCCCATTTCAATGCCTTGTCCTATACTATCCGTGAAGAATACAAAGCCGCCGGGTACAGGATGCTCGCATGGACCAATCCCGCCGCAAACGCGCGTGTCGCGCTGCGATACTCAATCATGATGTTCCCGATCTCCATCGGGCTGTGGTGGGTAGGCGTGGTCGGTCATGGTTTCCTGGTCGGCAGCACCGTCGCCAATGGCTGGCTGGTGAAGGAGGCCTACCGATTCTGGCAACATCAGGGTGCCAACGGTAGTGCTCGAAGTCTCTTCTGGGCTAGTATCTGGCAGCTTCCGATCCTCCTTGTTGGCGGTCTGGTTACCAAGAAGGGTCTCTGGGACGGTGTCTGGAACAACATCTTCGGCCAGCCGGAAGAAGATGAGGGCGAGTTTTTGTACTATGAAGACGAAGATGAGGAAGTGGAAACGAAAAGCAGCTCAGAGCTTCAGAAACCGAGAAGCTCATGACGATTGGGGTGGATTGGGCTTCAGCTCGGCTCCTTGAGCGAATCGCAGGACACCCTGCTGTACTTCAAGCATCCGTTATTTATACTTATTTTTGTTTAGGTGGCTGGCGTTATTGTATAACAGCTTCATTGATTTATGCCTACGTGAGTTGCCTTCAACATGTAGAATAAATATAAAATCGGATAAGTCGATTTCGATCAAACTCGGATGGACCTTCTGCCATGTCGAAATTGAAATCGAACTATTAATCTTGAACCGAGAGTTGAATCATAACTATTCTATATCAAGGCGATTCCTGTTATACAGAGGATTCGGCATGGGAAGATACTGGGTATCATGTCTATACTAATGTACAAGTTGAGCAGACAGCTATCATCAGCGGTTCCTAAATGAGTCCCTTTCGTCCCATGTCCATCTAATCATTCATCCCTCAAGTGAAGATGGTATGTCTCCAACGCTTCCTCCGTCATCATACTAGGTGCCTTGACCATAGCATCCTCACCACCCTTACCAGTTTTGGGAAAGGCAATGACATCCCGCACAGACTCCTTGCCCAGCATCACTGCGACAAGCCTGTCGAACCCAAGCGCCAGTCCAGCGTGTGGGGGACATCCAGCCCGTAGCGCATCCAGTAAGTGCGAAAAGTCAGCAAGCCTTTCGGGCCGCATCTGGAGGATATCTCGAAGGATGAACTCCTGCACGGCGGCGTCGTGGATACGCCGACTTCCACCACCTAGCTCGACTCCATTGACCACGAGATCATAATGGTCGGCCACGGCTTTGGTTGGATCGGTCAGGAGTAGGTCAACGTCTGCGGCAGTCTTCGGTGCGGTGAAAGGATGGTGCGTGGATGAAATGCCTGCAGCACCACCCTGGCCAGGTTCTGAATCGCTCGAGGGCGAGAAGAGCGGGAAGTCCACAACCCACATAAAATCATATCCGGTGGGCGCAGGCTTAAAGCCAGAAGTAACCGCGGCGGTGTGAAGGGCACGGCGAAGGTCGCCGATTGGGGTGGAGCCGCCAGCGAAGGGTGCCCTCTCACGGGCTTGAATCACGATCAAATCACCGTGATCAGGATCAAGAAGTTCCTCAATATGTTCCGCAGCTTCAAAACCGAACGGCTGTAAGCCGGAGAGGGGTTTCTTCGCATCGTAAATGAAAATTCCGGGGCCACCTTCGGGATTGTTGTTGAATGGGGCACCAGCTGGGGAGTCGAGGAATTGGCCAATGAATTCTGAAGCCGCAATTGGATCATTGTCGTTGCCTTCAAATTTGAAAGCTTCTATGATTGGATCAACCAAAGGGGTAATCTTGTTGACAAGATCAACGGGCAGAAGATAGTCAATCCGTGATATCTCCATTCCGAACCTCGTGTCAGGCTTGTCGGAACCATACCGGCTCATGGCTTCCTGATATGGCATTCTCCGGAACGGACCAGATGGCGCTGTATCTTTCATTAGGGAGGACCAGAGTCTGCGAATGATCCCTTCAACGGTCCTCATGACGTTCTCTCCGGTAGAAAATGACATTTCCATATCAAGCTAAATGAGCTAGTGTTAGCCGGAAGGACAATTTCGAATAGGGAAGGGGGACAGGAGAAAATAAGTGCAGAGATTGGGTACACACCTGTGTAAATTCAGGTTGTCTATCTGCCCGCAGGTCTTCATCGCGGAAACAGCGTGCAAACTGGTAGTATCTTGGTATTCCACTGGCCATGAGAATCTGCTTGTACTGCTGGGGGCTTTGCGGCAGAGCGTAGGCTAGGCCGCGCCTTCGAGTCGGCACTAGAAACTCGCGAGCGCCTTCAGGTGTAGACTTGAAGAGGAGTGGCGTTTCAATTTCGACAAAAGGAGGCCGACATTCTTCAAGTTCTTCCTTGCAAATATTGCGAACTTGAGCACGAAATCGCAGCGCATCCCGAAGTTCACTATCGGAGCGCAATTGTAGATATCTGTGCTCGGGGGCAAATGTAGTATCCTGAGTCATGATAATCTCTTTTGGAAACTCATTCAGTGGGTCAATTTCAGTGACCTGGATTTCCCACGAGTCCAATTGTTCGACGTCAGATCCCTTTGACTTCTTGGGCTGGACTATGCCCCGCACCGCAACTGGACTGTTCACATTGATAGACTTCAGCTTTTCTAGAGGGCTATTCTTGGAAAACGAGACTAATTGAATTGTATGCTTCATGGTGGGATCTGTCAGGCGCACGAAGGATAGCTTCTTGGAAAGGTCCGAGCGAGTGCCAAGATATCCATGAAGGACAACCTCCTGGCCAGCGGACGCATTGGCAATGAAGGTCTCGAAATCATTCGTTGCCGAAGGAAACTCAACTATTATATATGATTCGTTAGTATTCAGACTCAATAGAGAGCGGACGACGAGAACAGAGAGCATAGAAGCCCTCGCCTAGCAAAGGTATACATACCGGCCTTCTTGTATTGTTCCAGGAACGCTGGGGTCTCTGGCTTACTCGTCTGCTGTTCCAGAAGGCATTGTCTTTGGTGAAAGCTCCTGGCCAAAGAAGGTTTTTGTAAATCAGTCCGCAATCCCGTTGACCGGCTGCGGAGGTAATTGGAGATTTCGATGTAGCTTGCGCGGAGACGAGTATAACGTCCCGCGTTGCTAAGAAACATTCTGCGTTGGGTCTGAATCACTATGTACAGCTGCAAGAAACGCGCCCGTCGGGGAGGAAAGAGCAGTAACCGCCAATTGATCTCTCGTTGAAGTCCGCGGTGGACTGACACTGCAACTGATCTCCGCATACTTGAAGATATCCCGAAGAGGTGGCAGAATCCTCCCGCCCGTCCAATTAGGACTAGTGCAATATAACCCACTACAAAAACAAAATCTTTGAGATCCGCAAGGCTTGTCTTGCTTCTTTTTTTTCTTCATCCTTCCAAGTTTTATAACCGTAAGTGGGAACTTCCACGCATATTCCTTCAGGATTTGCTGCTAACATATTTTCCAGATGATGAAAGCCTAGTGTGTTATATTTGATTTCATCTCTCCTCTTTGAGCCTGGCGGGCTCTCCCCTCGGGGCTTAAGGGCTGCTAGATTCGAGATGGAGGGAGGATGAAATATGCGTTCGGCACACCTCCTTGTTACTTGACGGACGCGATGAAGGCATCTCTGATCCAATATACAACTTGGTGGTGTTTCTCCTGACGGAGCTGGTGAAATCGTGCCATAGGATCCTAGAAATGTGCAATAGTCCCGTAAAGGGCTCTGTTGTATACTGATGATAGGAATCTGTACGCATCAATACACCATAATATTACATAGATCATTAACTCTGTTGCATATATGTTGGATTGCATTTCTTTGTAGTGGTTCATCTAAACACCTTTCCCGGGTAGACTTGTATCGTATCTTCGCAAGGTTTACATCTCGATCTAGGTGCAACGCAATCCGAATGGCCTCCTACTTAGCCATCATTCATTGTCCGCTAACAGCAAGTCTGGATCTTCGTCGGTGTCGAATTGTACACTCTCGACCACTCTGTAGCAAAACAACGAATTGGAAATATCTCCGCATCAATGATTTTCCGTTGGGGAGATGCTAGCGTTGACCATCCTCTTATCGTCGGAGATAGAAGGAAATTCTTCTGTCCCGAGCTCAGATCATACAACCAATCCCAACCAAACTATTTCGGTTCGCAGTGATTGATTGTCGCTGTCCGGTCCCTTCGATGAAGCCACATCTACGGACTTTGCCTTGTGCCGGGCGCCTGCGCACCCCGACTATTCTTCCCTCAGTCCGACAGACAGTACATGGTGCGCGCAGCTATGTGCGGACTTCGGAGAATGCGCGGACAATCTTGATCAGCTCTCGAGCAACCGGAGCGACATCGCCCCATGTCTTGGAGCAGAGAAGATGTATAACACAGAAGCACATACAGAAGATGAAGGAAGGGAAGGAGCAATGGCACCAATGGGCGCGGCAGATCAAGGCTGGAAAGCGAAAGAGCTTCATCCGACACCTGGAAGAGAGAGGACTGATTCATGATGTTGTCGGGTGAGTGGGCGCATAATCCATGCTTCTAATCCCATTTGCAAACCAGAGAACCTGGCTGATCGCAAGCTCGTCTTGAGAGTGTAGTGAGCGTGATCTCCTGGAGCGGATTTTCACTGAGAAGAGAGCTGGAATATATGTGGGAATAGATCCCACCGCTCCCTCATTACATGTTGGTCATATGCTGCCATTTATAATTCTGGCGTGGGGCTATGTATGGGGGTTGCCCGTCACCTACTTGGTCAGTACCTTTCTCGCGGCGTAACTTCGAATTCTGGCATGAATTGTTGCAGCTAACAGAGCATAGATTGGTGGAGCTACTTCGAAAGTCGGCGACCCAACTGGCAGATTGAAAGGAAGGGAACAGATGAATGCTTCGGTCCGAAAGGCGAACATGGCGAATATGCATATGCAACTGAAGAAGCTAGGCGTCAGTGCGGAACTGTACGGCGTCGAGCACGGATACAAGAAAGAGAGATTCTGGAAGCGCGCCTTGGCAAACAACAGCATATGGTGGAATGGTACAGCCTTTATAGATGTCCTTCGGGACCTAGGCAACCATGTGCGACTGGGTCCAATGCTGGGTAGAGAAACGTGAGTGCATATGCCGTTGTCCGCTCCTCGAACTTGGGTGGAAGTCTAACGTGACCGACATACATAGTGTCAAGAATCGGCTGGCCAAAGGTGATGGCATGTCCTTCGCCGAGTTCTCCTACCCTCTGATGCAGGCATGGGACTGGTGGGTTCTGTTCAGGAAAGGTGTCCAGGTGCAAGTTGGAGGCTCTGACCAATACGGGAATATTCTCTTTGGAATGGAAGCCGTCAAGATGATTAGCAAGAACACCCCGATTGAGGAGGATCAGAATCCTTTGGAAGATGATTTGGATAAACCCATCGGCTTCACCACGCCACTCTTAACCGCGCCGAATGGCGAGAAATTTGGCAAGTCTGCTGGAAACGCTGTTTGGCTTGACAAGGACATGACTTCTACATTCGAGCTGTACCAGGTATGGTCTACTGGATCCCTGCGTTGTGATTCCGGGATCACTACTAACATTGGAATAGTTCTTCGTTCGGACTCCAGATGATGTTGTGGAAAGCTACCTGAAGATGTTCACCTTCCTGCCTCTTCCTAAAATCGCCGAGATTATGGCAGAGCAGATCCAGGACCCCTCGAAGCGAGTTGCTCAGCATACCCTGGCCCATGAATTTTTGTGGCTGGTTCACGGAAAGAAAGAGGCGGATGCAGTAGCCACGCAACATCGTCAGCTCTTCCGATCACGTACATCCACGGCCGAGCCTACTCCACTTCCCAAAGTATCCAGCCCGCCCAGCAGCCATGCAAATTCTCCAACCGCAGGCTTCGTCAATCCCCAGTCTGGAAATAAGTACGCCCCCCAGACCAACTTCGCCAACATGGGAAGCCCTCATGTTACTCTACCTCGCTCCCTTGTCTTCAACCAGCCATTCCACAAGATCCTCTGGCATGCGGGATTGGTCGCGTCGAAGAGCGAAGGGCACCGGATCGTTGCCAATAAGGGAGCTTATGTGGGAAGCCGCCCTGGTGACAGTGGGCCCATGTCTGACGACCTGGCATTCACGCCTATTGAGACATGGCTCCCCGAAAAGACGGAGCAGTATATCATTGACGGGGAGCTTTTGCTTCTCAAGCTTGGCAAGTGGAAGTTCCGGATTGTCAAGATCATCAGTGACGAGGAGTTCAAGGAGCGTGGGCTCACCGCGCCTGGCTGGGAACCGGAGAGGTCGGAAGCTGAATCGGAATCGGACGCCCAAAAGAAAGCTAACGAAAAGTCGGCTTGAATCCACTCAAAATCCTGTATTATTAGATAGACCTGTAAATATACCTGTGATATATATCTCTGATTCAAAGCCCGTTGTTTCAGTCTTGTAGCGCCACCATTATGCAAGTAAGACCATGGTAGTATCCGACTAGGAAAGCCCAAGGACAGTTAGCTCCATCTATGCAATAATGCACTTCGAATCATCATAGCCGGACTCTTCATGTGATGCTATTGATGGTATTTTCTTTATCCAGCTCTGGATTGGAGCTCTTCAGCTGAATGCCGAGGAGATCCCGACCCTGAATTGCAGGATATCACGTAAGACGTATGGCGGTAGGACCAGATAGTCGAAGGTGCGGTCTGCGAATGTAAATATTGAAGTTACACCGGAGGGCCACGTCTTGAGGCTATCTGGAGGATGGTCATGTATTGAAGACCCCTGGAGAGTGGATGCCCTACTAATCAATAATCATACATAAATAAAGGTATATGCTTAACGTTGGGTGATCGTCTTCCGGGGTCTTGGCCTTATAAGCTCCGAAAATAGGATTGATCTGCATGTCAGGGGCGTTTTCGTAGTGTATCACTATCACAGTATCATTATCATCGTCTTGCAGTTGGATTAGTCGAGGGCATTTGCTGACTTTGGCATCGCTGCAGGGTTGACTGTTGGCTGCTGCAGGTGCCACAGCGTATCTCAGTTGGGTCTAGGCAAGTTGACGAATTGATTGGCGATGGTTGACACTGTCCCTTCGAGCTCTTTTGACAAGGTGATGTCTGGAATATCTATTCTTTACTGGCCACTGCAATCCCTCGGCATGCGAGGGGATTACTGATCTCCTCGTTGCTGATTCCCATGTCTCTACACGGAGGAGAACCCCATACAACCTCGCCACTCGGGAGAGACATTCGGTGTACTCGTTCTCCAGCATCCAGCTCCCTCAGTCTACCATCAAGTAGCAGAGTCGCCCAATGACAGGCATTTACCATCATCGAATAGATGCATTTCCCGTAGAGGAAGGTCTGGTAAGACGCGGAAAGTGACATGGGGACGATCAAGTGGAGGGCAGGGTGCGAAGGGACACCAACATGATTTTTGGATGCAATGAATCGAGGTGAAGCTCCGGCGATGAGGCGGGAGCATTGTGCTGTGGTGCTGGACTGCGAAAAGATATATAAGCAGCTCCCTTCCCACAGCAGAATCAACCACCAACAGCATCACCGAACCTCAATCAGAACAATCAGTCCTTCAATCGAACAAAATGCAGTTCTCTACCCTCAGCATCGCCGCTCTCATCGCGGCCACCTCCGTCAACGCTACTGTTTACGTTGGTCTGCGCACCAACTATGATGGCAGCAAGGCCCAAGTGGCATGGTATGTTCATGCTGGTACACCATGGCATTGGTTGGAAACACACTGACCAAGTGTCTGGCTTCAGGACCAACGGAACCCCCGATATATGCAGTGGTTTCAGCACCATTGTCAACAGCGACTCCAACCCCTGCGGAAGAGACTTTTCGGTTGACGGCGGCAACGGGCCTTACCGCTTGGAGGGCTGTGGCGGAAATGGGTTGACTCTCTTCCGCAACGGCAACTACAACAGCAACTGCAAGTTCGAGAAGCGCACCATCCACTGCAACGGCGGAGCCAAGATCGCTCAGGCCTGGGCTTGCTACTAGATATTGAGCTAGCAGTGTCGCCGAATCGAGCCGGACATGCTCTGGATTGGGTTGCTTTTGACATACTTTTCTGTGAAAGCGTGAGCTACGGAAAACAGGGAAGGGTTGTTGGTGCTTGTGTACGGAACGCTGTCTGATCAGTTGCTCAAATCCTGTCAATCATAGTACCTTCAACGGTTGTTTTGAGTCCTAGATCGTGCCAATCAATCAGACCTCACATTCTTTTGGATGGACTGGAGACCTTAAAGTCAGACTTATCTTGTAGACATATTTCCATGCATATCAGTATCTCTAAGCAGTCTGACATTTTCCGGGCGAGCATCAATCAGGTACGGATATTGAGAATGGTATTCCTGCGGAACTGTGGAATGATGGATGCTCGAATGGCGGAGTTCTAGCTTGACTACAGAGTACTACTGGGAGAGATATCGGGGATGGAGCCAAGCATGATGAGCGATCCCCGGAAGAACCACTAAACGCGTCGACGCGCTGCGTGACGCCCTTAATCCTTATCGGGCGAACTCTCCACTTTTCTGTCCTTGGGGACTTTCCATCACCATCAACCTATCTGTACACTTTTGCTTTATCAAATTGTTTTGTATCCTTTCTGAGATGCATTGATGCTCATATTTCAATTGCCATAACCACCAACGAAACAGATCGTCATCCCGTCAGAATGGCTAGAGGAGCTGGTGCCGCATCCTCTCCCACGGCCGCGACACCTCCCTCCGCAGCGCTGAAACAATCCACCTCGAGCACGCAGAATATGAAAAATCAGAAGTCTATTCTCGGGTTCTTTCAAAAGTCGTCCCCGTCAACTCCATCTACTGCTCGGAATGCTGAGCCTGCCTCGTCTCCGGCGCAGAGAGTCTCGGAGCAGCGCGAGGCGACTTCTGGCAAAGGCACATCGAAGCGAGAGAGGAAGGCCGTTCCCAAATTTACGCAAAACTTGACGCCTGTCCCAAGCAGTGATCTTGTTGTTCCTGATGAAGAGGATGAGAAGGTTTTGGTACGAATTGATGAGGAGTTGCGACTCGCTACGATGGAAGGATTAGTTGCTGACTGGTCTTGTCTGCCTATAGGGAAGCACCAAAGACGACCTAGCACAGAAGACTGCTTCTCCGTCGCGTCGGGTAAGCTTGTCCAGCCGGGTTTTTTATTCCGTCATACCTGACATTTGGGAAAGTCGTTCTAATTGCTTTTGTACAGGCTAAGAAACAGGTCAGCTATGCTGAGTCTGAGTCCGAGGGTGAAGACGACGATGATGTGATCTTCGCCCCGAATCGGCGGAATAGTCGTGCTTCAAAAAAGAGAAAGACCTCCCCAGAGCCTGAAGATGAGTTTGAGCAAGCTGGTGAGGTCGGATATTCAGATGATGGTTTGTGCTGCCACTTCCTCCCATAACCTTCCTGCTGCTAAATATTAACCAACGTCCAGAGTTTGATGATTTTATCGTTGCAGACGAATCAGATGAGGAAGTACAGCCATCAAAGAAGCGCAAAAGACCATCCAAAGCGCCGACTCGCAAATCTTCTATCCCTGTCCCACCATCTCCAGGAGAAGACCTCGATCTCGATATTCCAGACGCTGTCGGAGGCACTGCTGTGAAGTGGACATATGACCCTGAGAATCAAGAACCTCGCCAACATCGCACTATACAAGCACCCTCAAAAAGTTCGGCTACGCCAGCCAAGCAGAAAGCACATCTCAAGGAACCAGAAGACCGCTACCCTTGGCTTGCAAACATCCGGGATATGGATGGGCACCCACCGAACCATCCCGACTATGATCCTCGTACTATCTATATACCTCCCTTGGCGTGGTCCAAATTCTCTCCCTTTGAAAAGCAATACTGGGAGATCAAGCAGAAGTTTTGGGACACTGTTGTATTCTTCAAGAAGGGCAAGTTTTACGAACTGTATGAGAACGATGCTACTATCGGTCATCAACTGTTTGATCTCAAACTTACGGATCGGGTGAACATGCGGATGGTCGGCGTCCCTGAGATGAGCTTGGATCATTGGGCAAACCAATTCGTAGCCAAGGGGTTCAAGATTGCACGTGTGGATCAGTCCGAGTCCGCACTCGGCAAAGAAATGCGTGAAAGAGATGGGAAGAAGGCTGGCGGAAAAGAAGACAAAATCATCAAGAGAGAGTTGTCCTGCGTCCTTACGGCTGGCACGTTGGTCGAGGGCTCAATGCTCCAGGATGATATGTCTACTTACTGTGTTGCGATCAAAGAGGCGATAATAGAAGATCATCCTGCTTTTGGAATTGCGTTCGTCGATACAGCCACCGGCCAATTCTCTCTGTCAGAGTTTGGCGATGATGCCGACATGACCAAGTTTGAAACTTTTGTTGCTCAGACTCGACCGCAAGAACTCCTTTTGGAGAAGTCAACGATCTCAACAAAAGCTCTGCGCATTCTGAAAAACAATACCGGTCCTACTACGATATGGAACCACTTGAAGCCTGGGAAGGAATTCTGGGAGGCTGACATTACGGTAAAGGAGCTTGATGCCAGCGACTATTTCGTCTCTCAGGATGACGATAATTTGCAAGCATGGCCCGAGACCCTCCGAGAGGCCCGGGCGAAGGAGTTAGCCATGTCTGCATTTGGAGCTTTGGTGCAATATCTAAGAATGCTGAAGCTTGACCGCGATCTGATCACGATCGGCAACTTCTCATGGTACGATCCTATCAGGAAGACTTCGAACTTGGTCCTAGATGGACAGACACTGATAAACATGGAAATCTTCGCAAACTCGTTTGACGGTGGCTCTGAGGGAACGCTGTTCCAGCTTTTGAATCGCTGTATCACCCCCTTTGGCAAACGCATGTTCAAGCAGTGGGTCTGCCATCCTTTGATGGACGCGAAGAAGATCAACGCAAGACTAGATGCAGTCGACGCTCTCAACGCTGACTCGAGCATAAGGGATCAGTTTTCCTCGCAACTGACCAAGATGCCAGACCTCGAACGGCTCATCTCTCGTATCCATGCAGCCAATTGTAAAGCTCAGGATTTTGTTCGTGTGCTGGAAGGGTTTGAGCAGATCGAATACACGATTAGCCTACTCAAGGACACTGGCTCATCCGGAGAAGGTGTGATTGGCCAACTAATCAATGCGATGCCCGACTTAGGCTCTTTGCTAGAGTACTGGAAAACGGCATTTGACCGCAACAAGGCCAAAGAGAATGGCATCTTGGTTCCCAAACTGGGTGTTGAGGAGGATTTTGACAACTCTCAAGAGTCGATTGAACAGTTGCATCGGGATCTGGATAATCTCCTCAAGAGAGTTCGCCGCGAATTGGGCTCAACAGCCATTTGTTATCGCGACAATGGCAAGGAAATCTACCAACTGGAGGTGCCTGTCAAAGTGAAGAATGTTCCTAAGAACTGGGACCAGATGTCTGCAACGAAACAGGTGAAGCGCTATTACTTCCCGGAGTTGAGATCTCTTATTCGGAAATTGCAGGAGACGCAGGAGACGCACAGTCACATCGTCAAGGAAGTCGCTGGTCGATTCTACGCACGATTTGACGAGCATTACACAACGTGGCTTGCAGCTGTCCGGATTGTCTCACAATTAGACTGCCTGATCAGTTTGGCGAAAGCTTCGTCTTCTCTCGGCCACCCAAGCTGTCGTCCAGTCTTCGTTGAGGATGGCCGGAGTGTTCTTGAGTTCGAGGAGCTTCGGCATCCATGTCTTCTCTCATCTGTAGAAGATTTCATCCCCAACGATGTCCGTCTGGGAGGCGAGCGTCCCAATATCAACCTTTTGACTGGAGCCAACGCTGCTGGTAAATCCACAGTTCTTCGAATGGTTTGTACTTCTGTTCTTGTGATATTTGTAGAAAACTCACTAACTTCTACCGTTTACTTAGTCCTGCGTCGCAGTCATTATGGCTCAAATTGGCTGTTATCTGCCTTGTAAATCAGCCCGGTTGACGCCCGTGGATCGTATCATGTCACGGCTGGGAGCGAATGACAACATTTTTGCAGCCCAATCTACGTTCTTCGTGGAACTTTCCGAGACGAAGAAAATCTTATCTGAAGCTACGCCTAGATCTCTTGTCATTCTGGATGAGCTGGGCCGTGGTACCAGCTCTTATGACGGCGTCGCTGTCGCCCAGGCAGTATTGCACCACATTTCCTCCCACATTGGTGCGATGGGCTTCTTCGCAACTCACTACCATTCCCTTGCTGCCGAATTTGAGGGTCATCCTGAAATCACACCTAAACGTATGAGAATCCACGTTGATGACCAGGAGAGACGCATCACTTTCCTCTATAAGTTGGAAGATGGCGTCGCGGAGGGTAGTTTCGGCATGCACTGCGCCTCCATGTGCGGTATCCCCAATAAGATCATTGAGAGAGCCGAGGTTGCTGCGAAGCAATGGGAGCACACCAGTCGCCTCAAGGAGAGTCTCGAACGCCGGAAGGGTGGCGGCTTCATCGGCTTGGGATGGTGGAGTGATGTCGCCTGGGCTCTCCGCGAGTCGACTGGTGACGCTGTTAGCAGCACCGACAGTGTCTCTGACCTCAGCCTGGAAGTACTTCGCAAAGCTATCGAAACTTTGTGACGCTCTCTTGCTATGGAGTATAATGGCCGCCCTTTACCGACTTTGCGCCGTGTTTCCACTTTGGCTTCGTGCCCATACCTTGTTCGCGGGTATCTGCGGGAGTAGGGAGCCTTTTTCCTTTATCGTTTGCATTCTTAAAGTTCCATTATTAGGGCAAGCAACTTAATTCCGGGATATATAGCGTTTTTATGCCAGAGGGTTAGATGATGTTCTAGATGTGGGTTTAAATAACTATGAGTCGGTTTCGGTAGCCTTAGAAACCAATATGTGTAAGTCCGAAAACAAGCAAAAGTAGAAATCAGCTTCAAGGCAGCATTCAATTTCAAAGAGTAGCCGCTCTGCATAGACTACTAAGTATCTCTTCAGTCAGGTATGTAAACGCCAATCAGCCTCTGCGGCATGAATTCCTCATTCTCCCAAATAATGCAACGCCAGAAAGACAGCCATTGATACGATGATAAATTCAGAAAAGGAACAAGAATATTGTAAAGCGTTTCGAACTCTGGGATCATTATCTCCTGAGTGGTAAGGGCCAAGAATCTAAGCAGCGAAATCTTCCGCCTTGATGGACTGCTGGGGATGATCCATAGCCTCCAGCTGTGCGTCAAGTTCCATATCATCCATGACATCGTCATGCTCGGGCTTGGTCTGGTATTCCGGGTCATGATTTTCTCTGTTCTCGCCCTTGATAATGCCCCCAGCGTCAATCGCCTCAGGCTTGATCTTGGAAGGCGTTCCGTTGCTGTGTCTCATTGAGACGATCAGTTAAATAAAACCATCATCTCGTGATAACGAACAGTGACAGAAGGTATGACAAAAGGAGTGGAACATACCCGTTACCAACAGAGGCAGCCTCAGCTTTGATAGCCGCGTTCTTCTTCACGGGTGTCTTCCTCTGCCGCTTGGGCTTGGTAGGAGTCGCGGCCTCCTCACCCGGGGCAGTGTCATCCTCTGCAGCCACAGTGGCCTTCTTACGCTTTATTGGTGTTTTCCTGGGCGTGGCAGTCGCGGCCTTGGAGGACGAGGCTTCGCCATCAGCCGCAAAGGAGCCATTGCCGTTCTCAGCACCGTCGTCGGGGTTGAGCTTGAAGAGCTTCCGTTTTGCGTTGCCGAACATCGTAGCTGCAGAACCGGCGGTCCATCCGCCTCTGGAGGCTAGCTTGTCGAAATCGACCTGTAGGGCTGTTAGCCTTCCTCTGTGGATTGTGGAGTTGATTTATTTGGGAAGAGGTGCTACCTTGAATCCTTCGCCGATGCACAGGATACCCAGGAGGAGGACCTTGGCTTCACTTGCAGAGAGGCCCAGGGGTCCCTCGGGCTTGCCTTTGACTGGAGTAGACATGGTTGCGAGTGATCAGTGGATGATCGAAGAAGCGAAGAGCTGTTCTGCGAGAGAGAAGAGGAGCGAATGGAGGCGGTAGGAGAGATGAGAAGAAAATTGTATCCAGGATGCTGCAGAAAGAGGACGCAGAAGTGAATTAAGAGAAGGAAGAGGAGATGGAGCGTCTGCGAGGGAGGCAGCCTAGTTATTTTGACTACTATGACTGAAGACAACCACAGAGTCAAGTGAAACACAGATCAAGTAATGTGAGAAGTGAGGTGAAGATGACTGACTGGTGCTTGCGTTGCAGAAGTGAATGACACTATAGAGAAAGAAGAGTTTGGTTCTAAAATTCCCATGCGGTTGAAAATGAACTCCTAAGTGTTTCAAGACGCTGCTAAATGAACAGTGCCTCCGGTTAGAGAAGGTGTCTGGAAGATTTTGAAGCAATGTGTTGCGTTTCTTTCCTATTCTTGTATTTCTTAACTCCGCCTTGTTCGCGAAGGATTTTGGATCTGCTTGTATACATGCTCCCATAGTTCAGGATAGAATGTCGATGAGACCTTCCCAGGCTGACTCTTCGCCCCTGTGTAAAACTGCCTCAGTGTCCTGCCTGCCCACCAGGGAAGAGGGGCAGGATTCGCATTCCGAAAGCTCACTGGTCGCAGTAGAGCCTTCTCAGGAACTAGGTCCCCTAGCCGCACCTCTGTTTGCCGGGGAATTGTAGTAAACTTCATAGTATTGATGTACAGTGTCGCTGTAGGAGGTAGGTTCTTCGCATACTGGAGGGTCTGTTCCCGCGAGCGGCGAGCAAAGACTGGGAGGGCAAGATGTACGAAGTTGACGAACGGGGCAGAGGTGTAGGCGACGAAGAACATGGGTAACGCACCTCCGACGATCACTATGAAGCACCATTAGCCAGAAACATACCGTGTAAGAGCTCGCAAAACCTACCAGCCGGCGCGATATACCATGGGTACTCGTCAGAGTAGAAGGCCGGAGCGACTACGAGACATGAGACTCCAAAAAGGAAGATTGTCGTGATGCGCAACATGCCCAAAAATATCACCTTTCCCGTGCCGCCATGATAGATCAGTATCCGCTCCGGAGGTCCTATATATAAGCCTTCGTTCAGCATCGCACCCAGTATATCCATATCGAGCGCATTCCGTGTCTCCGGTTACCTCGTCTGACTGCGGTCTTTGCATGTGTTGAAGGCGATGTTGTTGGAGTCCGGGCACCTGTCAAGCTGGCATTGCCGTCTTTTGGTTTGATCGGCGGCACTTCAGTCCTTCGCAATGGACTTTGTGTCGTCTTAAACCGAGTCAACAATCTGTTGCTGAGATCTCTCCGCACGGACCGAGGAAGCGCCGTACGCAGCTGCGAGTGGAATAAGAGCTGGATCCTCATACTGGCCAGCATCGGCTTGTGGTTTCAATTGGTATGTTCAGTCAGTGATGGCAGAGGCATAAATCCACCCCGGGATAATTCATGAAAATGACAGAATGGCTGCTGGTTGATCTCCGGAGTGATTTTTGACCGCCGGCGGAATGTTATCGACAGCCTCTTGGCGGTGATGATTGTCCTCCCTTTGACTCTCCCAACTCGATGTTCTTGACCGTTGACTAACTCGACAATCAGCTCTGTGAGGACATCTGGTTTTCATGAGTTCAGTCACTTGTACGTGCTAGAACCATCTCTAGTCCAATCACGACCTGCCATGCGAGCTTGCTAGCAGCATTGAGAGTCGCCATGGTTCTGGCATACGGTGGCTTTGTCCGCCATCTCCTTGCGATATGCCTCACTCTACCATTCCTGCTCCTTTCCAGCGCAGCCTACGAATCTCTCTCAGATGACACCCTAAGAGCCCTTCCACGACCTAATAACGACTTTGACATTCACAATGGAGCACTCCTAGCACCAATCCTACAGACTCGCATCCCTGGGACCCCCGGTTCCACCGCTGTACTCAACCACTTTGCGGATTTCTTCCGCACCACCCTGCCAGACTGGAAGATCGAGTTCCAAAACTCGTCGTCGAAGACGCCCCTCTCGCACAGCAAGGAAGTCCCCTTCGTCAACTTCATCGCGTCGCGCGATCCGCCCCGGGCGGCGGTAGGGGATGTGGGAAGACTTACGCTCGTCGCGCACTACGACAGCAAGTATGAGCCCAAGGGATTTATCGGGGCGATTGACAGTGCGGCGCCGTGCGCGATGATGATGCACACGGTGCGTAGCATCGACGCCGCGCTAACAAAGAAATGGGCGGCGATGGAGGCACATGGCCACACCGATGCGACGGTCGAAGAACAGAAGGGCATGCAGATCATCTTCCTCGACGGCGAGGAGGCGTTTCTCGAGTGGACGAATACCGATTCTCTCTACGGCGCGCGCTCTCTCGCAGAGCACTGGGACGAGCAAGTCCACCCGGCCATGTCCATTTACAAGACGCCACTGTCGTCGATATCGCTGTTTGTGCTTCTGGACCTGCTGGGTAGCAAGGATCCCTCCATTCAGTCGTATTTTGCAACCACGCACTGGGCCTACCAGAAACTGGCGGCGCTGGAGAAGCGATTGCGAGACCTGAAACAGTTCAAATCCTCTTCTGGCGGCAGTTCTGGCGCGTCGTGGTTCGTTGATCACGCGAAGAACGAACATCAGCTGAATGTTTATTCGGGCATTCAGGATGATCATCTGCCGTTCCTCGCGCGGGGCGTGGAGGTCCTACATATTATTGACTACAGCCCTACCAGAAGAACGGGGTTTCCCGCCGTTTGGCACACGATTGATGATGACGGTGAGCATCTAGATCTGGAGACGGTGGAAGACTGGAGCATGCTCTTTACTGCATTTGCCGCCGAGTGGATGGAGCTGGAGGGCTTCCTGCCGACCGGCGCTGAGGCGCAGCCCAAGGACAAGCGATCCCACCCGTGGATTAATTATTCAGAGAAGAAAACTGAGTTGTAAGCCACTACCTAGCTCTGATTATTGGTCTTTATTTTTTCATTCTGCCGTTGTACAATCCGTATTTACACGACGCGATTTCGTTGGGATACACACTGGAATGAGCTGCGCTGACAGCTAATTGGTCTGCAGCTTATAAACTCGCCAACGATACATATGCGTCAGCGGTCTATCATGTATCTAAGATGATTTCGTGATGTTTTCATATCTCAATGTGTCATCTCGCAGGCTGGCCTGCTTCAATGGACGAATTTGCACCCTGAGCTTCTATAGCAGATTTCCCAACATGTACCCAGTCATCTCGACAATACCCCATGCCGGTTGAAGGATAGAGCGCAAAACTGCAGGTCCTGGGCATACACCTCGTAGACCCCATGCAACGCCGAATGCCACGGCCCCAGTGACAAAGCGCCAATCGATATCCGCCACCGTTAATGTAGGAAGTCTCCATTTGTCCGCCAGGGTGGGTTTGCCGGCATCTTTCCCTCCAGCTTCTTCCTTCGTGAGTACAGGTTTCACGGCCTTGAGATACGTCACAAGCGATGGGCCGACGGCGAAAAGAATGATGAGCATGAGCGAAGGATCCCACCGAGATGGATCTGTGAGAACGGCGAAGAAGCGCAGCACTTTGGCGGGATCGGCCATTCCGGTGATGAACAGGCCCAGACCGAACTGCAGGCCGGCCAGATATGAGAAGACAGTCCTAGATTTCTTCGACCGATGCAGGAACCGGGGAACGATTACAAAGTTGATCAGGGTTGTGAGGGCGACGGTGCTGATCATGAATATGAGCTCCTCCGTCGACGGATATGTTGGGGTGTAGCAGGGAACACCGGTGGGACACGGCGGGATATTCTGGCCTCCGTTGGCAAAGTTGGCTGTGAGGAGCGCGGTGGCGAAGAAGATAGCTGTTGCGATCAAGGAGCGCGGCGAGAGGCGGGACACACCGCAGAGCATGTGGCCTGATGTGCACCCACGATCATTCTGATTCAAAGGGTTTCGTCAGTAAGCGACTAGCTACTGTCGAGGCGAGTTGCCTACCTTTGTTCCCCAGCCTAACAAGAATCCCGTTCCGAGCGTGGAAGCAACGGATGCCCACGAATTCGGTGCGGATGGGTAGATAGGTATCAGAGATGGCGCAAACAGATAGATCGAGGCTATACTGGAGGCCAAGCCCGCGATGATGGGAACATTATCGTGACTGGGGTTGAAGACACACCCTGACAGAAGGGATGAGATGCCAAAGACAGCACCATTGTGTAGGAGGAGGCCCGAAGAGCTCTGGAAGAGCAGCAGCGCTCCAAGGGACGTTTCGACAGGTGTAAACATGACGATATATGAGAAACCGTCCACAGATGGCTGATATACCGGGTTCTTTGAATTCAAGCTGTCTATTCCACCCTGGAAGTCGAATCCAGAAGCCTCAATTGCCTCAATCCGGTGTGGTAGGTGGTAAGGTCAAGTGTTGGCTGCCAAAAAAAAGGCAAAGAGCTAGGAGAAAAGCAAGTTCGACTTTTCAAGGCCCATTGCTTTCATTTTTTTGGCTTTTCTTTGAGCCTGCATTCGGGGATTGCCCGCGTTCGCGTCAATGAAGCTTTGAGGTCCCCGAAGAGTCAAGTTTCCGTGGATAGATATTGGATGACGAAAGGGAAATCTCCGCCGTCCGCAGGTCCCCGAGCTGTCAACTACCCCATATTGCCCGATGAATGGCGATTCAAGGAATAGCATTATGACTGCCCCAGTGGCCGAGTGGAATTTTATGGCCGAGTTCTTCAAGATGACAAAATTGTCTATTTCAGGGGTGGTCCCGAAAGATAACTTGTCATATCGACACAGTCCTTTAGAGTATATAGTCAACTCACTGTGTCCTGAGAGGGATGCCTATCGGGATATTGAAGGGGATTTGATCCCCGAGCTAAATCTGTCTGTACAGGGACAATCATCTTCACGCTCTGAAGCAGACAAAGAAAGTTGATGATAACAGGAGTACTGTGTAGTAGTGAGGAAAAGACAAGCCGTGTCACTGTCAATATCAACTCAAAAAAGATCAGCAGGAGGTGCATCTGACAGTCAACTTACCAGTTAAATACCAACACTTCAAAGTCTATGGCTTACTATTGGATCACGTATTACAGATATGTATTACTGCGTACCCATAATACAGCATCTGAAAATGTGTCGACATGAGAGCTTCGACACTGAACCTCAGTCTGTCGATCACAACTTGGCCATTAGTATCTGAAGAACAATGTATTGAATGGGCGCGAGATGATATTATCCATTCCACTCAGAAACAGAAATCGAAGGGCTCACGGATGATTTCTCTGCGACAGAGACATCAACATGATCATCACTCCATTCAAGTCACCCTATCGAGAGACCTCTCGCAAATTGCTTCACGTTTAGTGACCTATCACGGGGGGCTCTTTCTGACTGGCTTAGAAATTACTGTCATATACAGCATAGATGAGAGCCCCAGGGCCGTTACTATATACACTCCAAGACTCGACGCAGGGTCCTGGCTTGTGCGGTGCTGCGAGCCAACCAGAGGGCGTTGGGTTGGCACTTCTCTGCTGCACCGATTCCAAGAATTGCAGACTAACGAGCGATGCTTTGCAATGATTACCAGCTCTATGGAGTAGTCAATAAGAGTTCAATTTGCAGCTTTTGAAGGTTCCAGTTTCACACCAGCCTCATGTCTCCCGCAAGTCTCGGACAGGATAGGATCATTATCGACACTGCAGACGAAGTATCTTCCCATGGCAATATGTTGTTTTTTCTTTTCTTTTCTTTTTTTTTTTTTTTTTTTGCTTATGCTTCGCGCGTCCTGTGAGCGTTAAGACTATCAACAAATGGCCACATCGCATATGTTAATTCTTTTCTAGGTGTCTGCTGCCATGCAAGGCCAACACAACAAGTCTGATGAAAGCGCAACCCATGATGAAAAATGCTAGCGCGTGAGAAAGGATACCGGAAGGAGTCTTTTGCATCTGACAGTTCAAACGCGTCTGCCAGTTTAAATTGCAATCTCCACACAGTCAACACAGGATATGCGGTTCAGACTAGCTACATCCCTGTACCATATCATGGTTTCCACGTCACTGTTGGTCTTCGAGTCAGAGTTCTCCAACTGACCCGATGATTCAGTTTCTATGGAGCTCATCTAATTTAAAAACCCATGCTGCTGGACAGAAAATACGTCGGTGGGTTGCGTGAACCAGTTGTGATGGAAATCGCTATTATCAGGTCGGCTGGATGGAATAGCCCAACGAATTTGATTATTTCAAGAAAAGTCGGGTAGGATCATCTGATGGGCCTAAGAGGCGCATTGAAAGCAGAGTCTATTAAGGCCAATGGGAAATGACCACACTGGCTGCTTTCATCGCAATTGCTTCGGAGGATATTGTGGGGTCGCCGAGAAGGCAGAGATCCATAGAATCCTGGTCGACAACAGCTTCTAGCCAGCATCATATCAGGCAGATACTACCCCTGCAGGATCTCGTGATGTCCCACCCGAAGACCCTCGAGTTCGCGGAGTACGCTGGGAGATCTAGTTTCTCATCTTTCGTCCTTCCCGAGCCTCGCGATGCTCCAGCAGGATAGGATCACGAAGTCGCAACTTGGTCTTTCTATTCTCTATATGTACCTATATATTTGACTCGCGGCACGAAGATCTTATTAGGCCAAGGTTGACAATGGGAAACGCAGGGAGTATAGTTGGGCGAGGTTGTCTACTATCTGCACTGGGAGGCGATCGAGCCCTTGTCGCATTTCGAGGCGACGTCTCGTTCAGAAACCTCACAGCTCACGAATATAACCTCAATATCCCTGTGACACCAGTAGCCATCACCTTCCCCAAGACCGCAGGGCAGGTTGCTGATATCATAAAATGCGCTGTTGAACACGACTACAAGGTTCAAGCAGTGAGTGGTGGTCACAGCTATGGAAACTATGGTATGCACTCCAAGCCAGAAGTAGGACATTCAAGCAAAGAAATCGCGACGCCTGACTAACGTCATGATGGCTCGTCACCGATAGGGCTTGGAGGTATAGACGGTGCCGTCGTCGTTCATCTCAGAAACTTCCAGCAGTTTTCGATGGACGAGACGACCCACATGGCCACAATTGGAGCAGGAACTCCCCTAGGTGACGTGACAGAAAAGCTTTACCGTGCTGGGGGGCGGGCAATGGCCCATGGCGTCTGCCCACAAGTAGGTGTTGGGGGGCATTTCACCATTGGAGGGCTTGGTCCTACATCACGCCAGTGGGGAAGCGCACTGGATCATGTTGAGGAAGTCGAAGTTGTTCTGGCAAACTCAAGCATTGTGCGAGCCTCCAGCACGCTGAATCCCGACCTCTTCTTTGCAGTCAAGGGGGCTGCCGCCAGTTTTGGGATCGTGACTGCGTTCAAGGTTCGAACACAGCCTGCACCTGGTTTGGCTGTACAGTACCTCTATTCCCTGAGTCTAGGCAGTACGGTTGAGAGAGCGAAGTTGTTCCGTGAATGGCAAAGATTTGTATCAGATCCAAGTCTGAGCCGAAAATTCTCTTCGGTACTCACTGCAATTGAACATGGTATCATACTTTCCGGGATATTCTATGGCTCAAAGGCAGAATACGATCAGCTGGGCATTGAGCAGCGTCTTCCGATCACAGAGCCTGGCACTGTGGTGGTCTTGACGGACTGGCTTGGTATGCTCGGGCACGCTGTGGAAGAACTCGCCCTGGGTATAGGTGGAGACGTCTCAACATACTTCTATGCAAAGTCAACTGCTATCACTTCAGACGATTTGATCTCCGAACGTGGCATAGGTGAACTGTTCTACTATCTGGATAACATCCAAAAGGGCACTTTGACTTGGTTCATCTCGTTCGACCTACAAGGAGGCGCAACGAACGATTTCCCTGCAAACGCTACCGCATATGCGCATAGAGACGTGCTCTACTGGGTTCAGTCGTATGGAGTCAATCTTCTCGGTCCTGTTTCTCAAACCACTGTCGATTTCTTGAATGGTATCAATGAAATCATACGACAATCTGTCGCTGGGTCTGAGGTTCATGCTTATCCAGGTTATGTGGACCCTCTAATGCCTGATGCTCAGAAAGCCTATTGGGGTCTGAACTTACCCCGATTGCAAAAGATCAAGGCTATTTTTGACCCCAGTGATGTTTTCCACAACCCTCAAAGCGTGAATCTAGTACAGGTCTGATCCCCTCTCGATATTGGGTAAGTGGGGAGATCCCATATCGATATCTGAATATTGCAGGGAGAATTTGAGCGACTGGAAGATTATATATATCTTTTCGCCAGTAGATATTCAGAGGGTTGTTGAAACTTTTCCTTTCGAATCAGAAGTAACAAACGATGATGATGGAGGCATACGGCAGGATAAATATTTTGACTAAGCTATGCATACACAACACATTCGATCTACTTCATGACATTTGTTTCCCTCTTGCACATATTCAACAGTATATTCATCCAAACACCGCGATAATCCATGGCTACTTATTCATGACGCTCAAAACTTATGGATTCATCAAGTCCGAGCTTTAGAACAATCCTGCTCCGACCCATCCTCGACGTCATGAAGCGCAGCGTGGAAGGGAAAAATGGACCCCAACACCCTCCAACTGGCAAGCAAGTACTCCAGGACAGCGAACCTTCTTTTCCATTGACGCTGTATGCACCCGTCTCGCCTCCTAAGGCAATGGCTCGGAATAAAAAGAGCCCAAACAACCGAACAACAGCAGACCTATCCGCCAAGCAGCAGATATCCAACAAGAACCCAGAGCCTGAACAAGACCTCGCAGCCATCGAAGCCGGGGAGATCGAAGTGACAGATTATCTGGGAGTATTCTCTGCTAGGCTTAGCCAGTGTGCTCGTCCCCTGGTGTCGGGGCTACCCCGGCTTCCGATCAAAGACTGGGTCGAACTATATCAACGCAACCAGCATCCCAAGGGCAGGCACTTTGTGGTTCATCAACACGATCATCCCATCGCAGGACCGCACTATGATCTGCGACTGCAGTTCTCGGAGACGAGTTCCGTCAGCTGGTCCATCATGTACGGATTGCCTGGAGATCCGAATAGCCGAAGGCTGAATAGAAACGCGACAGAGACAAGGGTGCATTGTCTGTGGGTGTGTTGTTCCTGGACCTGCTGGTGCGACATATTTCGTTCTCAAAACATGAGCTAATTGATTGATGGTCCAGAATCATCTCCTCGAAACTGCTTCTGCAAGAACAGGCAGCATGATCATCTGGGATACAGGCGAATATGAGATCCTGCCTTCTCAGAAGGTGCCGGAATTGCTCGAGACGGATGACTCTCGATCTGAGGTCTCAGACGCCTCTATATCTCTTTTGGAGGAGAAAGCTGATAGCGAAAAGCTCCGTGAGGCTTTCAAAAATGTACCCAGATCTACCTCTTCCACACGACATATACTAAACAACCACAGGGCAAAATTCGCCTCCGACTCCATGGAACCCGTCTCCCAGAGGACTACACAATCATCCTCCGCTTAGACAAGAACCTCCCCAGCCAAAAACCGTCCGCCACGACTCCCCGCAAGAGACGCAGAAGAACAGTCCACTCAACCCCAAAGCACGCCGAGCCGAGTACCACGTCAGATTCTAATTCTCCAAGCGAAGATTCGCGACAAGCATTTCACCGCAAAAAAGCGGATGCGTCCCCCGCAGGCTCTCATTCCGACTCCGATAGCACCATCGACCATCAAATCCGCTTGAATAACGCCTATCCAGGAGCGACGAATACAATCGGCTCGATCCACCAGCGGCGGTGGTTCGCCACGTTCGACCGTACGAACTCTGGGTTTGTTGCAGAAAGTCCTGGTAAGCCGGGGAGGAAGACGTGGGTGCGGAAACGAGGTGTGCGGACGGGACGGGAGCTGGGGTCTGATGCTTTCTATGTCCGCGGGCCGGATGTGGAGAGGAGTGTTGTTACGGGAAGGCTGGGCAGAGATGTTCTGGAGGATGAAAGCGTGGAGGGTTTTGTGTCTCGACGAGGGTGGAGGGCAGTTCTTGAATGATATTGCAAGGCGGTCATCTGTGCTACGCTACTTTCTGGGACCATGTTGGGAGGCCTTTCGCACACTCAACACTTTCAGGAGCTTTCTTGAGTTGAAGTGTTTGGTTGCTTCTAACCTGTGGTTACGAGAAGTATGGAGTGGCATCAACCAAGGAAGACCTGCACCCACACCTCGTTGCTCCATCCACTATTCAGTCCCATCGCATTCCAAGCCCCCAGCACATCGATCGCCAGAACTCTAGCATGCTCGCCTCCTTCCGTCCAGACGGTCTTCCTGGGCACAGGCTTACCCAGAATGGTCACCATGAAGTTCTTCGCAATACTCCAGTCCTGCAGATCGGAGAAATAGATTCCCAGAGTCCCTAAAGCTTTGAGACTGACATCGAACCGAAGCCGGCCATTTTCCACCACGAAGATGTCACTGTTCACCACTGCTGCGGCGCCTGTCATCTTGCCCAGCAGACCTAAGACAGCCACATGGGTGAGGCTAGTCCCCTCGGCGTTGCATCCTCTGCTTCCCTTGAGGGGGAATGATTTGGTCGGGTAGGCAGTCAGAATCTCCCAGCCCTTCTGTTCAAGGACGATTGACACGAGGGACTTTTCGTTAGACGCCCGCATTGGGTCGCTTACTATACCACTTGTATGTGCACGCACGACATATTGTCCTTCTGAACCGGGATGGATGCCCGGGAAATCCCTCAGCGGAACGATACAGGATGCTCCTGCAGCGTGGATATTGAAAAGACCTATCATCCCGCTGCCTGTCTTGGCCCATCCCGTATACGTGCCGATCCGTAAGATATTGCCCTCGTTATAATCGTGGTACATATCCAGGCTGCGCCCCACGACGCTAGGCCGGAGAATCACTGTGGCTCCTTGTGTAGTTGAGGCGGTCATCTGGTTGATAACATCCAAACTGTGCTTTCCGGGTTCGTCGGTGATGTATATTGGGCCACCTGAAAGGCATCGAGCCGCCGCGTGGAAGGACGCGAAGGGATGGTATGTTTGGAACATATCCCAATCCGGCAATACATTTAGGTAGCGGGTAAGGAGCGCGTTATGCGCATTGCAGAAGATATGCCATGTGTGCGAAGCTGGGATTTCCGGGAAGAAGTCATCCGAATTGCGCAGGGGGGTCTGGGCCTTATTTGTTGGAAGCTGGGAGTGGAAGATGATTTGCGGCGTCATAGACATGCATGAGATAGCCCTGGCGCTGAAGTGCTTTGATATAGAAATGGACCATGCATCCTGGTACGCGTTTGTGAACCGTTTCCGATCCTCGGGGTCTTTCAACAAATCCAGAAAGAACTGGGCATCCGTCTTGACCGAGTCAATTCCAACAGATGTCAAGAAACTATAGAACTCGTCGTAGAAGCGTTGGATATCGTCAGGATCAATGGCCAGCACTGATCCCTTTTCGAACGCATGCGCTATTTGCCCCTTTGCGGCCGGATCTACAAGCGGCACCTCCTTGGTTTTGTACTTTTGAGCCAATTCGCCGTCTGGTGAAATGCCACCCCAGTATCCAAAAAGAGCATGCCAGACGGCAATGTGGCCAATGCTTGGGTGTTTTCGACGAATGGTCTCTGTGGCCTGTTTGATGCCTCGCGGAAAGGTCTTGGGACTTGCCTCAAATTGTGTCCAGGCCCGTTTGAACTGCGACTCGCCTTCATTGTCCAGCGACTGCCAGGTATCGTCGATAATCAAATTGGCAATCTTGATTCCATGCTCCTTCATGGAGTCGAGAGCGAAAAGAATCTTTTCTTCCGTAAGATTCTGCCCTAATCCGTTCCATGTACAATATGTTAGACCATCGTACCACTCCGCGAACCATTGCGCCTTGGGATCATTTTCAACCATCACTATATCGTCCCCTACTGGGGATCCTGGAGTGGGAGATTCCTCGGAGATCTCCTCCGTAGCGTATGGCTTCACCAACTTCCGTGCCTCGTAAATCACGGCACTCATCGCTACTTCAAAGTCATCTGCGACAGAAGCAAGGACCTGGAATTTGGACGTCTCGGTGTGATCGTTTGTGGCCTTAATCACCAATTCTCCATTATCGTTTGAAGTGAAGAGGGTCAGGACATTATTTATCCCCGACACTGCCAGGAGAACCAAATGAGACCCATCGGTGCGCAAGAATGAACACAATAGCGCATCCTCTGTCAATCTGAACTTCTTCTTTCCATGCCTGGGCCCAAGCCATGGGATCCATACCCGTACCAGAGCAAAATACCGCGCAAGCGATGCCGGCAGTCCAAGAGCAAGCTGTTTGTGCCCGGATTCACCGACCTTCGCCCCTTCAATGGATCCGGAAAGGCTCCACAGAAAAGAGCCAGGAGCTTCGCTTGTCCGCGATTCAATCTCAACCTCAGTCGAAAGATTTTCAAAGTATTTGCTGAAGCTATCTCTTTCCGGCGTTGCCAATGCAGCTACGGACGCCACGGCAAATGGACTGATCGACGGAGCCTCATACGCATCTGTAGCAGGCGTGAGAGGGCCATTCCCACTCGTGTCAAAACTCGATTCCCGCGACGTAAAAACCAACTCTCCGTCATTGACATGGCGCTGCTGATTTACCCACTGCCAGTCTGCCTCGGGGGTTGCCCGAAACCGAACGGTAAACTGTGCATAACCTCCACTAGCAGGTATAGCAATATCTTCAGAGAAGACATAGCGGCGGTACTTGTAGTCTTCTTCGCTCCCATTTACCAGAGGGGCTACGGTGGGTTGATCTTTCTTGAGCGGCAGCGCCGTCCATTCGGTATTGTTGATGTTGTGCCAGATATGAGCTTCCCAAGGCTGCTCTGGGAATAAGCTGCTTGATTCTATAACCACGGTAAAGCGGACCTACAGTGATTGTTAACTGGTTTATGATAACATTGCAAGAGAAGAGCGTCTTTAATCGACGGAATGAGTAACTCCGACCAAGATCCAAGTATCACTCACTGTATCGTCCTTCTCTGACTTTAGAGCCTTTTGTATTCTCGGGAGACAAGTGACCTGACCCAGAGGCGGATAGCACGTCACTCGCGCAAACAGACTCATCTGCGCGGGACGGTAGAACTCAAGCCGCGATGGCATTTGATGACGACCTGGGCCGGTGATGGGGAGAGTCGATGTATTTCTTGTGCTGATCTGCATCCAGACTCGGTGGGGAGACTCTGGAGTTATCTTGAAGCTAAATCACTGGGGAGTGAAGCAAGAGACGATGTGATCAAGTGGATCTAGATAGAGAATGGGTCCGTTTTCTTCACGAGTGCAAATCAGGAGGAGGAAGCTTGGAGGATCATGGCGTTGTGATGCATGAGGAGCTGTAGTGGCGGTGGTGGTGGCGGGTTGCGGTCAAGAGGTTAATGAGGGGAAGATGCACGGCGCCTCATGGCTCTGCTAGAATGCCACTGGTGTTCCTGACAAGGAATTTGAATGCTATACGATCGCAAATAAAAGGATGTTTGTGTTGTTTTGGGACGATCATGAGCTGATCTACGAATGAGAGCTGAACAGGATGAAAGTGTGATGAAGGTAAGATGAGATAAAGGTGAGTAGATATAACATGTCCCGTAGCATGGATTATCCAGTAATTTGACTAATCTACTATATAAGAACCACATAACACTCTCATAACCGTCATATCACCATTTTAAATTTCATGCACAGTATCTGACTGTTTGTTTAATCAATCTTGATCGTTAGCTTGCCAAAGTGCTTTTGAGCCCACTATTCATCATGTTAGTACCTTGTGCTCTATCAGGAACTCGCGCGGGTGACTTACCATATATTCATACGCCTCCCTGGTCTGATCAAGAGAAAAGACCTTCTCATCAATCACCGGGTGGATATTGTTCACCTCGATTGCCTTGATCATGTCAGTCATCAAGGCCTTGCTGCCAACATACACACCTCGGATGGTGCAGATATTGCTCAGAGCCTCGAGGATGGGAGGCTGCCCCTTGGGGTCAACTCCTCCCAGGAACCCAATGATGCTGATGGTACCTTCGTACTTGATGCACTTCAAGCTTTGAGTTAGGGTTCCAGCGCCTCCAACCTCCACAATGTGATCGACACCGGCGTTTTCCGGGGTGAGAGAACGGGCTGTGTCTCCCCAGTTGAAGTTCGTCTTGTAGTTGATGACGTGGTCGGCTCCAAGCTCCTTCAGCTTTTTTGCTTTGGCCTCAGAGGAAGTCGTGGCGATGACTGTGGCTCCAGCAGCTTTGGCGAACTATTTCATTTCTCATCGTTAACTGACCGCAATCTCCGGCTATGTCTATGAGAGGTTGACTCACCTGCAGGGCAAACATGCTAACACCACCAGTACCTTGCACCAGAACAATCTCTCCCGGCTTCAGAGGCTTCAATCCATACAGAGCATTCCAGCTGGTGAGAGCGGCGCACGTGAGACTGCTGGACTCGAGGAAGTTGAGGTTCCTGGGAGCCTTGACGACGCCATTCTCATTGAAGACACCGTACTGACGCAGAGTGCCATCCATCACACCACCAAGTCCGGACTTGGCACTCAGGTCATCGACGGCGCCGTACTGATGTAACTGGTTGAACAAAGTGACAACCTTGTCTCCTTTCTTAAAATGCTTCACTTTGGACCCGGCCTCGACAACTTCGCCGGCACCATCGGAACCGGGTATGACAGGGAGGTCAAGAGGAAAGGGGTGCATTTCCTTTAATGAGGCCGATATGTCAGTATATAAAAAAAAGCTTACACAAGATCAAAGACAAGAAGCTTGTGGTAAGCACCGCCTTCAACCATGATGTTCTGATTGCGCACCTTGGGAATGACCAGGTCGCGGTAATTCAACGACGCAGCATGAAGCTTGACCAAAACCTCATTTTCACCACACTTGGGCACAGGAGCCTCCTTGAATTCAAGATGATCGAAACTATCACCTTCGAGATTGCCAGTGGTCGTGCCTGCGACAACCCACTGCTTCATAGTTGACGGAGCCATTATTTCCTGTATTGCGAGTTGAACTGGCCTGAGCGAGGGTAGATGGTCAATCAGATTCAAGACGAACGTAGAACTATTTCGGTGCTTGACGTAAGTTGAAGGAGAACCAGTTCCACTTGCTGAGGTATGACGGCACTCTGAAGTCTGGACGTGAATCCCTCCGACTTGGAGATTACCGAGGGTTCTCCGATTGGATTTCCATGCGTCTTTCCAGATTCCATTGAGCCCATGTTTGCAAGCTAGTTGGGGGCGATGGTTGGCTCGGATGTGTTCGTTTCTCAGAGAGAGGATGTGAAGAAGCGAGGTGAGTGGAGGAGACCTTGGTTGGGCATAATTGGTATATTATTAGACAGTTTTTGTGAGAGGGAGAGTTGTGTCTAATTGCAATTGTGGTAAAGTTGAGTCTAGAGCCTCTTCACTCTCAATATATCTAGTCTATTAGCTATGATGAGTATCTACATGGTGTATACCTATCCTTTTGGCAACTATCTGGGACTCTCCTCTCCGCTAAGGCAGAACCACAATCGGAGGCTTTTGCTTTCTCGGATCACTCGAGGTCATCGTGATTTGTGATTTTCTTATAGACTAAAATCCTATAGAAGACTTCTTGGTCTGGGAGAGGTCCCTAGTTAGACCCACCTATGCAAGGTGAACCAGTTGATCTAAAAGCATGCCCTCGTGCTATGCCATCCAATACATGTCTCGCCATGTCTAACCCAGCCCTTCTGGTCTTCATAAGAGCCGGGCTTGCGGTAAGGAAATCCAAGCTTGGAAGGCTGACTGTTCCACGAAGCACTTGTAGCCTGAACCAACGGATTCATCATGTGAGAGCTCAAAGCAGGAGCCACGTCCAAGAGATCATCGAATGAAGTCGAAGATGGTCTTCACAGTACGTCGCGTAGGCGCCAGCCAATCTGGAAGAGGATCATAGAGGGAAACCATGAGAAACGCGACTCGCAGAGCAGCAATGGATAAGACGACAGGGCCATCTGGTGTGAACATAGCATCACCAAAGACATGTAGTTCCCTGTCTTGGTGTTTCATAATGGGGAAGCGGCGTGCTGTTTGACGATATTGAAGCCACTAATGGCTTCGGACCCAATGCATTAGGAACATATACTAGCAGAACTGAATCAGAAATCTCCGTATATCTATAAAACATGCGTATTCCTGCACATTTGGAAGATTTATGGACTCTTGACGGAGAGCTGATTCAGTGTCCTCCCCACACTCCGTCCCAAGCAGGCATGACCTACAGGGATCAGCAGAAAATCTTCTTTATAAAGATAAAACCCAGGGTCAATTCTCGTGCTTCAGCCTTTGCTTCCCAGTGAATAGTGTAGAGTTTTGTGTTGCACGATCTTGCACGGTGTGCCATCAAGAAAATGCTCCTTGATATAAAAACGCAGTTTTCCCGGCTTGTGCCCTTCAGCATAGCTGGGGTGCTTGCGCTATCAGCGTTGTTTATATTTTTGACTCTGCCCCGGAAGTCTCTACTTCCTATGGTCAACAGGAAGGGTCCGTGGGAAATCAGGTCCTATCGTGTGCAAAATAAGTGTGTACAAGACGCACGTAAATCGATCAAGACTGGGCTTAGCAAGGTAACTTACAAAACTCGCCACTGCGAAGGCATAAGTACTGAACTGAAAAGAGGCCATGCAGTGGATGGAGGAATGCGCCAAAGGGCGGCCCTACGATGCAGCGGTAGCTCAAATATCGTTCTCTCTTGCCGCCATTCATACCACATCAGACATGCTCACGCAGGTCCTTCTTGATCTCAGTGAACATGAACAACTTATTCAAGAGCTGCGCGAGGAAATTGTTACGGTCATTCGATCAGAAGAATGGAAGAAGACCACCTTATACAGGCTGAAACTGATGGATAGTGTCCTGAAGAAAAGCCAGCGTCTGAAATCCATCGGAGTCGGTAATATATGTTTGCCCCCTTCAACATGTTCCCTCCAGCTGACATGTCTCGATAGCTACTATGAGGCGTCTTGCAGAAGAAGACATCAAATTGTCTGATGGAAAGCTTGTTCCGAAGGGAACATCCCTATTGGTCTTTAATGAGACAATGTGGGATCCCTCAGTCTATCCGAACCCAGAAACGTTCATCCTCTTGAAATATGATATCAAACTGGCAAAGGGCTGCAAGCCGACAATGCGGATGAATGGCCTTTCCATGAACGCGGACTATTTCGCAAAGGTCTCTGTCAAACGTCGACAAGAAGAGACCTTACTCTGAACCAGCTTATATGTAGCCTTGCAGAAGCCATCAATGCACTATTCTCATTGTCTTATTGAACCTGGTTGATGAAAAGTATTTGGACTGTTGCGAAATGTGTATGTGTTTCGAATAATGAAAGAGGGGAGTAGGTTCAATTCCAAAGATATGTTATTCAGCATTGGTCGATGGTTGATTCGGGGACATTTGATGGCACCATGTATCGATTTCAAAATATTCCAATTTCATGTAGAATCGAACGCTGAGAAGATGATCTGAGCTTTGTGAAGCGTGAAGGAGTTGATGCATGATGATCATTTACCTCGGTCTATCTAGTCGATGTCTTATGTCGAGCACCAACTGGAAAACCAACACCGACCAATTGGCATTAGTTAGACCAGTCCGATTTCCTTTCAGAAAAGGAGCACTTTGTCGACACGCCAGTCGAATGCCACAAAACATTCGGTCAATCGCTGGATGAGTATATTTATCAGCATCCACAGATTTAAAGCGCACCCGGGATGCCAGCCGTCAAAGCAAGCAGAGTGTCCAAATCCAAGTTGAAGCAGACTTTACGGCGAAGTTCGACTCGAAGGGCCCTCACAACAAATGAAGGGCAGCAACTAAAAAAGAGTGAGTGAATTGATGAATATTCATATTCAGCCCTAGTCTTTCTGAAGGTTCTTCTCTTAATTGAAACTGAAGCAATGAAGACCATTGCTGTTCTTGTTTTGCGCTACCGTGACCAAGCACATTCATCCTTTACCCCTTCATTTTCATATGTGTCTATTCTTGCGACCCATACCTAATTTATGTGAACTTCTCTGATAATTCTGGCATTCTGCTGGAGACATCATGATTGGAAGTATTCTAACGCGCTCACAGATTCCAAATTGCTCCCCCTGGTTGAGCGCACCAATGCTCTTTCCATCGAGGAATTCATCTCACGGTATATCCCAACAGAGCCACTCAAGCATACATTGATATGGCGACCAAAAGAAAATCATGATCAAGCCAATAAAGAAAAGCCTCAAACCGAGATGCACTGCATCATCGACGTATTCTCAGCCAGCACCATTCCCACAGAGGAATTCGACACATGCTTCAACCTCATCAAAGAAACCTCGGAAGATGCATACCGAGCGTCCAGCTGGGGCTGGTTTCCTCAGCGTAAACGAAAGGAGATGCGATTGCCCGACATGAAGTATCTGATTGAGCGACGCAGCCAAGAAGGACCGCCCGAAATCACCACGGAGGACGGGCTCTCCTTCCCACGAGGAGAGATTCTGGCATTCCTCTCGTTTATGGTGACCTACGAAGACGGCAAGGAAGTGATCTACTGCTATGAGCTCCATGTGGCGCCAAAGGCTCAGCGGCAGGGTCTTGGGCTGCGACTGATGACGTTGCTGGAATCGATAGGGAATAAGGTTGGTCTGGAGGCGGCCATGCTGAGTTGTTTCAGAAGTAATCAGGGAGCACTGCGGTTTTATGAGTCCATTGGATACCGTGAAGATGAAAGCTCTCCACGGCCTACTCGATTGCGGAGAGGAGAGGTACAGCCGGACTATTATATCTTATCCAAGCAGCTAGAGCGGTAGATGTGGCTCGATGATAATGATTCAATATTAATATTTCTGGAATTGCGTGTCGAAATCATATTATAACACCCTGGACTAGACTTGTCTAACATCCTTCCCCCGGAGTTCTGGATTTTCCTGTTCCCATTCGTCTCGGAGAGCGGCGAAGATCGTATCCGCTACTAGAATAGAAAGCCCCAGACTCCATACAAGTGTGATCGCATAGAAGAAGTTGGCATTGCCCGATCCAGCATAGATCCACAGGTGGTAGAACGCAGGGCCCAAAAGGGTGGCGTATAAAAGAGCCGAAACTGCAAAGAATGTATATCGCATCACTGTCTCTGTTAGTGACTATCAACCGTCAGAACCTCACATGTGAGTACTTACAAGGAAATAGATGCCGGTAGAGCGGAAGGAGAGCGAAGTATAGGGAGGCGTCCGAGATGCTGGGGTAGGGCTTGAAGATAGCGAAGATCCCCAGTAAAGAAGCCAAGACGAAAAGAGGCTGCCTGCGCAGTCGAACAGTAAGACCGCCAACGTAGCCCGTGAGGTGGAGCCAGAAAACACCCAGAAAAAATTCTCGGAAGGAATCGAAGATCTCGATGAAGAAATACCACCAGAGACCAATATTTGGAGTCAAATCAGGCACAAGCAGCTGGAAGCCGTATGTCGCACAGATAAACTGCCAGAAGTCTGGAGCAACTAAGCAAGAGAGGCCGAGGAGCCCTCCCACACTGAGGAGGAAAATGCCGAAATGCTGAATGGCAAAAATAGGTGCTCCACAGGGAGCCCTTGAGTCTTGGGCCCGTCTATCATAGCATAAGATAACGAGCGGAGCGAACAGAAGAGCCGGGTAGATTGAGAGATACGACGCACACCCTAAGGCGAGCATGGCATTGAAGCTATTCCCAGTGGCGGCATTGGAGACGGCATAAAGAATTGCAGTCGAAGTAAAAGCACTGGTCGATCTTCCCAGACAGGCCGCGATGGTAGTAGGATTGAAGAGGAACCTGTTGTGTGTCAGTGGTCTGGACTATGTCAACAGTCCGATGGTGTGCTCACCATGCCGCCACTTCCACTCCATCCCACTTGATATCCTTCCGCAAAGCCGAATAAAGTCTACCGGAAACCGCCTGCCCTGAATTGGAGATGGTGACCAGAGCATTGGCATTGACGAGGTCGATCAGAGCGTAGAAGGCGGCCGTCACGAACGGATAGTCTCTGGCATTCGGCAGGAGAGCGAAGAGGGGAAGGAGGAGCGGCGCCTGATGAGAAGAGATTGTGACATTAGTTATTTATTAAGAACTGATAGATCTCAAGGTTCAAGTTGGGGGTTCTCCGTACCTGGTGGAAGACACCTCCATCATAAGGGGACACGTTCCGAGTGTACAGAAAAAGACCTTCTTGGACTAAAAGGAACAAGTCAATCGCAGCGCTTTAGGCACACGGCCATCATTGATTGTCGAGAAAGCTCACGTCTCTTAAAACTGTTCACTGGCGTAGAAACCTCAACTCTCCCCGTGAGCAAGTCTGGCAACGAGGGGAACAAAACGGAGAGGAGAAGCCGCAGGACAAAAGCGCCGCCAAACACGGCAACTTTCCGTCGGTCTACCGCCATGATGAGGTTCAACACAAATTGGACAGTTGAATCATAGTAGTGACAATCAAGTGCCCCTCTGATTTCGGCCTTGAATCTACCTGTCCTCTGCGGCGATCGTGCTCTTGTTTGTATGTATTTGTATGTATTTGTATGTATCTCCAGCTGGCTTCACTCTTCTTTAGTCTTTCGTCGGGCTTAGAGCGCCAAGACTCCGCGCATTTCCCTTTTCCGCAGTGCACGGGCCAACCTGAGCTGTGATTGGAACAAAAGAAAAGAGAGGAGAAAAAAAAAGAGTTATCGAGAATTTTTTTCCCTTCTTATCAGAGACACTCTCCCATCAACAGATTTCTCTTCACAGTTGTTCAGTCGCAAAGATGGGTAAAATTAAGAAGAAGGGTATGAATCCTCGAGGAAATTTCACTGCGACTCGATTTGACTGACTCAATTCCATATAGGTACCTCTGGCCAGGCCAAAAACTACATTACCAGAACTCAGGCTGTTCGCAAGCTTCAGATTTCTCTGCCTGACTTCCGTCGTCTATGTATCTTCAAGGGTATGTAAGACACGTTTCGCTGTCGACTTTCAATCGGCCCGAATGAGACGATCCCGATTCTGACTGGGTTTTTCTTCGATGTAAAACAGGTATCTATCCTCGTGAGCCCCGGAGCAAGAAGAAGGCCTCGAAAACATCGACCCCCAACACCACTTTCTATTACACCAAGGACATTCAGTATCTTCTCCATGAACCCCTTCTTAGGAAATTCCGCGACCAGAAGGCGGTCGCGAAGAAGATTGCTCGATCCCTTGGTCGCGGAGAAGTCGGCGATGCTGCACGGTTGGAGAAGAACCACGCTCCCAAGCTCACATTGGACCATGTTATCAAGGAGCGCTATCCTACCTTCATTGACGCCTTGAGAGATCTGGATGACGCGCTTTCGCTTCTTTTCCTCTTTGCCAACTTGCCTTCGGACGCCCATGTTCCTCCTAAGACCATTGCGCTCTGCCAACGCCTCTGCCACGAATTCCAGCATTACCTGATCACGACCAACTCTCTCCGCAAATCTTTCCTTTCGATCAAGGGTATCTACTATCAGGCTACCATCCAAGGACAAGATATCATGTGGCTGGTTCCATACCGATTCGTGCAAAGAGTGAACGGCGATGTCGATTATCGTATCATGGCCACATTCGTTGACTTCTATACGACTCTGCTGGGCTTCGTGAACTTCCGCTTGTACTCCTCCATTGGTTTGAGATACCCGCCCAAGTTCGACACTAGAAGCGACGAGAACGGTGCGGAATTGGCGGCTTTCACCCTTGAGGGCCGTGCTGTCGGCGATGTTCCCAAGGCTATTGAGGCGGGTCATACGCAGAGAAGCAGTTCTGCTAACAAGGAGGTCTCCCGCGACATTCAAGCCAAGGTCGACAAGGTTATTAAATCCGCTGGACTGGATCAGGCCAAGGATGAACAGACTGCCGAGACTACCGAGGAGTCGAGTGACACTATCGATAAGTTTGAGCCTGCGGCTCCCGAGGCCGATACACTTGCACAGCCTGACTTGAGCGGAAGCCAAGCTGGATCTCTGTTTGCCCCGTTCACATTCTACATCTCCCGTGAGGCACCCAGAGCTCCCCTGGAGTTCCTTCTGCGGGCTTTCGGCTGCAAGCGGATTGGCTGGGATGCTGTGCTCGGTGACGGTGCATTCACAAATGACGAGACCGATCCCCGCATTACACACCAGATTGTCGACCGACCGCAGCTGCCTGAGTCTTCTCTCCCAGCTATCCCAGCCGCCGCCGAGGAGGATTCAGGTGCCGTCCAGAAGGTGAAGCCTGGTACTCGTATTCCCGGCCGTACTTATGTCCAGCCCCAGTGGGTCTGGGACTGCATCAATGAGGGCAAGCTTGTTCGCCCCGATTTGTATTCTCCTGGCGCCACCCTTCCACCTCACCTGAGCCCGTGGGTCAAGCCCTCAAGGGGTGGTTACGATCCTCGTGCCAGTCTGGCTGAGCAGGAGGAGGAAGGTGAAGCCGAAATGGCGGAAGATAGTGATGAGGAAATGGAAGAGGCGGCCGATGAGAAGAGCAAGACCGCTTCCAAGGACGAGGCCGAGTCTGAAAGCGAAGAGGATGACGATGATGAATCTGTCGACGGCGGCATGGATGTTGCAGGCACCGACGATGATGAGAGCGAGAGCGAGAGCGAAGAGGAAGATGAGGACTTTGGAGGATTCGAGGATGATGAAGCTGCTTCTGAATCCGAAGACGAAGAAGAGGTTGCCCGCACACAGCACCAGAAGGAACTGGAGGCTGAAGCTGCTGGTCTTCCCTTCTCATCCAACGGTGCTACCAGCGACGCGTCCAAGAAGAAGGCCTCCCAGGCGAAGAAGATTGCTGCCAAGAAGCGCAAGGAGGAGGAAGAGATAGAGAGACAGAAGATGATGATGAGCCGCAAGAAGCGCAAGCTGCTCGAGAAGATGATGTACTCCAACAAGAAGCAGTCCGAGGAAGCGGCCAAGCTGCGGTCCAAGAGGAGAAAGCTTGAGAAGGGAGCCGCGAAATGAGTCGAGTAAATAAAAGTTGTTCTGCTTTTGGCGACAAGATGATATCCTCGTTGGGATTTGGGGGCTTTGCAATCTTCTGGCGTCCTTCATCGGTTTTATAGTAATTTATAGCATTTGAGTGTCGTACAATAAGATTTGATAGAATATCTCAATTGCAAATTGGTTCCTGTTCTTCTGCGCATATACTTCAACTTCATCGAAACCGCCTTAAAGACTGAGGTTGTGCCTGTACTATATCACGTGATATATTTTTCTTTTCCCGGTTCAACAACGGTTTGTGATCTCGAGTTCTAACCATTTTTCTGCTCCGGGAATCGGATCTTCGATATTAAGCAGAAGAGGATTGTGTCTAGCTTAGAATGAGAAGCTATTCCTGACAAGTTAGTCAGTTGCAGCTCTCTTCTTGATGCTGTTGTGAGACGTTAGATTTTGATTACGGAAATCATCTTGCGAAAGTCTACCTAGGGTACTCTGTTATGCTTCGCGACGCTGCCTTTATTACCTGTCTATCAACAAGGCATACTATATTGCTTTATCTTTCGATGTCATTTGTCTAGTGCCGCGTCACATTTTTCCGGACACAGGGAGGATGTCTTCCGTTTCTGGAAGTCAACCCTCAAACTTCAACCCTCCTCAGTCTGCTCAGCCCTACAGATCGTTGTTCGGCGGTTTAAGCAGTCAGGATGTAGTGGATCTGGAACCGTATCCTGAACCGCAGCAGGGTGGGGAAGCGGACGATCAGAATGGGTCAGACATTGATATGGAAGACATTCCATTTGAGGAGAACGATCATTCTGACGATGCGACTTACGTCGAGAGCGCAGACGATGGCTCCGAGTCAGATGATCATGCAAGCAACAAAGGCGAGATCCCGGCGAAGAAAAGAGAAACTGCTACCTCGCTCGCCCCTATCGACGAACAGCTGGACAGCCCACCATCATCGCCTGCATATCGCCCTAACAGATTCCGGGGCCCTGAATCTACGTGGAGAAAGCTTACGCTCGAGGACCGACAGAATGCTCAAGCTCTTGAAGAATTGAGAGCCAGAGATCTAGCGGCCCATCTCTACAACGCTTATGCTTTGCGGGTCAGAGCTCGTGAGATCGCACGGCAAGCACTGGAAAGCGACAAACAGCTGGACGAGACAGAAGCGTTTGTTCCCTCCAAACGATGGACGGCGTGGCCTATGCTTGCGACAGAGGTACCTCGAGCAGGAGAGCATCTCCGGCGACAAGTTGACGATGAGTGGACCTTGAGAATGCCGCCGGATCCTCGCCCCAGCGCGGATCTTGAAGAATCCGTCATAGCAGTAATGCTCAAAACTGCTAAAGATCGGTTCAATGCTCGAGATTGGACATCGAAAGGTTTCGGCTCGCACAAAAGGCGAATCATGGCATCTCTACCTGGAACTAATGACGAAAGTACCGGTATTGATGCTGAATTTGGGAGCGATGTCGATCCCGCAGATGGACTGGAGCTGCGTCCAGCCGTTCAAGCCGACGATGACAAGTCTCGACGACAGCTACGGCCCCTTACGCGTAACATACTCACTCAATTTGACCGTTTACTCATGGCTCTGCACCATGCTCGCAAAGGTGGGATGGTAGCAGACGATAGCTCGGCAAGCGAATGGCAGAGCGACACAGAGAGCATTGCTTCCAACGCATCCCACTCCAGAAAGCGGCGGATTGACGAACGGACAGAGAGAAGTCAGTCCAGAGGTCGAAAACGCACACGCAGGACATCTCTGCGGGCTAGATCCACGACCGGTCGATCCCAGAGCCTACATGCATCAAGTGGACGTGCCTCCTCTGTCTCGCGGGGAAGGTCTGTTGATAGTGACCGCAGGAGGTCTGCGAGTCGTATGCGTCTGGGTCTTAGGGACTGGAGCGAAGTGCTGGGTATCGCTTCCATAACAGGCTGGCCTTCTGCTGCTGTGATGCGAGCCGCGAAGAGATGTGCAGCACTTTTCGGCGAGGATATGGAATTCAAGACCCTCAGAGAAGGCAAATTGGAACATTCCAAGGAAGGTCATGTCAACAAATGGGAGTATGTCGAGAGCGAATCCGAAGAATCTGAGTCTGAGCCCGAGCCCGAGCCCTCTCCCCCACGTCGGTCTCAGTCTCGCAAGTCGCGCTCCCGTGCAGCTTCTACGCTTGGGGGGTCTACCTCTCGACCGGTTAGCCCTGGCTCGGAGGCCGCGGAAGATTTGCCACGACTCAAAGGGAAAGGCCAGCACCGCAAGCAGGACATTGTGTGCCCTGTCAAATCGTGTCCTCGACACGTTAATGGGTTTACTCGGACGTGGAATCTCAATTTACATATGAAACGAATGCATCCGGGGTATCGTTCCAGGAGCACCAGCCGAAAGTCTACAGCTGTGAAGTCCCCTGCTCCGTCTGTTCATGATTGAGTCATAGCCTTGTTGGTACCTACCAACCCTTGTGCCTTTGATATACTCCATATGAACTTTTGATAAATATTGCTTCTCCTCATCCATTCCAGTTGATAAGATACAATATCTGGTGTCGATTCTGTAAATACATGGAAGCATTGAGGCGGTATCGGAGAGGTTTTCCTATTGGTGAAAAACGCCGGAATGTTCCAAATACGAACTGTGAGTGGCTCAAAGTGCCGAGTTGGAGATAGCAGTTCTCGCCGCGTTTCAAGCATCAATACGAGAGACGTTTTTTATATCGACCTCTGGATAAGGATTCGACGCATTTGACGCCCTCTGTAACGGAAAGAAGAGAGCATTTGTGCTATATCTGCTCAGATAAAGACACAAAATATGAGCAATTGAAAGCAATTGATCTCTCTGATGATCGGGGATCTTTCACGAGGCTCACCACAGCTCCTGGTGGGAATGACGTCGGTCCACGTGATACTGCGCTCCCCGCTTGACGGTATGATAGAAGTAATTCTGAACCGACTCGGAGCTACGATTGTTAGCAACTTAGCACTGATTACTTTCCACTGGTCGACGGGTCCATTCTATTCTTGTATCGTATAAAAGGGATCTTAAAGAACTGTTTACCTGTTGGAATCCCCTTCTGGTGTTACTTTTATCTTCTATCTCTGCCCAAGAGTCCTCTGTTGGAGAGCCCCCGAACTCTCCCCGCATTGTCTATAGAGTACCTAGAGAGACTTCTATTGACATCCATCCGCCATCATCCGTATATTTTTAGATATCAGCTTCTTGGACGCCACTAGGTTTGGCTTCATCTCATCATGGAGGGAATCATTCGTCCCGTTGCGCGGCAATTATTGAGATCGCGAGCTCGGTATCCCTTCGCCATTCCTACGCTTCAATCAAAACGATTATATTCAAAGACCCATTATGTCCCTCGGGTAAATTCAAATCTTTCATGAGCGTTGCTGATGATAAAGAAGTGCGCTGATGATACTTTCAAGCTAAACGACCAATCCCTTTTCATTGAGAAAGCGTACGTCAATGGACAATGGGTGGATGCAGAGTCAGGGAAAACATTCGAAGTTCATGGTAGGAAAGCTGGATCTTCTCGTCTTGTCTTGACTTCATCTGATGTCTTTCCAAAAAAATAGATCCCGCCTCCGGAAAGCTCATTGGCACCTGTCCTGAATTCGATGTCCTTGATACAGAAAAGGCCATTGAGGCCGCCTCAGCAGCATTTCCCAAGTTCCGCACAACCCTAGCGCGTGAGCGTGCTCGGATGCTGCGGCGATGGTATCAGTTGATGATGGATAATGCGGAGGACCTTGCAACATTGATCACATGGGAGAACGGAAAACCGTTGGCAGACGCAAAGGGCGAGGTGAACTATGCGGCTAGCTTTTTTGAATGGTTCAGTGAGGAGGCACCCCGTATCTACGGCGACACTATCCCTTCATCGGTGCCCGGTAACAGGGTCATCACTCTCAAGCAGCCTGTGGGTGTCTGTGGCCTGCTTACTCCATGGAATTTCCCCGCGGCCATGATCACAAGAAAGATCGGTCCTGCGCTGGCGGCCGGGTGTACAGTTGTGTGCAAGACACCTAGTGAAACGCCCTTCACCGCAAATGCTCTTGCGGAACTTGCCCACCGTGCCGGCATCCCTAAAGGCGTGGTCAATATTGTGACAGCATCCAAGAACACACCGGAAGTGGGTGAGGTGATCACCACCCATCCTGAAGTTCGCAAGGTCTCTTTCACTGGTTCGACCAATGTCGGCAGGCTTCTCATGAAGCAAGCCTCTTCAACAATTAAGAAGGTATCCTGGGAACTTGGCGGAAACGCCCCTTTCATCGTCTTCGATGATGTGGAGGATCTGGATGCCGCTGTCACCGGAGCTATTGCCTCCAAATTCCGCAGCTCAGGCCAAACATGCGTCTGTGCAAACCGTATATATGTTCAGCGGGGTGTCTATGATGAATTTACCAAGCGGTTTGCTGCAAAGATCAAGGACTTCAAGCTTGGCGCCGGTTTCGAGGACGGTGTCACTCATGGCCCTGTTATCCACGAACGGGCCATCGACAAGGTTGACCAGCACGTCAAGGATGCCCAGTCTAAGGGCGCCAAGGTCCTCGCTGGAGGCAAGAGAGTGCCCGAGCTGGGCCCCAACTTTTACGAGCTGACTGTGTTGGCGGAGATGAACAAAGACATGCTGATCGCCTCTGAGGAAACATTCGGTCCTGTGGCAGGATTGTTCCCCTTTGAGACGGAACAGGAAGTTGTCGAGCTGGCTAACAAGGCTGAGGTTGGGCTTGCCGGTTACTTCTTCAGTGGTAACGTAAAGCGTATCTTCCGAGTTGCCGAGGCACTCGAGGTTGGTATGGTTGGTGTCAACACGGGTCTGATAAGTGATGTTGCTTCCCCGTAAGTTTTTTTTCCTTTTTATTATTGCTGATAGGACACGATGCTGATCGTTATTAGATTCGGTGGTGTCAAACAGAGCGGCTTCGGCCGCGAGGGCAGCAAGTACGGCATCGAGGAGTTCCTGACGATCAAGAGTGTGACATTTGGTGGCATGGGTGAACCTTTGCAGTCTTGATTGTAGCTTTCCATAGAAATATCAAATTTAATGACAATGACAAACATCTATTTCACATTCCTTTTGACATTACCTGGACTCCATCTGAAGATTCACAAATGACGAGCCTATAGCTAATCGCATTTTATTCCATCCCGCAAATTATCCCTAGTCGACGTACTATAGTTCCACCAAAGATCAAGATACTGAGGCAGGGACTCTGGAATCTCGCATTCCGAAACAAAGTCCGGTAGGTCCCCCGACAGAATCGACGTATAATCCTCCAGGGGACAAGAATAGCCAGGACCAGACTGACAGGCACGAAAGGCCACAACAGCCTCGTTGAGAACCAGCCGCACGTATGGCCCTGCCGGTGATACTGCAGTTGCATTACAGCTTAACCGCTCCATGACCAGATGGCCGCCCATTGGGACTAACTCGCTACTTGACCAGGGACTGCCGAAGGCTACTCGGTCAACGGGGAGATCTTCCTGCTGAGGCAGGATGCCCAGCGCGTCAATTATGGGAGTGATGTCTGTATCATGCGCGCTGTAGATAGGCAGTCAGATGGACATGCATGCGATAAGAAGAGAAAGCATAGAAGCTGGGACATACAAGTTGAAAAATAGAGTGCCAGATGAAGGGCCCTCGTTGAGAAGGGCGAGAGTAGCATTGACATAGACAGCGCCAACGGAGCGCATCTTTTCGTTGCCGGGACTAGAAGCGAGATTGCTATTAGGTCCGATCAATAGATGGAGCTTCAACGGCTTACCCTGCGCAATAGTAGAAGTGTAGATCCCAGATATACCCCAAACTGACCCACTCGTCCATCGTGAAAGCTCCGGTCCAGTTCGAATAGCCACGGACACTCGGCTCATACGACGCCATTGCTTTTTGATCAGCGTTGAACATAGCCTCGAATAAGGGGAATCAAGGACCTACTCATTAGCCAGAATACATCAGTCGAAGTCAGATTCAAACTGGAATATTGGGCATTCAGCCGCTGCGCCGCGACTTCGAGCTGCGGCAACGTCTGCGGCCACGCATCGCATATACTCTGCCCGTCCGCGTCACGGCTCCGACATGCGCGCGAGAGAGCATTCGCGCCGCGGTCCTTCGACTCGGAAACGATGTTGAGAGCCGATTTCGTCTTGTAATCGGCAGCACCGAAGAAGCCTTCTCCGAACATCCGAGCCGTATCCACGATGCGGCTCGTGTCACTAGCGAATAATGGTATCACCGTTTCTTCATCCCAGAGGTGGCCGTAACGATTTCGCGCGTCTACACCGTGCGAATAAGCGGCCTGGATTCCTGCGTATGGCCCTGTGGTGGTCTCCTTGTCATAGTAACAATCGGAAGAGACGAAGTACGTCCAATTCTTGACAAAGGCGAGATCGCCGTCGCTGATGGGCTCATCTAAAATTGCATCTTTGACCTTTTGCAGGGCATCTTCGATCTTTGGCCCTTCGCTTCCAAGGGGGTATCGTTCCCCATGTCGTTTGATCATGATGACTTGGTCAACCATGCAGCCAGCTGGGGGGTTACGGTTGATCCCGTAGGAGGTACGGTCCACGTATGGTCCCATTGCCCCATTGTGTTTGAAGATGTTATTGCCATCAAGAGTTTGCTGGGAGAAGAGGAGAGTCGAGGCGGCGACTGTTGGAATCAAGACAAGCAGCTGTGAGTTCGAGTAGAGCATTTTTCTTTGGACAAGGGAGAGTGTTTGGGTGTTCCGTTTATGGAGATATCGCCTTTTACTGGTTTCCTGAAGACACAGCGGCCAGAAAATATTTTGAGCTTGTGGCTGTTGATCCGACATGCCTTGTTATGTATCGAGCCTCATCCCGCATTCCTGAGTGGCACACAGGGATAGAACCAATAACATATTGGCAGATATGTAAGTCCAAAATATGGTCAAGATTCCAATCATCTTATGTAGCTGAGCGAGCTCCTCCTATACAAATAGCTCGGTTGTTGACATTGTCATGGGGTGGTGTTGAAGTGCCCACATATGGTTGATTTTAAAACAAAATCTCCACAGAAGATCCGCGAGTTTATGGCAGCCATGTTGACGCAGCTAACCAGATATCTTGACGGGATTAGGGGTGATTCTTCTAGATCTCCTTTCTCATTGAGTCAAAAAACTAGCAGCCGCCAATTCTTCTGCTGAGAAGATCCAGATATTGGCGGTATATCGGAGAATTTGATGAGAGAAGGCACAATCACTAAGGCAAATGTCAAATATCTGCCAAATAAGAGGCATACAGTGGTAGTGAGATCCGTTGAATAGATGTGAGATATAGAGACAAAGAGTCTAATGTACAAACAATGTGAGCGCCGCAACCGAACAACCGATGATATAAAAGAAGGCCAAACATATCCGAGTATCACAACGAGAAATCATATGTCCCTGGAAGCATGTCCGCGTTGGGTCGAATTGGTAAGTGTCACCACGGCTTGGTATATTCGATTCCGGTGTCCATGCTGGTCTTGGTCCATAGGAGGTTCATTCCGTTCATCCGTCTATCCGCCCAAAATCTATTTTCCTTGACGTTGCTTGTGCTTGGGGTTCTTAGAGCTGTATTTGACAACCTCGTTAGAGCTGTAGGCACTGATAAGAAAGGCGTGCGGTACTAACCAGATGATATAGACTCTGTTCTTTCTCCGGACAGGCTATTAGAAAACCACTTGTTAGCATCACCACAGCCATTAAGAGCCAAAACTCTCCATGCAATCCAGATGGCAGACAGCCAGTCACACGCATACCTTGCAACCATCGCATAACCGCTTAACGGAGGATCTTGTCTTCATGCCCCGGACTTGCTCAAGCTGGCGCACGGTAGATCCAACAACTGCAGCATTGCTCTCCTGCTTCTTTCCAGAGCGCAAACTGCGAAGGCTGTTGCTAAGTGATACTCTGGTCAATTGCGATAGTGACCGCGAAAGAAACTGATGGGAGAATGTCTGATTCGAGAAGGAGGGGAGGAGTTGGCGGAGGGCGCGGGTTGAGGGCCCAAACACTGAACGGAGAGACATCATGTTGATATGCATGTAGAGAGGTCAGAGAGACTTCGCCGTGAGTGTCTTTAGCGATACACTACAGTCGAAGAGTGGAAGTATCCAAATGACACTGATGGTTGATGATCGTCGAAACCGCGGAGCAAATGTTCGCCGGAGTTTCTGCATCGCCGACGACGCATTCCCATTGGCTGGATTTGTTAACCAATGAGAACAAGCTAAACAGACTTACAGACGGGAGTCTTATATTAGTTGACACCTGAGGCGCCAAGATACCTCTTTCATGTTTATACTGGACTACAGACGCGAGAAGAGAGGTCAAGTCAACCTACAGGACGTTTAGTACGGTCGTCCGTCTTTCATTCAATCTAATATGGATATTGTATTTCCACAGATATTCTAAGATACCCGTCAAATTTCAAAATCCACTGCAAGTTACTTCGTCTGTCAATGCAAGCCCATTCAGGTCTTTGTTTCTGCTTTTAACGAAGCAAAGCAGGACCACAAAGGCTTCTTCTCCCCTTTATTGCAGCGATAGCAAACACATGATCGCTATCTAGAGTTGAAGAAAGAAACGGTCAACTCTCTGGATGAAGCGGGAATTCGGCATCTTTCCTCTCCGCCAAGGCCTGTCAAGTCAGGAGTCTTCACCTACGACGAGCAAGGTATCAGAGCGTATGGTTATTCACGGGCCTCTCTGGGTGAGTTGAAACTCTTATTCCGCAAAAATGCGTCCAAGGCTCGTATCAGATCCGCGACCAAGTCGTGGATCACAGCACAGCTGCAGCTCTATGGGATACCCCTCCAGCGGAAGGACAGCATGCTTCAGCTGAAGGCCTTGCTGGAGACTTCAGTGAAGAACGGACAGGTATGGACTTTTTAGAAAATGATATGAAACTGATTCTGATTTTCTTTACAGTGTGAGAGCCCCTCGCAAGCGATGATTGCACTTGAGAGGTCCCTGTCTAAACAGTACCGGCAGGCCGGATTAGTTCATGAGGAGAATATCAGACGACTGAGGGCAGTCGAATTTTCACAGTTGAAATCACCCTCTTGCGAGGCTCACTCTGACACGTATATGTTCTTGGCCAAATACTTCCTTACTGGTCCACATGGCCAGCCAGACAGAGAGAGGCAAAAAGAGGCATTGATACTGGATGCCTGTCCTGAAATGAATTTCCTCTCAGCTGTACAGAAGGTCCCTGGTCTGGCGTTCTATACAAAGCAGCAAGTCATTATCGTAGGGTGGGAAGACACAATCTCTCGCGGAATCGACGCCGCTTTTGCGAGGCTGTCAGCACCTGGTACCAAGTCGCATGTTGCTTCGAGTGAGATGCGTTTTGACTTGGACCGTTTTATGGCCAAATACTTTCTGGACGGGATTAAAGGCAGGCCAGATCCAAAGAAGACCCCTAACCCAGTCGAGTTGCATTCATTTTCCCAGGAATGGCCGGACCTCGCAAAGATCGTCGCTTCTGTCCCGGGACTACACATTGCACACACTACGGCGAAGTCGCTTTCCGAGAACACGATTATTGGCTGGGACGCCGATAAAGTTGCCCTGTGCAAGAAAAGACGTGACAAAGTCCAGGCTGAGGAGGAGGCAAAAATAGAAGCCGAGAGGGCGGCAGAGGAAGAGGATGCCCGGCAGGAAGCTCTGGCACCTCATCGTCTCTACCTGAGCAACCATTCTCCCTCCCCTGGGCCTTTGAAACCGGAAGATCTCACGGGATCATACATCATCGAGTGTGAAGCAGCAGAAGAATACATCATGGATGGGGAAAAGATGACGCTTGACATCCAGAAGCCAGAGAGCGTCCATGGTGTTGTAGCTGCATTCAGTCTTGGATTGATCGAGGGAACCATGCTGCTGGCCCTCTCGCACGATGCATTGCATGCCCTACGTGAAGAACAACCGCCCATGGAGGATGACTCGGAAGACGAATGGGGCGACTACGACTCAGACACAGGAAAACGTAAAGCTAGCAACCCTGCAGAAGGCCGGGTGGTCAAGCGCCGACTGGGCGAAACTCCCCAACCGAATCGCGTATATATTCAGTGGACGGGGAGAGAAATTAGTGGCCCGATAGCTGTCGATGAGAAGAACGAACATACGGGTTATGTTGATTTTGAGCCTTCCAAAGCAACAGCACAAGGCCAATGGGCATACCCAGACTTCTTCGGCGATGAGAAACTTCAATTCACTATCTACAAGCGTTCGGATGAACCCGACGAAGCTCCTAAAGACTAGGGCCTCTTTACCCAAAAGCAATACAACTATGAAAGTAGAGCGAGATGGGGTGGTTGGTAAGCACCGGCTACGAATAATGATCATGAGTTGTGCCTGGAAGTCACAGCGGAGTCGTCCATGACATACAATCTGAAGATTATCAATAGAATTGCTATTTTCGCATTAGATTCGAATGGGAGAGGTGGACGGTTTATTACTATTTACGAAAGATAATGATAAAGCAGGCTGCAGCCTATGATCTATCTGACGCTCTGATCCAAACGCTGAGGAAACTCACTACACACTGCTTTCGCCCTGAGGAATATCATCAACCCGAATCAGTGTATCACCCTAAATTAACCACGAGATTACACGAAAAAGACGGCTGTCAACGCACATCATTAACAGCGCAAGAATGTCTGGTAGGTAGGGGAGTCGGTTTGCTCGCTGAACGGATAGCCCAGATCGTTCAGGAACGCCTCCAGCTCGTTTTTCTCAGCGTTGGGGCACTGGATACCTGCCAGTACCTTTCCAACATCACCACCATAGTTACGGTAGTGAAACAAGGAGATGTTCTGGTTGGGCCGAAGCGTGGTGAGGAACTTGGCCAAAGCTCCAGGACGCTCTGGGAATTCGAACATGAACAACCGCTCGTCATTGACATCGCAGCGTCCTCCAACCAGGAAACGTAAGTGTCTCTTGGCGAGCTCATCATCGCTCAGATCCTTCGCAGTCATGCCGGCCTTGTCCAGTTCAGCCATGATCTTCGCTAAGTCTTCGCGTCCAGTCAGGGCAGACAAGGAGATGCCCATCAAGACATCGGCGGATTCGGCGCGCGCATAGCGGTAGCTGAACGCCGTCACTGCGTGGGGGAGCACAACCTCAATAAGCTTCCCAAAGGCACCAGGCTTCTCGGGGATGTTGACGCTCAGAAGCGCTTCCTTGCGCTCACCCAGAGCAGCACGCTCAGCAACAAACCGCAGGCGGTCGAAATCCATGTTTGCACCGGATGTGATGGCAACCAGCTCGCGGTTAGTATCAGGACTGGGATTCTGGGCGAGGTACTTCTTGAGACCGGCGAGGGCGAGGGCGCCTGCAGGCTCGATGATAGATCTGGTGTCCTCAAACGCATCTTTGATGGCTGCGCAGGTTTCGTCGGTACTGACCAAGATAACCTCATCGACGACCTCGCGAGCTAGGCGGTAAGTTTCCTCGCCGACGGTCTTGACAGCCGCACCATCTGCGAACAGCCCAACGTCCTTCAGGAAGACTCGATAACCACCTCCTAGTGATTGAGCCATGGCATTCGCATCGTGAGCCTCCACTCCAATAACCTTCACATGTGGCGCGATGCGCTTGAGGTATACTCCAATACCAGCAATCAATCCTCCTCCACCGACCGCACAGAAGACAGCCTCCAGCTTTTCCAGGTTCGCCTGGCGCAAGATTTCCATGCCAATTGTTCCTTGGCCCGCAATCACGTAAGGATCGTCAAAGGGAGGGATGCTGGTCAGGCCGTGCTGCTTCTCCAGTCTATGCGCTTCTTCCTTGGCGGCGTCGAAATCCTGTCCGTGAAGAATAACACTCCCGCCCAGACGGGCGACGTTCAGGTGTTTGATGGCAGGAGTGCCCGAGGGCATGACGATAGTCGCAGGGATCTTCAACTTGCGGGCTGAGAACGCAACACCTTGCGCGTGGTTACCTAGTCAAATATCAGCTTACATCCTGGCAATACCGAGCATACTGAGGGCTCTACCTGCAGAGCAAGCAACCACACCCTTCCACCGCTGTTCAGGGGTCAAATTTGCCATCTTGTTGTACGCTCCACGGAGCTTAAAGCTGAACACGGGGAGAAGATCCTCCCGCTTAAGAAGAACGCGACATTCTAGGCGATTGCTGAGATTCACGGCATGATGAAGAGGCGTCTCCTGAACAACATCGTAGACCCGTGACGTCAAGATAAGGCGGAGGTACTGTTGTGATCAAATCATGGTCAGGAAGTTTCTGGTAACGAAGCGGTTGGAATCGAAAGGCTCACATCGGGATACCCATTAGGAAGCAAAAAAGCACTGGGGATACCCCAGTCCTGCGGTGAGCCCAACGCCGTGTTTTGATCCTTCTCAGAGGGGGGTGTTGGAGCGGCGGTGTACTCGGTCAGAGCGAGGTTGCTCAGCTTCCCAGGGACGGGGAGTGTCGCCCCACTGAGGTTGGCGGGTTGGTCGGGCATGATTGACACCTACAGTATCTTCCAAAATCGAAGAAACCGGGATTGCGACGATAGAATCGGGTTGAACGCAATCAAGAAGGTCGGCGGCGATATCGAAAATTCGCCAGTGGCACCAGAAGCACGCCTTCGACAACAGTAAATCTTTCCCACGGGTCCAGCCTGGAAGAATGCCGGGATCGGAGCGGGACTCGTTGAGTCATCAACCCTGGACTTGAGCCCTAGTTTCCCTTTACGGACACGAAGATATATCGCCTTGAGAGAAAGACCAACCAAACAAATCCCATGAATGAATGACGAATATCAGATATACCAGCTTACGTCGCTTTGATTAAAGATATCTGCTATTTCCTACCGTCTACATGACTGTAGTAATTGAGTGCTCCATAAAATCCCCAGACGCTTTGACACTTGACAGTATGGGTGGTAATCAAAATGTCAAAATGACAAAAATGACGTTTCATTTTGACTAGGTTTTTTTCTGACGAGGTAATATGTTGTGAGAAAAAGTTGAATTTTATTAGAGCCACTACCACCCATGTTGCCATATGCCGAGGTGGTGGATAACTATCTAAACAATAATGATATATATTTTGATGAGGTGTAGTAGTCTCATCTCCTAGGTAGTTAGGTAATACCTACTGTGTAGGTACTGGAATCAAGGGACAGAGAAATCTATATAACTTGATTGGTTGAATTTTGAAATGCTGCTCTCCCATTGGTTACAGGGTGGTATCTACTTTTTTCACGTGACATATATTCTTTGTTAGGAAAATAATGGCTTGTCATTTGACATTTTTGACATTTTGGCCAGATTTTTGACATACTACGTAGGTACTGACTGCATCACCCCGAGTTGACAGCCGGCGGGATAAGACACTAGTGTAAGATACGACTAGCACACCGTACTATACCTGTATTAAATATTACAGAAAAGATCACCAGATCCTTTGCGACGTCATGTTCTGTGCGGCCTTTCCAATACCGCTGCGCATTTCTTCATTTACTGAGGAAATAAGACTTAAGAGCAGAGTTCAGTACTCTCTGAACCAACAACTCGGCCATCAATTGGAGGCCTTCGGGAAAGCTTCCGTCGGGGACCGCAGGATCTCATTTCCGTGATTTCGTTCCAGTTGGGCCATCCGTCTTGCCACCTTCTGACCAACCAATCTTGTCCAAAGTCCGACAAATTTGACATTGCAAAGCTTCATTCGCACCAGTGATACCCCAAATTCATAGTCAAAATGGACCAGGAACCGATTCCCTCGTCTCTGGAGGATAACCCGTACGTTCCCCAACCTGGTTTGGCTATCCCCTGTGGTGCGGGGGAAATGGATCTAACGAACTTCATTCATCCATAGCCAATTCAAAGAAGAGACCTCTCTACAAAAATTTCGCAGACGGTTCAAGGAAGAGCCCCTTATCCCGTTAGGTACGCCTACTCAACGCTTTTCCTGCATGATCAATTCTAATTTCCTTTTTTTTCTCTCCGAGCAGGATGTGCCGCTACTTCATATGCGCTCTACCGCGCCTACAGATCGATGAAAGCCGGCGACTCGGTTGAAATGAACAAGATGTTCCGCGCCCGTATCTACGCACAGTTCTTCACCCTTATTGCGGTCGTTGCAGGAGGCATGTACTTCAAGACTGAGCGTCAGCAGCGGAGGGAGTTCGAGAAAATGGTGGAACAGCGGAAAGCCCAGGAGAAGCGGGACGCGTGGCTCCGTGAACTCGAGGTCAGAGACAAGGAGGATAAGGACTGGAGGGAGCGCCATGCTGCCATGGAGGCGGCTGCCAAGGAGGCTGGCAAGCGCAAGTCCGTCCCTGAGCAAGACGCCGCTCGGTCCGCTATTGAGCCTGCGGATGAGAAGTCGATCGGTGTATTAGCTGCCGTGAGAGAACTGTTGGCGCGGCAAAATTGAGATTGTTAGGAAACAAGTTATGCGGGCTAGTCGGTTGGTCATTGCTTTCCTTGGGTTGACACAAATCATGTACATATATACATCTCGAGATTTTGTAAGATTATAAGAAGCTCTCCTCATTACCCAATTTGGAGTTGGTTGGGTTGGTTGGATGAACGCAGCAAACAACAGTCACCTAATGCACTGGCTTACTGGTCGTTACATCAATAGACGTCTATCAGCCCACGACCTGTTCATCAATATATCGCTTCATCGTTTCAAACTCGGTCTTTCCGGTCTGCAAACGTTGTTAACAGATATAGATCCAGAACAGAGAATATTCTTACTGAGAGCAGATATCGTATATGTTGCTTTATCCCAGGGAGTAGCACCCATCAGTCAGCAACGCTTCGAAGTTGAAACTAGTACGGAGATCATACTCACAAGGTCTGTTACATTGCGATGGCGCTCGAATTCTGTGCGAGCGTAGCTGTGTAATTCATCTCGAGTTGATGAAGGAGGAATCTCTTCAAAAGCGACATGTTCAATCAGCATGAAAGGTCCAGCAAAGTCAATACATGGTATTCATTATATATCAGGACCACTGGGACGACTAACTGTGTAAAGACCTAACGATCTCACGCCATAAACCAATGACTCGCTGTCTTTGTATGAACTACATGATAAATCAATATAACTCCAAGGCTGACATTCAAGCAATAGTTACAAACATACATGATCCAGACTAACTGCTGGCTTTCTGAGTTTTGAGGGCTGGCCACGAGCAACCGAGGCAAGCAAATTCACGGACAGCCGCATCTTTATATCTAGCTAATCACGGGCCTGGTGTGTTGCCAGAGGTTGACATCGAGCAAGAGAGACCTTCTCTGCTTCTATGAAATTGTTCTCTGATGTACATATCTTGATGGAGCTCACTAAAGCTATCCCAGTGGCGGAAGACAAGGCGGTGAAGTGATCTTGATAATGATGTATTGTTATGTCATGTAATTTACACCCACATACAATACGCAATAAATCGCGCCGCTCATCAACTAGATAAATACATTCTCCAGCCCCAACCTCTGAATGAGGTCCAAAAAACTATCGCATTAGATGCTTTGAAGTCAGCAAGATTTTTTGGAGCAATGTTAGAATATGAGAGATTTAATATGATTCTAACAGCGCAATCATCGAATTAATTCCGAACAAAGAGCTAAAGTCCGATATATCCGGCGGAACCAGTTAACACCGATGAAGGTTATACAGACAAGCTGGCTCTTACATTTAAGACTGAAAGCTTGGCTTCATCTATGCATTCGCACGACTTCAAACCGGTAGCATCAAGCTGAGATCCATCAAATAATAAGTCAGAATGCCATCCATCGAAGCTGTTGAGGCCGCATTGTCGCTTGCTGAGAAGGACAGCTCCAAAGTCCTTGGTCTGACCCTCGGCGAACAACGCATTAACACACCTGGTCAATTTGTTCCTAAAGCTGGTGAGTAGGCATGCGGAAATCCTATCACATTGGTCACTGTCAAAATAGCAGTATGCGAGCCATTTGGCTGATGCATGACTGCTGGATCTAGATGCTCAAAGAGAGCCCCAACTCTCCTTCAATGTGTCCTTTGGCAAATACATCGTCATCAGCACGGATATTGATGCCCCTTTCCCGTCCTTCGGTGTCTTGGGGCCCATCCTGCACTGGATTCAGCCAGGATATGAACCATCAAATGACATTACTGCCACTGGAGAAGCCATCCTGAAGACCTCCGCACCGTTTGTTGCAAACTATATTGGCCCTGCACCTCCTCCGGGAAGTTCGCCGCATCGGTATGTCTTTTTGCTATACGAACAACCAGATGGCTTCGATGGCAAGAAGTTCGCTCCCAAGAACGGAAACCCTCTCGGCAACTGGCAAAGGATGAGATTTGACCTGGATGCCTTCACCAGGGAAGCGAAGCTGGGACCTGTTCTGGCAGCGAATTATTTCCGCAGCAATTGATTTCTGGTTTCTTCGAAGTGATCTGGCATTGAGACCAATGTTATGATTCTATTGATTTAATTTTTGCTATGGTAATATGAGAAATCAATCATCAAAGAAATGCACCGATGGATGGAAGTATTGTACATAGTACGTAGTGCTACAGTGCTACTAACTTACTAAGTAGTAATAATAAGAGTGGTCTGATCTATTATTTTCCCCTTCACTCTGATTGGCGCAATCGATGATCGACAAACAACCAATCGGAGCATATCACGTGATATGTTCCTGGCTTCCCCGAACTTTTTTTCAGAGCAGAAAAACGATCGCGGCGCGGAGATTCGAAGCAGCATCAGCACTTGTCTAATTCCTGGTGAGAGTCATGCGGTGTCCTTCTCTTGCGCGGTTGCCTCACCGCGCCATCTCTGGCTTGACCAGATTGCCCGTGCGTCTGCAGTCTCAGACTTTCTTGTATCAGCGATGCGCGTCGACGGCCGCTCTCCGTTCACCCACGGCCGGCCCGGCTTATCAGTCGATTCTGAACAGACATAACCTGCAACGGCGAAATGCTTCTGCTGCTGCTGCTGCTGTGTGAGTATTTCATCTGATACTTCGCTTTGATTGTCCGCTTCTGCTTATTTTGCATCTTGCTGTTGAATCAATCGCTTACTTGCGTCCTTGACCTAGTCTCGAAGCCGCCGCGTCGAATCCCGATGCCCTGACCCAGGAGGCGATCATTGATAACCTTGATCCTGTTGAGGCAACAAGGCTGTCCAGAATCCGAAACATTGGTATTGCTGTAAGACCACAGTGTAACGGGTCGAGTATGTTCAGAAGACCGTATCTGACTTTGGTTCTATAGGCCCACATCGATAGCGGCAAAACAACCTGTACCGAGCGAATCCTGTTCTATACCGGCCGTATCAAGGCTATCCACGAAGTCCGCGGTCGCGACAATGTTGGTGCGAAGATGGACTCCATGGACCTGGAGCGCGAGAAGGGTATCACTATTCAGTCTGCCGCTACGTTCTGTGATTGGGTGAAAAAAGAAGATGATGGCAGGGAGGAGAAATATCACATCAACTTGATTGATACCCCGGGGCACATTGACTTCACAATCGAGGTAGAAAGAGCGCTGCGCGTTCTTGATGGAGCCGTCATGATTCTCTGCGCTGTTTCCGGTGTCCAGTCTCAAACCATCACCGTCGACCGCCAGATGAGACGTTACAACGTTCCTCGTATTTCCTTCATCAACAAGATGGACCGCATGGGTGCCAATCCGTTCAAGGCCGTCGACCAGATCAACTCTAAGCTCAAGATCCCCGCTGCTGCAGTTCAAGTGCCGATCGGCGCCGAGGACGAGTTCGAGGGTGTGGTTGACCTGATCAGAATGAAGTCGATCTACAACCATGGACCTAGCGGTGAAGAGATTGTCATCAAAGATGAGATCCCCGAGAAGGTCAAGTCAGTGGTGGAGGAGAGAAGAAGGATGCTGATTGAGACACTTGCCGATGTCGACGACGAGATCGCGGAGCTCTTCCTGGACGAGAAGGAGCCCACACAGGAGCAGCTCAAGGCCGCTATCCGACGGGCAACAGTCGGCTTGAAGTTCACTCCAGTCTTCATGGGAACCGCCCTGTCGAATAAATCTGTGCAACCCATGCTTGATGGTGTCATTGACTACCTTCCCAACCCATCTGAGATCGAGAATCTTGCCCTTGACCAGAAGCGCAATGAGGCCTCCGTGAAGCTCGTCCCTTACAACAGCCAGCCTTTTGTTGGTCTTGCTTTCAAGTTGGAAGAAAGCAACTTTGGCCAGTTGACCTATATCCGTGTGTATCAGGGTACGCTCCGTAAAGGTGCCAACGTCTTCAATGCCCGCAACAACAAGAAGGTCAAGATTCCCCGCATTGTCCGCATGCACTCCAACGAGATGGAGGAGGTTTCAGAAATCGGAGCTGGTGAGATCTGCGCTGTCTTCGGTGTCGACTGCGCTTCTGGCGACAGTTTCACCGATGGACAGCTTGGCTACACCATGACCTCCATGTTTGTTCCTGAGCCCGTTATCTCGCTTTCTATCAAGCCCAAGAACAACAAGGATTCCGCCAACTTCTCCAAGGCTATGGCTCGTTTCCAGAGAGAAGATCCCACCTTCCGTGTGACATACGATGCCGAGAGTGAGCAGACTTTGATCTCTGGAATGGGTGAGCTGCATCTTGACATCTATATCGAACGTATGCGCCGTGAATACCGCGTTGATTGTGAGACTGGTCCTCCCCAGGTCGCATATCGCGAGACCATCGGTAACAAGGTCGAATTCGACCATCTGCTCAAGAAGCAGTCGGGTGGTCCTGGTGACTACGCCCGTGTTGTTGGTTGGATGGAACCCACCGACAAGCTCGAGGAGAACAAGTTCGAAGAGCAGATCGTCGGTGGAAGTATCTCTGAGAAGTTCCTGTTTGCTTGTGAGAAGGGTTTCAACCTTGCTTGCGAGAAGGGCCCTCTTATCGGCCACAAGGTCCTTGGTACCAGAATGGTCATCAACGATGGTGCTACCCACATGACGGATTCGTCCGAAATGTCCTTCAAGAACGCCACCCAGCAGGCTTTCCGCAAGGCCTTCATGGAGAGCAACCCTTCTGTCCTTGAGCCTATGATGAAGACTGTTGTCACCGCTCCCTCCGAGTTCCAGGGTGATGTTATCTCCCTCCTCAACAAGCGTAACGCTACTATCAACGATACCGAGACCGGTGTCGACGAGTTCACCGTCTATGCCGACTGCAGTCTTAACGGAATGTTTGGGTTCAGTTCGCACCTGCGTGCTGCCACCCAAGGCAAGGGTGAATATACCATGGAATTCAGCCACTATGAGAAGGCGCAGCCTCAGTTGCAGTACGTTGACGATCTTATCCCCAACTATGCTATATTGTGATTTGGTTACTAACACACTGGCTCTCTTTGTAGGAAGGAACTCATTCAGAAGTACCTGAAGGCGCAAGCCGACAGACACAAGAAATAGATCTTTTCAAGATCTGTTCCTTTTCACGGCATACTTGCAGGTCAGAACAGCACCCATAGCTGACCGCAAAGACTCAACGACTCTTTCCAGGCTCAGGGCACAACCTTCGTCGGATTTATACATCTTTTATTACCACAGCGATCTACTTTCTTAACCCTGTATTCAAATGTGCTATTCATCTTTTGTGTCCAAAGCATTGGGGACCATGTATTACTTTGCAACATAGACAAACCCTGTGGGCTTTGTGAGGAATTTCCTCTGGCTTGTTTGACAATATACCTTGTTATGGGAGCTGGGAAAAGCGAGTTTAAGATTATTGGCATTTTGACAACGGTTCTGGGTTCTTGTACTTATTGGTGAACGTCTCTCCTCTCAACTTGATCAATGACATGTGATATATTGATTAGACGCTGTTTCTGTTTCCGTTTCTATTTCTGTTGAATTTGGTGACTGAACGGTCAGCCTTTTGAGCTTCTCCAACCAAAATAACCTTTCGTATTGGTCTATACGGATGTCATAGAAATGGGTTGTGATTCAGAACTACATCTCAAAGGCTCGGAGAACAGATAATGCAGCAACAGAAAATGTTGCAACACGGTTGTGACCTAAAATAATCAGTCATAGTCTCTTCGAACAGGTGTCCGAAGCCGAAGATGGGGGGTTGCAACATACCACCGTAGCCGACCCGTTCCCAGCGAACCTTCTTCACCGCTCCTGAGTCTTTACCGGACCTATTCTCCCAGATCTTCAGCTCAGAAGGTCCATCATCGTCCTTTCTCTGATAAACGAGGGTACCGGGGGCATCTTTTTGGTCTTCGCCCGTGGCAGCGATCCAAACACTACGTCCCTCGTACCACGGAATCTCCACATCATTGAATGCATGGACGATGACCAGATCCAAGCCCTTGCTGCCATACGATGTCTTCGCGTCCTCCTCGGCCGAGGGGCCAACACCCGCAAGGCGCGCCACTCGAGCAGCCGTATCCCAATGATCCACGATGTGACTCCTAATCCATCTCTGGATCCGGGGATATCCCATTAGGGGCGAAAGCATTGGTGGTGTGATGCCCTTGAAGCTGTAGGACTCAAGGAGGTTGCGCAGGCTGCTGAAGGACGCGAGGAGGATTACTCCGGCGAACGGTTCCGGGTCTTTGATGGCAGGTTGGATCGCTGTAGGATCTGGGGAACCGAATGCGAAGCGCTCGGCGACTGCGGCGCTGACGGCCGTTCCCAGGCTCTGTCCCATGATGACGATCCTGGATGGGGGGATGTGCAGGGGTCCTGCTGTGAGGAAATTGAGGAGTGAGACGCCATCGGTGATCAGGCCCTCTTCTGTTGGGGTGCCTGTGGAAATTCCAAAGCCGCGATAGTCCAATGCAAAGACATGGACGGGATTGGAGGGCGTCGAAAGACCCAGGAGCATGCGATAGATCTCGGGTCTTTGAGCGGAGCCCAGATGGGCCGCGTTGCCGTGGACTAAATCCGGGGAGTGATTAGAGCACTGCAGGCTTTCAATGCTCTGTGGGCTGGGGAGGTTTAGAACTAACAGCTGATGACCACTTGAGCGTTGGGGTCGTTCGCTAGGAATCGGAACGCTGGGGTTTTGGTGTAGTCTTCGGCTGGTCCGGAAGGCTCATTCGCGCTGAGCTCGTCTTCGTGTTCATGGCATAGGTGAAGAGGGAGTAGATGCCACCCGTAGAGCGTCTCGTTATCAGGAGTCACCAGATTGAAGGGTTGAACCTGCGTTTCTGACCCAAGTCAACAATAGCCTGTGTATAACTGATCCACCAGATGTAACTTCACATACTTAGGAACCCGAAACGCTCGACCTGGTTGACATCCTCCCATAATGCGGGATTGATTTTGTTCGCATAAAGGGCACTAGGATCGCGAAGCAGTGTCAATTAGCGATTTTCAGTGATATTCCAAAAACAACAAAGCATACAATCGTTGCACGTTGGGCCATGTGAGCGAGCAGATAAGGCTCACATATACCAGACCCGCGACTGCCAGCGTCCAGTAGGCCTTCCGAAAGATGGGCTGTAGCTCAACCATCGTCGAGAGAATTCTGTTTGAGGGAACCGTGTAAGTCTTCAGGTAGTCTTAAAAGAAGACATGAGTAGACTTGATGAGAAATCAACGAGAGAGATAGTCGAAGACGTACCTCGGAGATCCGCCCGAATAACCAGATAAGCCTGTGAAGGGACATGTAATTCTTTAGATAGTCATCGAGCTAGACAGATAGCGAGTATTTAAAACTGAGCATAGGACTTGAAGGGTTGTAGACGCAAATCCGCAGAGAACGGGCCTTTTGGTTGCTGCCAGCCAGAGCTGTGATTTCATCGCCCGCGAACAAATTTCCCGCGTTTCTTTTCTTAAACTCTCCTTCTCCTCCAAACTCTCATTTCATCCCATCCCTCCAGTTCCACGGCTGTTGGAGATGCCTTTGGTCTTCTTTCTAGGCAGTTTATCTTCAACAGCTCTGATTCTGATTCCTCGAAATGGCTGAGAAGCGCAAATTGTCCACCCGCGATCGTCGTGAGCCCTCCGCGAAGAGACGTGCATCGGAAGTCGCGCCTCAAGGGTCATCAAAGAAGAAAGGTTCGACGCCGAGTGTCGCTCCCACGCCCCCTCCGGCTTTACCAGCCACGCCGGCACCCGTTGAAAAACCTCTACCGACGAAGATTAAGGATGGAGAGGCACTTCCCACTGTGTCTTCGCCGCAGCCCGCTGAGCTTCCGGACACCGAGTATCAGTCGATCGCTGAGAGGTACGTCTTTGCCGGACTGGATTCGTCAGAGGATGTGTGCAGGTGCTGGCAACCTTAAGAAGGAATGAATGAGCTGACGATGCATGGCTGTCGATAACAGTGCGGTTCTCTTGGCCTCGCTCGAACGATCGAAGAAGAAATGGCTCAGCGACGGCATCCTAGAGCGATATTACACCAAACCCAAGAAGTCGAAAAGGGAGCAAATCGAGGGTAAAAATCCGCCCAAAGAGTCGATGGTGAAAGTTGGATCATGCAATATCGCCGTTGGACCTCATCTGTTTGATGCTATGCTCTACACTGTCAAAGATCCCAATGCGCCGCCGCCCATTCAGTACACTCCGCCCCAGCGGCCTATGGTTCACTATGGCCATCCCAACTTCCAGCAATATCAATCATATCCTCATCCACCGTCGTCCCAGCAGTCACGTCAGCAGTCTCATCACTCTCCAGCACACTCTGCCTCTCCACAGCCGGGTTATCATCAGGGCCAACATCCGCCGCCACAACCAGCTCGGACATCGAATCAACCCCCTCCTCCGCACCATCCTCCTCATCCTCCCTATAATCCTCAGTCAGCTCAACGCCCGCCTCCTTCACAGCATACACAACCTCCGAAACCTCCGAAACCGAGCCCGGACCCTGTCATCCAGATGCTTGCGACCCGAGCCGCTTCGGATCCCGAACTGAAGGCCTTGATGAGGGTTGTCGCGAGTAGTAAAGCGTCCCAGGAGCAATTACGAGCGTTCCAGGCTCACATCGATGAACTCAATGCAATTATTCGCGCAAGGGAGCAACAACAACAACGGCAGCTACAAGCGCAGTCTCAAGTACAGGCCGGGCGTCAGACGCCGCAGACACCGCACCCTCCCCAGCAAAAGCCATCCCAACCTCCACCCTCGTCACAAAAGCCTCAGCAGCAACACCAGCAGGCGAACCAGCAGCACGGCCATTCGCTACCTCAGCAAGGTTCCACCCCGCAACATCGACCTCAGTCGCAGGGCCAACAACATTCCATGCCTAGGGTGGAAGTTCAAGTGCCCAAACCCTCACCGGCATTCAAGTTAAATAGTCAACATCCCGGCCAGAACTCACCGAAGCAGCTTCAAACTCCTGCTGCTCAGAAGTCGGCTGCAACACCGCAGCTCAAGCAGGAGCCAGGTGTGGCGTCAACAGTACAGATGCCCTCTACTGGAGTCCCTGGCTCTAATGTTGTGGTGGTTCCACCACCAGCGTCAGGCCCAGGCTCTGGCCCTCCGCAGTTAAGTCCGAGTCCTGCTGTACGCCCGACGCCCAACCAGCCGACCTCAACCCAGGGTTCAACACCGCGCTCAGGCGGGCAGTATCCGCCATACCAAGCCCAATCGCCTGCAATTCAGTCTCGTCCTCCACCACACGGTTCTTCTGCTCCGTATTATCGGCCGGCCCCTCCTCCACCACCCCCTGCTAGATTTGCATACAAGTCAGTTGTCTTCGAGTTTACTTCCCCTCTGACTCCATATGGCAGTAGTACTTCGGGCCACGCAGGTTCAGGTGATAGATATCTGTTTCCCGAGTACTCCATACTAGAATGGCTCCCTGGCGGCAACACTGTCCTAGCATCTTTTCTCCTTACTCGGAAGGTGGACCCAAACACGCCTTTCCCTATTGAAATCGCTTCGGCTGCAACCACCACGCGAGCCAAAGGAAAGTCAGCTAAATCCAAGAAGGCGGACAAGAGCAACGACAAGGATAAGAAAGCGGGGGATAAGGCTGAAGAGCCTGGAAAGGATCAAGAGAACGGCCAGCCGCAACAGGAACCTACCCCCGCAGATGCTGGTCCCAAGCCAAGCACTTCTGAACCGGTCAAGACGTCAGAGGACAAGGGTGACCAAAAGGGTCAACCAACAGAAACACCTAGCAAAGTAAAACTAGATTCAGAGAAGCAGCCGTCCAAGGAGAAGCAGGAAGACGCGGGTAAGACAAACCTCAAGGAGTACTATCAACCAGTGACGCTACGTATCTACAGCGCCAACCCCAAATTTCTCGAGCCCCTCGGACGTGTCGTCAAACCTCCTGAGGAGGTACGCAAATATATGAATGAAATCATGGACCGTGCCGAACGTGCGCCGGACGGGTTCCTCGCCATGCGTCTTCCCCGCGAGACTAAAGACGATGGCCACGAGCCCGAGGAGATAAGGAAGAGCGGCACGCCTGCTCCTGCTGTAATGTCCGGTGCGCGCGGTCGGGCACTCAGAGGAAAAGCAGCGGAAGAGGACTCGGAGATCGAGAACATCAACACACCTGCCGAGGAAGAGGAGGAAGAAGAGGAATTGAAGGATTTCTATGGCCCTCCGACGGGTCTTCCGCCACTGAGGGTATGAAATATGGACTGAATCCATCTGCCCCGGTAGCTGATGTACGATATAATTTGTTTAACATATCACTCTTCTTGAGATTCTCCGTGTCAATCGATATTAGAGATGAGACAATTCCCATTGCCAGTGGCATGGAATTCTATTGCTGGAACAAAATATGTAATCCCAACACTGAATAAGAAGCCCGATCACATAAAAAGTATCAAACCAAATCGCAGGAACAAGAACGCCAAATACTATCACCCCCTCCCCCCAACCCGTCCCAAGTTTCTTTGAATCTAACGCCATCATCAAGATAAAGTACCAGCAAACATCAAATCATTCAATATCGCCGAGAATCTCACATACTACCGCCACTTCGTCCCGGCCGATCACCAATTAACCCAGCAGTCTCCAGAAGCCATCTCGCACCTTCCATGGCTGAGTCGCCTGCCCCAGCCTTCAGATTCAAGCTCCGTCTCCGTTCCGCCTCGCGGGCTTCAAAGTCCCACCTTGCGCGTTGCCGCTCGATCGCGTTGTGGCCCGGCTCAGTTAGCGTCTCATCCGAGGGGTCGGGGACCAGCCCCCAGACCTCGAGCGTGTAGATATCTATTTGCATTTTGGATGTGGTTTCAGACCCATTCTTAGACACAGAAGGGGAGGGGAGGAAGACGCCGTTGTGTCCGATGGGCGAGGCATAGAAGGTTGCAGACTCGAGGCTAGCGTCGATGATCAAACTGCCTGCGCCAAGTGGCGTGGGCTCGAATTGTTGACTTCGGGAGGGAGGGGGGATCTGACAGCCGATTGCGATGCCTGTGTTTGTGGAGAAGTATGCCGAGGGTGCATTGGGTTTATGAACCGAAGGGGAGGTGTTTCCTTGCATGAGCAGATGTTTTGGAGATAGCTCGAAAAGACAGGGTAGAGATAAGGAATCGAATGGTCTAGATGGGGAGTGGGCTAATGGACCTGATTTCCAGTGCTGTGGAAGATATGCTCCTAGAGTAATCGTGCCTACCCCGCGGTCCGACGACTCAGTAACAGCGCCCTCGAGCAGGAGAAGCGTACCCGAATTCCATGTGAGGACATTGTGGGAGAAGGAAGTTAAAGATGAGCCATGTGCCACTGTGGAGAAGACAGGGTGCAGGCGCATATTGCCACGGAGGAGGTTGACGTCCGTTGCAGGGGAGGAGAGGAAGAATGAGAGATGGGATATAGCACTCGGTTTCAGGATCGTCGACTCGAAGCTGCCAGGGAGCATGATAGATGATGGGGATGACAGTGGACTTTCTGATACTTCCTCTGCCGTGTCCGCTACAATTGTTGTTTCGGTCCCGCCCCGCTTCTGGGAAAGATCCAGGTTCTTGCTGAAAAGAAGATGCTCGAAGAGCGTCGTCAACGGATCAAAGAGATATGGCAAGGAGCCTGAGACGATCTCGGAAAATGATTGAAAGCTGATCCCGTCAGCTGATTTATTGAGGTCGAAAGCAGCCAGGATGCTATCGGCTTCTTGTCGGACGTTGTCCATTCGCTCCTCGTTGAGATCAGAAGTGTACTTCTTCACAGGTTCAAGAGAGCTCAATGGAGCGATGACGATCAGAAGCATGAGAAGACGACGAAACGTTGCGACTGAGATCCGGGCTTCGTAGACCGTCTTGTCAACACGAGAGTCATGCTTGAACACATCAATAGCATCCAAAGACTCCAACGCTGCGAGCACGAGGTCGTCATCGTCCTCATCGTCCTCGTAGTTGTCATTAGCAGGGTCATCAACCGCAAAGCCTGTAGCATGCGATTTGGCCGTGGATGATTTATCTTCCTCCTTGTTGTCGGCATTCTCGTCTGGAGGTTGACCAGCACCGCGCCTCCCAACATCAGCTAGACTCCCGAACAATAGCTTGACGCGGTCCCTACGCGCTCGTCTCAGAACTTTCCCATATCTTTCCGTCAACAGCACGACCACTTTCACCATGGCCTCGAAAGTCAGGACGCTGGGGGCCATTGTATTCTGGAAGGGAAACGCTCCCAAGTACGAGACCATACGGAAGAGCACCGGCCCCGCATCCAGCGGGCAGTGCGAGTCACTACTATCCGGGATACCCAAGAAGTCGGAAAGGATCTTCTCGCTCCAGTATTTGATGCCCTCCTGGTCTATGGCACGAGAGAAGAAGTTGTCTTTGAAGTGAGTAAGCTCCAGCGGGGTGAAGCATTTGGTCGCGAACCGTTCGGCCAGCACATGGCTCAATTGCTCTGTTTCCTCAGTTGATGTTTTTTAGTTCAAAGCATCTGCAATTACTTCTATCGGGGGAGCGCATAGTCTTGTAAATACTTACCTGGCGAGTGGCCCGCCTGTTCGGTTGACTGACCGAGACCCATCTTCGCGACGGACTCACAGAGTACAGATGATATATCAAAGGGATTGAGACCTTCACAGAAAAGCCCAGTGCATGCATTCGCTTCAATTTCCGATCAAGTCATTGACTGTGTCGAGTACCAGTGCAATCTATCTCAGACTGAATTGAGGGGGCATGCAGAGTACTTAAGATAGGTGTTAGGATTACAAACAGCTAGTCAGCTTCACGCTGGAGAGTCAATAGCCAAGATGAAGATTATTCATAGTAATTCATGTCCAAGGGAGTCCCCGGACCAATCGGCCGGTTGAAACAGAACGATTCGTTGTTGTCGAGCGACAGTGCAGAGTGTGCGAAGGAATTCTGGAGAGTCTAGAGAGTCTGGACTGGGTCCCCATGTGATGGCGACGTCACGGAAACGGACAGGGCTGCCTTGGCGCCTGGGGCATTCCAGCCATGGCATGCCACTAGATAGCTATGTAGATTGGCCCATCACTTCGTTGGGCTTAAGAGTTTCGGGCATCATAATATTTTTGGTCATAGATTCAACGCTTGGCTAATACTAAGGGATCAAGAGTAATAGTATTTTCATGCTCATCTGGATTCTCATAAGTTGGTTCGAGTCATCAGCGAAGAATGAGTACACAGTGTGACCATCGATAAAAGAATTGATACACATAATAGAATGAGAGAACATCTACAGCATGACAATGCCAACTCCTCCCATTCTCTTCTCATCCGGCAGATTCTTCTCGTTGACTCCTCCCGGAATAGGGGCGGTTCGGTAATTGTAGAGGTAGAAATGGAGTTGACCATCGCCTGCGCCGAATTTGAGCTGCTCGAGGAACAGGGGGTTATCGTGAAGTGTGAGAGCGTTGAAGACGTCGAATTTCGCCTAATGAGGTCGGAAAATGTCAGGGCTCAGTCGTTTCGAGAGAGGAAAAAGTAAATAAATTCCAAGTTCACGTACCTTCTTGGCCAGGATCAGGCAATCATTCATCAGCATCAGTAGACGCTCCTTGAGAGCCTTCATGTCCTTGGTGAACGCAACTTCAGTCGCATAGTAATACAGATAAGCAGCACGCACGTTATCGTGCTTCGCATTCTGAATGACAGTCGATTCGAGGTTGTAAAATGAGAAGAAGTCGGTGATCTTGTGAGTGTCGGCGTCTTCCACCACGTATGACCAGACGACCTGCTCCTTCACCACCTCTGGTTTGTGCACCAGCCAATGGTCGATTTCCTCCCGGGTAAATGCCTGGTTCAGAGCGAAGCGCGAGGAGTACCGCTCCAGCAAGTCCTGGACGGCGTCGATGTCCTTAGACTCCATCGGACGCAGGCCAGGGGTCGAGGTGCTGCTAGGCAGGTGATTCTTGGTGATCTGGCGGGCCTTGGTGGAGCCAGCAGGAAGAGGAGAGAAGCCGACTTCATAGAGCTTCAACCAGTCCAGAGGACGGTGGTAGTACCGGCACGAGCTGACGGGAGTGGGGAGCACCACACCGGCGGTATAGATGGCCTGGTAGATGCCATTCAGATAGCTACGACGGGTGATCTCCTTGATGAGAACGGGTGTCAAACGCTTGGAGCGGAGCTTCTTGTGAATGCAGAGGAAATTGATCTCCACCACCTTAATCTTCTGATCACGAACACGAATCTCAGTAGGCACACCGCAGATAGATGCCACTAATTTGCGGGACTTGGTAGCGCGGACACCGACGTGCCATTCCTTTTTCCAGCCCGGGGACATCAGAGCCCTACGAAACTATCCGTTAGCACCTCTTCGAGAAGCATCTCAATTCCAAATCGTTCAATTGTTGCGAGAAGATCGCCTCCCATCGCACTATGCACCCACCAGTGTAGAAAGGATTCCGCGTATCTGAATCGGAACATGGCATTGTCATCCTCAACGTAGTGATACGTCAACAGATCCCACAGCTCGCGCAGCTCAGCCTCATTCGTCAAATCCAACGTTGCCCATTCGAACCCTTCAATCAGCGTATCCGGCTCCTTCGACACCTTCTCCGGGTCGATCATCTTGATGGGCCCACCCACGTCGCTGCTCGTCTCATCGAATCGGGGCACAGGCTGCGTCTGCCAGAACCTGTACGAAGCCATGTCCTTCTGGTTTTTGCCGGAAACCGAGAGACCCGTCAGCAGGTCGGCGATGTTCATCTTGCGCAATGCCTCCGCCGCCTCCTCCTTGTTCATACCGGCCATCTCGTTCCTGAGAGCGGGGTTGTTCTCCAACAGCGATTCCACCATCTGGGGGTTCAATTTCACGGCGCTCCCTTTGTCGGTTTTGGATTGCTTGTCCGAGGACGGCGCCTCGGGTCCCTTGCCCTTCGATTCCTTGGATTCTGACATGGCGCCTGGTGTGTAGAAAGCGGGATGGAGAGGTTGAGATTCGAGTTGGGGGAGGGCGCAAAATAGATACGGGAAGGTTTTCAGCGGCTGCCCCACGTCACTTACTGGTGGTTGTTCTCGCGGGGAGCCACAACAACAATAATAATCATGGCACTGTTGTTTTAGTCTTAAATAGATTATTATTAGCTAAAGGAATACATGAAACATATGATAATCTTCCCGGAGGGGGGGGTTGAAACACTGGTTACTCGTTATAAGACACGTATCATTTTTGGGCTTAACACTTGAGCTATAGGGTCTCATATGAAAGGACTCTCCGGGACTCGACCTCGGTGGGATATATCTGCCAGGCACTGTGGGAAGAAAGATTGTCGCACCACTACTTCAAAGAAACTACAAACACAGAATCTGTTCAAAATGCTACTCGAGTGCCATGAATCCCATAGCAGTGTATTTTAAGAGATGGAGGTCTGCTGAACACCAAGAGTGGACATCTCCCGGACAGGAGGATACCTATAGTCGGTTTATACAAAGGCAAAATTAAAGATCAAAGAAACAAATGGGTATCTTCGTGTTGAAAACCTGTTGAGGGCGTTTGTAGAGTTCAAGCCCAAACTGGTGATGATGTATAGCAGATAGGTTGAAGCATGAAATGGCCTTACTGTGGACCAGGCTTGGTCTCAATAACATCAAGGAAGCCACCGACCAAGTGCAAGCTGCCTGTAACGAAGGTCATCACAGGGGCCTCATCATTGCCTATGCGGCCTCTCTCCTCATTTGCAAGCGTCCTGGCAAATTCGACGGCTTCCTCAATGGTCCCGAAAACCCTCACTTCAGCTTCGGGATCGATCTCATTCCACTTCGCCGCAAGGCTATTTTGCACCCGCAGTCTCTCGACATCGGATGCATCTGTGTTGATGCTTACAAGGTCTGGCCGATAGCCAGCATCCTTGTATGTGACATTGGTACAGAAAATTGCATGTGTGAAAGGTTTCTCCGATCCTAAAGCGGCAGAGAGAGTATCATGAAGGGCTTGAGCAAGGGCGTTGCTATCACGAGTCTGTTGGTTGAAGATCAAGAGGCGCAGTTTCTTCTCTGCTGCAACAGTGGATGAAGAGTTGAGCTGAATCTGGGAAGCGAACCATTGACCGGCCAACTTGATGCTTTCCAAGGTATGGCCACCGTCAATGTACCAGGTGACATCTCGCTCCCGTCGAGTCTCACATCGGCCACCCAATCGAGCCAACTCCAATCCCTTGCGGAATTTAGGTGGCAGTGGTTTCTCCATAAAGTCAGCAGGAATATTCTCAATGCCCAACTTCGAGAGGAACTCGGCCGCCGCTGCAGTAGCCAAGGAGGCATTTGTATATTGGAAATCACCGGCAAGACCCAGCTTGATGTCACCATCAGCGCGTAGATCAGGGTGCCGCGGCACGACCTGCAGCTGAGTTCCCTTCTCCTGGGCACGCTTGCGTAGAACCTCCTCCGCACTGGCGGGCTGCGGAGCACTAAAAGCTTTGGCGCCGGACTTGATGATTCCACCTTTATGCCAGGCAATCTCATCTACAGTGTTTCCCAGGAGAGCGGTGTGATCGATTCCCAAGCTGGTGATCGCACTGACGATAGGTTGTTCAATCACATTTGTGCTGTCGTACTCCCCACCGATCCCACACTCAATGACCGCGGCGTCTACGCCCTCGCTGAGGTACGCATGGAACGCCATCAGAGTCAAATAGCGGAAGTACTGCGGCTTTGTCTGCAGACTGGCGGCATCTTCCCCAGCCACGCGGGCAGATTCCTCTAAGCGGTCCCAAACCTCGAAGAAATATTGAGCAAACTTTTCCTCCGACAGTGGGGTATTGTCGATGGTGATGCGCTCGCGGGCAAATCGCAAGTGAGGCGAGGTAAAAAGGCCAATCTTGGAGAGCTTTCGGGACGACTGTTCCAGTTCTGGCGATTGGGATGCGGTGTACTGGGACAGGATGGAGGAGACAAACGCTGATGTCGAACCCTTCCCTTTCGTACCTGCGATATGTACGGGATTCAGGCGGTTCAGGTCGGAGGACTGTAAAAGATATAAGCGTGCCTCATCAGCCCACGGACATACTTTCGCAAGCAAAGGAAACCTCAAGCACTTCAATTCCGAAGCTGAAAGTAACACATACCTTGTATCCAATACGCCGGAGCCACTCAATCATCTCCGGGATCGACCGTAAGTTCATATTCTTTCGATCTTTGTTGACCTCCTGAATGATTGTAAAGTTGCTCTGCAGCGAATTGAGTGCCGAGATGGCGGCCTGGTCCTTCGTTCAGCACAATTGAAGCATCAGGAGGCATATATACCAGGACCGTTATGATCACTTACATCATAGTTTCGGGCCATTGCGAATGAGCTACCAGAGAATGAACGAGATTGATAAGTCCTACTGGGGCGAGAAAACAAAAAGAACCCTCGCATGAGAGATGATATGCCTCGTCAGTGCGGGGGGGGGAGCAAGAGTAAGTAAACTGATGTTTTCTCAGAAAGTGTTGCGGGGACTACTACTTTGGAGATTCTGCATGACCGCTGAACTCCGACGCTCGGAGAACTTCAGGACTTCCTTATCGGTTATCGTCACGTGGAACAAGACAGAAGTCGGGTATGTCATTGCTAGAAGCAACTTGTTGGATGAAGAGATGGATATTAAGGACAACGACGCCCATGAGCAAGATTTGGTAGAGAGTAAAAGAAGATCGGAGCTACCTCCAGTGTAAACTACAAGAATATCGTATGCTATTGCCACACGCTGTTGTCAAGAAGAAAAGAAAAGCAATGAAAAAGTGCTGCCCTAACAGGAGGGAATAAATCACTCAATCCTCGTTTTACCTTCCTCAAGGAAGACCAGGCGAGCATTGCTGTAACCCCGCTGGTGCCTTCTCGCAGGGAGCATTTTTCCAACTATAGGATCTGAACGGGCTTTGATGAGTGCATCCTGATAGCCCTCGGATCCAGCCGCAGGGGGATTCAGTTTAGGCCAGTTGACCTACGTTCAAACAACGTTAGTGCCAAGGAGTGAAGCTCAGGAGACGTATGTGTTGAGTTGAACTTACATAGAGCATGCCATGCGCGAGGATGAAGCGCGCACAATATCCCGATACAAGAATCCAGAAGAAAACAAATATGCGAATGGGCCAGATAGTAGAGTCGGGTAAGCGCCTCGTAAAGATCGAAACGAAGATCATGAACAGACCAGCGGCCAGAATGTAAGGAATCGATTGAATAATGATCGGCCTGCGGTCGATGAAGAGCTGGAAGCTGCCCAGTGCAGAGTCGGGGGGAAGATATGTGCCGAGAAACACGTCGAAACCATCCTGTCTGGGGCCGTCCAAAAAGTTGTTGCGTATATAACGAGTGATGGAATTGCTGAGATCCTGTACCATTCCAGCCCGCGTCCGTTGGCCAGTGCGAGTGAAGTCCGTCTTGAGAGCTCCTGTACCCGAATAGGCTTTGGAGACAACATCGGCGTTGTCCGCCCAGATATTACGGAACAGGTTCTCGAACTCTCGATCATCGTTCGCAGCTTCACCGGGACGAAGGACTCCGGCATCCATGAGTTGCCGTGTGACAGCCCACCGTCCAAGCATACTCTGTACCACGTTTGTCCGGTCGAGGCAATCCATGCAATTGGTCCGAACGACACTGGACTGCAGCGACCGAGTGTCCAGTTGTCCGCCAGGAGCACCGGGATTTTCCACGCCGCGGAAATATCCGCCCCTTGAGAGTCCGTCCACAAGACGGTCCATTAGCAATTCAGCACGATGCCATTTGAGGCCCTTCGTTTCATTGTGAAAGTCAAAGTAGACATAGTGAAGGCGATCCAGCTCCTTTTGCTTTTGAGTTGGCTCAACAACATGCACCTTCTCAGAGGTGGCCTCGTCGGCCTCGGTGTCTTCGGTTGAGGAGGACACTAGGATGCGGACTAATTGTTCATAGGCCTTCTTCACGCGCTCCTCCCTTCCTTTCTGATTAACGAGGTTGACCATATAGTTTTCACCGTATATCTTGATCTGCTCTGTGAAATGCTTGCGCGCAGCGTCGACCGCAGTCTCAACTCCACGGACTTCAAGTTTCGGGGTGTACTTGAGATTGTTGACCTCGGCCCAGTATACAGGCACGCTTCCTCGAGTTTGCACGAAAGACATGACCTGGAGATCGCGACCCGAGTCGCCGGATTTGTCCTTAGCCATCGATTGCCCAGGAGCGAATCCAGCTAGTCCTCCTGCTGCATCATTCAAGATAACTATCTGCTCCGTCTCATTGTAATTCGAAACATGGCCCTGATCATCTATACCGCGCGAGAAATATCTGGTTCCGCCCCGGTGCCTGGACCGCCTGCTGATAAGAGCGAACGTGAAGGACGTTGACTTGACTCGAGCCGCGGTGATACGCAACATTCCAAATATAACCGGCAGAATATAAGCGTCAACTCCGGGTTGTGGGCCATAACGCATACCGGCGGTATCATGTTCTCCCAAGCTAAAATCGATCAGGTCTGATTGAATGAAACGATTCCAGAAGAAACGGTCGTCGGCGCGCTTCCACATCGGAAGACTGGGATCGCTTTGTGATTGACGCTGGAAACTGTTGGTAAGGTCCAGTGCATAGGAGAAGTACATTGGCCCAGTGCGTAGCAACTCTTTCATCAACGCCAAGTAAGTATCTTCGTCATGATCGTGCAACGGACGCTCGCGGAGGGGCAAGAACTCAGTTGCGGCGACCTTGTAAACCATATGACCGCGCAGACGGCCCATCGGCTGAGCCTTGGTGATAACTATAAGATATTTATCTAAAGAAGTCCCGTCAGTCTAACGAGTCCACTCAGAGAACCTTCCCGGTGATGAACGTACCAAGTTTCAACTTGATGATGCCCAAGATACCGGCAATGCTCGAGATGCGCTTCGCGCCAGAAAGGGGACCATCTGTAAGACGCAGGTCGCCGGTTGGCCGGTCGACAACCAGCGTCTGGGCATTCGGCGATGAAGGTGAAGTGAAGGCATAGTGAGAGGGAGAGGCGTGCAGATTGATATCGCGGAATGGAAGGACAGGAGGAGCCATCGTCAATGTTTCCCGCGACTGGGGAGGTACAACTCAGCTCGGATAGGGAATCTAGGAAGAAAGGTGAGCCGAGAAATGGAAGTTAAGAAACAGAATCAGCACATAATGCGAAAAAGCGAAGGAACGAAGGAGTGAATTAGATGAATAATGACAGAGACAAAGTCGAGGCTTGGAGAGGTTGGAGAATCCCAGCGCATGAAGGGGAATTAGGTACGAATCTCAGTACCTAAGTTATGCCAGCATGTGGTTGATTATGCAAGGCTTTACCTAATCAGGACAGAAACTGTGGCTTCCGCGCTGTGCATAATCCATCGCCGCTTTTAGTGGTCTAAGCCATGCTCCTATCGATTCGTTCACCCCCCCAGCGCCGCGATAACTGTACCCCTGTTGAGTGTAATCATGATGCAAAGCGGCAAGGAAGCAGTACCTAGATAGGAGATCTCAAGGACTTCCTGTCACATGAGAATAATAATATATAAAGCACAAGTCATCCTGACTTACTTAAGTCGACCAATTCGAATAAGTCAACTGATTTGAATAATTTAAATAATTTGAACAAGTTGACCAGTTCAAACAAGGCCTCTCTCTAACCTAATACTGCTTTCCTGCGATCTCCATATACACCCTTAATAGTCTCATCTTCTTAGCTACAGCCTCATGATGACTTTGAATCAGATAAGAGGATGGGGGTGTCCTTATTTGACGGATTGCTACCTATTTAACAATAAAAGGGTACCTGTCTGGTTTGAGAACCATAGATGGAGAGTGGAATCAAGATGGCCTTGGCTGCATTATAAGAACCTTTAACCTAGCTATAGGAGCTGGTATTTAGTGCTATATACATAATAGAGAGGATACCAAAGTTCCTATGGTTAAATTCAAGTCCTATCTCCATCTTCTGTCTGAGCAAACAGTGCTGTCTCTTGGTTATGATGTTGCTAACCTAGCATTAATAGTCCCCTTTAATGGCGGTGTTGCATGTATCCTCTATAATCACCTGCATCCTATCTCTACTGCTAGCTGATCAGGGTGTAGCCCTCTGTCCTCCTCTTCCTTATTGAAGTCCTTGAAGGACATGTCGCCAAGGTTAACCATATCCATAAACCACTTCATTGTGTGCTTAAGGTACTTATCATCCCTGGATAATGAGGTATTGGTGTGATAAAAAGAGGTTTTAGATCTGGGCCCTCGGCCTGCGCTCATTCACTTGGTCTTGGAACTTGACCAGTTTATTCTGGATAGGGAGAAGGAATTTGTGAGGGTGTTTTGTTGGATGTGTTGCCCTATGCTCAGTGTTGAATGGGGATTGGGGGTCACAATCCCAGATGATCATAGTTTTCCATATTCCCTCTTGTGGCTGGAGTACTGCAATACCCTAGACATACTAGGGCTGCTCATCCCACTGCACATTGCCTATATGGCTACTTGTCCATGCGCTAAACAATGCTAGCCATGTCTTTTTCCCATGTTTGGGTGCACACCACCAGGAGGAAAAGGTGTCTCATCCCTGCGCATCCCCCTCCGGCAGGAAGCTGATTTTGATCCGTGGGGAAGATCACCGGCGGCCGTTTGTGGACATTTGGGGCACCCAGAGTGCCATTGAGCCTTTTCAGGAAACTGCTGAGCTTTGGGGAGATTGTCTGGGGGTCAGTCGGCGGCGCCTCTGTCCAGAAACCCCCATGAGGCTGGCTGCTAGTCGGCTCTGCGGTGGATGTATCCTCCGTTGTGTGTATTCTTGTTGTTAAACTTATCTGGTATTGATAAAGAGAAGTTGATGTTGTAGGGGGGGTTAGAAGATGAGAGTAGTGTAGTATGATGTGTTGTGTTACAGATGGGAAGGTTTATATAGTCTGCTCTGCCTGCCCTACCTTACTGCCTGAGGCCATAAGCGTCTTAGTAGTATATATAGGGCCCTTCCTCAAGCACCAGAATCTATTATGTATATAGAATGAATGGCCTTGAAATCATAGCTCTTTTCGATTATTTGCCCTGTACCTACTGTCCAAAAGACAATAATCCTAAGGCATACATAGATATAATAAATGCTCGGTTGTAGTGTATAACAGAGGGGAGGAGAACTGTTAGATTGCCCTCTCCCATAGAAGCGGTTTTGTCTGAGGGTTAGTCCGGGGTGCTCAGGGGGCCGGCAGAACCTTTTCTCCGCATTCTGGCCTCAGGCATTGTGCAAGTGCTGCGTTTGACTTGGAATCAACACTTTAACACCCTAGGCAGTTCTCGTAAGCGCCACACCGCCCCGCAGGTTATCCAGTTGCCTTGTGGCTGACCCTTCGTCATCTGCTTCTGTGAGACTGCGAAACACTACTACTCCTAACTAGTACTACTACTAACTTATGCCATCGAACCTCCCCAGTATCCCGGAGCCCGCCTTCATCATCTTCAAAGCGCCAACTCCATCGCCCAACGCCTTCGTGTCTCATCTTTCACCAATTTGACCTCTCAAATCCTTGGCGCCCGTACTCGAAATCATTCATCCCTGAACTAATACTGTTCTGTTCCCTCCAGTCATCATGGCCGCCAGAGCGCCAGCAGGAGCCCGTCCTGGTGCCAGATTCGCTCAGTTTAAACTCGTTCTGCTTGGTGAGCTTATCATGGTGCTAGATCTCTTCGGCTATCTCTGGCTTGAATGCTAATGTGTCGTCTTGTGGTTGTATAGGAGAATCCGCCGTCGGAAAGGTTAAAGATCTCTGCACCTCATGTACTATTCGATAGGCCGCTGACATCCAGTCCTCCAGAGTTCGCTGGTCCTCAGATTCGTCAAAGTGAGCTTTCGGCGCCTTCTTTTGCAACCTTCCTTGAGGAGGGTGTTAGATGCATGAGAATCTAATCGAGCTTTTAGGATCAATTTGATGACTACCGAGAGTCGACGATTGGCGCCGCCTTCCTGACACAGACCATTTCGCTGGACGAAAGCACAACGGTCAAGTTCGAGATTTGGGATACTGCCGGCCAGGAACGATATAAGTCGCTAGCCCCTATGTATTACAGAAATGCCAACTGTGCTGTTGTTGTCTACGATATCACTCAAGCTGTACGGATTCCGGGCACCGTGCTTTTTCGAACATTGGACAGAAACTAACCGAACACTTTGTGAGAACAGTCATCGCTGGATAAGGCAAAGTCATGGGTGAAGGAATTACAGCGTCAAGCGAACGAGAATATCGTCATTGCTCTTGCAGGTAATAAGCTGGATTTGGTCACCGAGAACCCGGATAAGAGAGCCATTCAGACCGCCGATGCCGAAGCTTACGCCCGCGAGGCTGGACTGCTTTTCTTCGAAACATCTGCAAAGACTTCGACGAACGTGCGGGAATTATTCACAGCTATTGCGAAGAAACTCCCTCTTGATCAGGCTGGGCCGCGGAATCTGCGCACGACCCCTCGTCCCGGCGTGGACTTGCGGCCGGAAACTTCTGGCACACAAGGTGCCGGTGCTTGCAACTGTTGATCGTCTAATCTTCACTATTCTTTCTTGGATTTCCCCCTCCAATTCCTAGTTTCATCTCTTTCAGCTTCTTGTGTCTAGATACGGAGGACCCGCATGTTCTGGCCTGAACGTGATCGGGGTTTACCGGGTTTACTCTCTCATTAACCGACGGCGAGATTCTCCAACCAGAATGCTTCGTGATATGTTTTAATGGTGTTTCGGTGGTTGAGTATTAGCTTTGATGGAATAAACAGTATCCTGCGCTCTTGTCTTAGGTCACTATTTTTGTTATTCTCCTAATTCCATGACTATCACTGACCGTTCTTGGGTGCGGGATGGGGCTAGATAGTCCACCACTGGGCTGTACTTCCACTCTGTTATCTTACCGTGTCTTTATCTGCTTCTGGTTTGAGTTTCGGCGTTTGCATCTTCTATTGGGTTGACTTGCGTTTCATCTTTGCTCCTCTTTGACTGGTATTGTTGTTGTCAGAACACTCAGTTTGCTATGCTTATATAAATCTCGTTGCACAGTTTAGTAGTTATGTCTTTCGTTTTGCCCTATCCCAACACTGTAGAGCTGGTTATCTTATCTTCTCCGTGTTGCCCTCAGCAGGAGAGTGTCATTTGAAGAAGAATGTCACTTTAGGTAAACAACGATGTAGCAAGTTGTTGCGTCGCCACTCTGCAATGATTGACAGTGGCAGAACTTGGATTCGTAGGCGGTGCGCAGTCCGGACTGAGCCACTTGGGGTATGGCGGTGCAGGATCCTCGGAGCGGATCGTAAAAGCATCATCCCAATTCCGGTCCGCGTTTTCTCTTTCTCCTACTTCAACCACCTCTTTTCAACCCGCCGTCAGCGCTTTCCCTCTCCTGTGCGGCCCGCCATGCTGCGCTCTTCCATCACACAGAGCCGACAGTTGCTCCTGTCTCCAGCTCGCTCGCGAACAGCTTCGCAATGGCTGCCGAGAGCTGGAGCTAGCAACCGGATTTCCGGTCAGGTATGACGACAATTCATCCATCTCACTGTCTTCGAAACACCTTCATTGACGATTCATGATGGTTCTTCTAGAGGTTTTTTGCCGATGTCAAACCTCCTGTTGTCCCTGGGGCCCCTACTCCCGCCTCCCCTTCTTCCGACACACCTATCCCACCAGAGACGGTCCCCAAGTCAACACTAGGTTCAACCCCCATTCTCCGCCAAAAAAACCCTATGGCGCTCTCCAATACTAACCATTGCATAGCTGATGAGGCGACTCTGCCTCCCCCTCCACCCCCTCCACCCGCCCCAGTCCGCAAAACAGGCCGGTTTCGGAGATTCCTCATCTACCTGATTCTCACCTCGGGTTTCGCCTACGGTGGGGGTATCTTCCTTGCAATGAAGTCTGATAACTTCCACGATTTTTTCACAGAATACGTTCCCTATGGTGAGGACTGTGTTTTGTATTTCGAGGAACGGGACTTCTACCGTCGATTCCCCAACACACTGAGAAATGCGAACCGCGCTCCCAAGGATGAGGGTAACAAGGTCACCATTCCGAGCAAGAGCGGATTGTCTTGGAAGGTTGCGGAGGAGGAATCCGGAGCTGATCTCTCAGCAAAGGGCCCTCATATGAGTGCGGTCGAGCAGAAGGGCGATGAAGCGCAAATCAAGCCTGGTACTGCTAAGCCTGAAGAGAAGGTCGCCGCGGTTGAGAAGGCCAAGTCTGACAAGCCTGTGAAGGAAGAAGCTCCGAAGGATACCACAAAGGTTCAGGAAGAACCTAGGAAGCCCGCCGTACCGGCAGTGACGCCCATCGAGTTCGCGACTGTCAATGAGGGCGACGAAGCGGTTGTGCAGGAATTGGTCAAGACCTTCAACGATATCATCACCGTCATTGGTGCCGATGAGAGCGCTCACAAGTTCTCCGGAACTATCATCAAAGCAAAGGATGAGCTCCAGAAGATCGGCGAGAAGATCATTGCCATCCGTGATGAAGCACGGAACGCTGCACAAGAAGAGATCAAGGAAGCTCACGCGACCTTTGATGAGTCTGCTAGGGAGCTCATCCGTCGCTTTGAAGAGGCGCGCGCTAGCGATGCTGCTCAATACCGGGAGGAATTCGAACTCGAGCGTGAGAAGCTCGCTCATGCCTACCAGGAGAAGATCAGAACAGAGTTGCTGAGAGCTCAAGAGGTTGCTGAACAGCGTCTTCAGAACGAGCTAGTTGAGCAGGCCATTGAGCTCAACCGCAAGTATCTCCACGAAGTGAAGGATCTGGTTGAGAGGGAGCGCGAAGGCCGTCTTAGCAAGCTGAATGAGCTGACCACCAACGTCACCGAGCTTGAGAAGTTGACCACTGACTGGAAGGAAGTTATTGACACCAACCTTAAGACCCAGCAGCTCCAGGTTGCTGTTGACGCTGTTCGCTCCGTCCTTGAGCGCTCCACAGTTCCTCGCCCCTTTGTCCGTGAGCTCGTTGCCGTGAAGGAACTGGCCGCCGAAGATCCCGTTGTTGAGGCCGCCATTGCTTCGATCAACCCCACTGCCTACCAGCGCGGTATCCCTTCCACAGCCCAGATCATTGAGCGTTTCCGCCGGGTCGCCGATGAGGTCCGTAAGGCCAGCCTTCTGCCTGAGGATGCCGGTATCGCCAGCCATGCGGCCAGCCTTGTCTTGAGCAAGGTCATGTTCAAGAAGGACGCCGTTGCGGGCAGTGATGATGTCGAGAGCATCCTGATTCGCACCGAGAGCCTGCTCGAGGAGGGTAACATCGACGCCGCTGCTCGTGAGATGAATACCCTGAAGGGATGGGCCAAAATTCTGAGCAAAGATTGGCTCGGTGATGTGCGTCGGGTGCTAGAAGTAAAACAGGCTCTCGAGGTGAGATCCCGATTATAAATATTTTACGCTATCCTTTCCACCCAGATATGCTAACAGACATCTTTCATAGGTCATCGAGACAGAAGCACGCCTCCAGTGCTTGAGGGTAGAATAGATAAAAGACTAGGTAGCGGCTGGTTTATGTTTTCGCGTATATGTTCCTATAGTCGATGGAAGACTTGTACCTTTAGTGGCACCTGTGTTGTTAGACTCAATGCTAGATATTCAGTTGCGTAATCTCCTAGGATTCTCTATATGATCAGTGAACTATTTTGAAGCATTCCGTCTCGAAGTGGGTGTTTGTTCTGTTTGGACCTGCACGTGCATCATCGATGTACTCCGTATGTTGCACAGCGGTACACCTCTATTGAACACAATAAAGTCGACAAGCCTGATTCAAAAGACTGTGGAGGGAACGTGCTCGGTCTCTTCCTATCTTTCAGAATGCGCTCATGGAACTAGATAATCAAATCTGCCTTTGATACATCCTTCTCAACCTCTTCTATCATTCCTGACTTGTGGATTGCAACTCCTTTCCTACTTAGCCGGATAGGCTAGGAAGACGCTATCTTGACCTTTGTTGCGAACTAATCTAAATCATTGGTCATTTACGGAGTAGATCAGATCGCTTTGTTTGCCGCCGAAATCCATTGCAGACCACAGCGAGCTTTCCGCATGGCAATCTGTTGCCCAGCTTAATTCCCATGGCGATCCCTACTGATACGAAGACATACGCATGACCGAAGGACGAGGAAGCGGCGAGCTGGAGGGCAGCACGCTCGGCAGCGGCTCGCGCGATGGAGATGGGACGAGACGCAGTCGACGGACATTAAGCTCGGGTTCTTTTCTTGTCGACTCATCCTTCCTCCCCAAGTCAAGGAGCCTCCGGATCAGTTCTCATCGACCACGGCGCTCGGAACCGGATCGCAACGAGAAGCGTGGCGCGCCGGAGAGTGATATCTCGGTGTCTAAGAAACGGTCGCGATTTCCCTGGAATCGACATAGAGAATCCCTTGGAGGGTCCTCAGTGATAGCAACCTCTGCCGAAAATGCCAGTCGATCAGAGAGGTCCGGTTCATCACCTGCGCGACAACCTACACCACCAGACCCACAACCACCGAGAGCGAACAACGCCGAGCCTGCAGCAGGCCTTGACCAAGACTCTCTTCAGATTGTAAACTTAGCGTTGAACCTGAGCGAGTCCAGGAGGAGGAATAATATACCTCGATCGGTGTCCACCCGTCTGTCAGGGTCCGGGTGGACAGGTGCGTCAGGGCAGACGTCGGTCTCCTTCCAAGACACTCCGACACGCGCTACGGGAGGCAGCACTGGATACCAGGCTCCTCATACACATCGTAATCTCACGCAGACATCCGGCCTCCCACCAGGTTCCCGTGGGGAATCGGTCACACATGAGCCTTCATCCGTACTGAATCTACTACCAAACGCTGCTGCTAGTGAAACGCTGCCGCCTGTGTTCTCAGAGAGCACACTTGCTCGAACCGAGAGAGCTCGTCGCCATTTCGAGCTTTTTCATCTCTACCTGCGACTTTTGCCCTCGCTCCCTCCTCTAAGACATCATGGCATGCATGACACTGCTGGTGGTTCCTCGACCTCAAATGATGGTCTTCCTCCGGGACGTGTCTATAATCCTCTTCAGGCTATTCGAGACAGAAAAGTTCGGTTTCGTGAGAGACGTCCAATTGATCCGGAGTCTGAGGGTTGGTATGATGTTGATCGAGTGCATGCATGGGTGGAGTCGATACAGTCTCAGTATGGCGAGACAAGTCATATGTCCACTGAGTGCCTGAAGCTGCCACCGTTCCAGCGTGGCCCGGGGGATCCTCCACCGGAAGAATTAGACGATGGAGATATCCTGGCGGCATCACCCCCTTCAAGCCTAAGGAGGATTAGTCGTACTAGCAGCATGAAAGCTCGAAGACCGAGACTTGACTGGATCATCTCTCCGACAGAGCTTCTTGCTGATGCTGCCTGGGTTGAAGATGGCCAGAACAAGGCTAAGATTGTCGACAACAACGGGTCCCTTCTGTATCCTAATCCCGCGGAATTACTTCATGCCGGGTTCAAACATTTCCCCCCTTACGCTGAGTCGCAACAGCCGGGCAAGCCGGCATCTGAACGTGCTCATGCTCCCAGCTCCACCGCCTCACTCTCAGATGCTCATCCCACCCAAGAACTCGAGTTCAAAAGTTTGAGTCGTGGGAGGCGGCGACATAGATTTCAGGCCTCTTCACATGGCCCCCACAGCAGGAGTGTTTCTATGACGGGAATAAGCACCGGAGATCGAAGACTTGGGTTACGATCAAGTAGCGCATCTAGCGTCTCTACCGCCGGCGATAAGCCGTTTTGGTATGCGAATAGCAAGGAACAGCCAAGGGTTAGCCGAGCTCGAGATTCTCTGGTGAAGCAGTCAATCACTGTGAATAAGGAGGATCGCGGTCTAAATACAAAGCCTTTGCCTTCTCAAAATCCCGGGGCAGACTGGCCGTCATGGGCCAAACTGGATGGGAGGAACGGCTCGCTGTCGTCCGCTGCGAGCGTCGATCAACGTCTTGATCCCTTTGCATCGGGTCCGCTGACTGCTACTTCTAGCTCGCATGTCCCGCTTGGTTATTTCCCAAGCATTGCATCTAATCTATCCCCCCCATCAAGTCGCTCACCCTCACCCTCCAAGAGGCACTTTGCGCACGGGATCATCTCGCGACATGAGCGAAGCAAGAGTCGCTCGCGCCTGCAAGAAGTTGATCCAGATAGATTGGCTTCTGGTGCGATTCCTGCTGACGATCTAGGCGATGTCGGTCATCGTGCTCGCAAACTTGAGTCAAGTCCACTCCCAGATCATCTATCCCCGTTGTATGACGAACGAGGGCGGATCCACACCCATGCGCGAAAGGTGTCTATGCACGCTGAATCTCGATTACGCGGAATCTTCAAAGGTCCAGGGAAGATTGCCGAACGCGTTGGCAATGAGGTCTCAAAGATGGGCGATCGAATCTTAAAGATAGATACCTTGGCCCACTCAAGGAATTCGTCCTTGGAAACGAGCGTTCCTTCTGAGGGGAGCACCTTCGATGATATTGACGAAACGAAAGATGAGAAGAAGTCGGGGGCCAAGGGCCTTTTACGTCGCCTTCCCACCTTCTTGGACGAGATTCCCCGCAAGAATCCTGAAAGGGGGTCCGCAAAAAACCTCATTCCACCTTTCACCACCCCGACTCGTCGTAGCGATCTGGATGAGGAGCATAGGCCATCCGAGAACGGCACACCTTCCAAGCAGGGTCCAGGGGTACCATTTTATGATGCACAAGAGCCTCTGGAGAAGTCGCTTGCTGCAACGGGCCCACACAGGAAGCACGATGTCTTTGCTTCTATGGAGAAAATCGGGGATAACAGAAAGTTTGAACCCGAGGTTCACACTGTCCGGGAGCAAATCAAGAAAGGTCGCATCAAAGATCCATCGGTACCGTTCAGTATGACTCGACCTCCGGTCACTGGTCTCGCGCAAGCAGAAGCCTCCGCAGCACAACCTCCGCGGGATAGACGCCGTGATGCTTCGACTCAGTCAGGGACTTGGAGCATCTCACACCGCAGCATATCATCTGCGAGGGACTCGGGCATCCCTGACAAAAGAGAAATTGAGCGCACCCGGGCACTTCTTCTCACGTCAGGCATCAAAGCGCGGGAAATCACTCGGCGGGCAGAATTGGTACGCACGCCGCCGCCGGACTTTCTCCAAGAAGCATTCGGCCGTAGTAATCCTGTACCACGCGTTATCCGTCGTTGTGAATTCAATGTGACCGCCCAGGGGTTGCTGCAGCGGTTCGAGAAGACCCACCGTCAACTCCAGCGCTCTGTAGACCGTTTCCCTGCTGATGCTGCTCCGCTGAAAACGCAGCTCGCTCGGCTGGAGGACAAGATCAACCATTCGCTTGCGCCGCGTGTTCGAGCGGCGACAGACGACGCGGATAAACTCAGCGTCGACCTCAATACGACCAGTACGCTCGCGGTGAAGCAGTTGAGCGACAAGCTCGATAAGAGTATCCGAAAGCGTCATCGCCGGTTGCGCTGGCTGCGGCGGACAGGGTTCGTCATGCTTGAATGGGCGCTTGTCGGAATGTTATGGTGGGTGTGGCTGATTGTGATGGCATTCAAGGTGCTCCGAGGTATCCTTTGTGGAGCGCTATCTGGCATCCGATGGGTTCTCTGGTTGTGATGAGACATCAAGTTTGCCTTCTCTTCTCTCCTCTTTCCTTTTCTCTTCTCTTCTCTTTCACTTTTCTTAACATATTCTTTGTAATGATGATCCAGGTTGCTTTTCTGCATTTCTGTTATGGCTTCCTGGTTTTCTTACATACACGTATATACCCTTTGTGGAGGATTCCGTTTGCCTGGCGCAATTGATCTTCTTTCCTGCTGGTTGGAGTGTCTTAGAATGGTGTCTTTACTTGTTTGTCTCATACCCCTCATCTGTGTACATATGATAGTCTTGACTTCTATGCAAGTCTACTACTGTCTTAGATTCCAACAGAAAGACAAGACACGTGGTGTATTCTGGACAATATCTATCGCCGCTCACCAAACATCCAAGCCTCACCTTGCCTCAAAGTACCATCAGAGCCGCGACAAGACAGTAGACAAAGAGGCTGTTTCGGTAAGCTCTGTCCTTGAACAATGCTCTTGTTATACCGCTGCAAACAATGACATTGTGGTAGCCATCCAATGGAAAGAGCACGATAGCATGGCTGTTTCTTTGTTAGTGAGGATGCTCAGTCCTAGACATGTACATCGCCTGTTTACATGGCACATCTCTGTGGATGAGATGGGATGAAGGTTCGTGAGTGTATAAATATGGCCTGGGAAACTGCTGTTAGTGTATCTTTTCTCCAACACATCTCTCTGGATTGACTACAGCCTACTGACACCCCGCACCAAGACTGTACGTATCTTCTTCAACGTTTGAGATCGAAACTCCACACAACCAACACGCTTAACACTACTACTACGACCCACGGAAAACAGCTAATCAACCTTTTTTTTTCAGTCCGTTTATTGCGCCAACCACTCTATCCAATCGCTCCATCCACAACAAGATGCTCCGCCAAAGGTTGAATCAGGTGGAGGGAAAAGAGAATGGGGCCCGGAAAGAACGGGAGAACGGTGGTTGTGAGTTGAAAAGATCAAATGCTATACGTCGCCGGGAATGCAGACCACTGACAGCAAACTCACAGGCAGCGAACACTTTGGCAACGGAGGGCGACAGGTCGAAGATTCCTGCCTCTGACGGACACGCGTCGGACCAGGAGCAGCCGCAGGAAGACCCGGGGAGCTCAAGCAGCGAAGAGCGGGACACCAAACTTATCGCGGGATGGAGGGGACTGACAGATGCAGTCTGTCAGTTGAGGCGATCAAACGCCATACGCCGCCAGAGTGGCAGAGGCGTAGTCCGTACACCAACGGCAAGCACTGTGTCGCTTGACGAGGGCGACTCCAACTTTCCTCCTCTTCAGCGATGCGTGTCGGACCCAGAAGTGCAGATTCAGGCAGAAGTGGCCCCGCAAGCCCTAATCGGTAAAGCGCAGGATAACGGGCTCACTGCGACATGGAAAGGACTGTCCAATGTAATCTGCCATCTGAAACGGTCCAATGCCATACGTCGGCCACAGGCACGGGTCTTCACAGCGCGCACGCTGACGGTGACTAAAGTGGCACCTAGGTTAGGCAAGGTTAGGGTCGTGATGATTCACAGATGTGCGTCCGAATCCGCAATACCGCTGGAGGGAACGATGGGCCAAATACCATCTGGCAGTGACGGGCAGGACAGCTCGCTGCTGTTGCCCAGACAAATTAGCGCCGATTGTGAACTGATGTGTCCGAAGCCTAAGCGGCCACTCTGGCCGATCCCGGAAAGATGGGAGAGTGTCTCCCAGCAGCTGACTTGACCTTCCTGCGCGTGAGAAAGAGAGAGGAAGAACAGCTAGACAGGTGACCTAAGGACACGGTCTACCTGATCAATTTGTTGGTTCGAGCGAGCGAGGACACTCCTGGCGCAGTGTCCCCCCCCCGCTGACGTCGTCAACAAGCTATTATCTGGCGACCACGGCGGTGTCTTCGGTGTTTCGAATAGGTTAGTGAACTTTGAATTGGTTGATTTTGATCTACGGTATGGCAGCATATATGGAGAGATACACATGTTAACCATTGCTAGGCCCCTGGCTGGGCTGGGCTAGGCAGCAGCAGCAGCAGCAGCAGCTCATCAGTTCGTAAGGTAAGAAGATGGTCGATTGAGTGCGGTAATGAATAAACCAACCAGGTACGTGAGCACCCTCCTTTTGAATGCCAAGCGTCGTCATCATGTCATGATGAATGAGTTTCGTTATCTGGAGAGTGGCAAGAGTGGCTGTTCGACACCCTGCAGAGTGCAGAGTGTAACAGAAGAGAATGATTATGAGGCTTTTTAGCATTGGAGTATTAAGTTCTGGCTGGGAGGTCGAGTCAAGGAAGCTGATAGGTAAGATGCTGTTGGAAGGAATGCTTCCGATATGCAGGTGATAGACTGTATGCTATGCATGTTTGATTATTCTACCATGTCTCTCTCTCTCTCTCTCTCTCTCTCTATACAACAATATACAGTATAGTTTGAAGTTGATACTACAGAGTACGGACTATCAGGCTGCAAGTTGGGAGACAACCGATGGAGTTCATTCTGGCTGGGCGAATCAGGGCTCTGCTAATAATAACCAGGACCGGTAAATGCCTCACCAGTATCGTCATTATTCTTCTGGAAGTTCTGGTTTTCCTTTTTAAAGTATTTATTATGATAGAGGGGCATCGGGGGATTCCGTGGGTTCCAGCAGTCCCCATCATTTCGATCTCTGAAGTCTGAGTACTCCGTAGATACTACCCAGATAGCAGTCTACGGGCTAGATACTCCCTCCCCTCCTCTCTCTCTCCCTCTCTCTTCCATTCATTCCATTTCCAGGTAAGTCGTAAATGATAAATGTCACACACTCCTCTCTGTTCCTTGATTTGGTCCTGGTTTCTTCCCTTACCCCCGTGTTGTTCACTGGTTGGGTTGGCTGGCGTGTGCCCTTTGCCCTAAACTCGCTCCCACCAACGGAAAAAAAAAAAACCTTTCTTTTTTTTCCCTCTCTCTTCTCTCTCTTCCTCTTCTTCCTCCTCTTCTTCCTCGTCCATAAATCTCTCACCTTCTCCCCCTCCATTCCATCTTTATCCTCTTGTGCAAGGATACTGATTTGTTGGATTTAAAAAGAAAGGAAGGGAAAAAAAAAGGACCTCGCACTTCGCTTTGTCCTCCTGCGACTAAAAAAGGAACCCGCGTCTCGTCGCCTTTGGTCACCTCCCCGGTTCCAAAGGCCAACTCCAGATCCATCACGGCTTTCACAGCCTCTGCATTGCCCTTTCGTCAAATTGTCTCGCCTCGACGGCTTCGTGACACTCTTAACAACATTCCACCACCTCCTGCGGCTGACTCCTCCCGTTTGTCCCTCCGGTGCGCCATTTTTTGACCACCCCCTCACGCCCCTCGAACTTATTCCCGCACTCCTTGAGCTGCCGCATAGGACTACTCTGAAGGTTCTTCCTCTTAAGGAGGAAGGGTCTAGGAGGCTTGGTCCAGTCAACCTCGGTTGCGAATCTTTTCGTCCTCCTTAACACGCAGTCGCGTTCTTGACACTTACTCTTTTTTTTGTGTCTTCATTTTCTCTCTATCTTCTATCTATACCCTTTTTTTTTCTACCGTTCCGTGCCTCGTCGCAGCGCGCATGGTTATGGCACCGACTGCGTGTGTACCTACTGAAGTTTGCATGACTAAATCTTGTCACGACAAGATCGACTACGATTTTCATTCTAGTCATCATAGTCAACTCGGCAATCATGGAGAAGACGATTTGTCGCAATCTCGGTTGGCTGCCAAGGACATGGTCCTGGACATCCTGAAGAAACGTGCCGTGGAGGTCGATGTGGACCGGTGCGAGCCCGGTGAAGAGGATGCATTCTATGTGGCGGACATGGGGGAGATCTACCGACAGCATCTACGCTGGAAAATGAACTTGAGTCGCGTCAAGCCTTTTTACGGTGAGTGCTTCTGGGAGACGTCGCCTTCTCCCCCTTGATGATGATGATGATGATGATGATGTGTTGTGACGGAGCTGACCCCCCACCTCTGCCAGCGGTCAAGTGCAACCCCGACCCGGAGATCCTTCGTCTCATGGCGAAGCTCGGCAACGGGTTCGACTGTGCCTCCAAGTCTGAGATCGATCTGGCTCTCGAGACTGGCATCGATCCCAGCCGCATCATCTATGCGCAGCCCTGCAAGACCAAGTCTTATCTGCGCTATGCCGCCCAGGTGGGCGTCAGACAAATGACCTTTGACAATGCCGACGAGCTGTACAAGATCAAGGCCTGCTTTCCCGATGCAGAGCTCTACCTGCGCATTCTCACCGATGACTCAACCAGCCTGTGCCGGCTGAGTATGAAATTTGGTGCTTCTCTTGATATCGCTCGTCAGCTCCTCGAACTGGCGGCCGAGCTCGAGCTCAAGGTCGTCGGCGTGAGCTTCCACGTGGGTTCGGGCGCCGAGGATCCTCGTGCCTTCCTCAAGGCCGTGCAGGATGCCCGTCTGGTCTTTGACCAGGCCGCCGAGGTGGGCCACGAGCTTCACACCTTGGATGTCGGCGGTGGCTTCTCCCAGGATACTTTTGAGACGTTCGCGGGCATCCTGGGCGAGGCGCTAGACACTTATTTCCCGCCCCACATCCGCATCATCGCCGAGCCGGGCCGCTACTATGTCGCCAGCGCCTTGACCCTGGCCGCCAATGTCATCGCTCGCCGCGATTTGCGCGACCCCGAGGATCCCGCCAACGATGCGTACATGTTGTACCTCAACGATGGAGTGTATGGAAACTTCTCCAATATCATCTTCGACCACCAGCATCCCGTGGCCAAGATCCTAACCCGCTCCGGTGGACCCCAGCCGATTGCCCCGAACGCTGCGACTTCGGAGGGCATCGCCTACTCCATTTGGGGTCCCACCTGCGATGGTATCGACGTCATCACCCAGCGGATCGTGCTCCCCGGTCTGCTGGATGTTGGTGACTGGCTCTACTTCGAGGAGATGGGCGCGTACACCAAATGTAGCGCGACGCGCTTCAATGGCTTCTCGGATAACCACGAGGTGATCTATATCTCGAGCGAACCCGGCGCCACAGCACTCCTCGAGTACTAATCCTGAGTGTTTGTTTCTTTTCGGTTGTGCCATATTTCCTTTTTTTTTTTTTTTTTTTTTTTTGCTTTCTGCTTTCTGGTGTAGTGGAGGTAATTGGAGGGCGTAGCCAGTGGGTGCAAGGTGACGCGCTGGATAGAGTAGACTCTGCCTAGACATTGTCTAATCAATTGCTGAAGTATTACTATTGCTCTACCATTTTTTGGATTATATTGGTCCACGTTGGGGATTTCGAGGGAGTTCCTTTTGACCCCTTTCACAACGTGGTAATTCCTGGCCGCCGAATGTTGCACCTGCGCATATATATAAATCTCATTTGGCATATATCTATCAATAAATCTCTAAACCTTTTCTCATCAGCACAGCTCGTCATCCATACCCCGAATGCAAACTATAACCACACAGACTACGAGAGCCAGCTCCCGACAGTTTATGTACAAAAAGACACATCGTGTCTAGGCCAGCCGTTCCACGACCAGCTCAGCCTCCCCAGTGGACCGGACCAAATTTCCCGCCTCCAACTTCTTTTTCCACTTGGCCGACTCGTACCGCGCCAGGATCAACGTGAGACGAGCGATAATGGTCGGGTCCGCGCTCTCCGCGACGGCTTTCGAGGGCGTGAACGTCCAGCGGCCAAAGGCCCAGTTGAGGATATAGTGTCGCACGGCCGCATTCTCCCCGGTTGGGGCGGACGCGGGCTTCTTCTCGCCGGGGTTGTCCCCCGAATCTGCAGGCAGCTGCGACGCCGGACAGCGCATGGTTCCCTTGATGCGGTAGACCTCGTCCTTGGGTGCGGCGAGCAGCATCATCTCCAGGGCGTCGACGTCGATCGCCTGGTCGGGCTGCACGGACTTGAGCGTGACGGAGAGCACCTCGACCTCGGACTGATGATCGTGGTGGTGCTCATGCCCATGCTCGTGGCTATGGTGTTCCGTCAGCGTTAGGGCCTCCTCGTCGCCCTTCTTCGCGAACAGCGCCCCGTCGATCCCCAGCAGCACCTCCTTATCCACCCGGCCCTTGTCCGACTTCACCCACGGCGTCTGCACCTCCAGATCCCCAACCCGGTCAAGACACAGCTCGAACCGCTGCTCCGGGACAAGCTCCCACTTGTTGAAGATGATTAGGTCCGTGTACCGCGCCTGCAGCTTGGCCGTGTATGAGGTATCCTCATACCCCTCCCAATTCTCCACGTCGATGACGCTGATCACGCCATCCAGCACGAACGAACCTTGCTGCTCGTGTGCCAGCCGGTTCACCTCCATCGCGAGGGTTGCGGGGAAGGCGCTCCCGCTCGTCTCGATGACGATGCGATCTGGGCGGACCTCATCGCGCAGCTGGTTGAGGGCGTCGCTGAGCTGGCCGACGAGGTTGCAGCAGATGCAGCCATTGAGCAGCTCGCGGACGCCGGAGATGGATTGTGTGGAGGCGAGCTGGGAGTCGACGGCGACGTCGCCGAATTCGTTCTTGAGCAGGGCGAGGCGGTAGGTTGCGGGGAGCTGGGGGATGAGATTGAGGAGGAGGGTGGTCTTGCCGGACCCGAGGAAGCCGGTGACGATGGTGATGGGAATGGGAGCCATTTTATTTCTATTTTTTCCCCCCTTGCCCCTTCTAGTCTATAAACGATTGAATGGTCTTGAATCTTTTGCTTCTGTCGGTGTGAATGATTCTGATAGAGATGCTTCTTTGGGAAAGAGGGGCAAGTACGCTAATCCAGATCGGGTAACCTATAAGATGACGTTTAAGGGTGGCATCCTGAGTGAAAAGATGCAAGTATCAGGGTATATTCAACTATTCAACTATTCTACTGTTCTACTATACAACCACTCAACTATCTACAGACAAGCAGACTTCTAACTCCATGGCCATCATTGTGCCCTCTTATACACAACCTCCGTATATCCAGACACCCCAGCCCTCCCCATTGCCTCCTGTACACTCTCTCCTCCCAAATCCGTCCTCCGCAGCTCAAACTCCCCAAAATAATTCGGCTCCTCACTCACCTTCACAAACCCAACACTCTCAAACAGCGCCAGGCTGCGCCCATTCCCCTTCCCGATCTTCACACTCAACGCCGCAAACCTCAGTTCCCCTAGCCCTGTAGCACTACCAGCACCAGCACCAGTATCACCACCCCCCATAGCCCTCCTCACCCCCTCATCCCCCTCCACAAACTCCCGCAGAATCTCCCCCTCATGCTCAACCACATACCGCAGAAACCCCAGCAGCGCCGCACGCCCATGACCTTTCCCCTGGCTCGCCTTCTCCGCAATCATCAGCTCAACCTCCCCGACCAGCTGCGGCGCGCCCGCCCCTTCCTCATCGTCCTCGAGGCGGAGAAAGAGGTTAATGTCGCCGAGCATCCGCGCGGGGGCATCATCCTCGTCTTGGAGACAGGGACTCTTTGCCGGTTGCTGCTCCTGGGTGCGCTCCTCCTCCTCCTGTCCCGCGCGGAACGCAGACGCAGACAGCGGCGCGCAGACGATGAAGGTGAGTTTGTCGGGATCGAGGCGCCAGCTCTGCTGCATGGCGTATTCTTCCTCTAGGGAGAGGGGTTCCGAGGCCGTGGCGGCTTGGATTTCCTGGAGGTGGTGGTGGGTGTTAAGTAATGGCCATTTCCCCTTGGAGGGATACCGAGTGTAGAAAACTTGGGAGGGAGGGAAAAAAGGGAAGGGGGACAAGGAGGATTACTTCATCTTTCATCCATTCGTGGTACCGCGGGACGTGCCAGGGTGAGTATGGGACGAGGAGGACCTTGGATGTGGAAATGGCTAGATCTGGGTGTTAGGAATGGTGGGGGGGGTTGGCTTTGGGGTTTGCTGGCGCTTTGCGTACCGGTTTGGGCGTTGATGAGCATTTTTGTATATATAGATCAGAAATGGCTGGACTTGAGAGATGGGTTTCTACGCGGCTGCCTGCAGCCGGGTTTAGTGTCTTTGTTGGTTCTCTGGTAAGTATTGTGAGGCCCAAGTGGGAAAATACAGACTCTTTTTTTTTGTTCTGGTCTTGGCGCGTCTTTTGATAGTGAAAGGAAGTATTGAGTACGAATTTGTAGTATGAGCTAGAGGTATACCAGACCAGGACAACCACGACACTTGAAGAAGTTAGGAGAAGGAGGTGGTGGAAAATTAGTATTGGTTCAAGTTGAATTGCCTGTCAAGCCTATTGCTTTTCTTCTTTGCCTGCAAAAACCCCGAATTTGACTACCTCGACCTCCAGTGACTCGGTATCTATGAGGATCAGTTCGCCGGTTTCTTTGAACTTCGGAATGGACAAGAGACGGACACGCGGACCGGCGTCGCCTGGTGCGTCGCTCATTTCTGTGTCTGTGCCGTTGAGCTTAAGGGGCAAGTCGCCTTCCAACAAGGCTGTCCGGAATCGCGGTTGATTGCCCGCGAAGAAAATATGCGGACAGGACTGTATTACGAAGGGATCGCTTGTTTGGAATGGATAAGACCCTGTCCGGTACCGTTAGTAATTTATAGGAATATATCAGTTAATAGGAAACGGTAGGAAGAACGTACATATTGTGTCCGGCGCAGTGGGAACTCCGCACCTCCAACGCAACATGGCCTCCATGATCCTCATCCTGGCTTCAATGTCGCCGTCGCCGGCGTCCTGATCAGCATCCCCATCGGCAAAATCCAGATATCGGAGCACGTCGTCCACGTTCTGCCCACTACTGCCCCACAGCCGCCATCCTTCGACGTCTCCCTCCCACGGATTGGTGACACTGTCGAACCACCCCGGCTCGGGCGTTTCATCCTTAGAAGGCGGTGCAGCGCAGTACGCTCTGGATCGCGGAAACATGGCTCGATGGATTCCCTGCTGAGGAAGTGCAAAGTTCGCCGGGTCGCTGTCACCAGGCATGAGCGTAACGGGGATGCTGGGCAGGATCTCCGCTAGGAAATTGTCCAACTGTGTAATCGGCGAGGCGTTGTATGCCGAGGCGTCGTAGCCGTACTTCTTCGGTCCGCTCTTCTTCTTCGAGACCGCTCCGCTCTCCGTCCCAGCAGAAGCTGCCTCGGCCGTCACCGAGGCACCAAGCGAGTTACCGGCGATGATCAGTCTCGTAATTGTGGACGCGTTCGGCGCCGAGCCGTCACTGCTCTCGCCCGTTGATCCAGTATACCCAAGGAGGTAGTCCGTTAGAAGGTCAAGCGCAAGGGCATCGCTCGACGTCCCGGTAATCCCCAGCCCGCTCACAAAAGCAATCTTGCCCTTACTCGACCTCTTGCCACTGGATTGAGCTTCATCTCGCTCCCACCGCCGAGGCTGCGGAGCCAGATCCGGCACTCTGATATCAATCGTCTCAAAATCGCCATTCGCGTTCTCCGTCCCCAGTACAGCGATGATCGCGCCGGTAGCGAGCTGCGTGGATCTCAATAAATTTCCTGTCAGGCGTAGACGGCCCGACTCGTCTTCTAACATGATCTGGGTCAACTCCGGATGCGCAGGGTCGATGTAAGTCCGACGAGGTGGAGGGGCTATAATGTGATTCTTCCAGGCAGTCAGCGCAATTCCCCATCTATCCAGCAAGGGTGCAGTAATTCGAACCTCTTTCGACAGATCGTCGAGAATATTCGGTTTCAATGGCATGTCCATGTAGACCGTCCCGGCAACCCAGCACAGTTCTCCTTGCCGGACATCGAGTACTCGTTCTACACGGTGGGCATGTTCTCCAGCGATCTATGCCCATTATTAGCAGGTCTCCTCGGTTTCCTCACAGCCCGTTGCGTCGTTGCTTCCATATTACTATGAAAAGGTTGCGACGGTCGCAGGCGCAGGCAGAGGAGACGCTTACACTGAACCCTTCCCAGGCCTCTGTTCCAACCGCCTCCACGACCGGTTTCAGTTTTGCCAGTCGCAAGAAGTACATGTCGCCATATTGCTGTTGGTACTGTCGTTCGCTGCCCGAGGGCAGTCGGAAGGTATGCAGCGGGTTGTAATGGGAAGTTTCGCGGTGCACAAGTGGATATTCCTCATCACTGTCGCAGTGCAAACAACAAGACCGTCAGTTGAGCTCTCTTTAGCTTGCTGGGGATGATCGGTGTTAGGACGGGAACACAGACCTTGGGGGTTGTAAAAACATGTCGCTGGCGGCCATTGCAATCTGACGCTGCTCAATTGCCTTTATCCATACATCTAGCTGCCTCGTTCAATTGTTATAGTAGAGTTGATGCTGTTTTCTGGTTGAAAACGTTGATCCTCCCAACTCGTCATTGTTCGGTTGATTTGATCCACGCGAATCACGCGTCTTTTGGCGTTTCTCCGTGAGTGTAATTACAATACCGCTTTGGGCAGAACAGACAACTTTGCATGCATTGATTGATTGCGATGCACTCGACTTCGAAGATATCAATCAGACTTACAAGGTACAGAGAGACAGAGACATGTTGAAAGTGGTGTCTGCCGAGCAGTTTCTGGACAGGCATGGAAAGGCCGTTACACTTCGGATCGAATGAGATCCTTCGGTGCAGGCTAAAGTAAGATGGCCTTGAATGCGTCACAGCCACGATGCGAATACTACTACTCTACTATCTCTTTAGATCTGCAGCAGTCAATGGCTCAAGCCTGACACCGTACATGCCATCCGTTGTGAGCAAAGCCGACAGACCTGGCTTAGATGGATGAACGAGATCGGTTGGTTGCCATCGACAGTATCCTCATGCAGTTCTGTTCACAATGATAAAATGACCGTGAGACACAGCATGAGTAAGAGACTGAAGATAAGGACTTCCATGCTTGATCTCAATTCTCTCGATTGTCTCAGCCAAAAACGTGCTTGTGCTCACTGGGGAATGCGATGACAATGACAGTCGAAAGTCGGGATAGGCTCGAAAGTCGGCAACGCTCCTCCCACCAGCAGAGATCGACATCAATTTATCATATAATCTGGACGTATTGTATTCTCGATGGGTAAGGAACACTTGATAGCGAGAGACTCAACGGTCAAGTCCGTGGCGCTCAGAAAGCCCGTGATCTAGGGATGTCGACATCCGTGGACGCATGCCGGTGCCCATTCCACATACCACAGCATCGATGGGTTTGATTACAATCATTCTATCAAAGCTTCCAGATCTCTCTGGCCTTCAACTTGAATAGTGAACCTCCGTCCTGATAGGTCTGCCTGGTCATACCTGAGTTTGGCATCTGTGCTTCCATTCTTAGGAAATGGGAAGGTCCATTGGAGTGCTCGAATTCGAGAATGAGATCACTCAAAACAAAGCGTCATCTTCCATGCCTGCCTCTGCGTGTCTCCCGTGGGTATGATGAATCAAAACAGCCGAGAAGTCCATATTTCGTCTTAGTCCCCCGGTTTGGACTTCTAACTTGATTCCTCTGAGGCTCAACCCAGCGGCCTCCAATCTCTCTACTGTCCATAGAATCTTCTGACGCGTCCCTCCATATGAAACCTGGCTCAGCATGAGAGTCCCATTGTATTTCCAGTGCCTTCTGGCCAATCTGCTCGTGGTCAGCCTTTTTACATGTTTCTGCGCGACGGCGTTCCACCTCGACTTCCTCTCAAACAGTCTATCAGATCGAATCTTTGGACGGAGCCTGCCAGGATCACTCGTCACTGCTCCCCAAGGAGCGATTGGATACCAACCTCCGCCAGGCCCTGTTGTCAACGAAGCCCAGCCGACGAAGACCCATCATCCCAAGGTCTACAAGACAATAACCACAACCATCGTTACTCGTGAGATATCACACGAACTGAGGCAGGCGCCATTTGGGATGAGTAACTCGTCCGCTCCCCACGGGTACGATTCACATATCGCAATGTGTGTATAGTCACTGATTTTGGTTCTCTTAGGCCTGCAAGAACTGTTGCAATAGTCACCGGGACTGTCACGAAGACACAGGTGATGGTGGTAGAGACACAAACGGCTGGAGGAAACCGAGATGCGACATGGAGTTGGGTGATATTACCGGTCTCGCTTTTGGTATCCTTCTGGCATATGTGAATAGAGATGAAGTGATCAAATCGATTCAAAAGACTGGCAAACGCGCTTCATGTCCACGGCCCTGGAACTCGCTGGAACTCTTTGGGTGATCTTCATGCGTAGCATACTTGATCTGTATACTGAGTAATCCGTATGGTGTGGCTCTATCTGTAACAACAACCACGTCTGTCTTGGTTCTCTATCTTATTGCGCAGAAAAGATGGATGGCTTGATCTTGTCAGTGTGGTCACCCGAAGGAATATGCTTCGAGGTTTGTCGAATGCATCTGTGCGCTTCAAATCCAGCATTATTCAGTAGACCTTGCCAGCTCACAGTTAGTCTAGTTTCATCCTCCCCGTCTCCTGCGATGTCGATTATTTCTACATTCGCGATCCCTGCTGCCAAGCCTTCAGTTGGGGGCGTAAAAGCGAGTAATCACCAGGATTCCAATCAGTTTTTCTTTCCAGCTCAAAGCCGTAAGACTCTCACCCAGCCACAGCCTTCAGAATCGTAATCTTAGCTTGAAACCGTGCGGCGCTGCGCTTGTTGTCCGATGCCCCCATCTGGGGGGGGGGGGAAAGGCTGCAGATCCTTCGAATTCCTCATTCTCATGGTCAGCGAGGCTGCGACTTCTCCTTGACCTCCCCCAAAGTCCAGGTCCCACGGCTCGCATTGACAGCACTCTTGCGAAATGCGCTTCAGAGTTTTCTGAGCGCTAGTTTTGGATAATCGCAATCCGTTCACACATTCTAGTGTTTTTCCTCTACGTCCACGCCCACGCCCACGTGAGATTCTAAGCCAATGGTCGATAAGTTAGGCGACCCGGCCGGGTTCGCTCTGCGCACGAGTGGTACTTGCGCTGCCAACGAGCTGGATTGTGGGTTTACCGTCTTGCCCTTCCGCGCCTGTTGTCCAAATGGCTCCTACTGCCCCAGCCAGTATAACGTGAACTGCTGCCCGTCTGCCGCGAACTGCACGCAGCTGCTTGTCGACAAGCCGAAATGTGCCAATGAGACCTGGGATCTATACGACAATAATGGATATTTCTGCTGTGAGCCGGGGACGATCGGCTATGCGACCACGTCTAATAGTGATGGATGCGCCTTGCCGGGGTACAAGTTCAGTGGTGCCGATACTCTGCTGCGAGTGATCTCGTCAGGGCAAGGTATGTCAGGCTGATCGGGAAAGGACGACGTTATTGATGTTAATGTGTTGCCTTGAAGCGATGCTTGCAACAGCCACCACATCCTCCTCCTCCTCCTCCTCCTCCTCCTCCTCCTCCACCACCACCACAGCGTCTTCTACGCCCTCAGCATCATCAACATCCTCAGAAACCACACAATCATCGACCCAGACTTCATCTGCCCAGTCTCCCAAGAACAATACAGGAGCAATCGTAGGAGGCGTGGTCGGAGGTGTCGCTGGCGTGGCATTTATCGCTATCTTGGTCTGGTGGCTTCTCAGCCGTCGCCTGAAACGCCAGTCAGCTGTTCCAGAGGTACACCAGGCCCCAGTGGTGACTTATAATAATAATAAAGCTCATGGTTTGAGCGAACTGGATGCTCGCATTCCGGTGCAAGAACTTGCAAGCCCTGACTCTCATCTGGCTCATGAACTATCGGGGGAGCCGGTAGTGTATCGATGACGAGACAGGATACTTGACGAACAGGGACAACCTATTTATCATCGCGTGTTCCACTAGCTAGAACTGTTAGCCGTTCCATGCCCCTTAGGAAGCCAATTAACCGGCCCGTCCACTTGTTGTCTTTCGTAAAAGCAGCTGACAGCTTCCCATAAGACTCTAGCCGTACTATTATGCATGAATAGTGACCGAAAATGGAATGATATGAGTGGATAGTGGATGCACAGTAGAAGGGTTTGGGGCTCTGAGTATCTACTATCTACTCCGTAGTCGACAACGGGGCGTCCAGGCTTCAGCCTCTGCCTCGGTCCGGCTGCTTGGCCGTTTCCACCTCCCCGCATTTGGCACAGGCACAACAACTTCACAACAACATCCTCGACACCATTCAGATGCGTGATTGTGTGCATAACTCAGGGCTCCTGGAGAGCTATCCCGGGTATATAATACGCCAGATGAATCCAATTAATTGCCCAATGGCTGCATTGAACTTCTCCTCTAATCAACTCTAGTCATCAACCCCCTCTAAGTAAGTAGGATCCAGCCATCTGATGTGGTGAATTGATCTTGACCCAGAAAGACTGATACAGATCCACAAAACCTCCCAGATAGTACCATTCAAATCACCTATAATGTCCGTCCACACACCTCTCTGCTCCCTCCTCGGCATTCAGCACCCCATTCTGCTGGCAGGCATGGCGCGTGCCTCCGGAGCACCCCTCGCCGCCGCTGTTTCCAACGCAGGCGGACTTGGTACCGTCGGCGGCCTGGGCTACACCCCTCAACAACTATCCGAGATGCTGACCGAGCTGAAATCGCTCCTCCACGACCCATCCCTGCCCTTTGGCGTGGATCTAGCTTTGCCGCAGGTCGGCGACGGTGCGCGCCCCACCAACCACGATTACACGCACGGGCAGCTCGACGAGCTGATCGAGGTTGTCATCTCCCACGGCGCAAAGCTGTTCGTGTCCGCCGTTGGCGTGCCGCCCGAGCGTACCATCAAGCGGCTCCACGGCGCCGGTATCCTGGTCATGAACATGGTCGGGGCGCCGCGGCACGCCGAGAAGGCGTTCCAGCGCGGCGTGGACATTGTCTGTGCGCAGGGCGGCGAGGGCGGCGGACATACCGGCGACATCCCCTTCTCCGTGCTTGTGCCGGCGGTCGTGGACGTTGCGAAGCGGTATAAGTCCCCGTTGACGGGACAGCCGGCGTTGGTTGTTGCGGCGGGCGGTGTCAACGATGGTCGGAGCCTGGCTGCGTCGCTGATGCTGGGTGCGGCGGGCGTCTGGGTCGGGACGCGGTTCGTGGCGTCCACGGAGAGCGGCGCGAGCCAGATGCACAAGGAGGCGGTGGTGGGTGCGAGATATGGGGAGACGAGGCGCACGCTCGTTGTCTCGGGGCGGCCGCTGCGTACGCTGCCGAACGAGTACATCAAGGACTGGGAGAAGCAGCCTCAGGGGATCGCGCAGTTGACGGACAAGGGTATCGTTCCGATGATGCATGACCTGGAGAACGAGAAGGATGTGGATATGCCATTCCTCATGGGCGATGTCTCGGCCAGTGTCACGGAGATCAAGCCTGCGAGCGACATCGTGCGCGAAATGGTCCGCGAGGCCTCCGCAATGCTCCAGCAAGGAGCTTCGTATACCGCTGGGGCATCTAGCAAGCTATGATCTTCCCTGGGCCAATTCGAGGCAGATCAATGGATCTCTTCTAGTGTAGTGTGGAGTGGGGTCACAGATACATGTGGATACCTGATATGATGTAAAAATGAAAATTTCATGATTGCCTGAGCTATCGTTGGGTTTTTTGTTCATTCGGCATGTAGTAGTACAGGAACATATGCAACAAAACAAAACCAGTGCAACGTGCAACAAAACCTCACAGACGAGAACGTGTTTTAGGTAGTTTCGAGGCTGTCTGACAACAGGACAGGTGGACGGACCAGACATGTACACTCTTGCACAATGAGAATGTGAGTTTCCCTGAATGGGCTGCCCAAGTAGCATATGTCACTTGAGGCTGACCACTTCCCGTATACTCGGCTCGATAACGTGATATCGGCGAGCGTAACAGACCGAAGTGATCTGCGACAGGCGTTTGCTCTCCCAGAAGATTGAGACTATCAAGTCGTCAGACAAGAGACACCCAAGACATCAATTTGAGCACCAGCCACACGACTAGTGACATCCATTGATCATAGTCTTGTTGCCATTCGCTCGTGCTTCCAAAAGATTGGGTGGCGGAGGCGGTCCGAAGACGGGCTTCTCGATGGGTTGGGGAACGCTCCGGCCTCCGTTCATATCGCGACCTGGGCTATCCAACTCGTAATCATCGTCGCTGATGCCCTCATCGTCTTCCTCATCCTCATAGTCCTCGTCATATTCGCTCTCGGTCCCCTCATCATCTCCGTCCAGTTCGGCAGTAAGTCCCTGACCACGGCCCTGGGCCTGCATCCGCCGGCAAAGCGCTTCAAGGTGGTGACTCTTCTTGCGCCACTTTTCAAGTTCTTCGTGGTTTCGCGTACGCTCCTCGGCCATCTCGAGTATGTTTCGGTTTGTTTGGTCGTGTTTGCGGGTCAAGGTAAGGTTCTCCTTCTCTAAGCGTTTGGTCTTCTTCGACATTTCCTCCATTTCTTTGCGAAATGTCAGGAAAAGCTCATTACTATTATTGAGCGTATCCTCCACCTGCGATATTATTATTACCACCCAATGAAAACACAAATAACGTTTCGTATAGAATTCGTTAATAGCATACCTGCTTGAACTTCTCCACGTAGATATTGAGTTGGCTGCGTAGTTCGGCTTCCGTATGCGAAAATGTAGAGACTTGAGAACTAAGTGCACGGCAGCGAGCAGCTTCGTTTTCGGCTGCGCGACGCTGTTCTTCGTATTTCGCAGTTAAGCATTGGATCTCGGCATCTTTGCTGCGCAGAAGCGCCTTGTAATGTAACTCGCGCATTTCGAACTTCTCGCCGATTGTCTTGATCTTCGTGCGCAGACTGAGTGAGGGCAGGTTAGCAGTGAAACTAATCGTGCATTACCACCCAGAACTCACGCTTCGTCCAAGTCGATATCCAACTTCTCGTTGCGGGGGTTGCCTTTGGCTGCCATGACATCCTGAATGTCATACAAAAGAGAATCGAGTCGTTCATTGACAATCAATCGAGCCTTCTTCTCCGTTTCCTCCAGTTTCTTGTTTTCATCCTGCACGAATAATAGTTTGTCAGGCCAACTCTCACATAGTCGGAAAGTACAATGTAGCCAAGTCCGAATCAACCCACCTTGACCTTCTTGTTCTCCTTGGTAAGCTCCCTGCATAGTTTTTCCAGTTTGTCCTTCATGGTAACCGTCTTGTTCAATTCCGATTTGCCCTTGTCCTGGTCCTTTTGCAGCTGATCGGCCCGCTTCTTGCTTTTGGTATAGTCGCGATCCAGTTTTTTCATGTCCGCCAAAAGTTCGGTGTACTTCTTGTGGACGGTCTCAAGGCGAGTCATGGGTGATTCGATGTTGCTAAGCAGTTGGTTCAGGTCTCGAGTGGCCTTCTTGACTTCACGCTCTGTCATAATGCTCCAATTAATATTTCGCCCATCCAAGAATAGCGTACAAGACTAGAACACAGATGCATGGGGTGATGAGGTGTGGGACCACACAACGCACCGATCTCTTGTTCCTGGTCCTTCTCTCCAGCGGCATCCTGCTCCAGTTGAGAGATTTTGGCAGCCAGCAGCTTCGAAGTCTCATTGGGATCCGCCATCTTCTTCCCCTTGTTCTTCTTTGACATTGCCGCAGACGACATGACCTCTGCTTTTCTGCAGGAAAAATCTCAATTCGTTGAAGCGATATGCCGACTCGTTGGCGGTGGTCGCGTGGCCAATCCGTGGATATGGAAAATTGCGAAGACGGCAAGGTGTGTGAGAAGCGGTAGACCGTTAGAAGGGTGGCTTATGGAACAGGGCTGCGGCGGGAACAAGAACACCACCAGCGTTTCCTCCGCAAGTCCGTCGGAAAGCAAGATCGAAAGCGTAATCGATTTGAATCGAGAGATCCACAGTAATATACTGGCGGAGAATCCAGGTGGCTTTCTGTTAGACTCGCAGAACTTGGGATGAGATGGATCTCCACGATCCTCAGCCACCAAGTTCTGCAAGACGAGGGAAAGGCGATTCACGTATGAGCGACTAGGCTGAGAGATGGCCCAAAAATTCGAGGACCAGTCTATCGGGTAGGCAGGAGCAGACAACACAGACGCTTCGAGGATCTTGCCGGGGAGAATATGGATCGAATCGAATCCAGTTCGTAAGTGTAAGAGGGGGATGCGCACTTGACCTGCGCTAACCCAATTTGATTTCTTCTCTTGGCATCCAGTCAAGCAGAACTTCCTTGTCTCCAGCGACAACTCGATCCTGTAGTCAATCACAACCACATCTATTTATTTTGACCTTCTCTACCGTCGCTTTTGGGGACCCTTTGAGCTGGTCCGAGCACGGATTTGCCATTCGCCCCGTGTGATTGCGCTCGTTCTGCTGCTCATCCGCTTACGTCCTTTCGTTCAGTCTGGTACCCTAAGCGGGCCAGCAGTTCCGTGGCGACAATATCTATAGAGGGAACTTCCCTTCTTGTGGAACTCAGGTGATAGCTTTCTTACCGTCCCACTGCGCAACGCCATGCTGCGCTCATCGTTAGGAGCAGGCAAATGCCGGGTGCCTGTCGCCCGGCAGCCGCTTTGTGGACGATTGCTCCGAACTACCAACATTCTCGCTCCCTGGAATCAGTGTCGAAGAGCTGCGTCGACCCTCACTAGCTTGGACAACTTCCCAAACATTGGAGAAAAATTGCATGGGTTTACGGTGCAGGAGAAGAAACACATCCCGGAATTACACCTCACCGCGGTACGATTAAAGCACGACAAGACCGATGCGGACTACCTTCACGTAGCGAGGGAAGACAAGAATAATGTGTTTGGTATCGGCTTCAAGACGAATCCTCCCGATGCTACTGGTGTGCCTCATATCCTAGAGCACACAACGTTATGCGGAAGCGAAAAGTGAGATTCACCCTGTTCCGCGTGCGCTACTATCATGGCTGCGCGCCTTTGGGAAGTGGACGGACTGCGCTGACATACAAAACTTTCATAGGTATCCAATTCGTGACCCTTTCTTCAAGATGCTCCCCAGATCGTTATCGAACTTCATGAATGCCTTTACCTCCTCCGATCACACCACTTATCCCTTCGCGACGACAAATCAGCAGGACTTCCAAAACTTGCTCTCAGTCTATCTGGATGCCACCCTCCATCCGCTTCTCAAGGAAGAAGATTTTAGACAGGAAGGCTGGCGATTGGGTCCGGAGGATACCCGTGCTATCCTCGCTCAAGGGGAGCAGACTGAAGGAAGTCTACGACCCGAAGATGTTGTTTTCAAAGGTGTTGTGTACAACGAAATGAAGGGACAAATATCGGACGCCAATTATCTGTACTACATTAAGTACCGGGAAAGCATTCTCCCCGCACTGAATAACTCGGGTGGAGATCCCCAGTACATCACCGATCTGACTCACCAACAGTTGGTGGACTTTTCCCGGCGGAACTACCATCCCAGTAATGCCAAAATCCTTACATATGGAGATATGCCACTGGGCGGGCACCTCAAGCAGATTGGAGAGGTATTAGATGGGTTTGAAAGGGGCCAAACTGACAGAGACGTCAAACTGCCCCTGGACCTTAGTCGTGGGCCGGTGAATGTGACAGTTCCTGGACCCATTGACACCTTCGCTAGCGAGGACAAGCAGGTGAAGACTTCGACCTCCTGGTATATGGGCGATTCGACCGACGTTGTCGAGACGTTCTCAGTTGGAATACTGTCATCATTGCTCTTGGATGGCTACGGTTCGCCTATGTACCGTGCGTTGATTGAAAGTGGATTAGGCTCTTCGTTCACTCCTAACACCGGCCTTGACTCCTCCGGAAAGGTGCCAATCTTTTCGATTGGCCTCACCGGTGTGAGTGAACAGGATGCACCTACTGTCAAGACGACAGTGCAGAAGGTTTTCCAGGAGTCCCTGGCTGCCGGATTCAGTGACGAGAAGGTTCAAGGCTTTCTTCACCAACTGGAACTTGCGTTGAGACACAAGACAGCCAATTTCGGGATTGGTGTCATGGAAAAGACCCTCTCCTCGTGGTTCAATGGTTCAAACCCCATGAAGGAGCTCTCATGGAACGAGGTCATCGACGAGTTCAAACAACGATATGAGCAAGGGAACTACCTTGAATCGTTAATGCAAAAGTATCTCCTGAACGATAACTACATGACTTTCACCATGGTGGGTACACCCACATACAACAAGGATCTTGATCAGCAGGAAGCCGTCCGCAAGGAAGAGAAGCTCAGCCAACTCGTTGAACATCATGGCTCCGTTGACAAGGCCATTTCCACACTCCTCGAAGAAGAGCTCCAGCTACTCAAAATCCAGGAAGAAGCGCAGCATGCTGATCTGAGCTGCTTACCCACGCTTCGTGTTGAGGATATTTCCAGGGAAAAGGAACGCAAACCTGTGCGCGAATCCAAGGTTGATGAAACAGATGTGGTTTGGCGTGAAGCTCCCACGAATGGTCTTACCTATTTCCAAGCATTGAACGCCTTCGAAGACTTGCCAGATGACCTCCGGCTGCTGATGCCGCTGTTCAATGACTGCATTATGCGGCTAGGAACTGCAAACAAGTCTATGGAGCAATGGGAAGATCTGATCAAGTTGAAGACCGGCGGCATTACAACATCCACCCTTCACACGTCCTCTCCGACTCAGTTGGGTAAATTCAGAGAGGGTCTACAATTTTCCGGTTATGCTTTGGATAAAAACATTCCGGACATGCTGCAGATTCTCACGACTCTTGTCACAGAGACTGATTTCAGTAGCCCTCATGCTCCTGGTATGATCCAGGAACTGCTGCGCCTGACAACAAATGGAGCATTGGATGCTGTTGCTGGATCAGGCCACCGCTACGCTCTCAATGCGGCCGCCGCTGGTCTCGCTCGAAGCTTCTGGGTGCAGGAGCAGCAGTCTGGCCTGGCGCAACTGCAAGCTACGGCTAATCTTCTCCGCGATGCTGAGAGTTCACCCGAGCGTCTTGCTGAACTGATTGAAAAGCTTCGCTTGATCCAGTCCTTCGCTATCTCGAGGGGCTCTGGATTCCGCGTTCGCGTGGTTTGTGAAGCCAGCAGCGCATCCCAGAACGAGTCCGTGCTGCAAAGATGGCTTGCAGGACTACCTCGAACAAGGTCACCTACTTCCCCGCTCGACTCTTCTGCCATGAACTCGGTGGCTAGCCGGGTATTCTATGATCTGCCCTACAAGGTCTACTATTCTGGACTTGCTATGCAGACAGTTCCATTCATCAGCCCATCCAGTGCGCCTCTAAGTGTCCTCTCCCAGCTCTTAACTCACAAATATCTGCATCCTGAGATCCGAGAGAAAGGCGGTGCTTATGGCGCCGGGGCCAGCAACGGACCTGTCAAGGGATTCTTTGCGTTCACCAGCTACCGGGATCCGAATCCCATGAACACCCTCAAGGTCTTTCAGAATAGCGGTATTTTCGCCCGTGACCGTGCGTGGTCAGACAGAGAACTCGCCGAGGCCAAATTAGGCATCTTCCAGGGACTGGATGCTCCCATGAGCGTTGACGAAGAAGGTGCCAGATATTTCATTAGTGGTGTCACACACGAAATGGACCAACGGTGGCGAGAGCAAGTGCTTGATGTCACAGCCAAGGATGTGAACGAGGTTGCTCAGAAGTTTTTGGTTGAAGGCTCTCGCCAATCCATCTGTCTTCTTGGTGAGAAGAAAGACTGGGCAGTCACGGATGGCTGGGACGTTAAGAAACTCTCCATGAATGCCGTGGACGGGGCAGCGGTGGACCCCATGAGTCAAGATGGTGCTGCTGCCTCCGCTTAGATTTGGGGTGATCTTTCGACGACATGATCTAAATGCTATCAATATCCAAGTTCTGCCCTTTTACACCAGGTGGTGAGTTACCAGCCCGCACTTTCGATGCTTCAAGGGCTGGATCTTGTATCATTGTTATGATACCCTGTACTTCTACTGTCATGTCCACTGGACGGATAGCTCGTATATAGACATACTTCTGTACAATATCTCGACTTCACTCATCGTTACTCGCTTCCATCTCCCTTTCCCTTGTCCTCTTCTCCCTAAGATTTGCACAGGCTTTAAGCCTGTTTCGAGTCTCATCAACAAGCGCGTCTCAAGAACAGACCCTGACCCTGTCTTCGATCCTCTTCTCCATGATCGGTAGATGGCTGGTCCTCCTCGCCTTTCAGCTTGGAATAAGCGCAAGATCAATTCGAATGTGAACCGCTGAGGTACACTTCTCATCTCCGTTTTCAGACCCGCCTTGGATCATAAGCCTACACCGGGCGGACTAAAAACGCGAGAACACGAAATAGAGGGATCCGATAGGAAGAGTAAAGCCTGAAATCAATCCAAAAATGTGTGGTGGTTGTAGGAGTTACCACGTGAAAGGCAGATTGATATCTTCACCTGTGTCCAAGACTTGAGCATACGGAGTAGTGGCTTCTTGAAGTCGCACCCGAAGGATCTTCTGCACAGGCCACGGATGGATCCATCTTGGATGATCGTCGTAACTGGTTCTGCGCCCTCTTCTGCAATCTGCAGCCTGTACTCATTTCCTAATTTCTCCTAGGCTCTTCTTGGCTCATCAGGGGTCGGTCCGTGTTGTAGACTTGTAGTTAGTTGGCAGTTAGCAAATTAATCACTCGATCAGTGCAACCCACACTGTCCCCCTCTCACGTGGCTGGACGTAGAAAGGGCCCCCAAACACCCCCCCAACACTCCAGGTACTTCCTTTTCTTCCCTCTATTCTTCTCTCTATTTCCAATGGACTCAATCCATCAGCATTCCCGCGTCTAGGGAAATCAATTGCTTCTTCGCCTTGGTTGAGTCTTTTTCTCGAAATCGTCATGTCAGACAACAACTCATGCGTCGTATAGCGCCATGAAAAAAACGGGCACTGCTGTACTGGGCCCCAAGCCAACCAAGGCATGCGGTAAGTGGAGCTGAACTGGGTCCTTCAGGAACGGGATGCTGCTCGAACAAGGCTGATCGATGGCTGTGTAGTCAATTGCCGCAGGTTAAAGGTTGGATGCGAACGGCATGCTTGAGAACATGGTCCCTCTGTGCTGACTGTCTTTGAGATGAAATGTGAGGTTGACGGGGCTCCTCCATGCCGACGTTGCCGCCATACAAACTCAACGTGCATCTTCAAGCCTAGATCTAATGTTCGTGGCGTCTGTTCTTATCTCGGAGTGCTATGTGCTTACCAGCTCCCAGGCTGCAGCTGTGCACTCAGTGCCAGACCAGTCTCAAAATACACCGAGCGCGCTCGTGTATAGCCATCCATCCATGCCAGAGCAGGATCCTCAATCTATACTCAGTCGGCTGGATCGAATTGAAGCCCTCTTAGGCATCGGAAAGATTGCAAACTCGCCCTCATCACTAACTTTTGACTCGGATCTGGAGGACGAGTCGAACAGTGTATCTTTTCAAGGTCTTTGGAAAGCCGTGGAGCATCTCAAGGTCATTACTAGGCCGCCTCAGGACCACGCGATCTGGGCACATTCTATAGTCACACGGCTGTGGAGCTCGTATGTGGTAACTTACGATTTCTCGCCTTTTCCCCCTTTCGGAGCGGGACTGACCATCACTCTAGATTTCTAAACAACCTGCCACTGCTTCATTTCCTCCGGGATCAAAGTGCTTTCGGTTCCCCTTCGCCCCTCCTTCTCGCTTCCATTCTTTATATATCTGCTTTGCACAGCCCTTCGTCCGAGTTTGCTTCTCTGGCTGGTGGTTATCTTGTGGCTACATGCAATGCAGTCGCCGAGCTCGTCATGCCAAATTCTATGCCAGGTAGTCCTGGTTGGGTTGGACACCCTGCTACTTCCGGACCAAGTGACGACCATAAGGTATTTCAAGACATCCACGGCCTGGTCATGGCCAGCTTGAGTTGCGAGGCCTACATTGAAACCACGGATAAGTGGATAGCCCTAGCGTATCGTCTCCTACTTGACCACTGTCCGCCTAATCTGGATGGCACAATTTATGATTGGCGCGGTTTGTTTTCGGGGCTTCAGGTAAAAATCTCATAATAATATCTCACTCAGTGTCGAAGAGAAACACTGAGACTCCCCAGGTTGTCGATATTGAACATGCCTCTATGCACATGTGCTATCCACTCCTTCCTCGAGAACCCCTCGTACCCGCTCTGCAAGAGTTGGGTAACCATCAGGAATGTGCATTTCGGGGCCTTGCGCAGATGATGCACCACGGTCTCAGCCATTTTGTAGGCCGCAAACTTCCGACCATCTGGTCCTTTGTGAGTGCAAGGGAGACAGACGCTCTGCCACCTGTTGGCACACCCTTCACAGAGAAGGATTCTCAAGTCATCCGCCTCTGGGCGAAGAAATTGGATGAATGGCTTGTCCAGTATAACGGGGCATCACGTAAGCCATTGACCACACTTTTATGGTTTTTTGAACACTGAGGCCATCGCTAATGCGCTAGTCCTTTTTTCATAGAGCCCTCCCCGTCTGATCGCCAGGGCATCCTCATCCTCTTACAATACCATCTGCACAAACTATATGTCCTATCGATCTATCATCCCGCTCGAGGCTTTGACCTAGGCTTTGCCAATATCACATTGACCGAACGGCAAGAACTCCTCATGTCCGCACGTGCGGTCTTACGGTTGCGGCAGGATGATGCTAGCATCTGGTCGAACTGGGATCTAATTGTATGTATTCATCGCCTCCCCCTTTTTTGTTGTTTTGAGAACAGGGCTAACGGTCTAGATGATAACCTGGGCAGCGCTACTTTTGCTACGCGGAGTTGAGGACGGAATGACACACCATGATGGTATGAACAGTCATGGATTGATGCGATCCAGAGCTAACGTGATTTCACCTAGACCTGCGTCTAATACAAGCCCAGCTTAACAGTCTGAAGCGCAGTGATCCATCGGCACCAAGCATCCACGGCGTTCTTGCAGATCGGCTTCAGTGTGCGATGCAGAGCATGCACACTCCGCCGGAAATTGGACCCGACTTCGCATTTCCAGCACCGAATATGGACTATTCATGGACGATCTTTGACCAGCAGATCATAGCACTTGCCAATCCACCCTGGCTGTTTGATGACTCCTCGATAGGACAGGCTCAGAAGCACGTTGAGCGATATCAATGATGACTACTGTAGCACCCAACTGTCGAGTTGTTGATAACTTGTTCATACATAAATTCAGATATGCGATACAAGTGTAACACAAAAGGTCAGTAGAGGGGCGGAGCATCATGGTGTATGATACACAAGAGTTTGGCATATTATTTCTCAATAAAGGGTATAAAGTTTAGATCATTAGTCATGTCATACTAGTACAACTTTATGATTAACATCACAAAGTAGTGATTATGTGGCTTGATGCATCGCCAGAGTGTTTTAGTTTCGCATTCCATGGGAGCTGAGCGAAACCAGCCGCTCCTCCTCGTCTTTTTGCTTTCGTTCTCCTGAGCATAAGAGAAACGAGCAGACAGCCCACTGTGTCGGAGAAGCGACGAGAAGAGCGGTTTTGCCTCCCGCATCAAATCGAAAGCGAACGTAGAATGGGTTTAGTTAGAGGATCTCTGGGTATTGCTCGCAGCTCTTGGGGATACTGATGGGAACACCTCATCTGGCGCGCCAGCCGCCGACGATGGAGTAAATGGCAGAGGGGGGAAAGGTTCTGTTTGTGGAGTACTCGGAGACAGCTGCCAATCCGACTCGCGTTGCAAACTGTCGCCATGAGCAGCGGGATTATCTATGTCTGAGGCTGAAGTCGAAGAGTATCCGTAGGATGGTCGTGAATCGGACTGGATGTCTATCAGTAAGCATTTCCCATGGTCCACGTTTCGTTTCGGCGGAACAAGTACATACCTTGTCTTGATTTTGATCGAGACCACGGCTTGCAGCCAATTTCTGTGCAGCAACCCGTTTCTGGGCCACTTCTGTTTCTTCTTCACGTTCTGCTTGCTCTTCTTCTCTTTTCAGATCCACCAAGGAAGCTGCGCTTGGATCGCGAGAGTGCCACTCTTGAGGGCTCTGTGCCTCCCGCAATCGGCTCTTCTTCTTCCCTGAGCCCTTTGAAGCAGAAGTTCCAAGACTAAAGGTCCCGGACATGGATCGCTTCACCCCGACAATCTTATCACTAAGCTGATCATCCGATTCCAACCCGGTCCCTCGACGACTGGCTAATGTTAGGGCAAATTCATCATCCAAGGGGACAGCATCTTCTTCATCATCGCTAGGAAATAGATCCCCTCTAGAGCTCAAGGAAGTTCCGGTTTCACGCGACGACTGCGTAGCACTACGGTATCGCCCATTTTTGCGCGAGGAGGCCTGCTCCTCGTCTTCTTCAGCTGCCTCCATCAGAGGCTCATCCTCATATGCATGTCGGCGCAACCCTGTAGGGTGTTCCTGGAGATCCGCAGCGGACGGTCGGTATTTCAAACCCCTTGCACCAATCCTCCATGGGAACCGCTCCAGGAATCCCAAGAACGATGAACTCGGAATGACAGTCGGATCATTTCGAGTATCAGGAACCATAACGCTGCTCTTCCGTCGAGGACCCCGAGTGCCGTAACTCATTTTGCGCTGCCTGCGCGGCTGTTCTGCACCCCCGCGTGTAAGACCGCTCCCTGCCAGCAGACGGTCAAGCTCATCGGTGCCCCAGCCCAAAAGACCATCATTCGCATCATCATTATCCCAATCGTCGTAGAAGTCGAAGCTGGCCTCTGCACGACCCCGCCTTCGGCGGCGCAGTTGGTCCTGCCGACTCGGTAGACAGGGCGCAGTGCATGTGTAGACACAGTTCCCTACTGTCGCAAAGCAGGGAAATATGTAGTTGTGTGAGAATGTATAGAGCCCTTCCTGGGCCGTCTCATTTGCGGATTCAAGATTGTGGGAGATTTGATTGATTGTTTGACGGACCCGAGGGTCCCTGGGTCGCATCATCGTGATAGAGCCTTGTGGGTTCAGGCAGTCATGAAACGGCGGGGAGAGGATCTATGCGCGGGTGACTCTAGTTTTGCTGCAGGATCTCACATTGAAACAGTGTTGCCGTATACAAGTTTGCTAGAAATCGGTGATTCGGTTCCGAATCCCATCGATTCCAATCCATGCGACGTCGTCAAGGCTGGCTGAAACGATGGTAGCTGACATGCCTCCCTCAATGCCTCAGGAATGAAGACCCGCCTCCACTCTCCGATGTCATTTCCGCGGCCGGCTTAGGTTAGCAGTCACGTGCCGGTCACGGGGTTTTCTATCATTTCAACAAGTGTGATGGATGAGAATGCAAGACTGCTCGAGACCCTGTCGTTTAGTCCACTCGTTCCTCTGTTCAGTAGAAGATGGTGTACTACGTTCGCTTCCTCAAGACACCGAGGTTCCAGAACCAAAAAGCTGGGGCTGTCGCTGTCTCCGCGCTTATCTGCATCACCACGGACTTGGGGGATGCATTCCTAGCTCAAGATGTCGATTTGCAAGTAACGTTGAGTGCCGAGGGCTCGGAACGGACCTTGTATCAGGAGACTTTACAGTGGAAAGCAGGGAAACGGGAACTCCCCGTAAATTTAGGGCCATTTGCCGCCAAACTCGCTCATCAAAGCATCGTTCTGGGCGTCACCGCAGTTGATTCTCGACGGCCGGGTCTGCCCTGTCCAGATCATATGCTGGACGGCTCCAAAGTGCCTCTGGTCATGTCTGGCTGGAGCGCACCTTTTGGGGGATCCCAGTCTTCCGTGGCTGAGAAGCTCGTCGAGCGACGCTTTGGCCCGAAGAACCAGCTAGACCTGCGGATATGGGAAGAGACCGGGAACAGCATTGCCCGACATATCTGGTAAGACCTTTTTTTTTTTTTTTCGATCTCCGTATCATCTCTATCGTTCTAAATCAAGACATCTGCATTCTCAGGGATGCCGCAATCGCATCTGTAATATACATCCAGCAGGCAATTTCCGGAGAACCAGCGGTGGCCGCACCTATCCTCCAAGACCTTCTCCAAAGCCAGCGCAGCACTCCTCTTCACGCCCTGGAGCTGGGGTCTGGCTGCGGTATCGTAGGTATCTCCCTGGCAGAGCTACTTCCCCACTGTTCAGTTACCCTCACGGATCTCCCCGAAGTGGAGGAAATCGTAACAAAAAACATAGCCGTTGCACACCCTGCTCCTTCATCTCATATCACATTCCAAACGCTGGATTGGGACGAGGAGCTCCCCGAGGATCTATGTGCTGGCCATGTGGATCTCGTCCTTGTCTCGGATTGCACATATAATGCAGACAGCCTGCCCGCGCTGGTCACCGTGCTGAACCGCTTAGTCCAGATGTCGCCGGACGTCATTGTCTTGGTTGCTTTGAAAAGGCGGCATGAAAGCGAAGAGATCTTCTTCGGCCTGATGGAGTCGGCGAAGCTCCATATCCTGCATAAGGACAGTATGGAACTGCCGTCTCAACATGACCAGACCGATCAGATTGAGCTATACTGCTACGGACGGAAAAACAGACGTCCTCTTCAGGATGACAGGCTCGTTGCGACGAGCTGAATCTTGTGCTCTACAGGCTACCAAAAGACTAGTCTGTTTATGGAGTATAAGCTCGTTATGAACTATCATGCGTCCTCGCGCGACAGTTCCAATTGACCTCTGGGTCTTGGTCCTAGATTTGCCAACAGCTGCTGTTCATTCATAAATGAATGGGCAGCAACTTTGGGTCAGAAACTCCTGTGCACGTCATTTGCTACACACGATTTTCAGGCTGCATAACGAAGAATGGTGTCTCAGCCTTGACGTCCATGAATTTTACATTGATCAGAAGCGCATCAATAAAACAGTCATATCTATAACAGTTGTGGCCGCCCTCTTGTCTGGGGAGACAAATAAGCGCACCATAGCCTTCTTTTAAAGTACAAACGCTTGCGGCCCCATGTTCTGACTACATCGTTCATCCTTGACTATCGTATTCCCTAGGATCTTGTGAATGAATGATTGTATTGTCCTGATCTTATTTTTTTTAAATACCGTGCCAATGCTGGATGATACAATTTGGTACATCCTCTTTTCATAAACCATTTTCCACGCAAACAATCTTCTCAGCAGATAACACCCAAGCGGGCCACATATGCTTAGCGATCAATGCCGAGATCGAGAACGGTACTTGGACCCCGTAGATCCAGTGCGAGGTCGAGAACTGGATCTGTTCCATGATCGTGCGTATTCAGATCGTTTGCGTCGTGACACGCGTGGTGCTGTTCCTCGACTGGTAACGCCCATCCTCTCACGGTTAATGCCTGATATGCTCTGCTCCTGTTGTTGTTCGTTGTCGGATGAAAGGTCTAGTTCCTCTCGTGGAGGGTCGGTGGCCACCGATGACATTTCCTATGGCAATACGCGGTTTGAGAACAAATCGAACAAATGTGTCATATAGGGAGCATGAGTAATATACAATTTCAGAGGAATTAAAGATCACTCGAGTATGGTTTCGAATTGTCGGGGCTAATATAGCGGCACGGCGTGGCTCTGGTCTGCCAGCGCCACGGGAACGGCCTCGGATCATGATGACGATGATCGATGCAATGGAGGGAAACCATTTCCCGAGTTTGTCACGGTTGTGTCTATTTCGTGAGGTTATAATATGGATGGTCTCAAGCACGCCGTCCACAGTGCACCGCCGGTGTTGGTATCGCTCAAAAGAGCTCCTTCAGCTTCTTATTCGTTAGCGAGAGCCGCACTTTATCGAAGCGCATAAAACGCAGTCTCTCAGTAGCTATCTGAAGACTGAAGTGTTCATTGCGGATGCATTGAGCCCGGTTGGGTCGATGAAAGGTGCTCCATGGCTTGAGGTTACTCCAGATCTTCTGGGGTTGGAGCCGCGTTCTCAGACGACGCAATCTATCCCTTCGGCTTCCAAGCTCACACAGGATCTGTTCAAGGGTAGAATCGAGCGGTACATAATCTCTCTCCGCAGAGGCGAAGTTTTTGCAGGCACCTAAATCCATCGGTGGCAAGGCAACATCGGCATGAGTTCCTTCAAATATTTGCCTGCTAGCGTTTAAGCTGTGAGACCGTTCGGGTGGTATGACAAGAAGTCCATTTCCAGGGTATCTGGGCTCGTCTGGAAAAGCCCTCCACTTCGCGCACCGTCTCACGAACGTACCATAATTGGCAGCTAATGTGACAGCACAGAGGGGAATAAAGGCAAGCCGACGACTGACTGATTCGTCGTCAGGATTACTTTCAGACAGAGGAGCAAGCGAGGCTCTGACACATAGCGCCCACAAATCGGCATATAGCCGGCAGATAACGTAAACATCGCCATTTGATATTTCGAATTCGTCTGGCTGTCGCTCGTGACGCTCATGCACGGTATACGAGGGGTCGAGAGATATGACTAAAGACCCTTCCTGGATGGCCCATCCCTCGCCAGGTCCCACTCTGATGTCTTTATATGATCGCAGACGGGTGCAGAGCCCTGGCTTCACTTGGCGGAACGAAGCCTGCGACGACAGTCCCGGCAAGGTCTCCTTTGATGAAGCATCCGAATCTAGAGGATAAAACATATTTGCGTCTTGAAAAGAATCAGATGACTCATATCGATCACTGCTGCCATCTCTGCAATCTTCCATGAGGGATGAGGTGACACTGGAGCCCATCGACAGACTGTCTTGCGGATATGGTCGAACACACCAGATTGGGGGCTTGGGAAAATAGATTGCATGTCGACGCTTCCTTGTCACTGAATCTTGCAAAGAGTCCGTATCTGTGTCTGTGGACATTTCAAACACATGGTATTCGTGTTCATCGGGGCCCGAAGGACTTGCTGAACGAGCACCGAACATGTGTTCCTCGGCTTGGAATGACGCTGTATGATGTTCAAGCATGTTGATACCACGCTAGCCAATACTGGGATATTCTGACGGGGATGTGGATGCAGGCAGTATGAGTCTCTTAATATCCGTGAAGCATACGGGGATACTGAGATCAGGTTGAAGACCACGACTGCGCAGTTTCCTCCCCTTGAGGAGCCGTAGCTGATAAAAGAAAGCACACCTTCGGCCTCCGTCGAGTTCGTAACTGCCTTACAGTATATCGTCAGCGCATCACAGAAATCGCCATCGAAGGTGGTTCTTTCTCTCTGTCCATCTGAGATCCATGCAGCGTAGATCACAATAATTTAGATGCCGTCTCTCCATCCCGATGCCAGCGTTAACCTGCTGCGTCAGTACATCCCCGAGACTTAACATTTTCTTCTGCTAATAGATGGTAACTTTGCAGCGATGGTTGAATCGAGCGCTGAATGACCTGAAGCAGGAAGCCTGAACTCTGTATACGAGACCCCACGCACTGAGTGAGCCTCGGCACGTCGGCCATGACAATGACTCAGCATGCTCCTGGGGATTTAACAAGAGACCATGCTGCGCTAATCCGTCACTTTCATTGTTGATGATGCTATCAATCAATATCTAAGCATCTAAACATTGAATTCGCCTTCTTGAAAGGAGTCCTTGCTTTTGTTTCATTGGATAGAATATCCTAAAACGGCGTGGTCTCCACACTCTACAGCATGGCTGCTCCCAAGATCACCCTTTACTTCGACATAGTTAGCCCGTTCGGCTATATCGCCTTCCACGTTCTCAGAGTGAGTTATTACATTCTTTGCATCGGACATGGCCAGGGCCCCCTACTGACACTACCCCGAAGAACTCTGCGGCGTTTTCCCTGTGCAATATCAACTATGTCCCCATCTTTCTGGGTGGACTGATGAAGGCTTGTGATAATACTCCACCAATCAGCATCAAAAGTAAGGCCAACTTCTCTCTGACGATGGCGCCATTCTTGAAGCTAAAAAAGCACTTCTTTAACAGACAAGGCTCAATGGATCAACCGGGAGCGACGCCGTTGGGCCCACTATTTCTCCGTTCCTATTGTCGAACGTACCCCAGAAGGCTTTCCACCTCTGACGCTAACTGTGCAGCGTGCTTTGTGTGCGGTCTCTCAGCAGACGCCCAATAAGCTCATTCCCACCATTGAAGCTCTGTACCATTCCTTCTGGGTCAACGGAAATGCCAAGATCGGACAGCCTGAAGGTTTCGGTCCGGTCCTGGAGAAAGTCCTTGGCAGAGAGGGTGCGGAGGAAGTACTCCAGGCTGTATGTCTGCTGTTGTGCTATGTGACTGACGTTGCCGAGTCTTGACTGACCAAAGATGATAGGTGAACGATCAGAAGGTGAAGGCGCTGTTGACAGCCAATACCGAACAGGCATTTGAAGGCGGCGCCTTTGGCCTTCCCTGGTTCGAGTGCACCAACGGCAAGGGGGAAACAGAGAGTTTCTTTGGCGTGGATCATATTGGTCAGGTGGTTGACTTCTTGGGCTTGAATCGACGTCTGGAGAAAGGGCCTCGGGCGCAACTGTAGGTATACTTAAAAAGGAGATGCGGATACAGGTATGTGTCGCGTAGAATGCAAGGGCGGTGTCATTATGTATGCTATGCCTCGCTTGGTATCCGTAACTAGGTCGATTACTGTACATATGCTTCTTCTTTTTTGGTTTCATTATGATCGACGATGCTTGCCATGTCATTGTTTTTTGGACGGTTGGACCGCATCACTTTTGTGCTTTTCCTGCAAGAACTCGGCAATTCGTTCCGCCGGCATTTCGTCGATGAGTCTCGATTCGTGCGGGTCAGAGCCTTTCTCGTGTCAATGAGGCTCATCCAAATATATATTCGGAAGAGAACCAACCTGGAGCCCCTGTGCTTTCCTCCTGCCTCCCTCCTGTCGCAAGCGAATATGCGCGATCTCGGATATCCCGAACAACGTCTCCGGCAGAAACCGTTTCGGCTCTCTTCTTGACTTCGTTCGCCGAAATCTCGACCATAGTCCCAATACTACTCCCGATCTCTGCGAGGGAGCTCGTCGACGTGATTGTGGCTGAGTTGGAATACATATCTGCGGAGGGAGCGACGTCACTTTGACTTTGACGTCGCATATGTTCTTGCATCTGTTCCTGGTCTCGTTCCTGTTGCAATTCACGCGCGGGACTCATTCTCGACATCAATCTTTATTCCTTTGTAAGTGAAAAGTAAGAAAAAGAAATTGATGTCCCAGTATCATAAGGTTCTGACATGACCAGCACTCAGGTGCCCAGTCGGGTATTTAATGCTACGTTAACGGCATCGGGCCGATGACATCAACTGCGGTACTGGCAGTCTGGCAGCCGCGTCAAAATCCAGGAATGGAGTATCATCATGATGATCCCGTCAGCCTTATGGGGGAGTCCCTTGGGAGTTGGGACGATAGCCGAGAAAACTAGCTAGTAGCTAGTCTTTGGAATGTGGATAGTGGAGCAGGGGAGAGCGTAGAGCATCATTTCCGGCTGAGGTGGGACTCTTCATTCGCTGGGTGTCGAATTGCTCAACAGGCAGGTCAAGTTGTGGCCAGTCCACCAGGGCTCGGCGCCAGGCATTCTGGCTAGGCAACAGGATTTCTGGTCGGGGGATGTCTCGTGTCTTCGTGGTCTAGTCTGTAGTTCTGCACAAGTGAGTTGATGGTTTGCTTGTTTAATATTAGTCTTGGTATCGTTAGGACTTAGGACATTGTTTATTCTGGGTTTTATCTGGGTCATGTGTGTCTGAGATGATATAATCTGTCCTGCCTTAGGCAGAGGTCTCGTAACTCCTCTACTCTACTCTAGACTATGCAAATACCACTCGATGTGTCGGATTTCGATGAAGATCAATAGCTTCGACTGTCTTAAAACAATGGGTAAGATAAAGACACGGAAGTGTCTGTGAATATAGAGATTGTGTGCCAAGAAGCACACAAAATTTATTTCCAAGAAGCAAGTCAGACAAATATATACATTCGAAGAGATAACCAGTCATCAAGACAATGGCATAGTCACTAATAAACAACCTGCCTGGAGTAGAGAACTCCAGCTCCTAATGTTCGCCAAGGAGCATTCATCTGCTCCACAATCTCTGGCTTCGTTCCAGTCATACCCCGACAGTAGAAGACTGATCTGTTCAAGTATGCTGCTCCCCATCTAACCGGAGAACAGCTCAGGGCCAGGGATGGGGTATCCTCCGCTCAGATCCGAGTAGAGGTCAAACTTGATGCCAGGGTCAGTGTCCTTGTACAGTGCCTCGCCAGCGGTGCCGGAACCCTTGGCGGAGCCGCCACCAGTGATCTTGATGTTGAAGCACTGGGGATAGTTCTGCGCACCATTCAAGTTGGCAGCGGAGTGAAGGCCGATGATCTCGTGCCGGAGAACATAGTTGCCATCGGCGTATGAGGCAGGGATCTTCACGGTCGCGGTGTTGTTGTTGGCAATCATCTCATCCGTGGCCCACGTACCGGGGACCGTGGAGCCATCGATGAGGCCCTGCGCGTCGATCTTGACGAACTTCAAAGTCGTCTTGTCCACGGAGCTGCAGTCTCCACCGCAGTCGGCGATGTAGTTGATAATGGGCCCCTTGTGACTCTCTGGCCACGCAGTCCATTGAAGCTCGATCTCGGATCCAGCTGTGACGGTTGCGGTCAACGCACCAGGCGCCCCGTTCTTGTGGCAGATGATATCAGGGGAGTCGTAGCCGGTGCCGTCCACGAATCCCAGGTCCGTGACAGTGTTGGACCAGGCAACGAGGTCTGGAGGGTCCTTCATGTATGGATAGCTATCCTCAAGGAACCCTTGGTAGCTGGAATGGTTGTCAGCTGAGGTCTCTAACTTGGTCCTCATGCGGAACGTACTATTTGCCATCGGCAACAATGCCACTGACATAGCCGTGGGCAGCCACCATAGAGGTGGAGGCCAGAAGGCCGGTGATTGAAGCAATCTTGGACAGGGTCATTTTGTTCTGATCGAGACCGACAGGCAATGCAAGAAAATTATCTAGTACGTAGCCAACAGTATGAAGTTCTGCTTGACCAAAAGCACCTGGTGTGAGAAGCAGTTGATATAAACACAACACAATGGAAGAGTAGTGAATGAATGCTCCTGCCCCCTTTTATATCTGCCCTGAAGAGCACCGGGCCTTGCTATGATCACAACTATCAAGTATAGTGAAACTTCCCCACAGATATGGAAGATATGCCTAAGTGAATAACCAGCATTCCTGGTGATATTATCCGGCTTCTGATACAGGGGTCATCAATTCGTCAGACTCTCCTCCCCACCGATGGTTGGCGGAAATAAAAGACCTGTCACCAAAGGATGCATGTATGCCTAGATTCCATCATCCTTTGGCGCTCTGCGACCTTACAATTTGCCAGTAGTCAGTGCTTTCAGGGAGTCTGACTGCTCGGCTGCTGAATGCATGATCACACAGCCAAACTCAAGCCTATTCTCTTCTCAAGGTCTACTGCCGAAGCCACACAGACATGCTAGACATGCCACAACCCTTTCTTCCTCCGGCAAATGTTGAGTGCTCGTTCTGGTGGATATGCCCCTAAGACTACTTCAGAAAAGCAGCGATACACTGTAAGAAGACCTAACGGGGGTATCCATTGGAAATTTGAGATATCACACACACAGCGGACCAGATCACGGTACCAGCCTACCAGGCCCAGACTCTCCAGTCTCCAGTAATTCGACAGACTAGTTTGCTGATAATGTTTCTCTTTGATGACGCGGTGGACAAGGGAGGCGCTGGGACACACAGCCAAGAATCTCACAAAGCAGAGGGCGACGATCCCCCAGATTGTTCCGGGCTTGCGGGCCGGCGGCAAATACACGGCTGCAGAGAATCCGTTCCTGAAATGGAATCGTCACAGGACCACGGAGTCTTCAGGGCAGGCACAGGCCGAGGAGTCTTTCATGGATGTCCCGTATATAAGAACGTCTTGCCCGCTGGGCCATTTGCCGTGTCCTGAAGAGAAAAGATTGACATTTCAGTTACAAGTGCAGGTCTGATTCGAGGATACTCACCCTTATCCGCTCAACATGCCTGCATGCTGCTGTCTAGCTTCCACTCGGGATGAGCTGGCGGTTAGACGTGATTCTTCTCATGACTGACAGGCTGGATAGAAAGGGTGAACGTTTCAGAGGTCATCAACGTGCCGGAAGTCGGAACATCTATCCATGAGCCTTCATAACGAAGAGGCAAAAAATGGCTGTTGAGTAATGACGATCATCTCTCTCTTTGACTCGGCGAAATTAAGAGGGGACTCTCAAGTCGAGGGGCTGATGTTTCATCGAACTTCTGCCAAGACAGGTATATAGCCTAATTCAGACTATTTCTAATGCATCACGACAAAGCTTCAAGATCATAGGACGAGAACTTAAGACTGTAAGAGGCCTGATGGCTGTGGCATTCTGCCTGGAGAGTTCGATGCCAGCGTGACAGTCGTCCAGTTCAATTTCATCTCAGCTGGACTGCGACACAGTGAGCATGAAGTCGTTGAAGATAGTCATTTCGCACCTTCCATGATATCCGAATAATCTGTGCTCTGTGATTCTGGGATGTCTACCCAGAAGAGGTCAGCAAGATGATTGCTCTAGCCAAAGTCTGAGTTTCGTTGTTCATCTCAGACCTTACTCAGCAAGACAGCGAAGCTCAACTCCAAATAGCCTGATCAGAACTTGATCCGTCTCGATTGGTCGAGGGTAGGTTCTGACCCGAACGCATCTGGAGCCAGCCTACATTCTACTGCGAGGCTACGAAATGGACGGACAAGGGGTATTCTTATGCACGACAAGAGCGGTATTACTCGTGGCGACACATTCGGGAGGCCGAAAAGATAAATGGAATTTTCAACTTTTTTGTTTCATTAAGTTGTAAAACCCAGGTAGCTCCGACGAAGCGATCTCTGGCAGTAGGTGCAGGTAACGTAGGTCGTCTGGCCGGGGTGAAGAAAGGAAAATGCCGTCTGCCGTGATATTTGATCTGATACCCGGTAACACACACAAGGAATGTTCAATCCACCTCCAAGGCTGAATTGATGATTCTGGTGTCGGCCCACAGAGGCATTCGTGTCCATGCCCGATTCCCCTTTAATTATTGTATCCTGCATCGACCGAGCTCAATTCATCCTTTTCCAGCAAGTTGAAGGTATTTACAGAGCCTTCTTCTTGTCACCCTTGGAGACATCGACAACCTTGAGGGCTAGTTCGAAAATGAACAATTAGCCGAAGGTCCAGACACAATCACACCCAGTTCGTCATAACGCAATGACCACAACAATCGCCAACTGCGATAAGATTTGCATAATCGGGAGGGATATTAGGAAGGAGCCTCAATTCGGTAACGCACCTGGGGGCAGGCTCTGCTTGAGCTTGTCGGCCTTGTCGGAGTCCTTCAGGACAAGGGTGTAGATGAAGCGCTGGCATCTAACCTTGAACTTGATCTGCTGGGTGCTGCGGTTGCGCTTGATGCGGGCAGCTATAGTCAGGAATCACCAGTCGTTAGCAATCGAAATTCTACCGCGGTGGTTCCACGGAGCTCGATCGGAGGTCGATCACGAAAAGCAGTCCGGGACTGAGCAGAAAAGCGCGGGAATACGTACAGGAGGCATCCTTGCGACGGCAGATCTCAATAAACTGCTTGATATCGGAAACTTCGCGAGGCATGATGGGCAGGACTTGTGGACGCAAACCAGGTGATCTGAAAGAAAGTCGGGGCGAGGGAATGATACAAGCACTTTCACGAGTCTCGACTGCGGGCGGCTTCGGACAGTAGAGGCAGTTGTGTGGAATCTGGCAGATTAGGGTTTAGTCAGACCGAAGCCCTTTGCGACTGCGCCACACCGTCTCACATATTGTGGCTGTTGAAGCACCGCCACAGCCATGGTAGAAGCTATAGCGATTAGATAGCTGTAGCCTGGCGGTTGACGCTCCATTAGAAAATTAACGATTAGTGGATTTAGGTCAATACGTGGGCGATTTGATCTCAGAGATAGTAGAAAGCATTATTAAGGGTACACAGAATGAATGAACATTGAACAGGATGATGAACAAAATCCAGAGAAGAGGATGCCATCACGATCTTGATTTCCTATCTCTGCTACGTGTAGATATAGGAACGGTGAGGAGGACACCACAAATGGCACCAATTGAAACTTCAGAGGCTCTTCCATTCCTCCTTCTATATTTGTAGATACCGGCTTGCTGATTACATTGCTTTCCTGTTATAGGGAGATTATTTGCAACAAGGAGACCACTTATTGACTACCCCAGGCACCCATGGCTATGGCAGTTGCCATGTGGCGTTGGCGGCATAAGTGGCGGTGCGGAGTCTAGGCGCCAGTCTTTACTCCAACATCATCACATTCTTCCATGATTAGAGAAAACTTGGCTTATAGCTTTCTATCGCAGAAATCACGTATTGAGAAACCATCATTCTTCCATATTTGACGGCTTTCTGATTGGATCTCATTAAAGAACGTCCTCGCTTGTGCAGGAATCTGTCTCGTTCCGCAGAACATGCCGACTGCCTTAGATCGAGCGATGAGCTCCAAGGTATGGCCTTCCAGTTTGTTGCACTGCAGCATTGACTCTCGATATCATGCCTTGCTAACATATTTCCAGAACCTTGTGCTGGGTATATATCTCTGTAGCGTCGTAATCAACCACAACATATGATCAACTAATGATATGTAGGCTTCGCTGGGATGGTCACGGCCGCCGCTGCATGGTCAATCTGGGGAAGTGACATGTTCCCTGCTGAGTCAGACCCAACCGGAGGCAAGCGTCCAGATAACTGAGAGATAGACAGGGACTGACTTGATCATCATGAAAAAGACCCTGAGACCTGGACAATCGATGAGATGAGAAGATGGCTTCGTAATGTATGTTCATCCCTCGTCTTGCATTCCGAGATGTGCGATCCTTCGGGTGAATCCCCACATTACCAAAAGAGAAGAAAACTGATGGTGATTTCGCAGAGAGGTCTTATGCCCAGTGAGAAAGCCACGCGCGAAGACCTGCTTGAGCGTGTCAAAGCAAATTTGCGTGTCCCCCGGAAATCCAGCACTTGACTTGTCACAAATCCCACATATGTTTTATTATTAGGCAGTTTCATTGCTTCTCATAGCGTTCGGTCATATTGTCGGCTGTGCTTTGCTTCTTTCGAGTATAAAAATACGGTCGTCGCGTCGTTCTTGAACTGCTAGATGGTGCGTTTATGCTCCAAAGTTATATCTTCCTGCTGTTTTCTGGAATGTGACTTAAACGACAAGTCGAAAGTTTTGAGTCTGAATGAGCCACTCTCTCCGGCGCTTGCCCTTAGGAGCATCCGCTGTAGCGTTTGGTACCAAAACAAACGTTTCGCTGAAGCCACGCTGCGGGAGGTCTCTGGATTCCCCGAACCGTACGTAGCCACTTACTACCACCAGGATCGACATGTCCTTAACAGTTGTCTGATTGGGGAGCTTCACGCCAGTTGTCGTAGGAGTGGGATATGCCGGGTTGATAATCTGGCAGTCGAACGACTGGACTTCGAAATGCGCAGGGGGCATCTGGTTAACAAAGATCTCTTGAACAGCGTTGCCATCGGCGACAACGTTGCCATTGAACAGAATCGTAGAGGTAGGTTGGCTATAGAATGATGCGATGGCTGCACGATTGGACTCGAGCGCGGGGTAGAAGGACTGCACAAATTCGGTCGCAGCTGCGAAGACATGGTTAGAATGAATAGGAAACAGGACCTGGAATAATTATACCTTCTGTCGAGACTCTCGTGAGCACATCATCACCTCGAGAAGTCATTTTGACGTTGAGCAGGATGTATTTTGTCAGAGGATGAAGGCTCCGCAAAAGGGCTGGAGAAGCGCGCAAATACACTTCGCAATGGGACGGTGGGATTCAAAGTGTTGTACCTAAACGGACGAAAAGTAAGAGGATAGATAGGCAAATCCTGCTTTCACTATCAAATCATCACCAGAATAGAAGAGCCAACCGCGGCAGAATGATGAAAGGTCGGAGAAGTCGGCGAAGAAGTAGAAGGGAAAAAAAGGTACCAAAGGAGCTTGGACCACCCGGAGATTATCCATATCCGAAGAAACAACCCGATCGTCCTTGTCTTTCCTGTACATCCCTACGATCACTCTGGTCCCTCGTTCTCAATGGCTCCTTATAGAGGCGGCTTTCGGGCGCTCTCATGGGCCGGTCAGTTCCTGGGCCATAAACGTCCAGCATGGAGATGTGCTTCGTGCAGAACTGCTACGGGTACAATCCCTCCGCGCCGCTACGTAACAACCACTTCGGAGAAGGTCTCGAAGAAACCATACTATGTGACGACTCCTATTTTCTACGTGAATGCCGGTATGGACTTCATCTTGACACTATCTTCCTTGGAAAACATATCACTGATAAACGGCGGTTTTCAATAGCTCCCCATGTCGGTCATTTTTATACTATGGTCATTGCCGATATCCTGAAAAGATGGCAGGTGCTTCTAGGAAACAAAAACGCTCAATTGTTGACCGGCACCGATGAGCATGGAATGAAGGTACTACCTCACATCAAACCTAGGTGTGTCTCACACGATTGAACGTTCGAAATAGATTCAACAGGCCGCGCTCGCGGCAGGCATGGACACTCAAGCTTTTTGTGATATGAACTGCAAGACTTTCGAGGTCAGTACCATCCGTCTTGTCCAGGTATATGGCTTCTTATCTGACATGCTGGCGATATGCTTCAGGCCCTAGCAAAAGCTGCAAACATCGACAACGACCATTTCATCCGTACGACCGATCCGGCACATAAGGAGGCTGTTCAATATTTTTGGGTATGTCCTGAGAGATTAGGTCAGCGTTCTTTGCAGAGTGCTGAACAATGTACAGGAAATATTGAATCACCGGGGTTATATTTATACTTCAAAGCACGAAGGATGGTATTCCGTCAGCGACGAGACGTTCTATCCTCCGACACAAGTACAGAATTCCCTGGATCCTTCCACTGGGAGGAAAAGAATGGTATTTGACCCTGGAACTGGCTGAGGCATTTTCTTATCTGACCATCTATGGAACCAGGTGTCTACTGAAACCGGAAAAGAAGTAGAGTGGTCCTCGGAAACCAACTATCACTTTCGTTTATCTGCGTTCCAGGATCGCCTTCTGGAATTTTACAGCAGTACGGATTTCATTGCACCTGGAAACTACAAAACAGATATCGTCAAGTCAGTTTCATCAGGGCTGTCAGATTTGTCGATATCTAGACCCGTAGAAAGATTGACCTGGGGCATTCCCGTCCCTGGCGATGAGACGCAAACTATCTATGTCTGGTTGGATGCCCTTGTCAATTATTTGACTAGGGCAGGGTACCCATTCGTCCCCGGTCAAGAGAGTCGGCTGGGATGGCCGGCCGATGTGCATGTTGTGGGCAAGGACATCGTTCGGTAGGTCTTAATTCACTACCTCGGGGACTGACGAACTAAGCTAAACTGACTTACATTACAGTTTCCATTGCGTGTATTGGCCAGCCTTCCTTATGGCGCTGGATCTGCCTCTACCACGTAGGGTCCTCGTTCATGGCCACTGGACTATGAATCGGGAAAAGATGTCGAAATCAACTGGAAATGTGGTGAACCCCTTCTTTGCAATCGATCGATTTGGTGTCGACACAATGCGGTTCTTTCTTGCTTATCAGGGCGGACTAGTGGGAGACGCCGATTATGACAATTCTTTCATTATCCGTGACTACAAGAAGATGCTCCAGTGGGGTATCGGAAATCTGGCACACCGTACTATTGGTTGCGCAAAGGGAAAACTACGGTCGTACATCCAGGACGCCGCTGCTGACAAGCTGCCTCCCGCGACTCCTGCAGATCAAGAGCATCAATCATTACTGGAACACACGCCTGGCAAAGTGGCCGAGCAAATGGAAAAGCTAAACCCCCGTGCCGCTTTGCAAGATATCATGACGATAATCGAGAGGGTCAGTGTACTCGCCCATCACATGATGTGCAACAATGCCTTTTTTTTTTGTACTGGGATTCTGACCGCTAACCTGCATTGCAGACGAACAAATATTTCCACGCAGCAGAGCCGTGGAGCAATCCAGCCGAATCTCAGCGGGTGCTCTACAATGTTGCTGAATCGCTACGCATCTCTGGTATCTTATTGCAGCCTTTTATGCCCAGTAAGTCCAATGAGCTCTTGGATATCCTGCGAGTAGACAGTGCAGATCCTTCAAAACGGAGCTTTCCGGCTGCAACGTTCGGTCGTGACCCGGATTATGGGGAAGATGTGAAGAAGAGCGTCCTCTTCCCTCCTCTTATCATCGAAGAATGAACTCATTTATGGGTTTTGGTTTGATAAGAAGAAAGAATCGAACCCAATCACACGGCGAAATGAGTGTATCGGCTCCGTCAGCGCAAGGGTTGAGTAAGTCACTTTTCCGTGACTTGCTGCCAGTGGGTCACGTTGCAGGGCTTGTTTTGTCCACGACGATTATGCACATCAAGAGTGAGGAGACTAGGTTTGCGTTAGGTCATGGCGTGCGGGACATATGGATTTCTTACGCATGCCCACAAGACTATCGACGGGAAAAGAAGTTCTAGAATTGCAACCCTGAACCCCGAACTTGATATCGGCCGGAAAACCCCTGGGCTTTCCCGCGGCAAACCTCCCCATCATAGTTGTTGGGAAGTATGCCCTATTGTATATCAGAATTATGGTGTTTTGGAGTCATATAATCCATGGGTTTGCAGGAATTATTTCATATCTTGTTTCTATCGCTCATGTTCCGTCTTGATTCTCAAGCTTGATCTTGGTACTGGAACCCCTTTTCCCCCGGATTTGATATGATATCCGGTGCCTTGCACATACTTTTTATACTATCACCCTCGCAACTCACAACTTGGACTGTATATTATATTCTTCTATTCAACCTCCAATCTCTTCCATTGCCTTACTCCATAGATTGGCCGGAGACAACAAAGATAGTGATATACCTTCGTTACGGGACACAATGGGCAGCATTTCTCCGGAGGAAGCGAAGCTCAGGTTCAAGACGCCATGGATCGAAACACCTTTGGTTGAATCTGCGAGTCTATCCCGTGCAGCAGGCTGCAGGATCTTCCTGAAACTCGAAAACGTCCAACCTAGCGGATCCTTCAAGTCCCGCGCTATGGGCAATCAAATTCTTTCCCATCTCGTCAAGCCGGAGAATGTCGGCCGGCCAGTGCACTTCTACGCTTCATCCGGGGGCAATGCTGGCCTCGCTGCTGTATGTGCCGCCCGGAGCTTAGGGTACCCATGCACGGTGGTCGTGCCGCTATCGACGAAGCCCTTGATGGTCAATAAGCTGCGTGCAGCCGGCGCCTCAGACATCATCCAGCACGGGGAAACGTTTTCCGAGGCTGGGGAATACATGCGTGAAGTAATCATGAAGGGAGGGGATAGTGATGCCAAAATGGATGTGGTCAAAATTGCCCTCCATCCCTTCGACAACGAGCCCATTTGGGAGGGAAACAGCACAATTGTTGATGAGCTCGCCACTCAGCTGCCGCCTGTTTCAACCAGAGAAGAAGCAATTGCCTACAACGGTCGTGCCTTGCCGTTGGATGCGGTGATCTGCAGTGTTGGCGGTGGCGGCCTGCTGAACGGCCTAGTCATGGGTCTGGAAAGACGTAGACAAATACAGAAACAGAGCTCCCACTACAGCAGCAGCAGCACCACCACCACCACCACAGTATTCCAACAAGACCCTGTTCACCTCCTAGCCATTGAAACAGATGGCACAGATTCCCTCGCTCTCGCCATCGCCCAGAAATCCCTCGTCTCTCTCCCTAAGATCACCTCTCAAGCTACCTCATTGGGTGCCATCCGGGTTTCGGAAAGGACCTTCAAATACGCCATCTCTCCTCCTCCAGGCATTGCCGTTCACAGTGCTGTCCTTTCAGACGCCGATGCAGCGCGCGGTGTGCTCCGTCTCGCAGACGACGAAAGGCTGCTGGTGGAGTTAGCCTGCGGTGTCTGTGTCGAGGCAGCCATCGGCGACGCAGCCAAGGCACGGGGCGCAGCATCAACACCGGCTCTATCTGCATCCGAACAGCCATCAGTGGCAGGAAAGAAACGAAAGAGAACCCAGACAGAGTACTGCCATCGGGACGAGGGGTACGGCGATGACCGATTGTCATCCGGGGAGAACGAGGCGGTGTCGGACGAGACCGGAAATCGGCCTCCAGCACAAGCTAACCAGTCTTCAGCATCGCCGGGAGAATTCCAGTCCAAGCTGAAACAACTAGTCCCCAACCTGCAAGCCGACAGTCGAGTGGTAATCATCGTCTGTGGTGGCAGCAACGTCACCATCGATATGGCGGGAGAATGGCGGAAGATGTTGCAGGAGGGATGGGGACGTTAAACAGGTTTCTTCGGCGTTATGTTGTTCTGTTAACGGCTTATGATGATCTTGTCTTTTCCGATGACTGCTTTTCCTATGGCTATGGGTTATGGGATACTTAATTATTCACTCTACATGACAAATAGAATATGAATATCAATGAATTCGATACCCCAATCTGTAAAGCTGGTAGTATCTGCAATCCTAACTGAGTGTACCCGTACACAGCACTTTATACGAGAGGCAAGAGATTGATGTCGGCGGATAACCTGGAAGACCCATTCTCCCCAAAAACCGCTGCTAACTCTATATTTGTTGATAGGCCATTGAGCTGATCTCACATGGATCAATGGTGTCATCTCTTGCGCACGACATAGAACCAGGAAGCCGGTTTATCACAGTAAATTGCACCAAATGAATACTCAAAAGGTCCTGGTGTCACAACGCTACATACAGACTATATACAATTCAAACCAGAAAAAACCGAAAATGTGGATATCATAGTCGCATAAGACTCACAGAACAAGACGGCAATCAGGCAGAAGCAGATACCTCTGCAGCAGCTGTCAGGGACTCTGTAACCTGTCGAATGCGATAGTCCCAATAGTTTCTCCGAATAGGGTCGTACTTGTCCTTGAGGAGAGTGAGCATCTTCACTGCCTCGGCTGCACTTCCTTCGCCAGGCGACACTGCTTCGCCTTCCTCCGCATATATATCCGCCAGCCACTCCACAGCATGGCTACTCTTGACGGCGACATCCACTACCTTGTCGTCCTCCACCTTCTCAGCCACAAATTGGCGAGCAAATACTTTCCATTCAGAAACTGGTCTGCCAGCCGCTTGCAGCACGCCGCGGGCGTATGACCAGGGACTGCGATTCTCCGGTGCTTCCAGGATTCTAGCCTGTGAGTACTGCAGCTCCGCATCGACCAAGTCCTCGTCTACGACAGGTAAACGGCCTTTGTCCGCTGAGGAGCCTGTCGTGTTGTGCAAACCAGCGTCAAATTCGTTTGTATCACGCGGTCCAAAGCGCAGCATGTACCGGTGATTCCAAGCAGAATTGTTTCGAATATCAGACTTGAGAAGTGCCTCCACATCTTCAATCTCACGGGGATAATCCCACAGCTTGAAATGACGGACAAGCCAATGGCGATACGTCCAGACATGGTAGTTCTTGGCGTCATGAGCAAACATCTCCATTAGGAAATCTTGCTCTTTGGGCGGAAGGGTTGGGAATTGACTTCTTGATGACATGATGACTTGACGGTGATGCCTACAAATTTGGCCCGTAAGATTCATGTGAAGTGTAAGGGCATTTTTGATACATACCAAATCTGATAATTCTTCAGGTGTTTAAGGGCTACTTTGTTTAGCCATTCGATTTCAGCGTTGAGGTCTTTTTCCAAGGCAAAAAGAATCTTCGCCCGGTAGATCCTATAAGAAGCGGACTTTAGCAAAGCAGGCGCTAGATTGAACCTCAGTTAGGCTCACCACACGGTGTAATGGGCAGCGTTCATGGAGATGATATGTTCCGTCAACTTCAACGCCCTCTCAGACATCTCATTGGCGGCCATTACTGCTCGCAGATAGGAAGTGGCCTCGAGATACTCGGGGGAATAAGCGATGGTGGCCAGGGGCATGGCGCCGGATTCGCTGCCATCCTTTAGTTCGATGGGTTGGATGGATGCCCACTCGGGATCTGAAGAATATTTGCCGTCCATTGTAAAGCTCTCAAATGATATTCGATCAGAGAGAATTCTCACTTGGATCCCCGTGTTGTTGGGCTTGAAGCAGATGACGAAGCAGATCTCCAGTTGCCCACAATCGGTACTCACAAACGATATAGGAGTTCTCCCCGCGGGATATGAATCACAAATTTGATCAATATACCCCGGAATCAACTAGATCTGTACCTGTATATCAGATATAACAAGAGCCAAGGCGAGGAAAAACGATATCCCAGCAAGATGTCAGTGTTTGAAGGTCCGGAGGGAATTCCGCAGGAAATCACGATAAGATAATCCAGTCAGCGTGGGGCAATGGCGGCCTGAGGCAGAAACAAGAACAATATCAAGACAACAATATCAACATCTCTCTCTTTCTCTCTCTCTCTCTCTCTCTCTTCCACAACATCACGACTCAGTTCGTATCCATCTTTGTCCCAGTAGCTTGTTTGCTTCTACCAGAAGATTTCAAGCCATGGAAGCACATCCATTGCTCAATTCGCTGAGAAAAACAATGGAGTTTTCAGCCCTGAATGGTTATGTGGATGTCCAGAATGGAAGAGGCTCCTCCATGCAGCGGCTTTGAGGGTCATGGCTCATGGCTTGTGCAATCGGAGCTTCTGGCTCCCTGAGATCTTTGTTCTTTCTGCAGATACGAGTCATGAGTTCATGAGAAGCATTGCAAGAAGTTGACAACGCTGCCCAGAATGTCGACGTCAAGCTCACTTCCTACCATAGCACAAAGAGTCGCGCCACTATTCAAGCTAATATAGCGGTTGACACACGTGGATTCTATCTGCCACGAGGCTGTCAAGAGTTTTTGTGATTTCTATACTTGTTCAACTCATCCTTCAGCTTGTCCCAGAAAGGGAAAAACTCGCAACTGGTCTCTCATTGGACGCCTTTTACTACTGATAAGAGCAGGGTTTCCCCGCACAACCAGCTAGTGGCCTATCATTATCTCATGCGGATGACTTGGAGGTATTGTCAACGATAACAGTGAGTGTTCGGCGTTGAGGGCAGTCTTTTGACAATGACATCTCTCTTCCTTCATCATAGCCCCAGGCCAGTGGAAACGCAACTTGATCAGCGATGCGGCGAGTTAAGAAATCTCGCAATGGCTGTGCAAGATGCAAGAGCAAAAGGGTGAGTGTATCTTAGAACTACTCTATTGCTTCGAGGGCATCTGACATATACTAACAACTCCAAACAGGTCAAATGCGGGGAAGAAAAACCACACTGCAATCGATGCACTCGGCTTGGAGTGAAGTGTCCTGGATATGTCCAATCTCTGCGCTGGGTGACCAAGTTTCAACAGACCGACAATGAGTTGGCAGACAATCCTGAAGATTCTGTTACCACCCCAGACCAATCTACAAATCGTCGTTCTTCTACCTCTCCTAAGCAGCCAGTTTTTGTCAATGCGTCACCACCAATTCCGTTGGCTTCAGACACTAGCGACTTGAGTCTTAACACTCCCCAGGAAAGTACCGAATCGAGAAATCCAGAAGCCAATGTCGCAAGTGTGATGTGCGATAACCTGTGGAATCTTCAGGGCATGGGCTCTTTGCCGGAGTTGACAGATCTTTGTCCTCCGTCGCCATCGACATCACCTTCAATATCAGTTCCACGTCCAGAAGACTCGATGTTCAACTTTGGAACACCGACAAATCACACGAGCTTCTTTTCGCTGGCAGCATCAGCGCTTCAGGATAAACAACATCATTATCCCGGCTTCTCGCCTTCATCAATCGTGCGCAGATATCCTTCTTCCCATCCTAAACCGCCTCCCCACGATTTCTCCTCTGTTCCCCAACCCTTGAACAATCCGTCATGGACGTTGATTGAATATTACTTCAAAGAGGTGGCAGCGCTGTTTTCCAGTTACGGTAGCCAGATGAACCCCTTCCGATCGACCGTGTCACGCCTATGGGGGTCATCGCTGGCCATGTGCAAGACGATGCAAAGCATGGCGGCGGCCACCCTAGTGCACGATTTTCCTGAATTTGGCCCGGTGGGACAACGCATGCGCGATGAAGCAGTTGAAATCATTTCCAAAGAAACCATAATGGACGACAAATCGCTCTTGGCGTTGCTCATGCTTGGTCAGACGGCCAGTTGGCATGACTCTAGAGACCTGGGCGTTTCGTTCTTCAATCTACTTCGGAAACACCTAGATGCCAAAGTTGCTGAAACGCCGTGCCAGAACCGTGGTAACAACCATCAGTTCTTTGAGGAGGCTCTCATCTACTGGGAGATGCTACTCTCCTTTGTTGCGGACGATTCAGCCGTACTCTCGGGGAAATCAGCTTCGGAAATGACCGAGTCGGTTGTCCTCCAGCGGGTGCCTCATCCTTGGACAGGGATTGCACGCGATACTCAATTCACTGTTCAGGAAGTTGGGCGGCTAGTTTGCTCCGAGAGGAAGCGGGTTCGCTGTAGAAAGTTTACCTCGGAAGCAGATATTACCCAAGCGCAGATGGCCATTGTCAAGGCCCAGGAATTGGAAGAAAGACTCCTTGGCCTGGCCCATCCCACGGAGGGCGAGATTGTTAGTCCAGGGGACGATGAAACGCCGGTCTGGCATCTTCTCACTATGGCGGAGGTATATCGCTGTACAGGCCTCTTACAACTATATCGGGTCTTTCCCGACTTGTTACGCCGCCGATTACCCTCGCACCAGACATCGCCTTCACAGTCTGGTCAACAGCCCGCCACCGCAGCTCCTCGGGATCTATTTTTCAGTCTAGGTACTGATCCAATCATGGAAAGTATGCCATGGTTCTCCGACGCTCCATTGATGCAACCGGAGAGCAACACAACTTCACATCCAGCAGGCACAACCAAGGAAGATCCGGAACTGTACTACTGCACTTGGTTGGTTGAATTCGCACTCACCACTCTATCCCGCCTCAAGACCATTCCTTTCGAATCGCGCACCCGATGTCTTCAACCGTTTCTGCTCGTGGCATTGAGCAGCGAGCTTCGGCTACCTCAAATGACACCATCAGGACCTATTTCCGACGTTGACGGACCGCAGCTCTCATCACATGCCATTGAGGTCTCCAGAACGCGCCGCTTCATTCTCGGGCGGCTGACCTCGTTTCTGCACGTCCTTCCCCCGAAACCAATCGGCGTCTGTCTTCAACTTGTACGAGAAGTGTGGAGACGCTTGGATGCTGGCGAATCCAACGTGTATTGGATGGATGTCATGATCGAGAAAGGTTGGGAGACAACGATGGGTTAGTCTCAATGAACCTTCTGGTAAGGACAGGAGCAAGTAATACCTTCTTAATGACCATTGATGTACCAAATATCTTCGAATCAAAATCGTTATATGTACTTGGAGAATAAATGTTGGCTAAAGCGAGTAAATCACCAAGATATGGAATGTGGTGATATATATTGTAGCATCATACGCTCGCACCACCCAGCTATATATTCCTAACATTCACCCCCACTACTACAGATTTGGCCCTCATACAATCAAGGCCACCCTTGAATGATTAAGCGTGGATGTGAAAGGTCAACTCTTTTATTAGGAAATAAAAGGATGGAGTTGAAGTGAATATATAGCGCCATTCATGAGTAACAGGGACCAAAATTATGTTATAGACAAACACTGAAATATGATACAAGAATCAGACACCAGCCCGAAGGGAATATAGAGATATCAGTCAAACAAGAATGCAGAGACAAAAACTCGCTGATTAAAGGCATATCATGCAAAGGGTCCCTGTTCCCTCTGAAATGTAACGAGCCGAAATGTGTATAAGACATAAAAGTGAGAAGGGTAATTCCAGAATCACAGGTCTGTGGGCCGCTCAGTCAGTGCTCATTCAAACTATCATAAAATCTGCAATGGATGTAGCTGCATGAAGAGCTTAGCAGCCGCGTCGAAGGGGGAAATGCTGGGTTTGGATTACGAGGAGAAATGAGTCGCTCGTTTCCAGAACTTCCAACCCTCCCGCTTCTCCTGAACGCCAACACCAACAAGACGCTCGATGCCCTCGGTGCCAACTGCGTTCTCGAACTTCTGCTGGTCAATCTCCTCGCCACCCTCTTCATCGGTTCCGTTGCGCAGCACCGCCGGCCAAAGGACACCGATACCGTCTCCGCCCAAAGTTGTCTCGTACTTCTCGAAACCTTCGACGGATAGCTTCTGCTCGAGATCGCGAACAGCCTCCTCCTTGACATCTGGACGCAAAACCGTGATTGCGCAGCCACCGCCTCCGGCGCCAGTTAATTTTGTCCAGCCAATGTTGGCATAATCAACGAGCTCGCGGATCCGTTCCAGCCTGGGATGAGAGACGCCCAGCGACACGAGGAAACCGTGGTTGATTCGGATCAAGGTACCCAAATGCTCCAGTATCTGCGCCGAGACACCTTTGCTGTTGATGTCCTGGATGGCCTCCTGCGCGGCAAGGGTTACTTTATCGATCGCATCCAGAATGGCTTCTGTCACCACTGGATGGTCGTCCTTCAACTTGCCCACCTTCGCCACCTCAGCAGCGGTCGAGCGGGCTTGTCGCGTGTCGACCAGGAGCAGCGGTAGTTCGGGAAAGTTGGGAAGTGGGATGACCGTCGGTGGCTTGGTGTAGTCCTCTCGTCGGAAGATCACGGCCTTGCCGCCTGCGGAGACCGTGTTGTCCACACCACTGGGGTTGCCGTGCGTGCACATCTCGCCGACAAACGCCCAGCGATTGATGCGCTCGATCTGCGTCTCCGCTTCGTCAGGGGGTTGGTCAGGATGAGGACCGGCAAGGGTACGGATCTGAAGGAGGAGCGCGGCGCTCAGACAGACGCAGACACTCGCGCTGCTACCGAGACCGGCGCCGATGGGGATGGTGGATCGCAGGGTGTAAATCGCGCCCGGGGTCTGTGGGGAACCGAGGGAGAGGAAGAGATAAAGGAAGGCGGAAGCGGATCGCCGATGGATTTTGCGCACATCTTCTGGTTTATCCGGCGACACTGCATCGACGTGGGGCTGGATTGCGTCGACGAGTTCGGGGTCAAGGGAGGTGACGAGGTTGTAGTAGAACTTCTTCTTGGATGGGTGGTGAAAGACATCCCACGGCAGATCGTCGATGTTCCAAGTATGATCCAGACCAATATCTCTGAAGTTCATGGTCACCGTTCTTTGTGACTTGGACAGAGTGGTCACGAGAAGGTAAGATCGAAGGGAGATGGCCGCAGCCATGGCGGCCTTGCCGTGGACGACCGCATGCTCGCCGTAGACGATGACCTTACCTGGCGCGGACACCATGAAGGCAGGGGCCATCGGCGACGACGATTTCCTCATCATTTTGGGTTTTGTACCGTTCATGAGGGGCTTCATGGTTGAATCGGTGGTGGAAGGAGTCGAGGATGCGCCGCCGTCGGAACTGTCTTGACTGTCGTCGTTGCTGACTATTGAGACCTTCGGGCGTGCCGCAAGGGGCTGGTCTGACATGAGATTGGATATGGTACCACGTTGGGTACCCTTGCTGGCTTTGAGACTGCCGTTGGTTCGGCGTCCACGAGGGTTGCCCATCACAGAAAGGGGTGGGGGGGGTGGTGTCCGCGCGGAAATGGCGCGGTTGGGATGGTAGCAAGAGGAAGGGGAACAATGATAAGAGGCTGGATTGTTATTCGCGTGAAGAGGCTGTAGACATGACAGAGTCAGTGGAAATTCCCGTGAGTGGTCAGTGGACGCACCAGCAGGGTCAGTTTGAAAGGCAATAAGGGCCCATAAAAACATACCCAAGATTCAAGATTCAAGAAGTACTTAGCAAAAGATTCACTTCACGACGACCCAGACTCCGTCGCACGTTGGTGTGGCCCAATAACACGCAGGCCAATTGTCATTTGTCACCCAAAACGGGATCCTTTCTTTTATGGGGCGAGAGAGTCAATGGCTTCGGGGACTTTGGGGGCGTCTTTTCTTCTTTCACTTAATCTCCCGGAAGAGAAAAGGGAACCAGGAAAGTTGAGGAAAGTTGTGCAGGTTGAAAGTGAATCTGGCGATGACTTCTCTTTTTTTTTTGAGGTCCTACGAGTGTAATGGGATTACAAACTTATCTGCCGAAACAAGCTGGTTTTGCTGTATCTTTCTGTAATGCGCTGACAACCCAACCCCTTTTTCCTCGTGGACTCTATCCAAAAGGAAGATGAATATATATATATATATATATATATATAAAAAAAGTAGTTCTCTATATTCATATACATATATATCTTCATGTCTCATGCTTCTAGTTGTACCGCTTCAACGCAACTGGAGGATCATCAACCGTCGTTACAAATTCATCGTCACGGTCATGCTATTGCTATGGACCAACAGACAAGGAGGCAGCCCTTGCCACAAAACATCCAGATCACCCAGGTAGGACTCGCTCGCCGCTTCGCTCTGCGCAGTGCCCTCAGATGGGGAAGGTAACGTGGTGAAGATGACCGCTGTCTCGCTGCTTTGCGTGGCTATCAATTCGTTGAGAATCAGATGCTGGGCGCGGCTCGGGAGGTCGTTAAATGACAGAGGGACAGATGCCTGGTTGGGGAATCCGGAGGCGCTCCTCTTCGTGTCCGAGGACGAACGACGGGTGTAGATGGAATCGAGCCGGTTGGAGAAGCGCGGGGGTGACGAACTCAGCGCAAACATGATGGATGGGCCAGCCCCTTCTTCCGTATTCACCTTCGCTTCGGGAATAGGCGTTGAAGTAAAACGATTGCTTGATGCAGAGCGGCTGATGGGTGGCCGGGTCACCTTGCTTTTAGGAGACCCCTCCTCCCCCGTGCCGATGATAAATGGAATATCCTGCTTGGCGGCGGTATCCTGAGGTGCTCTTTGCTTGGCCTTTGGCGCGGGTGCAATTTGCGAATCAACATCATTGCCGGATTCCTCCTGTTGTTCGTCGTCACTGACGTACGGCTCAAAGTCACTTTCGCTACTGCTCTCGCTTGCACTGCTGTCGTAGTCAACCAGCGAGTCGAGTAATCGATGTGTCTTCATGCCGAGATTAACTCCCCCAAGCCCCTTTAAGCTCGATATGGACCGTCGACGCCGCGACTGAATGAATTTTCTCAACCCTCCGGCCATTTGACTCTGAGATCTTGAAGGCAATTCATGGCCCGTCATACCATTCCAGCTAGACATTCTCTCGGGTAGTCGCCCCAAAATCTCCTGACCCGATCGCTCTGAAGGAATTTGTACATTATTGCGGAATCGCTGGAGCTCCTGCCACCACTCTTCATGTTCCAACACGGTATGGACTCGCTCTTGGGCATCTTCCGTGTCTGGAGCTGTATCGCCATTCACAATGACCCGATACGCCTTGAGATTCCCGCATGCAAGCCAGAAGACCAGAACTTCTGCTTCGATTCGCAACTTTTCGAGGAGAGCTTCGACCCTTCCACGTTCATCGTCAACATCGGTTTCATACTCCACAAAAACGGCTACCCGGAGCTTGTATGTCTTTTTCCACGATGGTACCGTGTTGAGGATGCATCCCAGCTGAAGAATCAGAGTATACGTATCGAAATTCGTCGTCAGGACGTTTTGCTTGCTTTCATTATCCGCCCCAAGCTCAGCCGACATCTGGATCGGCCATAGATCGATGTACTTCTTCATATGCTGCCCATCCGAGGTAGGAAGCTCAAGGGCTTCAAACCCTTTGGCGACGGCAACGTTGATACGGAGTTTGAATAGGAGGTCCTCGAGCACAGTCACGTAGCTTTTGCAGCTCATCGACAGGTCCCGCACATCATTCTGTGGTGGCTCGGCAGTTCCATCCTGGGAGGCGCGTTTGCTATTCACCGAGTCCTTTCTGTGATGTGGATGTTGTAAGACTTCCACAAGAGATTGCCCTTTGCGAAATTGATCAATAACCACGATATTTGGCCTCATACCTCCCAATCCAGAATTCAGAACGACATTTCGGACACCCCATTCCGCGCTTGGGGCCACGGCGATATTCACAAAGGCTTTTACCTTTGAATATTCGACCAATTTTGTCCATGTATTCTGTTGACGCCGAGCTTCTGGCACCGCGCCAGAGAAGTCGTCTGTCACAAGGACATGTCCCAGTACAAACAGCGCACCTTTCTTGAGGGAGTTGCAGAATGAGACCATCTTGTACTGCTCGTCGAGATTGTTTACGAAAAGCAGAATCTGAGGCCTCCAGAACTTGACATGCTCCTGTCGAAGGCGAAGCAGATACTTGCGAACTTGGTGATAGATCAAGCTTTGGCTGACATCGCCCCATGACTTCGGAGGTGATGTATAGTGGATGAGCAAAAACAGCATAACCAGAATACCAACGGAGCCCGTGGCATAGAGTCCATCGACGAAAAACATGCTAGCACCGCACATCAGAGTTCCTGCTGCTGCAGTCTTCCAATTAAAGTAGTGGAATGACGGCCGGAAATTGGGAGCAGAGCCAATTTTTAAAAGGAAGCATGCCAGATTCGTAACCAGGAAGGTCATCAGATATGTCATAGTGACAAAGGATGCGATTTGGTTGATGTCGAAGAGCATCGTGAGCTGTGCAACCACAAAGGTTAGGATAATAGCATAGACCGGTTCATCGTTCTTTTTACTGCCTTGACCAAAAATACTAATACCGGGAAGTAGACTGTCGCGCGCAATGGCTTGGAGAAGCTTCGCAGAACCGATGACACCCATCAAGGAAGAGAAAAACGATGTCGCAAACTCTCCTAGTAGGATAAGTATGCCGGAAACATTCACCAGCTGGATCACATTAGTATTCTTGTAGAGCGTATCCCTCGTTATTGAGGCAGCCAAGGCCAGAATCACGAGCGTATAAGTGATGAAGGTTAGTGCCAGTCCTGACAGTGTCCCCTTGGGTATTGATTTGCTAGGATTTCTCAGATCACCAGACATGCTGGCACCAGCAAATATGCCACCTGTAGCAGGGAAAAGAATCCCAAATAGATCCTGGAAGTTCTCCCTTCCATGGATTTGACTACCAGCAGCACCCTTGGTGAGTTTGGGCTTCAAGTTTTCCAGTAACGTTTGCAGGCGAATACCAGTAAATTCGATGTTCAACGCGGGGATACTGAATGGCTTCATAACAATAACCGAGACTGGGATGCTGAAGGTTGCCACGAGTAAAATGACCAGCAATCCGTTACTGGCTCTGGCGAAAATGGAGCTCCCAGCCAAACATATTCCAGTGCACAGAAGCAAGACAATGGTTCCCCAGAGGTACTGCCACCAAAATCCCTCCTCCAGGAAATTGGCCCAATTGCCGGATTCGCTGCCAAAATTCTGGGTGAAGCAATCGACGAGACCAACCGCATTCATTCCGGTATTCAACACATAGCCAATGTAGAATACCATCCCGATCGAACCACCAAACTCGGGACCCAGTGACCGAGAAATCAGGTAGTATGCACCACCACCTCTAACCGTGCCGTTGGTTGCAATTGCCGAAAGAGACATTGTAGTCACCAGATTGATAGTATACGAGGCGACGAGAAGTCCTATCATCCGCCGTCAGTCGTGAAGCACACAGAAGACACTTTCAGCGATCTACTCACCAATCATCCCAAGTAAACCAGCTTGCCCGAGGATAAATCCAAATCGAAGGAACATCAGAATACTGAGGACATTCAGTGTCGTCGGCACGAAGACTCCAGAGAAAGTCCCAAGCTTATTGACGAGATCTGAGGCACGATTTGTCCCCCCATTCCTTTCCTTCTTGTCGGAACTCGAGTCTCTAAGAGGTCCGGCAGAGAGGGAGACATTTGCGGCCATACTGTCAGCTGCGATATCCTGCGCCCCCTCATTGTCTCGATGGTCCCACCAGCGGGAGATATTACTGAAAAAATTCGATGGTAACGATTGACGTTGACGGTCGGAGTTCCGAGCAGAAGCGTTCAATGGCTCGTACGGCCGAAAAAGAAGAGCAGATCTCCAATTGAGCCTGCTGGACTCCTCTGGAGATGCGTTCGTCGCGTCATTTGGAGCGAGCCTGGATGCATCCTCTTCAGCAGTTCGTGTTGAGAAATTAGGCCTTCTCCGAGACATGGACCCTGAGGCACTTTTGTTCCCTCCGTCTTTCATCGAATGTGATGTCGAAATTCCTTATCGCAGTAGTGTCTCCACTCCCTTATATCCTTGCTTGTGTTCAACAGACGGTGTAAAGCGCAGCCGAGGATATCCAAAGAAGCGGTATGGGCACGATATGCTCTACCAAAGAAGGGTAGTCACCATGCGATGATGGGATACACAAGCATTGTCACAAACAATAAGAGATATTCGAACAGATAAAGTCAATGTGTTCGGTAAACCCAGCTAATAATAGATAAGCGATTGACAAGCCTGATACTACTGAATACTGATACTGCTGTGTTTCGTGGATTTCGGAGATCGCGATGACCTCACCCGATGGAGAAGACAAACAGTGCAAATTCCCCGGTTAGTCACCAGGTACATCCCATGTGCTCTCATCGTCTTCCCGTCCACTGTTGTGTATCACTTTCAGCTATACAACAGTACAGGAGTGAGACTGTTGCGCTATTCGAAAGGTTTTCATGGTCTCAGCATATCAGGCGTCTTTGTGAGAGATTCCTTCGCGCTCTAAGAACCTACAATCCCGACTTATCTACCAAGACCCTTAAGTCTTCTACTCCACCCTCTTGGCTGACCTTCTGTTTGGACACGACTCTGCGCTGAAGGAATCACAATATCGTTTCTTGCTACTGCGCTGCTCGATATACTCTGTCTATTCTTCTGCAAGCATGACATCGCCCGGTACAAGGGACAATGGCGAGGGGCCCTCGTCGGAAACTAATTTATCGACCCCGGTGCCTGCTCCTGCAGTTCGATCTGGATCTCCTGCAGCAGACATCGGGTCAAGACACGCCTCTATTGCACGATTAGCGTCCCCAGTTCCTTCCTTGTCGACCTCGTTCTCGTCAAGACAAGCCCCAGTGCCGATCCAGGCGACAAGCGGGAATGTGCAAGATCTTCGACGGGTGGATAATCCAGCCTCACTACCAGGACCAGGGCAGTCCATGATCGCATCCGCGCTCCAGGAAAATCTTGGTCGCTCGCCTCCAAGGCTCGGAACCCCACCAAGACGGACTGAATCTCCTGCATTGCTGAGCCAGCCAGTCAGATCAAATTATGGCTCGTTTGACAACAAGCTCGGAAGGGAAGGTTCGATACATTCGACTGCCCCATTTGAGGACCCCGAGGTCGTGAGGAGGCATTTGGTACAGCCGCAAAATGTTGCTGATTCCAATAACATTGGCGACGTCGCGAGTAATGCCGATGAGGATTTCTCTAGCTTGCAATTGCAGGGAGGAGACATTACGAGACAGGTCTACAGATGGGCAGAGGACGCGGAATCTGGAAGTTCCGTCCGGAAGCCTCTCCGCAGCAAGAGTTTCAGTCTCAGCAGACCTACCCCAGAACAGGAAACAATGGACATCAATTCCATTCGCATACCAGGAGGTTTCAGGAGGGACTTCATACGCAGGACAGTTGGCAGCCCGCATCCTGAAAACTCCAACAGCCGTGTCCGGGCGCCAACAACGCACAACCCACTCCATACCAGTAGCTTTCTGGAGTTTCTGACTTTGTACGGTCACTTCGCTGGTGAGGAGCTGGAGGATGACGATGAGGTGCTGGGGCCTGATGAGTACTTCTCCTCTGAGCCATGGGACGAAACAGAAGACAGGGAACCAGGTGAAGAATCGGCTCTCCTCCGACCCGAGACTCCTGGCCGAAGGAAGCGTAAACCGCGTGGAGGCACCGGGACCAACACTGTGACTGGAGCAGCTCTTCTTCTACTGAAATCGTTCGTGGGCACAGGTGTTCTCTTTTTGCCAAGGGCCTTTTTGAATGGCGGCATGCTCTTCAGCAGCTTGGTCCTTCTTGCTGTATCGCTACTCAGCTTCTATTGCTTCATTCTCCTTGTTAACACGCGATTGAAAATCGAAGGATCGTTTGGTGATATCGGTGGTGCACTTTTCGGCAAGCACATGCGCCGTATCATCCTTGGGTCTATCGTCCTCAGCCAACTGGGCTTTGTTTCGGCATACATCGTCTTCACCGCTGAGAATTTACAAGCCTTTGTTCTCGCGGTTAGCAAGTGCAAGTCATTTATTGACATCAAATTTATGGTGCTGATGCAGTTGGTCATCTTTCTGCCTCTTTCGCTGATCCGCGATATTGGCAAATTGGGATTTACTGCACTTGTTGCAGACGTTTTCATCCTGCTGGGGCTGATTTACCTTTATTACTACGACGTCCATACCATCGTTTCACAAGGTGGTATCTCGGATATCAAGGCTTTCAACCCATCCACCTGGACTCTATTCATCGGAACTGCCATTTTCACCTACGAGGGAATCGGTTTGATCATCCCCATCCAGGAGTCGATGAAGCAACCGCACCGGTTCCCTGGTGTCCTTGCTGGTGTCATGGTACTCATCACGATTGTCTTTCTTTCTGCCGGTGCCCTCAGCTATGCCGCGTATGGATCCGCAACGCAAACTGTGGTCATCCTCAACCTTCCTCAAGATGATAAGTTTGTCAATGCGGTTCAATTTCTTTATTCTCTTGCCATCCTGCTGAGCACACCCCTTCAACTCTTCCCTGCCATTCGAATTATGGAGAACGAACTCTTCACGCGCAGTGGCAAGTATAATCCCGGAATCAAATGGAAGAAGAACTGCTTCCGTTTCTTCTTGGTCATGATTTGCGCATTCGTCGCTTGGGGTGGAGCGGATGACCTCGACAAATTTGTTTCACTAGTCGGCAGCTTCGCCTGCGTGCCATTGATCTACGTGTACCCGGTACAGTTCCATGGACCAGCCTCTCATACTACTTTCCACTTTACTGATTCAATCTACAGCCTCTCCTGCATCTCAAAGCTTGTGCTCAATCAAGACGCCAGCAAATCGCTGACATTGCTCTTGCCTGCCTTGGGGTCGTTTCCTGCATCTATACGACAACGTTGACCATCTACAACTGGGTCGGCGCAGATGATACCAAGCCGCCCGGCTACTGCGATTCCGGATCCGTTTAACGATGGTGCCATTTACGACTGTTCTTTTTGGATTAAGATTAAGTGACCAGTTTAGACACGACGCGACGATGATTCGCACACTGGCCAGTATAACAGTTCAACGCAAGCGATCTATCTCATTTTTCTATTAGTGTTGTTGTTTTTGTCAGGCACTTTTACATTCGAGCCAGTCATACGCGTCTGCCTGCTTTGACGCCGATGATTAGATTGATTAACTCATTAGAGCCAAGGGATTTGCAGTATATAGAATATCAGATCATACATCTTACAAGTTCATATTTCTCCACCCTAGATACACAATACTTAGATCCGTGAGCCCCGTGGCACGCCGGACAATCATGATGGAAAAAGCACTCGAAAGTCGCCATCAGCGATGCTAGAATTATCCAATTTGACGTAACACAATAAGTACAAATAATAGATACCACCCAAAAGTCGACCCAGGTACTGAGCACCCGTTCCCTCATTCACTAAAAAGAATCGACGAAACCAGATGATGAGCCTGAGGACCATATTACCCAGTCCAAAGATCGTCAAGCCAAGCTCGAGCGATTGATTAGAGATCCGACAATCATCCTTGTATTCGTCTAGAGTAGGGTCTAAGTCATTGCGGAGCAAGAGGGAAATTATATAGGAACGGCATCCACCCGGGAGCAATGCAAGAAACACGCGGCAAAGGGAAGAGCTCATGCTACTCATGCGCCTGCTTCGGTGGCTTCCTTGCCCAGCTTGGCGGTCTCTGCAAGCTTGGCTTCACGACCACCCCAGCTAGATTGACGAGTGAGTTGTTAGTATGTGATTTCGCGCATGAGATGAATGGGCGAATAGGAGAAACGGGAAGTCTAGAGCACGGAGCTCAAGCAGAATAGGGTGTATAAACATACTTCCAGTAGTTCAGGTACCGGTATCCTTGGGTGAGCTGAGCGGAGAAGTTGACGGCATGGCAGGCGAAAAGGAGGTAGTTCTTGGGCGAGACGGCGAGGGCGTAACGCATGAATGTGGCAGAGTAGATGGTAAGCGCAGCGGTCATCTGGCCAGAAATACTGTGGAGTGTTAGACTTCGGTTGACTCATCTGCGCTGCGCTTGGGAGCTACAGGCACAACGGAGGGACAGTCTGGATGAACGCCAGGCACTGTGCCGCATGACACGGTCAAAAGCCAGATTCCTTCTAGACGTACATTTCGGGATCCTTCTGGGTGTCCATCACGGCAGCAATGGGGATACCGAAGTTCGAGGCAGGGCCCCAGAAATCTAGGTAAACATTGAACCGTCAGCCATTCCGTCTTTCAAAAGACTATCAAGCACCATAGTTCAGATATGTATTTAGTGTCATTGGAGTGCTGGTGTTGTTTTCCCGTGTGATCTCTAACGTTCATCTTCATCCATCCAGAGCTACATCAGAGCTGGCCGATCTCGGTGAAGAGCGCCAGGGAACTGCGAGAGGGTACGTACGTGTTGAGCAGACATAGTCCAGAACCTTGTTGGAACGGATCTTGGCATTGATTGCCTTAATAGCAGCGGCCATCTTGAAATGATTGATGTGTTCGAGAAAGATGAGTCGTTCAGAGACAGGAATCGAGGTTGGTCCCTTTTGCTGACAAGGCACGTTTGGTTTGCCGCTCGCCGACTGCGGAATCAAAGCGCGGAGTTGACCGAGTATGTCACGTGAACTATTACTTGATCGCGACTACGAGTTGCAAAGAGTTATGAAGATGATACTCAGGGGAGAAATGAAGCGAGACGTAATATCAATTGACTAGTGTAATGGGTACTTTAGACAGGTTCAGCATTACTGCTTATTGATCCTAGATCAACTTCCTGGAGTTGACCGTTCTTCATCGGGACATTCCCAGCATCCGCACACGCCGCAACGCCGTTTGCCTGTAGATTCATGTGTGCTTGTTTCTATTCTGTCGGATGGACATGTGATGATAGACGAGTCCGACCTCCTTTCTCCTAGTCTCAAAATTCTTGCCGTGCTCAGTCGACGGCAGGGATATTGTATGCAATCATGCCGCTATGCCGCTCCTGTAATGTGTAATCATCTTCCTCCAAAACCTGGTGGGGGGAAACCGCGACCCTGGCCTGGGGGCTGGAATCCTGGAGGAGGTTGGAAAGAGCCAGCTAGAATAACAATATCAGCAATCATATCACCAAGTGAAAGAGCGTTGTAAACTTACGAGGGCCACCCTGGGGGGCAAAGCCAGGTGGGGGACCGAAGCCAGCTATATCAAAATTATCAGTGCTGCACGTTGAACACCAGATGTCTATGAATGTGGGACTTACGAGGACCTCCTGGGGGCCCGGCACGACCAGCAAAGCCCGGGGGTGGTGCGCCAGGGAAACCACCAGGTGGGAAGCCACCAAATCCACCAGGGGGAGGTGGTGGTCCTCCGACACCAGCAGCAGGACCTCCAAGACCAACAGGAAGACCACGTCCAGCGGGCTTGCTAATTCCTGGGCCAGCAGCGAGAGTGGCAGCTGCAGCTGCAGCGCCTGGCACGTTCGTTCCAAGTCGTGCGGAGGGATCGGCAGGAGGGGGACCATCGACGGAGCAGGAAACAACGTGAGTACCGCGCACGATTGTGAGACCGAGAGTGCGCTTCTCCTCCGCTTCAACCAGGGGCGCATTTGACGGTCCGGCAGCCGGCTTAGACTTCCGCTTGACGCGACGGAATTCTTCTGTGTCTGCAAGTACGAGGTTCATGTGCTGGAGAACGTGAATGTCAGCGGTAGGTACGAGGCAACGTTTCCACTCTTTCGAGGAATCACCTTGTCAAAGGCGAGCATCTGCCCGGTCATCTGTCGGCCATCGGTCAGGGTAATCCTCATGCGATAGTTGATCTGCGTCGACGTTAGATTCCAGCAAGGCAACCAGCTAAAGAAAACGATCAAAGGGGTTCGTCGGTTCGGCGACTTACGAGGTTTTGCTAGAGAAAGGCTCATTGTCAGCTACATCAACCACTGGGTTATCTTCAACACGCGTCAGGAGACCAAGGGAACAGCATGACGAAAACTTACCATCTTGCCCTGCTTGTTGGCGGCCATGTTTGCTGGGGCAGTGCGCACGAATGCGACTGGATAGTAGTGCCAAAGAATGTAGTGAGACAGTAGTAGAAGATATACCTCTACTCAATCGTCCACTTTTGAGCTTATGCGCCCGTAGAAACTGGAGAAATTCAGCTAGTGAAAGCTCTCCCGCTCTATCTTCGCAACCTTGCTAAGACCGGAGTCGTGATCGAGGCGCGGCTCTGCGCTTAGCGCCAAACCGCTATGCCAAGACGCTAAGGGCTCTCGCTTCCCACCCCCAGCCCACACATACACTTTTGCACACTTTTCGAACCTTCGATTCTTCCACCCAACCAGTCGACCAATACACGCCAAAAGCAGTCGCCATGGTATGTTGATATTCCTCTCTACGAACTCAATCAAATCATCGGAATCTCGTTTTTCTGACAATTTTCCTCGCTATGCAGTCGGACGGAAAGGACAAGAGCGCGAACCCCATGCGCGAGCTGCGCATCCAGAAGCTCGTGCTGAACATCAGTGTCGGCGAGTCTGGTGACAGACTTACCCGTGCTGCTAAGGTGCTCGAGCAGCTGAGCGGTCAGACTCCTGTCTACAGTAAGGACACCCGAATCCGATATTTGAACATTATTCGAAAATCCCTTGGAAAGAACAAGAAGCAGAAACGAGGGGAACGGAATGGGGATGAAGTTTTGGTAATGGTTTGGCTGACGGACGACTTTTCTTTGAACTACAGGCAAGGCCCGCTACACTGTCCGTACCTTCGGTATCCGTCGTAACGAAAAGATTGCCGTCCACGTTACCGTCCGTGGCCCCAAGGCTGAGGAGATCCTCGAGCGTGGTCTCAAGGTCAAGGAGTACGAGCTCAGAAAGAAGAACTTCTCCGAGACCGGCAACTTCGGCTTCGGTATCAGCGAGCACATCGATCTCGGCATCAAGTACGACCCTGGTATCGGTATCTACGGTATGGACTTCTACTGCTGCATGTGAGTTGCCCCTCATTTGGTCCTGGCTTGGACCTCCCTGAACTGCTAGATGAGTTCAGGGCTGACATGGAATCTACAGGACCCGCCCTGGTGAGCGTGTTGCCAAGCGCCGCCGCTGCAAGTCTCGTGTCGGTACCAACCACCAGATCAACCAGACCGAGACCATCAAGTGGTTCAAGAACCGCTTCGACGGCATTGTCCGGTAAACATTACGTCTATGGGTCTTCTGGGGGAACGCTTTGGGGTTGTGTGTTTTATGATGAATCGATAAAAAAGCAGGCGTTTCTCTATATTGCCGCTCTGCTCGAAATGTTTCCTTTCTATCACGGCATATGGATAGGCGTGCTAGGAAATATCAAATCACAAGTTCAAAAAAGCATACACTTTTCACAATGAAGGCTTCACTCAGGGTGATGATTTCCGCATAACCATTGTTGAAAAGTATTGCATGATACTTGGCTCCTGAGCCCACTGGGGTATTTATGGATGCTTCCAGCATGGGACTTGATCTGGCTGCTAGCCAACAAATTCCTTGGGATGCCTACTCCTTGAGAAGCATTCTCGCGCTGTTCCTTTGTATGGACAGTCCCAAGGGTTGAAGTCTTCGGACTTGGGTCACCCAACCCTTGTTCGGTACCACTGCTGCTGGTACTGGAGTGGACGTCCTGTAGGCTCAACAATGGTGTAGTCATCTACGTAGCGTAAGCTCTGAATTTGTACTTGTAGTGATCGACATTACCCCAGCATCTGTCCATCTTTCCGATATACAATTACGAGGTGGCCGAACTATCGGCAATCTGCCAAGATAATACATGCTGCCCTTCGACCTCGACCATATGATGGTGTGGACCCTTTGCGGATGTTGTTGGTCAAAGTACTGTCCATTATCAGTACGCCAACTTCAAACTACCATCCTGAAGACGAAAGAAGAGATGTCATTCACATTGCGTATGCACATTGCTTATTCACATTGCTTGATTTCGTGATAATCACATTATTCATCCTGGTGGCTGACTCAAAAACAGTCCAAAGCACCAATGCGTAAATCTTGATACCAATTTGGCCCCGGCTCGGACAGCAAAATAAGTGTCATTTGTTTCACCATAGTATCTTCTTTCCGTCCAACCACGAGTAACTAGGTGCTCACTTGCCCTTGGTATATCCATCCCACAACTGTGAGAAGAAGCCGCCCTTCTCGCCCTGCTCCTTCCAACTCTCCCGACGAACAGTCATGTTGGGATCATTCGCATTCCGCTTCTGGCCAGCCAGGCCCTCGAACATGCTTGATCTTCTCCGGGTTGGGCTGTTGGACGAGTTGGAAGAGGTGTCCGACGCAGCGGAATCCTTTCGAACAGTTAGCATCGAGTACATAAACATGTGCATTGCGATGTTGTGAAGAGAGTCAAGAATGCTTGATCAGACATACATGTCTGTCGCTCATGTCGGTACCCATGATATTGAAGGAAGAATTGTGGGGAAAGCTCTGAGGTGCACCGCCTCTGACCCAGACATTGGGTTGCTCATAACGGTCACCTACAGTTCCATGCCAATGGCGATTATGCGGATCGTTATTCATGATGTCTGAGGATATGAAAATTGATTATTGTAGAATTATACACTTGTCTAATTGATGAGCCAGGTTAGTCGATGTATGATCGAGCAGAGTGATCTGATAGCAACAGACAAGCTGTACATGAGTTAAGAGGGGAAAGGACAGAACCTAAAAAAGGTCCCTTAGTGATGTTGCAACTGGCATGAGTCCAAGACGTCACTTGATGAAAGAGAAGTGTGTATAACAGAAAGCACAGGAGATATAGCCAACAGTCACTCGCTTACCAGCAATATAGTCGTCGAGGTTGACTGCTTCGTGAATCTCGTAGATGGTCGTAAGTGGTCGCTTTCTGCTGAGGGTTACAATCACGAATGATTGGCGAATATATACCCGTCTCTGTCTCTTGACAAGAGAGGAGGCGTCTCCCAAATATGAGGGGTAAGCTCGCCGCTCACACTACCCTTGCACAGTGAAACAGACTCCGGATAGGATGATGCATCCTGATCCAAGGAGCATAACGGAGGGGCAAATCAGAATGGAGCAATCCAATAATGGTTTGTAACGACCGTCATCCTGGCAAATAGGGTCGACGCTGGATGCAGACGATGAATCATCATCTTCGCAAAGGAGAAGCTAGATTGTCCAGATCTGCTGATAGCAGGGCCGATGGTTATGCTATGGTGACGACTGGGGGTAAGCGAATCACCGATGCGGAATTCGTATCCATTACTGATGCCAAAGCGACTTTGTCAGCTAGATATCTATCCAGCAGTTGTCTCCAAAGCCGTGAAAATGTCGGCTTGGATTGTGACCCTCGTGGTGGCTGACGTCAGGTGGTGGTTTTGTCCCAAGGCGGAGGGAATGCGATCAATTGAAAGAATGCTTCATGGGTCCATGGATGAGTTTGGACTGTTGAAAATCAAGTATCTGACCCGATGAGATTCCATCTGATATCGATCGTTAGATCAAAATGAATCGATCTTGGATGGTGGAATTGGCGAGGGATGGAATTGGGATGCTGATAACGTTTATCAATCTACCTTGTTTGCCTCAGGCCGATATCTCTCGGTCACCAACATCGATCCAGCAATGATCGAACTGCAACCATCACGTCTACAACCAACGATTATTGATACTCACTCTTGGACCCATTCAATATCTCTCCATAGCAGCCAGCCCTGAAGACTTCTTGCTCATTTCAAACATCAGGCAAGATGCCGCATCTGCAATAGGCAATTGAGCCTTCAACCTTCCGAGAGCAGATCTCCTCTCAAGGCCGACGCTTCACGGATCCCCCTATCAGGCTATTGGCATGGGTCAACCTGGTCCTATACCCGCAACCATGCCAGATGCATCCTCGGCCAATTTACCTAACCCCACGATATTCAGCTCCCAACAGGTGACCAGTGTCTCTCAGCAAACGTGCTTATGATCCAACACTCCTCTACGCGCTCACTTTCAACTCAATAAACCGAATCACTGCCCCAGACAGAGGGAAGCTGGTCAATCCTAGCTACTGACTCCCAGTGCAGCGCAAGACCGCCCAACCGCTCTAGCAGCATACCGTCAGGCGCGGCGACACATCATCAGCACATCCTGCCCCCAGCCGGCAGATCACAGAGCAACACCCGCTGCAAGCTACCGCGTCACGTTCCCGACTTACACCCCAATCTACCTCCTAGCCAAGAAGCAAAGGAGACCCAAAGCAGCAGGGGAGACCCGCAAAGCCGGCGAAGGACAAAAGAATTAAGAAAAGGCGCCCATCGACCCGCTTATGCCTATCTGATTCGTTCGCACCTAGAAGCGACGTGGGAGTGGGCGCCGGACATCGGCTCGGGGGGGGGGGGGGGGGGGGGG